TGTGTCGTTTTTTGCTTGGACGAATGACTTTTGACCTCACCAAATTTAAAAAAAAGTTTCGAAATTAACACGTATCGAAGAAACTTCAGGGCTTTAAAAACTAATTGATTTAGTATTTTTTTTATTTCGTGTTATTATTACGTTTTTCTTACGTAACTCTATTAATATCTGGTTTGGGCTTACATTGTAACGCGTATTCAAATGACAAGTATTATACCCTTGAAGAAAAGTCACTTTACGTTGGTTGTAGAAGGTTAGTACCTTCACGGTGGTAATTTTAAACGCTATTACAAATAATTTTCTTTGTAGCTTTCTTATCTGAAATATTATAATATTGTTAAAAACGCTAATATATTAATAATCAAAGGTATAAACCAGAGACAGGTAACATGCGGACACTTACTAAATCTTACCATCAAAGTTATATTAAATGGTTCCAATCTCTCGTCTTTATATTGTGTAGGCAAAGACGAAAAGAGAACGACACTCAAAAGTAATGAGGCAATTTGGACCTTCCGCGCACAAGGAAAAGCGATTCGGTTTCATATAAAGTCGTGTGTACAGTTATTTTTAAGGCCAATTAAATCATGCCATAAATTGAACTAACAGTATATTCTCCGTACTTCGGATGGAACTATAAAAATTCAGACGTTTTTTTTATGTGAGAATGTGGCAAGCCAGCTGGCGGCTCACCTGATGTTAAGTAATAACCGAAGTCGATTGACATTTGCAACATCTGTAGGGTTGCAGATGTGTTGCCACCTTTTAATGAAGTGGCTCCGGTTACCTCACGCATTAGACGATCTCACGCCGGTCTTTTTTGATGTCGTGGTGATTCCCCGGACGGACCTGCCCATTCGTGCAACAGAGAAGACTGTTGCGCGCCCCTACCACGGTTAATCGAGCATTGGCCTCTGTGAACGCATTATTGTTGCGTGTCGGATTCATTATCGATAGCAGCGCCGTGGAGGAACGCCGATAACAGCCGGATTCGATTAAGGCACCTCTCTTCCCCTATTGTTTGCGACCAGTTGAGCGAGTTAATGAGTTTATATATTACTTATGCTACATTTTTTGTGCGAAAAAGTTGCAAGCGAGCTGGCGGTTCACCTGATGTTAAATGATAACCGCCACCCATGGACATTTGCAACACCGTAGGCAGTTGCAGATGCACTGCGACCTTTTAAACTCACTCACCAGACGAAACGGAGAAGAATGACACGGTAAATGTAAATAACTTTAACTCCGGCGTAATTCAAATCAAATAAATTTTAAACGATAGAGAAAAATCACTTATGAATTTATCAACAAGCAGAATTCGGCGGTCGCTTCTAGTTTTCGAAAAAATAAATAATGAAATAGTGTGATTTTTTACTATAGAAATCCGCCATTTTTTTGTTGTCAATATGTCAATTCAGCTCGTATTTCTTGGTGGTCATAAAAAAAAAACCTAACATCGAAGGTTAAGGCGGGAGCTCCGCTCCCGCCTGAACCTTCTAACCTAATCTATCCGAGTCGGATTCGCTCTGTGTCGGTTCTGTGATTCATTAAATTAATAAAATCGGAATATAGATACGTGTATGAAGTCGCCCGCTTCCTATATTTATCATATTGGCAGAACTGTGTATTGAGTTTTTGAAGTCAAACAAATAAAATGGTGGATTTCTTAGTACAAAAAACAAGTTTTAAATATTTTTTTTCTCGAAAACTATAAGCGACCGCCGAATTCTGCTTGTTGATTAATTCATTAGAGATTTATCTCTAACGTTTAAAATTTATTTTAATTGAATTACGCCGGAGTTAAAGTTATTTACATTTACCAATGACACTTCCACTTGACACCGGTCTTCTATCAGGTCGTGGCACTTACCAGGACGGACCTGCCCATTCGTGCTGGTGCGTGGACCTACCACAGTTAAATACAACGGTCGGTCGGTTACTTCACTTGACGTACGTTAATATTCTTCTTCCAAGTGTTCTCTATCAGATCAGTTCTGCTTACTAAATCTTGATTGAAATTTAAACCAGTCAGTGATTATAGGGTTAAAGCGTGCGTATACTTAAATGCTACACGATGAAGCACAGCAATTTACAAATGTGGACTACCTTCACACTCCAGATATTAACAATTGGTTCTGTGCTGCAATTGCCGCCGCCATTGGCGTGGGTCCGAATAATATTGTTATCGACGGCCTTGAATAGAATATAACAGACGAGAATATTTTCGGCTATTTAATTATGAGACGGTGATAATTTACCACATCATTTGGGCTAAGTTCACTACGGTATCTTATGCTGTTTGACTTCACATAACTAAATATTACATACCTTCCGTTCAGTACAATTTGCCCAGCAGTGGGACATACTGAATTTCTTATTTATTTATTTTTTATATTTATAAGGCAAAACAACAGCATCCATATTAAAAATTTAAGTGATATAACATTACATGACGTTCTTATATGTACACCAACGCAAGGTATGTACAACGTTCACAAATACGGCACACCTATAAAATTTCAAATGAGTTTAAAATTACCATCAACTAAAACAGAGAATAGTCCTGGTCTACGCTTAATTAATAGTTTACGGTTACAAAATACGTAATAAAAAGCTCTGTTAATGCATGAAAAGAGAAAATAGAAATAGAGTCTCATCAGATAAGGAAGACCAGACCGCATTTGCAAGCCCTCCGATGTTGCAGATGTTCCTGGGTGGTGGTGGTAACTTCCCATCAGGTGGGGCTCCTGCCCATTTTCTCCCTTTTCCAAAAATTCAATTAATCCAGAATAATCAATATCTAAAGCATAATCATCCTTACTAATAAGAACACCTATTGATTTCTTGTTTTTACGAGAATATTATACATTGTGAAATGAAACTATTTTACGGTGTTTTTATCGCGTTTAACTAGATTTTTAAATTCCCGACGTTTCGAACCCTTTGCAGTGATCATGGTCATTACCTCTTTTAACGTTCACAGACTACTGTCTAAAGTCAAATATGTCGAACTTAATGAGTACCAGACATCTGTCTTTATATCTGTCCCCACCACTGCTACACGGTCGTGAGCATACAAATCGTAAATATCCAACTAAATCTCCGCGTGCCGTCGCGATAAAACGGATTCCGACTCGCAGCCTCTAAATCTTCGTACAATACAACTTATCCGTTATTATTTAGACGTGGACGGTGTAAAAAATGCGTTTTAATTACGCAAAGCCTCGAGCAATCAACGCCAGATAACTATAAAGGTCGTCGCTTGAAACTCTGTTTTAGCATGAGATGATTACGTGAATAAATCAGCGACACTCCAATTATTCAGACCATTCAAGGAAGGTATGAAAGGTAGCGATGGGACACTATCTAACTTGCCATTATTATTTTTTTTTTTGATTTTTAAACAACTTCCCAACTAGAAAGTAATAATTCTGTGTCGCGAGAGGTTTTACAAAGGTCAAATGTACATACGTAATCTATTATCACAGCTTAGAAATTATTTGTTTAGACTTTTTTTAAGAAATGTTTTTTGAGGTTTTTATCTTTATTTGGATATGTCAACCCCATTGTGACCATCTCATTTCTATACCTTTAGAATAAATTATACAGAAGTCTATTCTTTAGTCTTACTGGTCATATATTATTACTAATATTAGGTATAGCATTCAGTTTTTGACAAATATATCTAAATCTGACAAATTTCTCAGATGTTGTGTTCACAAAAGTCGTCATTAACTTTTAAATTTTAAATATGTATGTATATAACTCAATTCCTTTGTTATTCAACACAGCCAAGTATGTATATGGACAAGTACTTGTACATGTAGAGAGTAACAGAAGATTTACGTTTTATTACGTGCAATTCTGTTTTAAGACCCTCTTAAAGTTTTAAGGAATGCGTGCAAAAGGAATAAAAATTATGCCTAAACACGTTAATTACAACTCATTTAGCGGGTCGGAGTTGGAATTAGAGAAGATCGGAATTCATGCACGTCCAAATAAATAAAAAATGAAATAATACACTTGGCGTAACTCTACAGTTCTTTCTACTTATCCTTTTTTTTTTTATCCACCTTGTCCGTTATATTATTATATTGGTTATTGAATCAGATCATTACTCACATTACCGTCAGTTTTATAGCTAATAAAAGTTATAGACTATAAACTACATACATTAATGGGAGAAAAGCTTATTCTTTTTCCGGGAAAGATGAAGAAATATTATGAAGGTTCTACATTATTTTGTTTTTACTTTGGCGCCTAACTAAAGCGATTATGCAAAGCTGGGTGACGTACATTGCCCGTTGTACCAGCTGTGCTATTAATTGAGAATGCGTGTCGCGTTCCCATCTCTTGTCATTGATATGGTCTACGTCACATGTGGGCACTAAGCGGACGACACTAGTATCCTTAGCGTATATCGGTATTGAAATACCAGCATTCTTTCACTGCTTTGCCCGTGATAAAATTTTGACCGAGTTAAAGCAACCTATGGGTTAACCTAGTATATAAGTTATTATCAGTCCAGCATTGTTACACTCCTGCGTCTCGTATGGTGAGTGAGGTTGTCGGGGCCGACTTTATATATAACGGCAACGCATCTGCAACCCTAAGGGTGTTGTAAATGTCAATGAGCGGCGGTTATCCCTTAACATCCGGTGGCCGCCAGCTGGTTTGCACCAGCACCACGTAATCCTTACTTCCTTACTAATATTATAAACGCGAAAGTTTGTATGTATGGGTGGATGTTTGTTACTCTTTCACGCAAATACTACTGAATGGATTCTAATGAAACTTTACAATAATGTAGCTTATACATCAAAATAAGACAAAGGCTTTTATTTATCTACATATTTTGTGTATGTCTGCCTTTTTGTCTGAATGTTACGCCTTTAGCCTATTCTACGCAGACGTAGACGCGGGCAGTAGCTAGTTATCACATAAAAAAACACCCTTAGGTTCAAACGGGTCCTGTATTGTTCACGTGTGAACGTTTCCAGATGAGCTGTGGCAGGATCCTCGCGGTGCTGCGCCGCTGCAAGCGTCTCGAGGACGACAGCACCACCGAGCTGTCCAGGTGCTTAGGCCTGCTGGACCTCACAGCGCTGGGCGTGGGCAGCACCCTCGGCCTGGGGGTGTACGTGCTGGCCGGCGCCGTGGCGAAGACGGTCGCCGGGCCAGCGGTCACCCTCAGCTTCCTCGTAGCCGCCATTGCTTCCGCCTTCGCCGGTAAGTAGGCAGCTCCTTCCTGGTCTCGTGCTGCTGCAAGAGGGAATCGGAGAAGGTTTATCCTTCTCCGAGGCGTACTCAGGCGTAGAGGGACACCGGTGCGTTCCATGGGGGGGGTTCCGAGGGGGTTTTAGTGGGTAGGCGGCTCCTTCCGGTCTTATTTCCTCGAATTCAGAATGTGATGAGCCTGATGCAGGTAGCTAATTGCTTCGTGGCAGTCTGCGGAAGGCCTATGCTGAGCAGGGACCGAGATAGTGTAAAATGATGATGAGTCTCGTAATCATCCGCATCGTTTGTCGATTTATTAATTATTCATGAATGGATGAAAATATTATGTCATTACTTCAATCTTCTTTTCTTTGTTAGACATTCGTTGTTCGCCATTCACTAATGTATGTACGTACAACAGTTCCGTAATATAATAAAAGTAGGGAGAAAAATTAAATTTCCTGAAACAATAAAATTGATAGCGCCTAAAGCTTGTCGTAATACCTATGTACGTCGTAATACGGCTATTGTAAGTGTTTTTATATTGTCCTCCTCTTCTTACATTTAGTTCTAATTACAGTTTTTTTTTGTTATGTAACAATGAAATGTCTTCAAGGGATTTATTAATACGAATACTCGCTGTAGATTAATTTCTACTTATGAAGGCTTTAATGGCGCGATTACTGACTTTTTGCGAACTCTAATCAAAAATGAAAAGTATTCTTTTATTTGATAGAAAAAAAGGGGCTGAGCGACTGAAATATGGTCAAGTTTGATAATGTCTTATTGTTACGAGATGGTATAGAGTTGCAATGAAGGAAAGAAACATTATATTTTTAAAGGGCGAAAAAACGGGAGCCTGTAGCATTTGCATATGTGTCAGCTATGATATGAAGCCTAGTCGGTTGGTCTCAGCCTTGAAACATATTCATTAGAAACTTTACGTTCTTTAAAACATAAATCTACATTTAGTTCTTTGCCTTCGTTTACCTTTTAAAAATGCAAAGTCAAAATCATTGTAATTCTTTCGAAGAATATAACATGCGTAATAAGAAGAATTGTCAGGAGTAATCAAAGCTCTTATAATTTTTAACAAAAAGAAACCGACTTCAATCAGAAAATTAGAAACATTGTTAAAACCTATAACATTCAATGATGGCCCTCGATTTCTCTGGGATGCCATCATCAGATCCGGATTTCCTTATCATGGTACCACCCTTGGGATATCTCCTTTCCGACAAAAAAAGAATCATAAAAATCGGTTCTTATGCGACGAAGTTATCCACGAACACACATAAAAAAAAATTAAAATATATACGGTCGAAGTGAGAAACCTCCTCTTTTTATTAAGTCTAATCTCTAATTATAACGAAAGGTAATCGATGTCATCCACTAGTTTATCGTTTATAATATACTGTTTCCTTTCGTCTATCGTCAATTAGAACACTGTTGTTCAACGCATTACTAAGAAGCAGAAGAGTGTTCAAAAAAACCTCTTCTTCAAAAAATATTCATATTTCTTATTTACTTGTTTTCACCATGGACTGATACGGGATACACTCTAAGTTAAGGTTCACCGTAAAAGTCAAACACAAGCGTGTTTTGAAATACTACTACCGCCATCTGTTATCTGTCAGCTCTCAATAAGAAATAAATTTTACGAAACTGCATAATAAAATACTTTCTTTTCCTACTTCATATAGGTTTCTTTGTTTTCACATCTAAATGAACCCTCATCTCCTAAATAACTAAACTGAATCAACAAAAACTAGGGTATGGTTAAAGATTATAAAATAATTTCAGTATAACAGCATTACATCTGTTGTATGTGGTTAATTACCGTTGTCTAAGATTCATTTGGAATGTTCATGCAAACTTTCATGCTGAAAATATATGTGAAAATGTATTTATTTACAAAATAAAAGTATCTTTACGTATGTTTATCAGGAGTTTGGGATTAGAGAACGTTGTGTTAAAATATGTACAAAAATATTTATTTATATATTATTTTATATGCTGTCAAGGCGCTCGCTCTTAATTTAATATAGTCGAACAAGATGAGTTCGATCCCCGGTGCCGGCACCAATGAAATTGATAATTTTTAAGTGCTGTCTTTATCACGCGCTCAACGGCGAAGGAAAACATCGTGAGGAAACCTGCATATTAAATGCGGAATAATAAGAAAAAAAATTCGAAGATATGCGAAGTTCGCCAATCCGCAGTGGGGCCGCGTGGTGGACTATGTCCTGATACCCTCTGTAAAAGAGGAGGCCTTTGCCCAGCCGTGGAATATGCAAGATCCCACTGCGGATTTCACTTATCTTCGAAACTGTTTTGTGTTATAATTCTGAAAATATGCAGGTTTTTTGGTCATTTTCTTTCACCGATACGTCAGCACTTAAAATTTACAGTCAGAACGCCCGGATCTATCACGGTTGTACGTTCACTATAAAATAATTTATTTATTTACAATATCTGTTTATGCAGAATACAGTGATGTTCTTGAGTTTGGAAGCTTTTATTATAAATCGAATACAGTAATACACTGAGAGAACTATTTATTTAATTTTATTACAACAGGAAATACACTTATCGAGTAGCCATTTCTTATGTCTCTGTTGCCATATTCATAGACTCATTGTGTAATATATAATGTTGCCATGACCTATTACAAATACCAGCTCCGGCCACTCCGCAGATGAACTGTAATGTTGTAGTTATTTGTGAATATCTAAAAAGAAGACCATATCATCAGAAGCAACCCCAGATTAATCGATGTCATTAATTGTTTCATTCGACCCTTAACGCTCGCCTAAGTGCCTAACTTCTCCGTATTCCTTTTCCCACCTTTGTACTAGCTCTTCTTTATTCCTTATCACAGGTTTGCGCTAGCTCTTCTGTATTCCTTACCACAGGTTTGCGCTACCTTTTCCCATCTTTGTTCTAGCTCTTCTGTATTCCTTATCACAGGTAGACTAGCTCTTTACCTTTTCCCATCTTTGTGCTAGTTCTTCTGTATCCATTATCACAGTTTTGCGCTAGCTCTCCTGTTATACTTTTCCAGGGCTGTGCTACGCGGAGTTCGCGGCCCGGGTGCCGAAGGCGGGCTCTGCGTACGTCTACAGCTACGTGAGCGTCGGCGAGTTCATCGCGTTCACCATCGGCTGGAACCTGATCCTCGAGTACGTGATCGGCACCGCGAGCGTCGCCAAGGGCATGGCCAACTACATCGACAGCCTCTGCAACAACACCATGGCCACCACCATGACCGCCGTAGCGCCCATCAACGTCTCCTTCCTCGCCGACTACCCGGACCTGTTCGCCTTCGTCCTGGTGCTTTTGATTACCGGTGAGCGATTTTGTGGTTCGGGAATTCGGGAAAGTTCGGAACGAAATCTTCTCGTCGAATATACCTTAATGTTTGAAGACTAAAGTCTTCAATCAATGTGTGTTTCCAGTGATGACCTACGGAACGGAGACGAGGTCCTTCACTGCTGGCCGTATGAGGAAGCTCAAAGTCGCTCAGCGAGCTATGGAGCGGGCTATGCTCGGTATTTCTCTGCGTGAGAGTTCGTAACCAAGACATCCGCAGTAGAACCAAGATAACCGATATAGCTCAGAGGATTAGCAAGCTGAAGTGGCGATGGGCCGGCCATATAGCTCGTAGAACCGATAACCGTTGGGGAAGAAAGGTTCTCGAGTGGCAGCCTCGTACTGGCCATCGCAGTGTAGGACGACCCCCCACTAGATGGAGCGACGACCTGTGCAAATGTGCGGGAAGTCGATGGATGCAGGTGGCTCAGGATCGTACTTCATTGCAGTCTGTGGGGGAGGCCTACGTTCAGCAGTGGACTCAAACAGGCTGAAATGATGATGATGATGATGATGATGAGCGATTTTGTGGTTCAAAAGGTTTTTGTTTTATTGACGCTATATATTTTGCGCGGGAAGTTGATGCAGGTGACTCAGGATCGTGCTTCGTCAGTCTGCGGAGGAGTTACTACGAAATAAGAGTATAATGAATTGCCTCATCAAATTAGTCCTGTGCCCGTTGGTCAGTAATAATGTAATGATTTCAGTTCTACTCGCTATTGGCGTTAGTGAGTCCACCAAGCTAAACAACGTCTTTACGGCCCTCAACATGATCACCGTCGTGGTGGTGGTGATTGCCGGCGCGATCAAAAGTAAGTCATTTCTGTGAAGTCACCATTTCTCCTAACTTGACGTTACGCTTGTAATTATGATGTCTCCCATAACAAGAAATATCATGTATCATTTCAAAGAATAAACTTTATTAAAGAATTCTTAACGTTTTCAACCGTTGCGCATTGTAATAACAAAAGAGTCTGCTTTCACGTGTGTTGTATTTTTGATAAATTTAAACAAAACTTTTACACGTTTCATCACGTTTTTGACGTTTCAAATGCACTGCAGCATACATGGCCGTGATAGCCCAGTGTCCGGGCGCTCGCCTTTATTTCAATATACTCTAGCAACCTGAGTTCGATCCCCGGTGCCGGCACCAATGAAGTTTTTAACTTTAAGTGCTGACTTATCACGTGCTCCGCGGTGAAGGAAAACATCGTGAGGAATCCTGCATATTTTCGAAATAATAACAAAAAAAAATATATTTCGAAGATATGTGAAGTCCGCCAATCCGCAGTGGGGCCGCGTGATGGACTGTGCCCTGATGCCCTCGATGCCAGAGGAGGCCTTTGCCCAGCAGTGGGACATGTATAGGCTGTTACTTTTATACATGGTCGCGTGTGGTCTAAGTTGTTGTACGCACCCGCGTTGTTTCAAGTGTTTGTTCGTAGGCGACCCGGCGAACTGGCGCATCGACGTGGCCTCGCTGCCGGAGGGCGAGCGCGCGGCCGCCGGCGGCGGAGGGTTCATGCCGTGGGGCGTGGCGGGCGTGATGGCCGGCGCCGCCAAGTGCTTCTTCGGCTTCGTGGGCTTCGACTGCGTGGCCACCACGGGCGAGGAGGCGCGCAACCCGAAGCGGGACATCCCGCTCTCCATCGTCCTCTCGCTGGCGGTCATCTTCGCCTCCTACTTCAGCATCGCGACCGTGCTCACGATGATGTGGCCCTACTACCTGCAGGACGCGGACGCGCCCTTCCCCTACGTGTTCACGCAGGTGGGCCTTGTCACTACGCGCGAGGGGAGATAACTGAGAGTAGAGGGCATGGTATCACTGGAATCTATAACCCCTGTATGTCCACCCCGATCTGAAGAGAGATGGCGATAGATGAGAATAGAGAGGGGCAAGATATTACCAGCAAAAACGTTAGTGCTATTTACTTTAGTACCTCTACACAGTCCACCCTGATCTGTCTAACTGTGCCTTGAGTTCGTGTGTGACGGATGATCTTTATTTTTCAGAAAATGTTGCGTTTACTGTAGGATAGCATTACTAATCCTGTATTGTTAGAACGTTTAACATACATTAATAGATATCAAGTGAACAAACACCCTGATCGAAATCAACCAAATCAATTATCTGTTGGTCACACAAGTTGTGCCGTGTGCGAATCGAATCCGTAAACGCCAAAGGCGGCAACGCATCGGCCACCTCGCGCCTTGCAGGTGGGCATGCCGGCGGTGCGCTGGCTGGTGACGGTGGGCGCGGTGTGCGCGCTGTGCACCAGCCTGCTGGGCGCCATGTTCCCGCTGCCGCGCGTGCTGTACGCGATGGCCTCCGACGGCGTGCTCTTCCGCCCGCTGGCCACGGTGGCCGCGCGCACCAAGACGCCGCTCCTCGCCACGGCCCTCAGCGGACTGCTCTCGGGTGGGAATCGCCCTAGCCATAGAGCCGTATGCTGTACAGATTTGTGTTCTTTGTTGTTGATTATATATACAATATATACAAATGTATATATATACATGTATGTATAAATTATAAAATATTGTAAATGTACAATATTTAATTATGTAATATTTCATTCATTCATTCATTCATTCACTTATGAAGAACGACCATGGGCCGGTTCCAATATTGTGTCTACAAATAATTGGAAAACTAAGATATACTAATAAAACATAATTACATTCACTATGTATGGCAAAATAGTCACCAGATGTTACTATGCTTGAATAGACATATTAAGCTAATACTGTCCACTACATTTGAGTAAAGTATCTTAAGAGTTTGGGTTTTTCTAATGGTGAAAACTATACCAATGTTCAACCTTTGTTCAAATCTCAATTGCCTTGTTTAGAATACTATAGTTGTATATCAAAATCTGCTTAAACCATAAACGTTCACTTTTTACATTGCAGCAACCATGGCGGCCATCTTCAACCTGAATCAACTCATAGACATGATGTCGATAGGAACGCTCCTCGCCTACACTATTGTCGCAACTAGTGTGCTGATTCTAAGGTTTGCTCTCGTCAATTTACCAACACACGATTTATTTTAAGAAATTTATACAGAAATAGTAGTAGGTATGTTGGCTGCAGAATATGTTGCAGTAAACTTATTGTATTCCATAGCGTCAGATTTAAAAACAAACATAGGTCATAGGTACCGACCTTCTGTAAACCGGTCTAACTTTCAAAACCATTAACACATTATGACATTCATGAACAATAATTGAAATGACAAAAAGATTAGCTACAGACGCATTGCCAACATTCCAAAAACTCGTTTACGGTCGGTGGACAAATGAATTTCTTTTTTTTTAACATCGATAGCTATTTATTTTTACTGGCAGTTTCTGAACTGAACGTGAAAGTGTAAATGGTAAATCCTGATATGGCCGTGGGGGAATTGGTGCATTTTCGCGTGTGCAGATACGAAGAGGAGGAGCACCCCCAGCTGCAGAAGAGCCAGCCGCTGCCGGAGACGGCGTACAGCGTGGCGCGGCAGAGCTTCAACCTGCTGGGCCTCAAGGAGCCCACGCAGCTCTCCGCCAACATCGTCAAGTGCGCCATCGCGGTGCTGTGTGAGTCTTTTCAATACACACATTTTACAGTGGCAGAGCCACGCAACAATCTTATCTGCCGCAGGAAAAGGGGTGTTGTGTGAGTGTCCATAAACACATTTTACGGAGGCAGGGCCACGCGACAGTTTTCGCTGTTGCACGAGTGGACAGCTCCGTCCAGGGAAGTATCACTACTTCGCAGAAGACCTGCGTGAAATGGAAGTGTTACACTTCTGCGTTCGTCTGGTGAGCGACGCGGCCGCGGCCCACTTTATCATAAGTACGGGGTTGCAAATGTCCATGGGCGGCAGTTGTCACTTAATACCAGATGAATCGCCGGCTCATACCGCCTTCTCACATAAAAAACAGCACACAAATTGTATGTATGCTGGAAAGGATATACCAATGTAGATAAAAGACGTTAAGATTTTCGTCGGAGTGGCAATAAGCCCCTTAGCTTAGTGGCTGAAGCGTCAGGCCGCGAATGTCGAAGAGGTGGGCTCGATTCCCACAGCGGCGACAATCTTTTCGTAATTTTTCTACGAGTTTTAATGTTTAATCTCAAGTGCAGAGATTAGCACTATATAAATTTAAATTTATGTATAGACTAGCTTTCCACCCGCGGCATCGCTCGCGTTGAACCCTTTAAAACCTATATTTTATAAAGAAAGATATTTTCAATCCTTTACAAACACTTTTTTCCAACAGGGTGGCTTTTATAAAAGTGCCCAAATCCACACAGGAGGTTCAGACTCGGTAGTATTTTTGTTTATTGAAATAAAAACAACCTTTTTTTTTCTTAAAAAAATGCCATTCCATTCCCTAAAAAACAGAACTTGTTGACAAGGCGGTAGTCATTCATAAAACGAACTTGTGTGCGTGTTATTTATGAATGATCACACGTAAAATAAATGAGTTGCCCATAAATCGCACGGCAGCCTCGTACTGGCCATCGCAGTGTAGGACGAGCCCCCACTAGATGGAGTGACGACCTGTGCAAATGTGTGGGAAGTCGATGGATGCAGGTGGCTCAGGATCGTACTTCATGGCAGTCTGTGGGGGAGGCCTATGTTCAGCAGTGGACTCAGACAGGCTGAAATGATGATGAAGACGATGAGTGATTTTAAATATTTATCATTTTCTATACAACACAATATATGTGTAGAATTTAATAAAAAAGAATGGATACAATTAGAAAAGCCTCCCTGCACAGTCGTGGCGGCGCTGGCGACTTGCTCGCTGCTGCGGTGGGGGGCGGGCGGGGCGCGGGGCGCGGCGCTGGCGCTGCTCGGCGCGGCCCTCCTCGCGCTGCTGCTGGTGCTCTGCCGCCAGCCGAGGCGGGACGTGGCACACCTCACCTTCAAGGTGCCCTCCTCCGGCCTTCAGCCACGTGTGCCACCCTAGCCTAGTCAGCCCTGCTTGGGACCAACCCAGACGCGAGGGTATCTGTGGCCATCGCCACGCGTGACGCCATCGACTATGGTTACGACCCGCCTGACGTCGGCCCTCTTTGCGATTAACACGTGTGGTCAACGTGATATCGCGATAATTAGAGTATATAACATCTCATTTAATAATAAAAGTTATATCGAGCAAAATAAACACTGAATAGAAGAAAAAATTTTTGCCCATCTCACCGAAACTCGAATTTTCCGCATGTCAATGAGCGTGTAAACCCAGATGCGAAAGTATTACCTATTTGTAAGTCAAATAATTGCCACGTGTAGGAATCGAATCCACTACCACGTTGGTCAATAACTTGGCAATACCGAGTCATAATCTATCAAAATAAAGATCTTATAAAGTAAAATATCAGCCTATACATATACAACAGCTGGACAAAGGCCTATGTAGGGCATAGTCCACCACGCGGCACCACTGCTGTTTAACAGACTTCACATATCTTCGAAATATCTTTTTTAATTTTTTCGAAAACATTCAAACTTCCTCACGATTTAAAATCATAGACTTCTCATATCATCGAAATATCTTTTTTTACTATATATATTTTGCACATCTGTGTCTCGTTTCTTTCCCGTAACCATTAGTCTCTCACAACATCTCCAAGGTGAAACCGCAGCCGCGGCAAGGCCGAAATATGGTTTCGAATTTCCACAATACTTACTTACCGCTTTCCAAATATTGCTGGTTCGATCGACGCAGTTATTAAACAAAGGCTGCGAAACACGGGTTCGATTCCCACCCGGGACGAGTATTTGTATTAACTACACGTGTTCCATATCTGGGATCTTGCCTTTGTTTAGTTTATATTTCCAAAATACCTCTACACATGTTAACACTTTTCTATATCCACAAACAATTATTTTTAAACAATTTCAAACACTGTAATAGCCGTAATGGCTCAGTAGAGCCGTGATAGATCAGTGTCCGGGCGCTCGCCTTTAATTCAATATACTCCAGCAACCCGAGTTCGATACCCGAAATGTTAATTTTAATTGCTGAATCACGTGCTCTGCGGTAAAGAGAAGAAAACCTGCACATTTTCAAAGTAATAACAAATAACAAATATTTCGAAGTCCGGCAATCCGCTGTGGAGCCGCGTGGTGGCCTATGCCCTGACGGTCTATTATAATATTGAAGAATACATTGAGTGGAATGACTCTATGTGTGGAAATGACTCTTGCTCTGCAAACACAAATCCTATTACTGCTGCTGATTTTGTACTTCAATAATTTTGCATACATGATTCGTCTAAAAAAGAGATAAGACATCATTTTCTTGCCGGTTCTTCTCCGATCAGGACTAGTTTAGTGCGCCAGTGGTAGTTTTATATTGACGTTCAATAAGAGCGTAAATTGAGCCTATATTTGGACTTTGACTTGGAGTGTTCACAAAAGAACTAAATCTTGACCTTCATATGCAGGTCCCGTTGGTGCCGTTATTGCCTTACCTGAGCGTCTGCATGAACGTCTACCTCATGGTGCAGCTCGACTACCAGACGTGGGTGCGGTTCATCATCTGGCTAATCATCGGTAAAACCCCCTCGATCCAATTACACTATCTTCAATAGCAGATCAATGTCTGCGTTTTAAGCGCCTATTTATATTCATTTGGATGCCAATGGCTTGTTACAAATCTCGCTTTCATATGTCTAACGGGCGTATCCTTACCTACCACTAAATGAATTTATGTCTCTTGTTATTCATATTAATGTAGCTTAGAATTAAGTTGGTAACGATTAAATTTAATTTTAACTATAATCAATGCCAAACGCCCCAATCTTTTGGTATGACTGTAAGACTATTAGATCAGTGATAAATCTTTGCTTTGTCATACAGAATGATCAGTTCATTTCATACAAATTTCTTTTTTACACTCTTTTTTTAGAAAAATATATAAATACATAATATTAATTTGACGACCCAATTAGCGTAGTGGGTGGTGAACCTTCATCTTGAGCCCGACGGTGTGGGTTCGATCCCCACTATTGGAAAAATATTGCGTGATGAACATAATGTTTTTCCGGTGTCTGTGTCTTAATATATTATCTATAACATGTATTTATTTACAAGATAGAAGTATGTTTGTCAGTTATCTAGTGCCCATAGTACAAGCGTTGCTTAGTTTGGGACTAGAGAACGTTGTGTAACAATTTTTTCCTAAGGTACTATTATTAATTATTACTATTACTTACCAGAATCTTTGTGAAGATTTCTTATTTGAAATGTTGCAGGTTACCTTATCTACTTCCTCTACGGAGTGAGGAACAGTTCGCTGAGGGAGAAATCTATACCACCGACTTCGAACGGTGTGGAAGAGAAGCATATTGTCACGAAATTCTGAAGTCCATCTGCTTAGTGTAGATTTTCAGGAAGTTTGACTACAGCAACCTTGATGGTCTCTTTTGAAGCAATAACACTGGGAGTCTACTTTAAATTTTAACAAAAGACGTTCTAGTGAGTTTATATCAACGGAACGTCTGATATGTGATAATTTTGCTGATACCAGTTTAATATATTTTTGTGGGTAAAATTAAAATTACCTGCACAGTGAAAGATTAATAAAAATATCAGGAACTTTAATATGTGATACTTAAACACTACTTTTTTTTTATAATATTGTAATCGACTCTAATTGTTTGACAATTATTAAACTAATAATTATCGATGAGTTTCACAAAGCTATACGTTTGCTAAAATGTTATTATGCTCAAGATTTGATGCATTTTCATGTGAAAGAAAATAATATATGTATAAACTAAGGATATTATATATAATACTTTATTATTATTTTATATTTGTATAAATAAGACGATAATATTATCGAGCATTAAATGTTAAATCAGTGTTGTGACGTTCATTGTGATATTTAACTTATGTGTTAGTATTTTTAAATTGCTAACTGTCAAGAAAGGAGCCATTCTTAATATGTCTTGAATGAATTGAGTGAAAATATTACATTGTGATATTTAAATTAAATTTCCCACTATTATAACAACTAATTAATTTGCCATTTCGACCTTTCATTATAACATGAAACAGAAATTAACATGGCTTTACCCAAGCAAACAGGATCATGAATATATATTTTCATTTCATTTAAGATACATTGCAAGAAATGTCAGATTAATATTTTCTTTTTTTATTCGAACGCTACATAATTTTTATTAAATGAAACTATTTTTAAGGATATATTGTTTATTTTAAGCTTGAAAGTAAATGATTTGATTCTTTTCTGGTAGTCATTGTCAGGGGACTTAAAAATGGTTTCATTTAATAACGTTTGCCTGATTTAATATAATATAAAAAAAACATTTTCAACATTAAGCAAAAGTAAAAAAGTCGATGAGTAAGGATAATGTTAACAAACCCTAGGTTTATGAAATAAAATCTAAAATAAAATTTTAAACAAAAAAACAAGTTAAAAATTAAATGAACCAGTGTGAAAGGAATTTATAATAAGTCGCCAATACGAATGTGTATAATATTTATGTGCCAACATTTAATGAGAAATTGAAATTAACTATTTTTTCAAGCACCAAACTGTGATCGAATTAAATTAACGTTTATTCAAACCTTTTGGTTTTATTCACACTGCGTTTTATAACACTTCACAATCAACTTGAACGCCTCAAACGTTTAAATAGCAATTATATGCCCAACAAAGTAGCTTTACACTTCGTAAGTTTGGTGAACACACTGGAAATTGGACATGCAACGTCAGAATGGATGAAAAACTAGGCATAGTATTTGAAACAAACGACAATAGCGTCGTCATCGAAGTTTAAATAAGAGAAAAACACATCTATGATGGTGCCTTTGTCTAGATGTTAATTTCCCGTTTGTTGCAACATTGAATACGAATGAATTACGAAATTGCATCGGTGGTAGGGCCACACAGCAGCCTCGGCTGTTTCACGAATGGGCAGGCTCGTCCGGGTAAGTACCACGACCTCACAGAAGACCGGCGTAAAGTGGAAGTATAACACTTTCGCATTTCGTCTGGTGAGTGTGGTGGCCGGAGCCCAATTTTCAAAAGGTTGTCAACGCATCTGGAACCCTCGGGTGTAGCAGATGTCTATGGGCGGCGGTATTCACTTAACATCAGGTGAACCGTCTGCTAGCTTGGCAACTTTTCACATATTAAAAAAAACTAAAGTGAATTTGCATGAAAGAATACAAGAAATTGAAGAATTCAAAAATTTTTACGATCGAGGAAGCAATATTGTAATGTAATCTCAGACATCAAAGGTTTTTTTGATAAAACATTTTAGCATTTTTTTAAGAAACAAACCATTAAATAATCTATAAGTACGAAAGATAACAAATAAAGGACGATGTCATACGAAATTGGAGCCGGGGAATACGCTGGTAGTTTAAAACAGATTATAGACAACTGAAGTTCTTTTACATAACGTACTAACGACAATTTAACTTGGAGAAATCATAAAATACTACTTCTAATCAGCAATATATAGAAAATCTCGCAGTGACAAACAACATAACAATCCCTTTTGACTATTTATATTTGCTTTATGTTTAAAAAAGAAGTTGTTACTGATCAAGAAAGGTCCATTTGATCAATAAGTGTGTATTCACGAGTCGTTTCTATTATTTGTGAGTGATGATCTATTCGTCGTCCTACGCATTGTTTATCTCCGAGAATAAACCGATATAGTTAACATAAATATTATAAAATGTTCTACTTATTCTCGTCAGTTGTAAAGGGTCTTCAATAATTACGGTTACCTATCATGTAGGCACGTGTTAGATAAACAATAACCAATAATATATAGTGAATAATTTGAGATGGTGGGCGTTAATGGGGTATTTATTTTTATTAAGATGGGACCAGCGGTCGTTATTACATTCTGCTTTGGATTTCTACAACTCGGAACTGCCTTAGGATCCAGTGTGGAAGGACGCTTGCATTTTCCAGAGCTCGGAGCCACTAGGGGTCATACCGTCGAAGAGTATGACGTCATCACAGAGGACGGCTACATTCTGCGGTTGTTCCGCATACGGGGCGCGAGGAAGCGGCCGATACTTCTCATGCACGGCCTGTTGGACTCTTCGGACACGTGGACGGTCAGGGGTAACGCTTCGCTGGCGGCCACCCTCGCCGCAGAGGGCCACGACGTGTGGCTGGGCAACTGCAGGGGCAATAGGTACGCGCGCCGCCACATCTACTTGGATCCCGAAGCGGGCGACGGCTTCTGGGACTACTCGTTCCACGAGCACGGCTTCTACGACCTGTCCGCCATAATCGACTCGGTGCTCAGCCTGACCGGCGCCGACAGGCTCGACGCCGTCGGCCACTCGCAGGGCGCGACCATCTTCTACGTGCTGGGCTCCACGCGGCCGGAGTACAACCGGAGAGTGAACCTGCTAGTCGCGTTGGGGCCTGTCTGCTACCTGCAGAACGTGGGGCCGCCGCTGAAAACTCTCATCCGGCACTCGACGCTGATCTACGAGATGGCGACGTCGCTCCAGTGGCAGGAGGTCTTCGGGGAGTCCGGATGGCCCGCGACCCTAAAGTCGCTCTGCCTCACGCCCCTGATAGGTTACACCATGTGCGTTTCGAGCGCCTTGTTCCTTATCACCGGGCGCGACGAGGATGAACTGGAGACTGGCATCGTGCCAGCGCTGATCGAACGCTTTCCGATGGCGACGTCCGCCAAGAACCTCTACCATTTCGCGCAGGTCGGCCACAGGAGGGCGTTCGCCCGTTTCGACCACGGCCCCGAGGGAAACCTCGAGAGCTACGGTGACCAAACTCCGCCGGCCTACGACCTGGACTCGGTCACGATGCGGGTCGCGCTGTTCGCAGGCGGGAACGACGGGCTGTCGACGCTGGAGGACGTCGCGATATTGAGGAACCGTCTGCCGAATGTGGTGCAGCACACGATAATGCCGCACAGGATGATGAACCACGCCGACTTCGTGTGGGGCCGCCATATGGACGAGTACCTATTTCCTTACATCCTCGACGTCTTGCAAACGTACGGGGAACAAGAATATCCTGATAATTTTGAGTAAAGGAAAAAGCGAAAAAATCAAATAAAGTGTGTGTGAATAAAATGTCTTTTTATCAAAACAGCTTACCTCAAACGCTTTGGAATTTCCCAGGGTAGTATCATTGGACCAACAAAATGTGTTTTTATAAAAAAGGAGGTTTAATGAAAGACCAAGAAAATAAACTAAAAAGCATTTTATTGATATTTCATAAGTAACAATTGCGAGGAATGGTTCGTAAAACAATCACTAATTCATGTCGAAAAAAACAAATTTAATTTAAGACTTAAATAAATTTAATTCGCATAGTAGTACAACGAAAAAGCTTTAAAGATTGCTGTTTTACTGAAGTCCTAATACTGATGGTACACATTTTTACTTCTAGATAAGTACAAAGCGAGTAAAAGTTAAAACATGAGTCGAGCTATTTATTTATTCGAGTTTTTTTTTTTTTTCAATTAATACTAACAGATCTCTTGATTTCTACGGTAAGCACTAGTTCATACACTTTACGCGACTATGAGTATCCCTTAAAGAAATACAAATTACATCTTATCTCGTAACATATCAATTAAATACATGAAAAATACGCAAAGATGAATGTATCAACTTGATTTAAGTACACACGTAGACACATAAAACAATGATTTCAAGAATATATAAAAATGCAGCCAAATGCCTGCAGTGAGGACGAGATTCTAAGGCAAGGCAAAGTCCTCAACTGTCTGAAAGTTACTAAATATTATAACAAATAAAAATGCTTAAATTTAATCCATTTGGTATATCTCACTGCTGATATATTCAATAGAAAGGAAAGTACTTGTATCAATAGAAAGCACAATAGCATTACATGAATCGGCAGAACGTAAGAGAAATCAATAAAATTTGTACGCCCATAATACTTTGGTCGACTTGAAAAGGACCAACGCTTTAACGACCTAGACACATTTTAGACATTCAAACAGTTGACTACCTTAAATACTGGATATGAACGAGACCACGGTCTCGCTGGGGCTGACGAGGGCTTCGCCCCCCTCTGCGGCGTCCGCACGCCGCCCCCTGGCGGGGCGCTTCCCGCCTGCGCCCTCTGCGGGGGCGGGCGGGCGTCAGCCGAGCGTGTGCTGCAGCCCGCCGCGCTGCAGCAGCTCGGTCCTGCTGTCGTTGTGCAGGTCGGCCAACTGCACCGAGTCCAGGGTCCTGCGGCGCTCGGTGCTGTGCCATACGCCGTACGTCACGTAGATGATCAGACCTGGGAGCACCGGTTCAGGGTTGTTCGTGTGTATTTGTACATGTTAGTTTATATAAAAATAATTATAATATACAGGGTGATTTTTAGACGAAGTATATACATTGACATAATGTTGAATGAGCATTCCATAGTTCAAAAAAATATTATTTTTTTTATTTGGACAAGAAATAACCAGAAAAATATCAATGCAAACATTGTTTGTTTATCCCTTTAAGAGTGGTCACCCTATTGATAAGCGGTTTAGTAATTATACGTTCCGTAAACAGTTTTAGTGCTCGTGAATAGGTTATTGTATTGAGACGGTAAGGCAGGAATTTCTAAAAGGGTGTCCATAATGTTTGAAAAAACTAAAAATAATCTTTAAAAAAAAATAGGTCACAAATAAGTACACACAGATTTATATTTAGAATCAAATTTTAAACTGTTAATATTAACATAATTAATATTAACATTTATGACGGACATATGTCCGTCGATCACCCTATATAGCAAAACTGTAAATTATGTCATATAAAATTAAATAAAATCGGCTTGGTTTGCTTCCATTCATTCCATTCCTAGTTCAAAGTCACACCGTTAAGCACTTTGTTTATTAGTCCGTTGCCCTGAAGAAAGCCGAAGACTGAGTGGTGTGGAAGCAGCTTATCACCGATTCCGTCAAAGCTTTTCAAGACGGGCACGACCTTCAGTAATGAAGACCGCGAATAAGAAGAAGAAGGAGTAGAAGAAGAATGTGTATTTGTTGGAGTTTTGGTTTCCCTAATTTATAACTCTCTATATACGGAAGGATAACGGTAATAAAACACTTTTACTAGGTAACTCGTATGTTACTACTCAAACGCGAATCCGCCATGGTCTTCAGAGTGTCCCTCGAGTATCCCTCAACTTTCCGAGTACTTCCGTCAAGTATCTCGATTGTCCGATTTTTCCAAATTACACTTACTCGGTAACTCCATGTACTGAGATTCTACCGCGACTCCGCCATTGTCTTGGGTGTGCCCGAAGAGTGCCCCCCGAGTTTCTCTCGATATCCGAATGTGTCTTCGAATAATCATCGCGTTCGAGTAATTTAAATGTGCCTAATCAATATTACAACGGAGCTGCGTCACAACTTGCTTACGCGCCAAACTACACGTGTGTCCGTACAACCGGACAACGAAGGAAAATATAGAGGTTTTCTTACTAACATAATTAATTAACACTAACTTGAAACTTCTCACGGGCTTTGTTGTGAAGAGTGCAAAAGTGTTGAGGATTTTGAGACACTAAAACAATAACTTCTACTTTGGTAAAGCCATGCAACAGCATCTGCTGTTGCACGATTGCGCAGGGGCGTCCGGGTAAGTACCAAGGCCTCACAGAAGACTGACGCGTTTCGTCTGGTCAGTGAGGTAACCGGGGCCCACTTTATTACAGGTTGTCAATGCATCTGCAAGCCCACAGGCGTTTCAGATGTCTATGGGCGCCGGTCTAAGATGTCTATGACCGAGCGTAGCCCAGAAGTGGGACATATATAGGCAGTACTTAATTTTTATAGCTGAGAATCGGTCTATATACTGAGACGAGTATTTTAGTCCAATTCTCGGCTATAAAGCCCATACACATCGATGGAGTTATGTTCCTTTTTCACATTTTTTTTTAAATATCTCTGATAACCTAAAGAGGAAAAAATTGTACACATTACCTAATTATCAGACAAAAAAGAGGTTAATGACTAAAAACCACACACAAACATAACAAAAAGTATATTACGCAAGAATCATTACAGATAGTTTTAAGGTGTCATTAACACTGTTCAATAATTTAGTGATGTCTTTTTGAAAATGCAAAATTGTCGACATTGTTAAAGAATCTTTTGTATTCGAACCTAATAAGGTCGCTCCGTGAGAACGGAACACGTGAGATATTCCAAAACGGTGTACAATGATTTTGAAATGGACAGTTTTGTTGGCGAAGCTTTACTTAGGATTTGAAATTATATATTTTTTTATCATTAATAATTTTTAGTAGCCTGTATTTTTATTTCTTATCAATAACACAGATTTTTATCTTAATCTTAATAAATAAAAATGAATGTTGGTAAGCGCATAACTCAAGAATGGCTGGACCAATTCGGATAATTTATTTTTTGTATGTTCCTTAAGAAGAAGGTTTTAAAGTATTAAGTTTTAAAAAAAAAGAACAAAGTCTGCCCGGACAGCTAGTAGTTTATAAAACCAGGGTAATAGTGCAATACGCCGCTCTGATCGGTCAAATGTCGGTCGATCATATCTGTGATTGGTCGTAGATAAGTCATCACCTTTCAACACCTGAAATTTTTGTTGAAATAAGAGTAGGTATAACAACATCGATATAATTCGACTGCCACAATATTTATCACCAACTTGTTTACAGACCTAATTATCGTATTTCTAACAACAACATGACCAGAGGCTAACTACTAACCGATTTTTGTCCTTATAACACTGACCACTGTTAAACGATAGATTGGTACACTGGACGAAAGTTGTATTCAATAACTTAAGAGTACGAAGCTCTTATAATGGAGATAAGACCAGTGCTTGCCGTCATAATCTTTGTGTACAGTAGAGAGGGCAACGCTTGGGGACTATCCGAAGACGGCAGACTAGATTTTGTCGAATTGGCAGAAAAATATGATCGTGACGTAGAGGAGTTTGAGGTTTTAACAGAGGACGGGTATAAGCTGAAATTGTTCCGGCTGCCCGGTGGGAGAAGAGGACCCCTGCTGTTGATGCACGGCGTATTCGACTCCGCCGACACGTGGATCATCAGAGGCAACACGTCACTGGCAATCACCCTCGTCGACAGGGGCCACGACGTGTGGGCGGGAAATTGCCGGGGCAACAAGTACGGACGCTCGCACGTACGCCTCGACCCCGACGTCGACGAGGAATTTTGGGAGTTCTCCTTCGAGGAGTTCGGATACTACGACCTGCCCGCCATCATAGACTCCGTTCTGAACCACACCGCAGCGGGGAGCGTCACGGCGATTGGCCACTCGCAGGGCAACACCATATTCTACGTGCTGGCTGCCACGAGGCCGGAATACAACGAAAAGGTGAACCTTATGATAGCTCTGTCGCCGATATGTTTTCTACAGAACGTCCCACCGCCGTTAAAAACGATAATAGAACTATCGCCATCGCTGAACGAGCTTGCAGAGTTTCTGAATCTGCGAGAAATGCTCGGCGAGAACTCCGCATTGACCGCGAAATGGCGGACGCTTTGTCCGAAACCGTTAATAGGTTACAAGATCTGCATACAAGCCATTCTATTCCTACTGACGGGTGACGACGAAGATGAATTGGAACCGGATTTCGTGCCTACTGTAGTCGGACATTTTCCCACTGGCACTTCGGAGAAGAACCTTTACCACTTCGGCCAAGTTGCTTCGGGGAGGAAATTCGCCCGATACGACTACGGCGCGAAGGTGAATTTTGCGATATACAATAGAAGTACACCGCCGGAGTACGATTTGAGCGCGGTCCGGTTCAAAGTTGCCTTGCTGGTCGGTGCCAACGACAAATTATCGACACCCGATGACGTGGCGATACTCAGGCAGAAACTGCCCAACGTCGTGTACTATCTACTCATTCCAAGGAGAAAGATGAACCACCCTGACTTTATTTGGGGCCGGCATATTGAAGACTATTTACTACCATATTTATTCGACTTGATATAATCAATACATGTATCTCAGGCGACGTTTTCAAATTATTTTAGTTTCGAACATAGATTCGAGTATGGTTCCATCATAGATAAAATAAGTAAAAATTGCGAATAACGATTGCCCAAATATGTCCCGAATTTGATTTGTTTGAGTTTATTTACAAATTTTATTGATTTGTTATTTTATCCAGTTGCATTCAGATATTATATGTGAGGTCATATTAGATTTCACATGTTTCAAATCTTTTTCAAAACGTAAAGTGAGGTCTTTATATACTCAATCGTTCAAATAATTTATGATTTTTTTAACAGATAAAAAATCAATAAATAAATATATTCAAAAGCATTACAACAAACAATATGTACTTATAGACATCTCGCTTATATCCTTTACTTGGTAAAAATTATACTTATTTGAACAAAACTTGTCTTTTTTAAACAATTTTTTTCGCATGTCATAAGACCACTGGTCATCGTTATTATCGACTTTGATTGCCCAATGCGGAAGGTATGTCATTATGGTAACTATTACTGGGAAATCTAATTGATACAATACAAAAGGCTGAGCAACTTTGATTGGTTACTATCCTGGTATATTCAAAACAATAATACATCTGAGCAACGCAAACCTTAATAAATCTGATACATAGAAAAAACACTTTCCCATCTAGAACAACAGCATAAAGTAAGCTCGTTTGGCAAAACGAGTGAGAAAGCTTCACAGAAGCTTGTCAAATTATGCTATGGCATATATGTGATTTCCGATAATGATTGAAGTATTTCTGTTGCCACTATAACAACAATTATTAACAAAAAAAAAAAAAACAGAGTAAAAAATATTTAAGTGGGGCTCGCATACAACCGACATGATTTTTTTGCCATTTTTATAGGTAATGGAACGGGACCTTTCTTATGCGAATCCAAAAGTTGCAATCTCAATTATAAGCGCAATTGTATTCCCCAGTGGGCCACGGTCCTTTGTAGTCCTGATTAATGAATGTGGATCAAATATTCAATTCGTTTATAATCGAATTAAACATAGGTAAATATATATAATCGTATTTATAACCACGTTCAAAAGATCCAGTTTCGTGCAGAACTTATTAGAATCGCTGCTTCACGCCAAAGTTTATGTTTGCAAAACAGCTATTTGCGTATCCGTGCTATCTAAATTGTTGTACTCTTTTCTTAATGGCGACGAAGCGTTTTAACATTATACATCATCGATATGAAGTCACCAACGTCCATTGTGCTTGCGATTGAGTGACCTGCATTTTTCTATGGTACTTGACCGAAATGTAAAAACGATAAAAGTTAAAATAAAATCAGTTGCAAAGGACAAATCGTCTCAAATTAGTTGTCGCTAAACTGGCGTGCGACATACGAGTGGCCATAGTGTTAGAAGTGGCCACATTGCAAACAAATCTTCATTTGATCATCATATTAATGGACACAAAAGCTATCCTTCTTTCAATATGCGTCGTTTTCGCGGGACACGTTTACGCTACTGATATACCGGAAAGGGGGGGATTGAATTTCATTAAGTTGGCGGCCGATTACGGGTACGTTGCCGAGCAATACGAGATCGTCACCGAAGACGGGTATAAACTCCAACTGTTCCACATTCCCGGTAAGGGTAAGACACCAGTGTTGCTGATGCACGGAATATTTGATTCTTCCGACACGTGGATCGCTAGAGGGAACGCGTCTCTGGCTATCGCCCTCGCCGATAGGGGCTACGACGTGTGGGCGGGCAATTGCAGGGGAAATAGATACGGCCGCGGCCACGTTAGCCTCAACCCGGACCTTGACGCAGAATTCTGGGCTTTCACCTTCCACGAAATCGGATACTACGACCTGCCCGCCATCATAGACACCGTTCTAAACCACACCGCCGCCGATAAAGTGGACGCCGTTGGACACTCGCAGGGCAACACAGTATTCTACGTGCTGGCCTCCGCTAGACCAGAGTACAATGGCAAAGTGAATCTCCTGATAGCGCTGGCACCGGTGTGCTTCTTGAACAATGTTCCGCCGCCGTTGAGCACGGTCATTGATAGATCGCCGATGCTCTACGAAATCGCAAAACATCTCAACCTGCAAGAACTGTTCCAAGAGAACTCTGTATTTATTGTCACGTGGCGAAAGCTCTGCCCCATCCCGATCATAGGTTACACGGCGTGCATACTAGGCAACGTGTTTCCGATCATAGGATATGACGACGAAGAGATGGAGGTAGATTTCATCCGAACGCTGGTCGAGTATTTCCCGAGCGGCTCTTCCACAAAGAACTTGTACCATTTCGCTCAAGTAGCAATGAGGGGACAGTTCGCGCGTTTCGACTACGGCACAGAGGCGAATTTGGTCGTCTATAATAGCAGTGCGCCGCTGGAATATGAATTGAGTGCGGTCAGCTTCAAGGTCGCCTTGTTCGTCGGTGCCAATGATGGATTGTCGACCCTCGATGACGTAGCGATATTGAGGCAAAGGCTGCCCAACGTCGTACAATATCTTCTCATTCCCAGGAAAAAGATGAACCACGCCGACTTCCTCTTGGGGCGGAACATGGGGAAGTATCTGTTCCCGTATATAATAGACGCGTTAGAAAAAAATGAAGGAATACTCTAAATACAGCGAGAGTGGTAAATTGATTTTTGAATGGAAAATAACTAAAGACAACAGTGTTTTTACCTTTAAAATAACTATCTCTTATAATGAACATGAAATCATCAAACAAGGCGTGTCACAGGGAACTTCACAGTATACTTTCCCCGTACTATTTTGTATTAATAAATGACTAGATTGCTCACCGCATTTGCGCGAGAAAATAAATTTACGTGACGATACACATTTTTCGAATTTCAAGGTAAAGTACAAATAAAGAGTTTTCAGTTATCACAGTGTCCGAGAATTTTTAAATTGCCACTTACACCACGTTTTGTTGGGGCTACCGCTTAAGCATAAGCATACTTCGACGTCGGAATAGATTTGTTAAAATTTAATCGAAAAGTATACACTATTAGGATTGTTTTAGAAGTGCTTAAGAAGCAGTTTTGAAATTGTTTGTAACATTGATGATCTCTAGATCAAATCTTACAATGTGTTTGGTTAAAAATTTTAATCCTTTACGCAAAATACTATCGATTTTTTTATAGTAATGAAAATAAATGCCAAAAAAAAACTTGAAGCAGACGATTGCCAGTAAGTTCAACAGCTAAAGCTCTCGGGACACAAAAACAATACAGTATATTTTATTTAAAGGAGTTGCAGGCATATAACTGCCAATAAAATCCCTCTCTGACCTTCATCATCACTACTAGAATTACTAATGTTCAGACTGATTCGCGATATTTACCACAAAAACATTTCTTACAACGTTTTTTTTGCAAAGGTGATGATGTTTAACAAATATTATTCAAAACTTTTATTAACATACCTTAGAAGTAAAGGTTTATAGGAAAACGAGTAGTTGCAATTTTTCGTACTGCATTATATGCCAGATAATCGAAATAATATCACTTGAAAAGCTTGTGAGAGTTCAAAAATACTTTGAGCAATTCAAAGGCCATTTAACAGCTCATTAGTTAATTTAAAAATTAATCACACTTTTAGAAAGTAATCGCTTTCTTAATTAGTTACTGACAGTTTCGAGTGAGTTATAGTGAAATTCACTGGATTATCAAAAATCAGATATCATAATTATGATTTTTATTCATATAGTTGTCCGCTTCCATTAGGTTAGATATATGTGTGCCAAATTTAAAAGGCAATGCATCTCTTACTTCATAACAATAATTACATAGTACTTACATTCTTTAACATTAGCTATTACTAAAAAATGTAATGATTTATTATAATTATTGATTACCCCTAAGGGCCATTAGTCAGCCACCAATTAGTTCTAATAAGGCATTTAAAGTAATAAATAATTAAATTTAACAATCTTAATTATAATTTGGAACATATTACTGCAAAGACGACTTTGAGCAATAGGTCCACAATACGAAACATTCCGTGTCGCGATGTTTCTTAGACCAGTCGGCGTGGTTCTCCTGTGCCTGATGTTGTGTATCCCAGAAAAACGGGGAGCTGGTGTCTCTGACGAGCTGGATATTCGGCAGCTGGCTCGCAAACACGGGTACCGGCTAACCGGGTACAAGGTGACCACCGAAGACGGGTACCAGTTGGGCCTGTTCCGGATAAAAGGGCGCGCGGAACCGAAGCCTGTACTGCTCGTCCACGGAATCCTCAACTCTGCCGACACGTGGCTGCTGCGCGGTAACAATTCGCTGGCGTTGGCACTGGCGGAGCGCGGGAGTGACGTGTGGATGCCCACGTGCCGGGGCGGCCCACACTCCAGGTCCCACGCCCACCTCCAAACCCACTCGGCCCACTACTGGGACTTCTCGTTCCACGAGCTCGGCGTCTACGACCTCCGTGCAGTGATCGACGCGGTGCTATCTTGGACGGGCGCGGCCAAACTGGACGCAGTGGCGCACTCCCAGGGGAACACCGTCTTCTACGCGCTGCTCAGCACCAGGCCGGAGTACAACGCCAAGGTGGACCTGCTGGTGGGTCTGGCGCCGGTGGCGTTCCTCGGCAACGTGAGGCCGCCGCTCAGCACGCTGATCCGGTACGGGACGGTGCTCAACGAGCTTCTGCAGAAGGTGGGCGTCGAACAGATGTTCGGGGAGGGGTCGTGGCCCAACGCCCTGATAAGAGCCGTCTGCTCCAGACCCAGGGTCGGCCATCTATGCGTCTCCAAGTATCTGTTCCCAGCGACCGGGGCGGACATCGAGGAGCTGGAGCCGGAGTTCTTGGCGACCCTCGTCGACCACTTCCCCACTAGCACGTCGCGGAAGAACCTGCACCACTTCAGCCAAGTGGGCCGGAGGGGAGAGCTGGCCAGGTACGACTACGGCGCTCGGGGGAATCTGGACAGATATGGTTCCTCGACACCGCCGGCGTACAACTTGAGCCTGGTCAGCGCGAAGGTGGCGCTGCTGGTGGGTGCGAACGACAACATAGCGACGGTGGCGGACGTGGCGCTTCTGGGCGGACGGCTGCCCAATGTGGTGCAACATCTGGTGCTGCCACGCGCCCGCACCAACCACATAGACCTCGTGTGGGGCCGCAACATGCGCCGGTATCTGTTCCCCTACATATTCCAGCTGTTGGACCGTTACGCATACGACGACCGGCGAACTTGATCCAATATTCCAACTGTTAGAACGCCAACGATACGGCGCCGAACGGTCTTGATCGGAAACGGTGTTGTTAAATGAAACTATTTTAACAGCTTACACCGCCTTTCATTGAAATACCCTATATATTCGAACGCTTTGCAGAATTTATGCTTACGAGGTGACTGAGGTGTTTGAGATCCTTTACTCCGTAAACTATTGGCGGTTATACATGGTCTCCCATTCTTCGCAAGTGCTAACTGTATCGTCTGGCCGTGATGGTTCTAGCGAAACTAATACACACTAAGTTGCATAGTATAGCAATTATCGAAAACTCAATTCAGTAACGCGTGTGTTTCAGCCGTTTAAAGACTTTCGCAAAATAAGTTTTAAAAATTTAATTAACTTCAAAAATATTAAACTTATTGATATAATACAGAATATACAAAGAGGTCTTTGTTAATTACAAATATCTGCATCTAAACAATTGAAGGAGAAGAAGAAACCTATTTTATATTGTTAGCTTTACTTTGTTTTATCGAGCTAAGAAGGTAGAAATATAAATAATTTTACCAAATCACCGTAGTTTTACTTTGCACAACAATAACACTGGTGTAATTACTTATTTTATCACTTTTATATTACTAATGAAACACTACTTCTTGATGACAGCCAGAGAAAGACCAAGACCACGAAATGCTTCTTGCAGCTTCATTTATACCCCACAGAATGACACTTCTTTTAGTATTGCCAACAACCTCAAGGAATGACTTCCTTTAGTGTTGCCAACAATATTAAGTTTTTATTTTTGTTTATTCAATTTTTAGTGATAAAGTATATTCATCAAAGAAAGTATTTATGCCTATATTTTTTAACAACATAATATTGCACGTTAGTTCGGAATATGATTGCCCCCGTCAAAACAGAATGTATGTTGGCGTGCACCTCAATTTCTTTTCTATATCTGATAATTTTCTATTAAACGATTTTACAATTTACCTAAGGTAGATAACTACTTTATTCCAAGATACTTGCTAAGTCACAAGGTCGCGACGGTATACCACGGTAAATATTCATTCATCTGTACGGAAATCTGGAACGGAGAGCAGAGACGAGAGCGGCGCTAATAGCCTTAGAGAGCTGGCCAGGGGGTACCGACCTGCCGCGATCCAGACGCCGAAGCGCAGCCACGTCATGTAGTCCAGGTTCAGCATCAGGTACACGTTGATGAGGATGCTCAGGCCGGGCAGCCACGGCACCAGGGGCACCTGCCCGGGGACAATTGTACATCTAAAGATCTTTTTCTAAGAGAAGACATAAATAACAAGTGGAATATGATTTTAAATTTGTTATAGTGCTAATCTCTGCACTTAAGATTGTACACAAAAAATCGTAGAAAAAGTACGAAAAGATTGTTGCCGCTGTGAGAATCGAACCCACGTCTTCGGCATTCGCGGCCTGACGCTCTAGCCACTGAGCTAAACGGCTGATTGCCACACCGACGACATTCTTTTCGTAGTTTTTCAACAAATTTAAATGTACAATTTTATGTGCAGGGATTAGCACTATAAAAAAATTAAAATTTCTAAAAAAAAAGCAATGGCGACATCTCTCGTTCGAATGATCGTTGTAAAAAGATATTCGAAATTGTTTGTATGCTGGTAGGGATATAACAATGGATGCGCCAGGCATTGCTTCAAATGCTACGAAACAATGTAGATAAAAGACGGTTCCACATTGCTCTATCGCATTTCAAGTAACGCTTGGCGCGTACTGCCAAGTGCTTCGCACGCTGGATCTCGCGGGGAGGAGAAGCAAAAAGAGAAGAGACCGACCGAGAAGGCGAGCTTCTTCTCGGAGACGGGCTGCCGCGAGAGCGCCCAGAGCGTGGCCAGCACCAGCGCGGCGCCGGAGCAGCAGATGGCCACGGCGAGAGGCTCTCCGGCCAGGATGGCGTCGCCGTGCTGGTTCACGCTCACCATCAGCACGAAGCACCAAACGCCTTGGCGGAACACGATAAATAAATATGTAGTGTTCGGGTGTCGATTTCATAAAAGTACCATATTTGTAACTGGATTAAAGAAAAAAACTCTTTAATAATCACTGCCTACGTACATACCTCCTCACTCCTTTCTCCCTCTTTCATTCCCTCTCGCTCCACTCATACTTTCACTAACGTTCCGTCCCTTGTTACAAATGCCACAAATAAACGAATAATTGGGACACATTTTAACACAACGTTCTCTAGTCCAAAACCAAGCAACGCGTGTACTACGGGTATTAGAAAACTGATAGACACACTTTTATTACATAAATAAACAGATATTTGTATGATATATAAATACCCAGACATAAAAAAACACTATGTTCATCACACAATATTTTCCCACTGTGAGGATCAAACCCACCTTCTGGCGCAAGAGACATGTTCACACCCCACTACGCCAATGACAAAGAAAGAGTGGCGATGACTGCGTGCCGCAGTTGCCAAGCTATCGGCCGGGGGTCATAGGTTCGTTTCCCACGCGAGACAACTATTTGTGTGACACACAGATGTTTGTTTCGGATGTAGATGTTCGTCCACGTGAAATGTATCCGTGTAAAATGTCCTTACACAGAATAATATCCTACAGTAAAGAACAAGTTTTCGAAGGGAAGACTACGGTTAGATCTCGTAGGTTGTTGGGATTTGTAAGCCAACCTCTTCCATTCTAAATAAAACCCCACCAGTGAAGTCGTTAACTATGGTAAGGGCACGCAACAATCTCCGCTGTTGCACGAATGGGCAGGTCCGTCCGGGGAAGTGGCACGACCTAACAGAAGACCGGCGCGAAGTGCGTTTCTTCTGGTGAGTGAAGTAGCCGGCATCCACTTCAATAATGGTGGCAGGTGGCACGCAACACAGCGTCCATGGCGTTGCAAAGATCCATGGGCGGGGGAAATCACTAAACACAGGTGAACCGTCAGCTCCCTAAAAACTTCTCACATAAAAGAAACGTTATAATTGTGCGTTTCGTCCGGTAAGCGGGATAGCCCGGGCTCACCGTAGAGCGCTACGAGAATGGCTACGAGCGCGGCGCTGAGGCGCGTGGGCGTGGCGTGCGCGTCCGCGTTGCGTAGCTGCCGTAGCGCGGCGCGCGTAGACCAGCGCAGCGGCTCGGCCCCGCGCGTCGACGCCCCGCCCATCTCGTACCTGCAAGCGACAAAGCCCTTCTCAATTCTGAGGCTCTACTCGCGTACCGTCTAGTGCAGAATTGCTCAATGAATCTAGTTAGGATGTAAAATATTTAAAACTGTGAATATTAGTGAGTGCTCAGAGGTGAAGGGTGCATCATAAGGAAACCTGCATATTTTCGAAATAATAACAAAAAAATATTTCGAACATATGTGAATTTCACTAATACATAATGGGGTCTCGTTGTAAACCTAAACGTTGTAACCTAAAGCTTTATTTTAAAAAAGCTGTCATAGTCTGGAACTAGACTTTTACGACCAGGGTTGTAAATAAAAAACATTTTGAAGACTTACGCCGGTGAGTTTTACACTGAAGCACACAGATGGGGCAGTAATTACACTTATAAAACACCAATTATCACATGTAAAATATATTGGGGACGCAAGATAACAAAAACTCTATCTTAAAAAAATTAAACTTTCACTAATATGAAATTTTAAAATTTGATGGCATTGTATTATATATACATATTATATATATACATATATATTTAATACATCATTCGTATATTTTTTGCACATACCTGAGCAGCAAAACACAAGAGGCAACCATGGAGTAGGCCAGCAACGTCCCAATCGACATCATGTGGATCAGCTGTTCCAGCTCGAAGATCATGGCCAGTGTGCCTGTGTCAGGAATGTGCAATTCAATTATATAACGCGGAGTTCTTAATGTAAAGAGACTTTTAAGTCGGTAATTAGGTCGTTTGGTTAAAATTGATTAAAGACAAGTGTACTCGCACATAATTCTTTGTAGAATTCAATCATTTGATTATATTAAAATTGATCGGTTGACACTTTTGAAAAGATTCGTACATAATATACAGCACAACAACACGAGATATGTGTTCAATGCAGCTTCAATACGTTTACGTAGTGAAAATAAAAGCATCAATCAATGTAAAGTATAGCGAAGTGGCATGTGTTCGAGCAACGGATGGATAGACACAGGTCCGAAGGTGGGCAAGAGCATGTCCGCCTACGACACGGGATTGGTGAGGAGTGGTGATAGATGATCCGTGTGGCCAGGCGCACCGGTGAGGAGTCCGGCCAGCAGGGTGCCGGCGAGCGGCGTCTGGAAGCGCTCGCTCACCGCGCCCAGGAAGCGGAACAGCAGCCCGTCCGACGCCATGGCGTAGATGATGCGCGGCAGCGGGAACACCGCGCCCAGCAGGCTGCGACCGACACGGACATTGTCTATTAACATTATCTGTACCAGTATGCGACTTTACATGGAAAGCGACAGCCGGTTCCGAAAGCTCTTTCTGCAGAGACCGTTGCTCTTTATTAAAAACGTCGCAGTTTCCTGCCGGTTCATCTCTGGATGGATCCCGTTTAGTGAACCGGTCGTGGTTTTTCGACTTTCAAGAGCTTAAAGCGTATATTGAGTAGAGAAGAGAAATTTTGACTTTGAGTTTTGTGTCGAAAAAAAAAAACAGAACCCAGCTCGGCGTCAGATGACTTCGTACAGTTTTTAGTCTAAAAGCGTTTCGCTGCAGCTCGGTAGTCAAATCATCTGGGCGTTATTCCGGAAGACGTGTGTTCGATTCCGGCGGCGGAAGGCTTCTCGTCCGTTTTTCTACAAATTTTAATGTCTCATATTAAGTGCAGAGCTAGTCTCTCACTATAAAAACTTGATATAAAATTTTATCAATCTTCTCAAAGCCTGGTAGCCGGTCGAGCCGACATATTGGCAAAATCCAACGCAACTCCATTTTTCGATCTTGGCTCAATATAGTAATATTTAACAGTACTACTGTTAAATATTACTACTTTTGCAACAGAATGTTCATGAAAAGATAGACAAAGGTTCATTCTCTTTACGTAACATATTTATGTGTATCTCTGACACGTATTACAATTTTCCTATTACAATATTTCTCTGTTGAATAGAAAACAACCAAAGCGAAGAGTTAAGAGAGTTAGAAATTGATTAATAATATAACGTAAGAAAATGTGCCCACACTAGATGGCGCCAAGAATTGCTAAAAATGCAACAGAACGAACATAGACAGATGTCTAGACTTTAGCGCCGTGAGGTCATCGGCCGTTTAGCTTAGTCGTTGAAGCGTTTGGGCGCGAAAGCAGAAGACGCAGGTTCGAATCAACGCCGAAAGTTTTTCTTCATTCATGTACAAAAATATACAATTGACAGTAACAACCTCGTTCGCGACTGTACACACACAGCGTGCAGTGGGAGCGGGACAGAATGCAATTTCGATTGCGGCGCGAACGAGAGCGCAATACTCACCAAAAATTATCAACGAACTCCAGAAAAAAGAGGAGGTTCTCAATTTTTGGTTTTTTTAATGTACTTTACCTCGGAACTTTCGACTGGGTGAAACGATGTTGATGTTATATTAATTTCATTGGTATTGGATCTTCATTGGTATTGGAGATGCGGAAATGCTTAGGGAACTCGGGAAAATCAATTATAAAATGAATACAGAGCGAGATTTCTGAAGTCGTTTTTTTGGGGAGAATGAAAAAAAGAATCGTCAAACACGTTTCACTCAGTCGAAAGTTCAGAGGTAACAAACATAAAAGAATACAGTCGAGTTGAGAACCCCCTTCTTTTTTGAAGTCGGTTAAAAATGTCCACCTGGAGCAGAGGGCGCAGATGGCGCCGACGCTGACCGCGTACTTGGCCCAGGACCAGCCCAGCTGGTCGTACACGAACGGGAACGGCGCCTTCTCGTCCTGCAATTTTCACACATTTTTATTTTATTGTATTGAAACATTTCATTTTAACGTTTTATTGCGCCCATGACCACATAACGGAAACGCAAAGTTCCGTTACGGCGACATTTAAAGATACTACTATTATCGCATACTTGTCAAGAATAACAATGTTTAATAATAAATACAGGCGTAAATTGCAACATGCAAAAAAATCAGGTACGATTATTTTGTATATTTTAAAATGAAAATAATATGGTTAATATTTTTTATGGCTTTTGCTTTAAAACTATATAGGTACTGTGATAAATTTCGATGAAGATGTATATATGTATTACATTGTATGCAAGTTATTAGAAGTATTTATTATTATTTGTAATCTGAGAAAGTGGCAACATTTGCAAAACCTAGAGTTGAAAATGCGTCGCCACCTTTAAATAAAGTTGGCCCCGGCTACTTCGCTCACCAGACGAAACGCTTCTACTTTACGCCCGTCTTTTGTGAGGTTGTGGTACTAGGTGGACGGAACTGCCCATTGGTGCAACAGTGAACATTGTTGCGTGTCACACAACCAGCCACTTTCATTTCACGAATAAACCAGTCGTTTGTATCTTCAATACGAATTAGACCAATTCCACGATTAAACAGGCTAGAATTAGGGAATAATAACTCTTTAGCTTTCTTAGATGTTTTGGTCATCCGCAAGCCAAATAACACCATAAGTCACACTGTGTATAGGAAGGCAACCCATACAAATAGATACCTAAACGGTGACTCTCACCACCATCCATCCCAGTTAGCTACCGTGGGTAAATCTTTGTTTCAGAGAGCACAAGGGATCTGTGGCAAACAACACCTGGCCGCTGAGCTTCAACATGTCAAGCAAGTTCTGCATGACAACAAACTTCGAGCACCGCGCCTACGTCACAGTGACCGAGTGAAACCAGCCACAGTGGAGCGAGTACCTGCTGTTCTACCATATGTCAGAGGAGTCACCGACAAGATTGGCTATATCTTAAAGCAGGCTTCAATTAATACATTCTACAAGCCGCTGAAGAATATTAATCAGTTTTTATCGTCTGTCAAGTGTAATATCCCTCCGCAAGATCCAGGAGTGTACAAACTTGACTGTGAATGTGGGCTCTCTTACATAGGACAAACGAGCAATAAAAACCCGCGTGAAAGAACATATAGCTGACATAAAACACAATAGATTAAACAAGTATGCAGTTTGTGAGCACACTCTAAATCACCGATTCCTCCCAAGGATGATTCGCGAGGGTATTGAAATTAAAAAACACCCTAATTTCAATAGAGAAGAGGGTTGGGTACTACCATCAGCTTGGGATCCTGTCATCAATAAAATTAAATCTAAGCCCAAACGAACCACTACTGCAAGACAAGATACAATTAGCTCCCTCTGCATAGATCCGACACAAAATTAATAATTCAAAAACTGACGGTAGCCCGGGTTAACTTTGACAATCAGACGTCTAACACCTCAGTCTGTCCCGTGACCATGAACGCTGTAAAGGGTCCGAAACGTCGGGAATTAAAATTAAAAATAAACGCGATAAATCCGTAAAAATTAGTTTAATTTATAAACAGGCTATTTAAAAATCGTATTTATGATGTCCCTTTCAAACAATGTATTCGTTTTTTGAGGGAACGAATTACAATATTCCTGCAACTTACGCTATATCCGTTAATCCGTTATGTTTACCTGTTACCTTTGTGGCATGGAGCGCTCACAAACATTAGTATACACAATATTACTGCGATACAAGACTTATGTAGCCACGACTGGGCAAGCCATTGGAAAAGCGACCTTATTCGCACGTGATAAGGCTGCATAAGCTTTCTGTCACCGAGGCAACGCCCGCCATTCGAAAAGCGACCTTATTCCCAGGCACCAAGGCTGCCGTCGCGTCGGCGACGCGTGCCATTCAAAAAGCGCCCTTACCTGCATGTAGTAGGGCAGCATGAGCGTGAGCACGGAGGAGACGCCGCAGTAGGCCAGGAACACGACGAGCAGCGAGGCCACCACCGCGAAGGGGATGCTCTTCTGCGGCCTGCGCGCCTCCTCGCCCGCCGTCGCCACGCAGTCGAACCCTGCCAATGCCCCACCTCCGTTTATACCACCCACGCAAAACATCCTGTTTTCTCCACCACTCCTTAATACCACCCACGCGGAACATCCTGCTTTCCCCAACGCTCTTTAATACCACCCACGTTACAATATCCTGCTCTCCCCACCAATGTTCATTACCACCCCTCTTCGTAGAAAGTGGCAAAAGAGCTGGCGGTTAAGTGATCACCAACACCCATAGGATTGCAAATGCGTTGCCACCTTTTAACAAAGTGGGCCCCGGCCACCTCACCGAGCAGACGAAACGCAGAAGAAACCCAATAACACATCGACTTTACGCCGATCTTCTGTGAGGTCGTGGTGCTTACCCGGACGGACCTGCCCATTCGTGAAACAGTGTAGACTGTTGCGTGACTACTACTCTATTTTCATCCCATATAGCTCCCGACTGTTCGTAACGCCCCCTCCGACTTTTCTTGTCATGTAGGGCAAGAACGGGTCATTTCGGAGTAGCACCCCCAGCTGAAACCCCCACCATGTTCCACCCACGGTGCATACCGGCAGGGCCACTGCGACACTAGTACTGGCAGTACCCTCCGCAGCCGCTCCACGGGGAGCAATTCCTATCTTCTCCTACTCCATATACGAGCAACTGACTTATATTACTAACCCCTCCCCCCCCCACCCCCGCGCGACCCCCAGACGCTACAGTTCTATCCTTTCAAAGTCAATGTTATTTCAGATTTCAGCTGCCAAACACTATTTACTAGTTCTACCAGGGCTATCACACAATTTGTCACAATCACAGATCCACACAATTTGTTATCGCTTCTTGTGCTGCTCTTATCCGCACGAAGGCAAAATATCAAGCACAAGAAAACTTCAATTAACATTTTCCTGCTTCAACCTGATACGAATACAACGTCATAGCCAGGACTATGACATTAGACTCACTATTGGCCATCATTTTAAACATACTCGTACACCCTATAAAAAAGCGGGTTAACGGATTTTATGTGATTTACCGGTGAAAATATATTCTTTAAAGCCAATTCTTATTAGTTCGACTGTTGACAGCAGACTAAACAAACTAGTACAACTAGACAACTAGCCCCTAACAGCACACGATGGCGATGGGGTCCTCTTAGAAGGACGCACTCACCAATGAAGCCGTAGAAGCAGACGGCGGCGCCCTTGATGATGCCCGCCAGCCCGTAGGGGGCGAAGCCGCCGCTGCCGAAGTCCTTCTTCTGAGACTTCGGCACCTCCGAGGCGGGGATGCGCCAGTTCTTCGTGTCGGCTGCCAGAGCAATCTCTCAACTTATACTTCTTTAGGCGCCTTATGACCTTTGAAGCTACACCGCTTATTACAGGCAGCATATTCTCGATCACATTCGCCCGTTACGGTTCTCAGTAAAGAATGTAGATGGCGCTTTCACAATTTTATTATTTTTTATGTGAGAACGTGGCAAGCGAGGTGGCGGTTCACCTTATGTTAAGTGACCGCTGCCCATGGACATTTGCAACACCCGTGGGGTTTGCTGATGCGTTGCCACCTTTTAGTAAAGCTGACTTCGGCTACCTCACTCGCCAAACGAAGCGCAGAAGTGTAACACTTCCACTTGACGCCGGTCTTCTGTGAGGTCGTGGTACTTCCCCGGGCGGGCCAGCCGATGTGTGCAACACCATGAGCTGTTGCGTGTCCCCACCACAGTAAAATTGAAAGCGAGCAGGCGGTTCGTCTGATGCCACGTGGTTACCGCCACCCATAGACATCTACGGCACCTGAAGGGTTGCGGAGGCTTTGCCAACCTTTTGAAAATATTGCCCCGGTCAAACCGCCCGCCAGAAGAGATGCGAGATACTCTTCCATTTAACGAGCCTGCCCACTCGGGCAACAATAAAAATATATGACTTTACGTGGTGCAAAGATTAGTCGCGTTTGGAACCAAACCAATTGATTAAATTAATTTTTATATTTTATTTATTATATATTATTGTACTTATAGTATTATACGTTTTATGATTTTGTTCACTTCTATTTTTTTCTTCTTTATATATTTGGAGCTTAGAGTGTAAGTATATCTAGTTTTACACACCTACCTGTAAGAATATCATTATTTGTTTCTCATCAAATTTATGTCAGGGTTTGCTGGAAGAAAACTCCTTTTAGGGTTGAGCTCGCCTTCGTGCATTTTTTTTGTAACTTTATTTCCACTTATACACTGTGTACGGTAAAGAATAAAGAAGAATAAAGAACTGTTTCCTGACCTTTGAAGGACCCGGATATTATGACGAAGAGGACCACGCACAGGTTGACTCCAGTGCACAGGTTGTTGAACTTGGTGGACTCCTTCACTCCGAGGGCCAGAGCCACTGAAACGATTAATGACACAGTTGACGTCAGCATTTAGTTACCAAAACATACGACTTGACATCAATTAACTGCCAATTGCGCCAACGTATTGGCCAATTGCCTAAAAATCACTGACCGATTCGTGACCAATGCGGATTGCTCTTTTAGAGTTCAAATCCTTCATTTGGCACGCTTATCGGTTGGGTCCCAATGGAATCCAAATTTGAGAAAGCGTCCCCGATGCAAAAACGTGGAACAAAAATCACTGACCATTTATGACCGATTCGTGGCCAATGCGGATTGCTCTTTTAGAGTTCAAATCCTTCATTTGGCACGCTTATCGGTTGGGTCCCAATGGAATCCAAATTTGAGTAAGCGTCCCCGATGCAAAAACGTGGAACAAAAATCACTGACCATTTATGACCGATTCGTGACCAATTCGGATTACTCTGTTAGAGTTCAAATTCATCCTTTATTATACGGGTCCCAATGTGAGCCAAATTTGAGAAAGCGCCCTCGGTGCAAAAGCGTATAACTCACCGGAGAAGACCATGATGACCGCGAAGGCGAACAGGTCCGGGTACCTGGCCAAGTGGGGGGTGTTGAGGGGCATCGCGGCCTCCAGGCTGGTGGACATCGCCTTGTCGAGCAGCGAGTCTAGATACTCACTTAGCGCCTTCACCACCGACGCGGCCCCTGCACCAACACACACACGACTTGATTTTAATATAATGGACGGGAAAAACGGGAAAAACCGAGGTAGGCCCACGCAGTTTACGCTATAGCACGAATGGGCGGGTCCGCCCGGGTGAACAAATGGATGCGGTTGCAGATGTTTTTTTTTTCTTCATAACCGGCCAGCACTTGACTGCCTTCCTACCTGATGGTACGTGGCGATGCAGCCGGTGATGGTAAGCGCGCTAGCTCGGTAAAAACCTATTCACTCTTGCCTTGAAGACGCCTGCGTTGTAATCGGACGAAAAGACGGCAGGTTGGTCCATTCCTTAGCTGTACGGATAAATGACGAAGCGAATCGCTTTGTTCTTGTGTGTGGAACGTGGACAGAATAAGGGTGGAGCCCCGCCAAACGCCTAGTTGTCCGATGACGGAAAGGGAAATGTTCATGAGCGTTCACTTAACATCTGGTGAACCAATCGCTTGCCTTGTTCTCACATAAACAAGATTCACAAAAGCGTTCGATCACTGGGCTCTGCACAGGACAAAGTCAGGCTCAATCGCATTAAAGTAAACACGTCACGAAAGGGTTATGTTACTTTGCGTCCCGCATCACAGCTGAGTCTTAACATAGTAAATTATTTAATACAAATTGTAAATTGTAATTTTTTTGTAGATAACTGAATAACAACTTTCAGATTCGATCCAAAGTCTTCTGCCGACGAACTCACGACGCGACATATTTACATCTATCTACGTTCGTTCGTTATATCATTTACAGTATATAAAACGTTAAAAATAACATTCAACAATGACACAAATATTCATGACGAGAGATATCGCCATTGCTTTAAAATTTTTTACAGAACAATTTTTACTTTTAGCTCTAATCTCTGCTAATGTCTCAAGATGAAACCTTAAATTGTATTTTTTTGAGACAAATGAACAAAACACATACCTATTATGTACTCGAGTATAAGGTTCCATCCGATGATGAACGCTATGAACTCGCCGACGCACACGTAACTGTAGACGTAAGCCGAGCCCGCCTTGGGAACGCGGGCCCCGAACTCCGCGTAGCAGAGGCCTGTAGGGTTGGGTATTCATTCGATGATTCATTCCTCTTCCCAATATTATATTTATTCGTTTCTTTATTGAACGCCAACATAGTGTACGCTGTTTAAGATTCTATTTAAGACATGGGAAATTTAATATACGTCAACTTTTCGCAATTAACGCTGACAGCGTGCAATATAATGGGCGAAAAAAATACAGTTACAAAAAGTTTTTTGTTACAAAGTCCAAAATTACAACAAGCCAATAAATAATATAAAAATATTGAAAAAGGAAATAACAAAAAAACAGTGCAATTTTAGTTATGATTCCTACATGGACTTATAATACTATTTAAGTTTCTACAAGTAAGCGGGGAGAATAGAACATTAGTTTGACAATAAGCAATATAAAGCTTTAACAATTTACTTAAGTCTACTCGATACGATTTCAGTATTCTATCTATCTGTAGATCTGGTTACTAGCGATAGGTACTTGACATTAGAATCATAATACTAACGTCAAAATTCTGTCTCCAGTAACCAAAGCTACAGATAGAATATTGTGTTACCTCAATAGGCAATGATAGTCTCCCCATAACAAGTTATTTAACAATAGTTTATTTAGTGCTGTCTCAATAAACACACTGCAAATATCTGGCAACGATATTTTCAGAGTTTGTCTGTTTATTGAGATTGCCTTCGCGGTAACTTCGTAGTCTAATTTCTCTACTTATCGTATACAAGTAAATAACTCTTTAAACAAACAAAGTAGTACACAACATAATATTGATACACAATGAAGTCGATATATCATTGTAGACGGGACTCCAAATTATGGACGAAATATTCTTCCTAATAGACGGGCGAGGCAATTGACGAATGACATATTGGTAGGTCAATATTATATCAATAGAGTGAATCCACACGAATAGGACAATTGAGAACAGACAAATCAAGCAAAAAAAAATGTAAGAATTCATTTTGTTTATTTTTTAAACTGTGCTCGTGTAGATCTATTTACGAGAAATTACGTTTCTGTCCGGTATGTATATAAATATTTATAAACAAACAAATACGCTTACCGAATACAATCGAAAATTTAGATTACAGCAGATAACAAAAACAAGAATCTGTGCGATTGAGCTTTCCTTATTTATCTTAAATCCAACATGTATATGTTCTTTACATTTTATTTATGAGACACCATTTATAAAACCATTATAGTGTTGTATTACCATTTTACTAAGCGATATCAATACCGAAGACTTACCTTTACATGTACATAAAATATGTGACTAAAGGAATAATTTATTTAATTATTCTTTATTTAATTATTCTTTGTTTGTTATCTAGAATTTTTAGTCAAAATAACTGAACAACTTGTATCATAATTTAACCTCGAATACATGTATAATATACTCAACCGAACTAGGCGATAAAAAGTATAAATTACTCTTGTCATCAAAATTTTTATTTTACTATATTTGATGAGGATAATTTCTTGTATTTACAACACATATATAAATAACACATTAATAAATCAAGACTGCGTTTGCGAATCACCGTTCATCTCGGTCATCAAAACGTCGAGAACGGAAATTAAAATACAAATCGCGATAAATCCGTAAAAATTGTAGACACAAGGGCTCAAGGGGGACAGGGTCTGGGCACTCACCAGCGAACACGCTGGCCACGGCGGCCAGTAGGAAGGAGAGTATGACCGCAGGGCCAGCGTAGTTCTTCGCCACGTCGCCTGCCAGCACGTACACCCCCACACCAAGGGTGCTACCCACCCCCAGGGCGGTCAGGTCGAGGGCGGACAGCACCCGAGCGAGCCGGGCTACGCCCTCCTCGGCTGCCTTACGCCTGGAGATGATGCCATAAGCGAGGCGCACCGCTCTCACCGCCCCAGCTTTTATGCCACCTAAGATATTGATATTCAAAGTAAAGTAAAGGCATTTGTGTGTCCCACTTCTGGGCAAATGCCTCCTCTGTACAGAGGCTATTATAGCATAGCGCGATCCCACTGAGGATTGGCGGACTTCATTTATCTTCGAAATACTTTGTTTATTATCATATTTACGATAACATGTTTCCTCAAGAGGTTTTCTTTCTCTACTGAACATGTGATAAGTCAGCACTTAAAATTGCAGTTAACAATTACATTGGTGCGGGATTTGAAGTCAGGTTTCTAGAGTACATGTACCTCTATATATTAATACGTGAAACAAAAACTTTCTACGAAAACTGCGCGGACGGAGGAGTATGAAATTTCCCACACTTATAGTTTGTATAGAGAAGTGCACAATGCTGATTTTTTTTTAATTATGCGAATTAAAAACATTCAATAAATAAAAAAACTCTACACACACTACCATGTATAATTAATTATGGCCGACCATAATTAATTGGGCGACTAGTTCAATAAAAAGCGTGCAACCGGACACAGCTATCCTCTCTTTCCTCGGAATATCATGAATATGTTGAAATAGAGCAACAAATAACCGAGTTGTGTAGTTTATGCTAATTTGAGAATATCATGTAGGGGCGAAGAGATGGGCAAGTAAATAAAGAGAATCACTCATAAACAGAACAATTATTTGTAAAACAAACAAATTCTTGAACGATTAGTAATCGAACCCACAACACTCGGCATCCTTGCCGCTCTAAGACTATTTCAGAACACTCAAAAATAATTGAAAGTTACAGCCCAATAACGACTCTCAATCTACGATAAATATGTTGACAAGTAAAATTATTCTCAATTACAAAAAAAAAATAAATGCGATAGGGTCCTAACAGTTTTATCGTATTTTGTGTATTGTTTGTTCGTTTTAGCTGCCGCCGCATTCTACTCAATTCAAACGACATGGCGTAACGAAACACGAACATAGAAAATTCAAAACAAATTGTACGACATCGAGTTTCAAAATGAGTTTTTTATGTTGATAAAAAAGTGCAATAGCGGAATTATTAGAACGACACTTGAATATTTACTTTTGTGTTTTATTGCGACATTTTTCTCGGAAGCACGGTGACCGATTCTGAGCAACTTGACCGGCTGAAATCATGTTCACACCAATTAACAACTTCATATGGAAGATACACAGTTGCTTGCTCGGTCACCTACCATCTCCCCAACTAATACATTAAAACAAAAATTTTATAAAACTTAAAATATGTAGAAAAAGTGCGAAAAGATTGTCGCCGTTGTGGGAATCGAACCCACGTCTTCGGCATTCGCGGCCTGACGCTCTAGCCACTGAGCTAAACGGCTGATTACCACACCGACGAAAATCTTAACGCATTCTTCTACATTGTTCTACATATTTTAATGTTCAATCTTAAGTGCAAAGATTAGCAATATAAACAATTTAAATTTTTATAAAACTTATTTGCCTAGCTGCAAGTCACAATCCTTGGCAAAAACAAGAAGTGCCTCAGAAGTCCATTAAAACGATTAGGCCACTACATTTTCCCTCAAACCATCATAACGAAAAATCAATCAAAGAAAATTTATCGAACGACACGGATAACAGATTACGGAAGGTGATTAAGGACATAAATTTATCATGAGAAGAAACTGTAAACAGGCAAACGTTTCAACTGATTACAAGCTTAGGACATTTACGACTGGCGCGGTTGCCGGTCACCGACTTTAGAGCCTCGCACCTCACTCACCAGACGGAACCGCATAAATACGCGTTACCGTTTCCACCTATAGAGAGCAGAGAACTTAATCGCAGTCGTACCTATTATCCTACCTAGCAAAGAATTCAAGCGAGACACTCACAAAGCAAGAACCACAGTACCGGCATGTCGACACGGCGCGCACTCTGAATCGACAGTACTGAATCGCGGGCGATCAAACGAGTGTAATGAGAATGACCACGCAATTGATTGGGCCGCGAGACGATGTTGATTTAATGTGGGGCGAATCGTTTTGCGACTGACTCGTGGAGGAGGCAGAATTGAAGCCGAGAACGCTATATTTTTAACGGCTTTAAACGGCGTGGAAAGGCTTCACGAGGGGTAGGCTTGTCGGCACATTGTGAGGCAGTGATTCTAGCGCTTCAGACATAATTAATTTTCGAATATTCCAGGACGTACAATACGAAAGCTAACATTGGTGACCACTGAGATTTGAACCCACAAACTGTGAGATCCAGAGTCAAAATCATCAGCCAAGAGGTAGGTATTTTCTACTCTTTGCTTACAACACTATTACTACTAAATAACTCACAACTTGACCTCGTTATTATTATAGTTGTGTTCGTATTTTGGGTGGAGGGATTGGGTGTAAATTAGTCCCAACAACCACTGATTTAGACCTATTGTAGTCTTCCTTTCCAAAACAGTGCTACTTACTCTAGGATAACAATATCGTGTGTTTTACTTGAATCAATTTCACATACACAAACACCCATAACCAAAGCAATCTGCGGGTATAATAAATAGTTGCTTCGATTGGTAACCGACTGGTAAACAACTGCGCCACAAAGTCATCAAGTTTAACAGTTGCCCATGAGTGTTTTTCCTTCACATCATAAAGTTGCCTTTTTAGATTACTGCTTGTCTTCAGAAATTAACCGATGAAATTATTAAAACATTACAAGACAGATATTGCTTAGTTTAAATAGCTTATAGTAGAGAAAGCATCTTGTCATGTTCCAATATGTGTAATCTTAAATGTGGGTACTTTTTACTTTGTTGTCAAATAAAGTTAAATAAGTGAAGGTAGGAGCAGAAGCGACAAACGATTTACGTATTGTGTTAAGCTACCTAGCTAATTACATTATAGTACATACTTAACGTCTTTTATTATTATTTTGGACATAATACATCTTTAATATAATACTAATAATACATTTCTGATGTATGAAAATTTAACATAAATATAACAACACTATGAACAAAAATAATAATTTAAAAGACAAATAAAATATATGTTAAAACATTAAAATATGCATAATCATTATGGAACGAAAATTTTAAATAAATTTACTCACAAGATAGCCTTGACTCTAATGAAATGTAATGATTTTGTTAAGTCAAAGGTTAAACACAAAAATATAGTTTTTACAATCAAAACTGATTTTACACTAACACAATAGCAAAACTTATGTTACAATTTACACAAAAGTTTTCAAAATACTTTCAAATTGTAAATGTAGCAAAATTAAGTCAAATGTAGAATAAGAAATGTTAAAAATAAGGTTGAAATAATAATTTTGATACATTTGAAATATATGTCATAAGTATAAAAGTGTATGTTTTCTCTCACCCATTACTGTTTTTTTTCTTTTATACAAACTTGTATTTATTTATGAATAACTTTAGGAAAACCATGGTATTAGTAGCCAAGCCATGGTATTAGTAGCCAAGCCATGGTATTAGTAGCCAAGCGGCCAGAATAAAAACTCATGACTTGAGATTGCGATGAATCACCATTACATTAATAAGTTTTAGTTTTACAAAAAGTTATACTGTCTAAACTGAAAGGCATTAATAAATATTTGTATGTGAAATTTTGTTTAGAAATAAAAAATATATTGAATAATATACAAGAAAATTAGATGTTTAAAAAGACACATGCATAAATTAGTTATACTAATAACTAGTAATACCAGCATTAAGTTGTCATAATTCAGAAAGTATCATAGGTTACGTATTCCGGTTGAACGTCTCCAGTTTTAAAGTAAACTTAATATTCTTACCGTCCTTATAAGCTTGTCTCACTGAGTATTCGTGGCCTGAATGATTTCGTGTTGAACCATAGTTTGTAGAGTCATTGTTAGACTCGGGGTAATTCATTTTTGATCACGCTTTGGTATTTAGATAACCTTTACTGCTGTAGGCAGAAACCAAAAAAGAAAAGGAATTAAATGGAAAATTGAATCATTGCATTGAAGAAACACTTTCCGCCAGCTATTTACTTCACGTAATTTAAAAATGCATCACTTATTTTCTCTTATTACAAATGTAATTCTAAATGTATAGTTTTAAATAGAAAGTAAGGGTAAAGAACTGAATCTGATACTGAAATAACTGAACATTTCAGTGGAAAAAAAAATGACACTGACACATACAACTGACAGAAAACGTCAACAAGATCTCCTTAGGGATGTCAAAGCGTCGGCACCGCATAGTTCGATATTTTAAATCGTAACTATGAATACTATACGCCTTGAAACTACCTTTAATGTTATTTTCATTACTGTATTTGTTACATGATATAAAAAAAGAACTATTTTTTATGATTGGGACATTGGCAAAAATAAATTGAAATTTGCCAAAGTCAGATAATTTTGTTACATTATCACATGTTAACTTAAGGTTAATAAACATCGGTAACGATACTAAACAGAATAAATTTCACAAAACAATTTCATTTAACACAAAACAGTTTAAGAAGCTTGCAAATAGTTTTTTTTTTTATAATTATATAAACTTAAAGAAGTTAAGTATCAGTCCAGGTTCTATATACAGCGTGTCGTTACCATCGCGACAAAAAATGAACACACTAACTCTACTTGCCAATAATCATAAAAAAATATTAACGTTAAACAAAATACATAATTAAAAAAAAAATATTTTTCAAACAAACTAATTAAGTAAAAAAGAAACAAAATTTGTAACAACTCCTATACAACTCGCGCCACAGCGTCGCATTACAAGCCTCTCCTTCTAACAGTATGTTTTGTCTCTTTTAAATTCATTCAACCCATTCATATGCTTTGTGACCTTTACAAATGAACTTTACGTTACGCTTTTATAGGTAAAAGGGTGTTCTAAAATTCTTTGTTTTGGAAAATTTTACAACTCTATAAATATTTATGTTTAAAGAATTTAAATGTTTAATATAACTTTAAAAAGTTATCCCCTATATGTGTGTTCATTTATTGTCGCGATGGTAACGACACGCTGTATACTTAACCACAAGGGATTAGGTTACGGTTTCGAATGCAACTTAGAAGCACGTTTTAGTTATAGTGTAATAATTATAATTTCTAAAAAATTGCAAATAGAACAATCGGTATTACTGGACTTCACTATGATCTTAAACGTAAATTAACAAGAATGTTGCGTCAGACAGCAGAACTACAGTATAATGGAATGGGACATGTTAAACCTTATGGGCAGTAATTGAATACAGTAATGTCAGTAACAATAAAAACCAGAGACTTCTCTGGACCACTCGCTAGGTTGACTGCTTTGATTATATACTTATACAAGTATGTAAGTATATAATCAAAAGTTGACTGGTTGAAAACTTAAGTCCGCAAAAGTTTTGGAAGTGAAACTTCATTGCGCCTTGAAGAGAAAATTTCAAGGCGTAACGAAAAAAAATCTTTTATAAATTAGCATATGTTGTAAAATGTTATTGGCCAATTTATCTATAGAGATTTATTTCTGGCTTTTACAGCTATATATATTCTATAGATAAATTTAACTAATTAAATATTATATATATTTAAAATAAAAAACTTTTAGATTGCTTATAATATATGTGATAGATGTAAGAATATACATTTCAACAGCTATATAGAACGATATAAAATTTTATTTGTGAAAAAAAGTTTTGCATAAATATTTATTGATAAATTTATCTTTTCAACGCGTAAGGAATTATGGTCACGCGTTGAAGAGTTATGTTATGATACAATTTATTTTATTTTTCTTTAGAAATTATTCTAATCTCTTAATTTTAAACAAATTATTTACAAAATTAGGATTTAAAATATCTATGTATGCTTGAGTGTATAATTATAAGGATAACATAATATTTGGACGGTTCCAATCCGTTAGTCGTCGTCACCTACAAACCCACACCTCTAGGTATGTTCCGCCGCAATTGGTGTAGACCACGACATGTCCTCGATTTCTCTGACGATGAAAAGACTAGCGGTATCGACAGGATTAAACAGTTACACAGACACACCAAAACTGAGATTACTGAGACACACAAAAAATACTAGGTTTTCCCCCGTTAATGATGGAAGCGTTGCTAAAGTTTCTTCCGTCACCTCTTCTCTCAGCGCCAACGCTTTCCGAAGTGGTAGTAACGATAGCAAGACAAGATAATGACGAGAACGATATATAGAAATCCTCCTAGTCAGACTTCAGCTACCGATCGAGCCGAGGTTCGAGCCTCTCGGGCACTCTCGAACGCTAAACGGGTATTGAGTGACCACCCAAGCCGAGTTCCCTTCTCGGGAACGAGCCTAGTCACTCCATGGAGCATCCGCCAAAGCGACCTAAGAGCTTAGCGGCCCACCAAACCGTAGAATCTAATAATAATAGCGTGACGGCAAGAGCCGAGGCTCCCTGAAGCTCAAGCTTATCTAACCCATAGCCGAGATTCAGGCTAGGCCACCTCAAGTGGCCACCGGTGGATCTGTAAAGGCCTCCCAAGTGGTTGATCCAAGACAAAAAAAAATTGGACGGTAAGAAATACGTTTAAAATCCTAAATTTATTTCAATTCTAACATCTATCATATTTGTTATTAATTTTACTTATACTCACAATATTAGAAATACAACTAACCAATGATATTTCACTTTTAACACGTACTCTACTTTGGCCACACGCATTTTTCTTTCGTGTTTACAGTTTAAACAACTTTCAGATCTTTAGACAGTTTTATATGCATTTTTTATCAGTGACATTCAGAACTAGAGTAGATCTCGAGTTTCGATGCGGAGTTGTTTTTTTTTTTGTTTTTATCCGAGTTTCCTGTTTTCGGAAAAACTACTCATAATAATTACTGGTGCATACCAATAGTGCCAGAAGAAATTTTTCGGGCTCATCGTGTATAAAGTTTCGAATTACATGCGATCGATACAAGAGCAATACTCACCCGAGAAATGCGTTCGATAAAGGTTCAATGATGGCCGTAGCCCTTTGTCTATCTAAGGGGCTGAACCCCAAAACCCCAGGGGGTTGAAAGGGACAATATTAACTAAAAAACCGGCCGTGCGAGTCTGACTCGCCCAAGAAGGGTTCTGTACCTATAAAACGGCATTAAATATTTTTTTTCTGTCTTTTTGTTGTTATATACAGCGTGTCGTTACCATCACGACAATAAATGAACACACGTCTAACGCTACTTGCCAATAATCATAAAAAATATTAACGTTAAAAATTGTAAATACACGCTGTATAGCGGCAACAGAAATACATTATGTGTGAAAATTTCAACTGTCTAACTATCACGGTTCTTGAGATACAGCCTGGTGACAGATGGACAGACAGACAGTGGAGTCGTAGTAATAGGGTCCCGTTTTACCCGACTGCGCCCGAAGGGGGGTTATGTTTTTCTAGAGTATGCATGTATGTATAATTGTTTGGCACGGGGGTGTAGTGAGATTCGTATTTACTCTGAGAGTGACACTGTGTATATCAAACTAAAAAAATTACACAGAAACGCAGTCGGGTTTCTTAGTTTTTTTAATTATATTCTACTTGTATCTTTGGGTACGGAACCCTAAAAACGTAAACATATCGAGATAAGTAATATAACATATAACTGGATTTTATACATACTTAGCAATATCCTTTTATTTACCTCGCACGTCATATTATGCTGACTACACCGTCTACAGTTACCCTGTCTGTCAACTACGTCAAAATTGTCCACCGCGCAATTTCAAAACAAATCTTACGTCGTACTAACCGTACGTAACCGTCAATTTACTGATATACCTACTTACCAAAAAATAACTATAACTGCTATTATTATTTGTGTTAAATAAATTCATATTATCCATTTTATTTATTTATTTTCATATCATGTCTGTAATTATCATTTATTCATTTCCGTTTACCTCAGGAGTAAGAAAAAAATAGTCTATGCAGGTACATTTATAATTACAATATAAAAATTTTTTTCGCTGTCGTTGTATTATAGAATGGAAAAGCATTGTCCAATTATAACCATGAAAAAATTAATATAAATGGCTTTAAATCCAGAATCGAAGTACATAAATGGTCTACTCACCAAGGATGGCCATAAGTAAATTCCATTCCTTGCTCATACCGAATTCTTTCCACTAAAGTTCGTGATTAAATTTGGGTTACGCTTGCACGAGTTCTACTGACATCTGTAGTATCAGTACTGTTACAGATTTTTATTTTTTTATACATAGACGCAGTTGGTGCATTTAACCCAGTTCAGCTATTTTGCTGATCGTAAAAAATTGTCAGACGTCAAGCGTTGTGTTGCAATATCGGAAACCAGACTACGGCTGGTGTTCAACAATAATAAAAACGTATCATGTCAGAACAATTATTATATGTACAAGTAATTATTCACACCACAATATGCATTTGTTCACTATGTCGAGTGGCCGCCAAAAATCGCCACTATAATTATCATCTTATAACCTTATTGTAGTCTACACAAAGTCATCACTTTTACTCGAGCTAAAATTAAGATCAGTCGTACGCACTTAACGTTGAAAATATATACGGGAACAGATACTTGTGCATGTTCCGGCCCCAGACGTGATCTAAATGATTGAGGCGCTTGTATTTGAGCACTTTGTAATCGACAACGTTCGGCAGACGGTCCCTCAGGGTTTCGGCGTCGCGTATGGAGGAGATGGCGTCGTTGCGACTGGCGAAGAGGGCGATCCTCATGCTCACCTTGCCCAAATCGTACGAGGGCGGAACAGATGCGTTGTACACGGCCGCGTTGCCCCTCGGCCCGTAGTCGTACCGGGCGAAGCGCTTTCGCCTCGCCACCTGGCCCACGTGGACGCCGTTCTTCCTCGACGTGCTGCTGGGATAGTGGGCGACTACGACCGGCAAGAACTCCGGCTCGAACTCGGCGGGGTCGCTCCCGCTGATGGCGAATATGAGGCCGTGGCCGCACACGTCGTAGCTCACAGCGCCGGCGCTGCACACCGCCTCGAACACTCTCCTCACCAGTGAACGGTCATTGAACACTTCTTCCATACCGAACAGGCGTAGCACTCGATCGAAGACGGGAAATGAATCCAGCAGCGTAGACACGGGCGGCTTCACGTGCTCCAGGAAGCAGACAGGCGCAAGAGCGATCATGACCTTTATCTTCTCGTTGTACTCCGGACGGGTCGAGCCCAACACGTAGAAGACAGTGTTGCCCTGCGAGTGCCCGATGGCGCGCAGCTGCGGCTGCTTCGTTCGCCCCAGGACGTGGTCGATCGCCGCGGGCAGGTCGTAGTAGCCCATTTCGTGGAAGCTGAAGTCCCAGAAGCGCATGTCGACGTCGGGGTTGAGCCGGCGGTGGGACCTGGAGTACCTGTTGCCCCTAGCGTTGAACGCCCAAACGTCGTAGCCATTGTTGACGAGAGCGATGGCCAGGGAAGCGTTGCCGCGGATCATGAACGTGTCAGCGCTGTCCACCATCCCGTGGACGAGGAGAACCGGCCGCCGCGCGTCGCCGACGACATGGAACAGTTTAAGGACATACTGGTCCTCGGTGACCACGTGGTGCTCTTCCACTCTGTGCCCGTATTTCGCAGCCAACGAGGTGAAGTTCAGCTTCGCGTCTTCGTGTATACCGCGCGAGCAGCGAGCGCAGACCGATATGCAAATCGCGACGATTAACACGTCGAGCCGTTTTATCATCGCGAGACTAGATTCGGTTTTCGCAAAACTCGTGCACTTCCCACGTTATCCGAGTAGTCAATAAGCAACTTGTGTATATGGTAATTCATTTAAAAAGAGCTCGCGATACGCGCCCTTGAATATAAAATAAATAATATCATAGTTCTGCACGGTTCAACACGAGAAGGTTGCGCGTAGGTTCCGTGTGCGGTTAATTTCCATTCTGTACATTCTTTTACAGCCTGTTTGTGTAGGATTTAAATGTTTTCCTTTGATGTTCTACCAATGCTGTAATCTTTTAATAAATTTAATTTCGAGCTTGTTAAATAAAACTGATTTACGGACAGCCGTGATAGCTCAGTGTCCGCGCACTCGATTATTATTAATTCGACATACTCGAGCAACCTGAGTTGAAATCCTGGTGCCAGCGCCTATGGAATTGTTAATTTTAAGTGCTGGCTTATCACGTGCTCAGCGGTGAAGGAAAATATCGCGAGGAAACGAGCGTGTATTCTAAATAATGACAAAACCAATTATTAGATGATGGGTTAATCCTTCAATCCGCAGTGATGTCGCGTCTTTAACCAGCAGTTGAAAAAATATAAACTGTTACTTTACGGACTTATACCGCGATATATTTTGTTTTTAGTTCCTGACGTTTCTAAAGTGTCATTGAAAATTGGAGAGACTGAGGTGTTTTCCGTTCTTATGTTATAGCTAATCCGGGGTACTATCGACTTTTGTAAATTTATTTCACGTGAATCTTACAATATTTTTTACAGTATTGATTTGTTTGGATTTAATATCATGAATTATAGGATCCCCAAACGGATTGGAGTTAAGATGTTAATTTTTATTTTCAATAACATCGCGCCTTTGGAATTTTGGAAACACTTGAGTAGATGTCAGTGTTCTGTTGTATTTTAGTAACGGATGGACCGGTATATCGTGTCATCATAAGCTTCACAATTATTTAAACGGCGTTCATGCTCATAAATAAATAATTAAATCATATTTCAAATAAAAAAAACAAACGTCAAAAACGGTTCATTCTGTGGTAACAAACATAAAAAAACAGTCGAATTGGGAACCTCCTTTTTTAAAATTGGTTGGAGCCGCTTAGATTTATTAGATAATATGTAATTTTAAATATATTGAATGTTGGAAATATTGTTAATATAATCCAATTATAAATTAAATAAAATTAAAAACTAAAATAAAAGTTGTAATACAATTGAAACCAAAAGGTTTAGTTTCCTCTTATATTCCTCACCCGCACTGTCCATCGTTTATATTACTATTGAAACATACAATTTCCAAGCGATAACTCAAGAGTTTCGGGTCCTTCATACATTTTAATGGGAACAAGAACAAAGCTACAGTCATGCGGTCCGAGTGGGCGTCGCTATTTATTTATAGGGTTGCCATAACGTAGAAGCACCTGATAAATTCAACGTGTAACATTGGTAAAGCAACTTAAATGTCTTGAGAAATAATTTCGTCCTGTATTTAACTGTTTTTTTTTTTAATATTCACAACGGGGGATAACACAAACGGATAAAGCAGTCAAGAGCTTAGGGGGCAAACTGGCAAACAAATGTACGGAATTTGACATTAAATGTAAAAAGCAAAATTAAAAATTTTGAAAACCCACGATGGTTAAAAAGTAATTGAAAATAAAATAATATTTTAGTTAGATGTAATGTTGTGAATATTGGGTATAAAATTAATTAAAAATATAACAAATTATTAAGGATAAACAAAAAAAAAATGGAGGAAGGGTACTTAATAAGATGTTTCCATTAATCATCCATTGAGATAAATGTGATTTGTAGTACAGCATTATGAGTTCTGAAACAGTGACGATTCCGAGTATACCGGACGTATGACAAACTTGGAAACAAGGCACGAAATAGATATTTCTATTTTATTCATACCTTGTTATTTTTTACGATTCACAAAAGCAAAAATTCTGTGGCATTGATGTTATAAATGTAGGTTTTCCTGTAATTTGTGTATGAAGGACGATTAATGTGAAATAAAGATCTCCAGATTTTTGATCAGATTAAAATTCGATGGCTTTCCTTTCTAAAACATCACTACAATTGGCGAACGTTATGTTATGCTGTATACACAAATTACACATGGATCCATGATCACAACATTCCGTGATCACACAGAACGAATTTGATTTTATCGTCGGAACGTCTTAATTATTGTCCACGCTTTCAGGTAACATTTTATTTTTTTCGTCTGACTTATAAATATTGAGGTTCAGAATAGAACAACGTTCTATCTGATTTGTGCTCCACAGTACAAGGATATATGTACGTTTAGACACTGTTTTTTTGCACTGACTAGACTAAGCTTACTAATGTAATAGACGAGTGTAAAATACTCTATTAGAGTCAATTGATAATTATTGCACAGTCAACCACTTTTTTTGGATTTTTCGTTGAAAACAATGCTAGATGCGTTTATGTCATACATATTTTCTGAGTTTTTAGTAGAACAAAGTTATAAATAAACGTGTGACCTATTATGTTCCGTTGAACAACGTTATATAAACATGTATATATGAACTTGTGACCCATCAGTGTTTGCCATTTTCCGTAGGAAAACATCACTATTATACATGAAACCAGTTATTTCCAGAATTTATATAATTATTTATTCAAAAAGTATACTGTTTATTTATATACCTAATCATATTACAAACCTCAAAAATTGTAATAGCAACTGCTATGTATAAGAAAACTATAACCCAAATAAAAAAAATATAATTTGAATCGGCCGTCCTGAACAATTACAATTTAGCAGATTTCACGTTCTTCTACGCAGGGTGCGATTTGTTAATTATAATTGTAGTTGTATAGTAGCGACATATAGTATGCGATCAGCGCTAAAAAAACATGTCAATTACCTGCATATCTTCAAAATGAAGGAGAAATATTTCGAAGATTGTAAATTGTATAATTTTGCCAATCGGAAAGAAGTCCTTCAGCGGCGTGTGCACTAAAAACCTCTGTCCAGAGATGGACTTTGCCCAGCAGTGGGATATATGCATCTACTTGCATTGTGTGGAAACCGCACCAACTATCTCACACCATTAGGGTAAATTTTGTTTTCATTTTACATAAATCTCTGCACGCGTGTAAATTCGTAAAAAAATTCCTATCAAAGTAACAGACTTTGTTCTGACATTTAATGTTTAACTGCTTAATTACTTATCGACGATACTAACACCTTATTACGTTACTAAGGTATTGGCTTCGGTGCCGGGGGTCGGGGTTCGATCCCCAAACGAGACAACTATTTGTGTGACCCACAGATAAATCTGGGTTCACGTCAAAATTATTTATGTAAATCGTCCTTACAACACAGGGTTATTTTATCATACCAGTTAGGGCAATGATTTACATAAAAAAGCACAGCCTCGTCTGATTGTTGCGACTCTTGAACTGAGTCAGCGAGATAGTAACTATGTGTTCGCAATACGCCGCTTGAAGGCTTGTCAAATAATGTAATAACCAAAAAATATTTGAAAATCTGAAATGTTGCGCACCTAGTATAATATTAACACGTAAAGCCCACCTTGAAATAGATTAAAGGAGGAAAAAGGTATTTTACATCCAATACGGAGCGTTTATTTGGACATGTTTGCACCAACCCACGCAGACAAATTAATAATCTCCGGAGGTAGTCAAAACGCACGTTCGTGCTTACATATTTTTTATTAATAGACGCGCAAATCCTGAAATCGTGCCCTTGCTAAAGTTGATATCAAAAGTACTCATGCAGTAATTTTCAAATCGTTTTCTTTCTTTTTGTGGTTCCGTAGCCAAAGGATAAAACGGGACCCTGAAACGAGACTCCGCTGTCTCCGTCCGTCTGTCACCAGGCTGTATCTAATGAACTATTATAGTTTGACAGATTTTCACAGAGGATGCATATCTGTTGCCGCTATAACAAAAAATGCTAAAAAAACAGAATAAAATAAAAAATATGTAAGGGGGCTCCCATAAAACAAACGCAAGGCGGTTGCTAGGCAACGGTTGATAGGAAACCTATAGGGTACTTATCAATTACTTTATTATTTGGATCCAACTCGCACTTGGCCGGTTTTTAATATCCGGCAAACTATTTAAAATATTTTTGGTGGGAGATTCATTTATTTATTTAAGCTTTATTACTAAACCTTAAGTAAATGGACGGACTTAATGCCTAATGGCATTCTCTACCAATCAACCCTTGTCTTGGTGAAAAACAGATGGTAGGTGCTAAACGAGGATTATAAAAATAAAAGTAAATAAATATGCTCTGAAATCACTTTTATGATTCAAGCACACAATTGAGACTTGATTTAAGTTTACATAAACATTAAAATATTGTAGGATTTAGGTACTTATTATAAAAATAAGACTTAGCTAGTTAAGACTGCAAGAAATAATTAAACTTACTTTTTTTAAATTACTTAAGTAGACGCGTCTTGATTAATATCAATAATTTAATAATTATTTATACTTTTGCGTGTCGTACCGTGAGTTTTTTTTTATGTAAGATAATGGCAAAGAGCTTGCGGTTCACCTGATATGAAACGGATAAACGCCACCCATAGACATTTGCAACAACCAATATAGGGTAACAAAAGCTTTGCCATCTTTCAATAATGTAGGCCCCGTCACCTCACTCCCCAGATGAAAAGCAGAAGTACTTAACGCCGGTCTTTGGTGAAGTCCTGATACTTCCCCGGATGAACGTGCCCATTTGTGCAACAACGAAAATTCTGCGAAGCCTTTCAGAAATAAGCTCTGTTCCTGAAGGTCCCTAAGTCGTATCGATCAGGAAATAACGCTTGTTGCAACTGGTTCCACAAAGTGAAACAATAAAAAATAAAAACTTAATGGTTTCTTTTGTCTCAATCTTTTAACATCATAGGACATAATATCAATCAGTACCGTAACCATCAATCAGTACCGTAACTACAATATAAAATATTCGTTTGCGTAGAAACAAAATGACACGGAATAAAATGCTCAAAATAGTTTATAAGTAGTGAACTAAAAAGAAATCTTACTGTAAGCTATAGTTATGGAAGGAAACCCTTGTTAACCTGGGAACAGGTGTATGATGTGAAACGAATGATTCTTTTGAATTGACCTTAAAAGCTCAAAGTAACGTAAAAGCCGTATAATGTAGACTTGTCTATATAGGTGTGTTGAAAGATTCGCCGCGAAAGATAAAATTACGAATCCACACAAGTAATTCAATATTAAAATACGTAAGAAGCGTTATAACACATCGTGGTTAACAGCCTTTCTGGAATTATCGAGAAATTTCGTTAACCGTCTAATTAGCTAAAACCTTATATTACCACGATGAAGTTCAACGTGACAAATCCAATTTCATTAGCGGCGGCAAATCGAAAAACGTTTAATTGGAGAGATTTCACCTCTAGTTTCTCGATTAATTAGTCCCGACAATCGAACCAATTAACTTATTCAGCGGGGAACGGTGTAAACATATCGATTTTAATAATTATTTAGGACATAACGTGTCTGTTAGCGTAGCTGGTCAGTTATTGGCACTAGAACTGTCTAGAATGAGTATTCGTCGATTTGGTTAAAGCTTTTTCCATTATGTATAGTACACATTTCACGACCACCAAAGTTGTAGGTTATAAATATATCAATCTTGTATCATGCACGTCTCGCGTAATTTCTTAAACTAAATTCTGGTATAAAAATACTAACTATCGATCATTGATAAGTGTAAAAATTAGAAGAAAATATCAATCTTGTATTTTATCTTAACTTAGGTAACTCCTAAAAATCAATTAAGATTATTATTACTTATTTAGATTATTATTACTTTAATTATTTATATATTTTAATTATTTATTTTATTTAAGATTATTATCATTACTTATTATTATATTATTACTTATAAATTGAATACAGAGCGAGATATTTGAAGTCCGTTTTGGTTTTTCTTTAATAAAGAAATGGACTTGCTATCCGTTAGATGCTACAGGGCTTTAATCGCTCCGACATTGGAGGCCGTAAACGCCGATAGTTCCGCAGCTAAAAACGCCCGCGGCGCCATTATCGTAAAACTTTCGTTGTGATGGCAGCTTTATCGTTTAAAAGCTGCATTACGTGAACCACCGTTGTGTGGGCTTTGCGTATCAATTGCCAGCCACGTGCTTGCGACGGTGGCAACGGAGATACAAATGACAACGGTTCAGATTCAAGCCGGATGTTAGAATAGTGGGAGATTTATGTATTCAAATCATATGTTACAGATTTGCAGATGTAATACAAAATGCACGGACAATGAGCTATCACGGCTCTATTATTACCTATTACAAGAAAATTCTTTCAGCATTTTACCATTATAACTCGCGAATAAATAAAATAAGCTAAAGTACTTAAACTTGTATCTACCCAATTAAGGGAACTAAAATTTGTTTTCGTATTTTCTCTCTAGTCACGTTCTCATTAAATCAGCAAAGTATCGCAAACATCACCCTCTCTATTAAAATATTGATTTTGCTGGCTGTACTAAAGCCGATTTCTATATAAGCCACATACACTATACTAAGTTTACTTTAGTACAGCTTAGTAAGTACTCTGTTAAATTTCCTTGCTTTTCGTATGGCACCAAAAAATTTAGAATTCTTTAACATTAGGTTAACAACGATATAGAACAGCAAAATGAGGAAGACAGAGACTTTGAATGTCTGTATCTTCCTCATTTCATATTACATATAGTAATTATGATAAAAATACGCTAAAAAAGATGATTAAACTTAATGGACTAATCTTTGTAATAAACCTACGAAGAAAATGAATCGAATATCATTCTAACAATGCGTCTCGTAAATAAAAATATCATGCGTCATACCATAGAAATAAACATTGCTATTTTAAGTAACACCGCGTTGGAGTACTCCCCGGAGTCTTTGAAGGATTATTCTGCAGAGATTTTGAGGGGCAACGAAGTACTACACAGCATAAGAGCTACAATGCAGAGATGGCAATACAGTACATTTTCTATTGAAAGAATCACGAATTCACTTTGTTAGTGAAATTGGAAAGGAATATCTTAATAAGTATTGTTAGAATTTTATTAGTTTTAGTTTTTCTTAGTTTCTTAGTTTTTTTTTTTGCCCTCACTTTAGGATAATATTATCCTGTGTTGTAAGGACGTTTTACAAACATAAATTACACGAGGACAAACACCCAAATGCGAAACAACTATCTGTGGGTCGCACAAATATTTGTCCCGTGTGGGAATCGAACCCACGAACCCCGACGAAGCCAATAACTTGGCAAATGTGCCACGGAGTCATCTGGGTCAATTTATTCCTTAAGAGCGTTCATATTTGCAAAAGCGTGACGTTTTTTATTTTATTCTTAAAACTTTACCCAATCAGATGAATTCTGCGTCATAGAGGCGGTTTACATATTGGAAGCAAACAATTAGAGACATACCACAACTGTGAAATGCAAATAAATATATATTGTGTAAGGGAATGAAACTTGAGGATAGCGTACAGGTATAACAGGACTCTATTACTAAGACTCAGTTGTCTGTCTGTCTGTCCATCTGTCACGAGGTTATATCTCATGAACCGTGATAGTTAGACAGTTGAAATTTTCACAGTCGATATATTTCAGTTACCACTGTAACTACAAATACTAAAAAACAGAATAAAAAAATATTTAAGTGGCCCATACAATATATGATATGATTTTTTGGGCGTTTTCATAGATAATCTTATGGAACCCTTCTCGCGCGATTCCGACTCACACTTGCCGGTTTTTTTTTTGTTATTACGAAAATATGCACGTTTCCTCACGATATTTTCCTTCACCGCTGAGCACCATAATTGTGCACTTAGAATTAATAATATCATCGGTGCCGGCACCGGGGATCGATCTCAGGTTGCTCAAGTATATTGAATTAAAGCAAGCGCCCGGATAATGAGCTACCTTCGATGTAGAGTGATTGAATATTTATTTATTTCCTTAAAACATGCAAATGTCTTTAAAATATTACAAAGTTATAAATCTGCAACTGTTGAGTTTCTTGCCGGTTTCTTCTCAACAGAAACTGCTTTCCGAACCGGTGGTAACTTACGAACGTATTAATTTTTATGAAAAATTTTTGACATTTCATAAGAACGCGCAAGCGTCTATGTGAATAAATATATTTTTGATTTTGATTTTTATTTTTTATTTTGCATCTGCATAATTTTAACTAATTATTCAAAATAATATCTAAATTCATGTACGTAATCACATTTCCTGGTTCATTTGTACTAATTTTATGTTTTACTAGCTAATGTGTGCGTTGTAATGCGGTTTTATTTTATAATTTTATAATTTGCTTCAAGTACACAGTGTAAACAAAGAATACACATTTACATTATAGATTAAATTTAAGTCAACGACTTTTTCGCTAACTTAAACTTGGAATGGTATTTGTTAACGAAATTTAAGAACTATTTACAGCTCACGGTTCATAGCACCACCGGATTTGCTTACTCTAAAGAACTGATATTAAACTTCAGACATGTACTTTAAACTCATTTAACACAACATTTCTTGTACTAAACACATATCGCGGCAATCTAGCAGATTAAATTAATTATTCACTATCATTAAATGTTACGCTGCCGTCATCATGATGCTTATTCCACTGAAATATTTTGCCGAAAGCTTTGCCGAGACTGATTACCCATCGTTGTGCGGAAAACTTTATAATTTTGTCAATTAGATTTACATAATAGCCTTTAGGCTATGGCGATTGCCATTATATTTGGACACACCACTCCTCAGGCTCAACATAAATATATATCTAGTTTTTATTGTCCTCACAATGTCCTGGAAATGCCTTTTATACCAGCCAAATACTTCTACTATATATATGTACTTCGTGCTAGTAGATTATTTCATTCTTTCACGCGCCAGTCAGGTTAGGATTTTGCTGACATAAGTATAATCAATATGAAAAGAAATGTAACAAAACAATTCTATAAGCAATAATAGTTTTCATCACATTTTTTGCCTAACAAGGTTTTATTTATGTACGTAAGGTACATTTATAAGTGAAAACTTTAATTGGCATTCGTCGTTATAAGAAATAAAAAAAAAAAAACCAGCTGAAAACCTGAAAACTTTCCGAAAATCAAATAAAATAAATATATGAAACATAGTACCATATAAAAACAAAACGAAACATCATTAGGACACCCATCGTTGTGACCATAACTCGGGTGCTTTTATTAAAGTCTGTTAGCAGCCTCAATTTGTTTAGAACAAAAATACTCCAAACTAAAAGGTGACTTTATTAAGAAACTCTATAGTAGCGAACTATTCGGCTACGTAGGCAATTTGTTAATTAATTTCGAGAAACGAAAAGGGAGCGAGACGAAAGAGGGAAGAGAGACGGAGGCTTCCGCCCACGGGGGCTGCGGCGCTTATAAGGGCGCGCTGGGCGGGAAGATCGTTTAGTGCTTGAAGTAGACCAAGTAAGCAAGGAGCCTTACGTCGACGCCTCAGGGGGTGCTGCACGTGACAATGGCAACTTTCAGGTTCGTTTTTCCCGTTACTTACATTAATATTTTACATTTTTTGATTGTTTTAGTGTTACTTAATTACGACAGAACTTTTCACAAGCTTATAGATAGGTGATTAATTTTCTCTGTAAAAAACCTTATTCGAATTAGTGTATCCTTTCGTTTTTTAACCTTAGAACTATTTCATGCGTAATTGATAATTACTCTGTGATAACAAAAATATTTGTTTTATGTTATCTTTTATAAGAGATAAATCCCGGACAACTCCGTGAAAGCAGAGTTTGAGTTGCTTTATTTTGTAATTAACCAACGCTGTAGGTATCGGGTCGAGACGATCAAGCACAAAGCAAATAAAAACCAGCCAAGTGCGAGTCGTACTCGCGCACGAATGGTTCCGAACCATTATCTATAGAAAGGCAAAAAAAAAAAAAATCAATAAATATGGGCCCACTTAAATATTTTTTAATTCTGTTTTCTAGTATTTGTTGTTATAGGCAACAAAAAATCATCCTAAAATTGCAAATGTCTATCTATCACGATTCATGAGACACAGTCTGGTGACAGACAGACAGGCAGACAGCAGAGTCTTAGTAATAGGGTCCCGTTTTACCCTTTGGGTAAGGAACCCTAAAAAGTTGCTTTATTGTTTCTATTGAATATACAACAGTTTCATATAGTTTTTTTTATATATACATATATACTTTATTTAATATATACATAATAGTAGGCTTTTTGTAGTAATTACAATACTTAGTTATTCAGATCATAGTGTGGTCTCAAAATAAAATAATAAATACTGTACATACGATTTTAAATCCAACAAAAGGAAGTTACAATTGCTAGTAGATGTAATTCCTTTGTCATACTAAGGTAGACTGTATTTTATTTAAATGAGGAAACGATTTTTTTTGTCAAAAATGATTTATTTATTTGGCGGCCGACATAAAGCAGATCCACTGTAGTTGTAATGATATATTACCCTAAACATGCTAATTAAATTTCATGTAAATTAGATTTAACAACCCGTGGAAGCAAGGTAAACATGCCAGAACATAAAAAAAAATTGTTGTTTCAAAAACTTAATTATCGTAATTGTAAGGATGTTTATAATATGCCGAGACTTTAATATCCGCATCAACTATCTATTATTGTATTCGAGCTTGGTAAACAAAACAGAATGGAAATATAAAAATAAAGATTTCCGCACTATTATAAGAGCTTATCTGAATTTTTGTCGTCGCTTATGTTGCTAAGTCTTTGTTAAGAAGTTTAGTTACTTCATCAATAACGGCCAAGTGGGGATTTTCATCCAAGCTCCCGGAAAAGTGTTGAGATTTAATATTCAAACTTTTCTCTGTCCTTAAACGATCGTAAAATTACACAGGAATGCCTTAGGCGTTTAATAAGTTGCATCCAAAGTAAAGTACAACCTATACAAGTCCCGCTGCTGGGCAAAGGCCTCCTCTATACAGAGGGTATCAGGCCATAGTCCTCCACGCGGCCCCACTGCGGATTGGCGGACTTCACGTATCTTCGAAAAATATTTTTTTTATTATTATTTCGAAAATATCCAGGTTTCCTCACGATGTTTTCCTTCACCGCGGAGCACGTGATAAGTCAGCACTTAAAGTTAAATACTTCATTGGTGCCGGCACCGGGGATCGAACTCAGGTTACTCGGTATATTGAATTAAAGGCAAGCGCCCGGACACTGAGCTATCACGGCATCCAAAGAGTACTTTTATATATCTGAAACTTTTATATATCTGGTTGCATCGCTGAGGGGAATCGCTTCTCGGGCTGGGCCGGGTGCGAGAGTACCTCGATGACCTGGACGACCTCGATGACCTCATAACCGCTCCGGGTAGTTGTTAGTCGCCTCGTTCTAATTGCTAACGGGACTAATCGGAAGTACGCCAATCTATAAATAAAACGCAAAGCCCACGGAATCTCTATTTATTGATAGATTTTTCTTTTGTACGAGGCAATTTGTATCGACGACTGGCAGGCGAGGTTGGCCGTTCGTGGGTTCGATTCAAAGTAAAAGTAACAGCCAATTTTTGTGGGTAGTTCTTCTATACGAAATTTGTGTAGGTATGTAAAACGTTTCTACGTCTGCAGCCCTTACAAAATCCTGTAGTAATGGCAAAAACAAAAAAGACCTTTGCGCTTCTTCCATACACCTTTGAAGTAAAAAATTGAGTGGTTTGCACTTACATATTTGAAATAAAATTGGTTTAAACACTCACTTTGTTTTACAAACAAAAAACGGTACATACCATTATCTAGACAAAGGGCAAAAAAAATCATTTCTGTTGTATGGGAGCGTCACTTAAAATTTTAGTATTTATTGATATAGCGGCAACAGAAATACATTATCTGTGAAAATTTCAACTGCCTAACTATGACAGTTCATCTCAGTTCTGGTGACAGACGGACGCACGGACAGACAGACAGACAGACAGACAGCGGATTCATAGTAATAGGGTCCCGTTTTACCCTTTGGGTAAGTTGCGTTATTATTAAACAAATGGAAAATCTATTACCTCTATAAAGAATTACAAGGGCCGTTGGAATACTAAGAATAAACCAGAAAGAATTTACAGTTCGAAAAGTCAAGACCTTTAAGTCGAGACAATGTCAGGTAACGTTTAATTCTTTGGATAAAGCCCAAACGGATTCGCATCTGATGTTGCTATGCGACAACCTATTCTTAATGTACATTGACACCTAATTCAAATTGGGGGGATTGGATTACACAGGTTTCTTTTTCTAAAATTAGACCAAGGAGTCGTTGACATTTCATTTCTTTGTCTTGAATAAAATATCAAAACTGAAATACGCGGATTATTCGAGAAGTTTTTAGTAAGAACAAAATGTATTGTACGTAATATGTTCTTTTTACATTCTTCATTCTCATTTGAATATGCGCAGGGAGTATTTCACAGCTTTTAAAACGATTAAAAAAAGATTCCCGTGGGAAGATGAAAAACAATCCCCTGAGTTCATCAGCGGCCTTATCAGAGGTCTTCTTTACATCATTATCTCTAATGCTCCAAGCTGCATTTGTCGGCATATCGTTGTTCGATTCTAATAAGGCTCGGTTCAGACTTATAGCTACTTATTACAATAGAAAATAACATTTCTTATTCACACTTCGATTTAACAAATATTGCAGATAACTCGTGAATCTCAAAATGATCAAAAATTTTTCAGAAGTTAGGATTTAGATAATTGTTGCGAATTTCTAATAAGAATATCTATTTACAGTTATAATCCTAGCACTTTTTAATATTCTTGTAATTATGCTTGTATGAATACATATCTCTTTTATTAACGCCTTATGTGGTAAGTTTATGATTTAAAAAATAGTAAAAACATTGATATATAAAACAAGTTTAGTTAATAAATAATCCTCTTGTCATAGCGTAAGGTTCCAGACAGGTGAGATTTTCTTACTTTACTAGTTATAATAGGAGTGATGTAGATAATTCAATTACTTTATGAAAATTTAACAATAATGTTTAATTACTTCATGGGTTAAGTACGAAATAATTATGAATTACTTGATAAATCGTTTTGTAATTTGCGACATCACAGGGTATAATACTACCTAGAAATATTTTAATAGTTAAACATCGTTAACACACGAAATAATTAACCATACAGTTATATTAAAAAGTTTCAAAGATTAAAAAAAAATAAAGAGTTTCAAAGAGTTCAAAAAGACGCGATTTACCCAAAGCTATTATGTTCAAATAAAAATAACAAGCGCAAGTAATCCAACCTCAGTCGTCGTTGCAATACATTGTAAGCGAATTCACGAGAACCGAAAGAAGGATCCAATTAAAGTTGCCGTCTTCTTTATTACCGAATATATCCACGGCATTGCGAACGCCCGCGTAACATTCAGCTGCAAATGTCCCTATCTCAAAACTCAAATGGACTCACAAGTCCTGTGAAAAATTAGGTACATACGTATAAACATTGAAAGAACATTAAAACATGTAGAAAAAGTACGAAAAGATTGTCGTCGCTGTGGGAATCGAACCCACGTCTTCGGCATTCGCATTAAGTGCAGAGATTAGCACTATAAAAAACTTTAAAATTTAAAATTTATTGAAAGAACATATTTAACCTTAAAAATATGGACATTGACTGCCAATTATAACTTCCAAGATGATGACGCAACGAGTCTAAATAGAGGTAAATCGATTTTTGATGTGGAGCTCTTGTTATATTAAACAGTTTGTCCATATGACATAGTTAATACTACCGTACCTCAATCTTCTGCAGTTTTATAGTAAACTGACTGCTAACATAGGTCTTGTTCTTAAACACCTGTTTAATATCAAGATGTTTAATCCTTACGATGTAAACGGTTGGTGTCCTCTTATCACAGAGGTTATTTTAGTCCAAATGCGAAGGTGTCAATATGTGGAGTAAATTTGGAAGACAAATTATGTGATAATGGTACCAAAGGGGGTGGGGCCTAATAATGATTGTCCACTTTAAGAGATATTTTTTTTGCTAAGAAACATTTGTATCTCGGTTTTTTCTAATTTTTCTTCCAAGGATCTGTTAGGGGGTATTAACGTTTGAATGGAATCTCGACATTGGCGCATGAAGTCACGGGTAAAAGCTAGTTATATAGCGTGTCGTTATAACCGCGACAGTAAATGAACACACATGTAGAGGATAACTTTTAAAATTGTACTAAGCATTTACATTCTTTGAACATAAATATTTACCAAGTTATTAAATTTTACAAAACAAACATTTTTATAACACCTTTTTGTATGAAACTGTAATGTAAAGTTCACAAAGCCCAAAGAGAATGTAGTCACTACGTTTACAACAAAGCCTTTGAATTGGTTAAATGAATTTAAAAGAGATAAAATATACTGTTAGAAGGAGAGACTTGTACAACGTTGTGGCAACGAATGTAAACGTCTCTGAATGTAAATGTAATTATGGATTTATTTAACATTTTAAATTTATTATGATTATTTGCAAGTAACGTTAGACGTGTGTATTAAAAATATATTTTTTTTAATAAAAATATCCTTAATTCTTTACCCTCTACTCTAAGAGTAGTTTTGGCGTGAAATCGTAACAAACAAACTTACATTGACATTTATATTATTATATAGTAGGGATTTATCAGAAACTGTCCAAACAAAGATCATGATGGGTGGGTTAACACTCGATTTAAGTAAGATCAAAATAAATGTTTTCGTTTTTTCGATGTTCTTGTTTACGAAATTAACTTGTTTTGTTTATCCAATTGCTTGTTTATAATTTGAAGGTTACAATCGGGGACTCATTATTGCAATAAGATCGTTAAAAAAATAAAGAGCCTTTAACTTGTTTCATTAAGAGAATGTGCTAAACGAGCGAGTGTTAACGGTGTGAAAACTGAAACTAATCTGATATTATATTATGTGATAGTCATCACTGTTTTCGTGTGCTCTAATTTTCGGCAGAATGCTGTGGAGGGTTGCAACTCTGTTCGCAATGTTGATGACGGGCGCTACGTCCCAATTATACGACGAGGGGCCTCTGAGAAGTGTCGGCCCTGACGCGTTGTTTCAAGTAAGTGACTCTCATCTCCGGGTCTGTTTCTACTTATTAAAAAGCGTCTTAACATTTTAAACGATATTTTTATTATTATTCTGAGTATTTTTAATTCACAGTTGCTATTGAACAACATTTTTTTTGTAATTGCACTATCTACATTGGTAGCCAAAAGGTACAGAAGACTCTCGGCCATTGAAGTTTTAAGTAGGACTGAATTGCAAAACATTATCCAATGATGATAAAGAATGAAGTGTCTTCAATTTTCTATCTAATTTATCTTTTTTGCTTCGAGAGAAATGATAGTTACTATTCAGGTCGAACTGCACTATTTGAATACCATTTTTTTTAATGTGAAAAGTTGCGAAGCGAGCAGGTGGTTCACCTGATGTTAAGTGAATACCACCGCCCATGGACATCTGCTATACCCGAGGGTTTGCAGATGCGTTGACAACCTTTTGAAAATTGGGCTCCAGCTACCTCACTCACCAGACGGAACCCGGAAGTATTATACTTCCACTTTACGCCGGTCTTCTATGAGGTCGTGGTACTTACCCGGACGAGCCTGCCCATTCGTGCAACAGCTGAGGCTGCTGCGTGGCCCTACCACCATGGTATTTCTATTAAAATATTTTTAAATAAAGGATGCACGTAGGAACTGCAACCTGCTTTGGATCTGATGTACCTAACCCTAAATAGTTCTTCCGACATCTTCCATCATGAGAGATATAAATAAATTAATGGTGTTCTCTTGGTTCGGTACAGCCGTCATAGCTCGTGATAGCTCAGTGTCAGGTCGCTTTTAATAAAATATGCTCCGACTAAAACCGAAATATCCCGGACTGTGACTGTGAATACACTAATACTATCTGTACAAGGCCTTCGTTCAGCAGCGGGACACATGTAGGCTGTTGATTTACTTGACTTCTACTTGTTTTCTGGTTGGGCAGGAGGGAACCTATTTTGACGCGGTCCCGCACGCCCACGAGCAAACGTCGGAGGACGCGGACAAGGATGTTTTAGGGCAGACAGATGGGGAGAGGGCTCTGCTGCTGTTGAAGATCATTCAAGCACTGCGAATGCGTAACGAGAATACTCGACTTTACCAAAGGTGCGGTATAACTACCTTAGTTTAAAGCCATGGGAAACTGAACGCGTCTTGTTCATTTATTTACCTTGTTGTCCCTTCAATGCACTACGTATGGAGTATTTAAAGCATTTTCCTGTATCAGCCCTTTGCTCGCTTATTGATACGACTTCACAATTATACGTACAGACGTTACACGTTCACTGCCAGACTGTTTTGGCAAGCGGGCGGGCCAACTTATTCACAATGATTACCGCCGCCCGGGGGTTGCACAATACGTTTCTATCCCAGGATAGGCCCCGGTCACCTCACTGGGCGGCCGTGGTACCGGACGAGCCTGCCCATTCGTGCAACAGCCGATGCTGCTGCGTGGCCTTACCTCAGAAACTAAATCACAAACGACGTTTAATTCACCCGATTGGTCATGTACGATCGATCCGTCGCGTTCCTGTGTATTGGAAACCAGGCGTGATAGAGCGTTTCGTTCGCAGAGCGATACCGGAGTCGTTAGACTACGTGGACGCTGTACAGAGCGCGCCTGACGGGGAACAGCCGGCCGACGGGAAGGCGTTGCTGGTGGCGAAGAGGTTGAACGGCGGAGCGGAGCCAACAGCCACCGCGAAACCCACCAGCTCCACCACACCGCAGGGGCGGTGGAAGGCAAATAAAGGTGGGTTAACGGATCGTTTACATGCAGCTTCAGAAACTCGCGTTTATATTCCACTATTGCGCGTATCTAGGGTGAATTTGGGCCATAGATGTCGATCTCGAGAATATATTTCATTAAGACAGCAAAAAGAAAAAATTTTAGTAAAAATGCATGGGAAGACATTCGTGTAGCTCAGGAAAGAAAAATAAAATATTTATTATAAAATTTATATTACCCATGTTAAATAATAAATTCTAATATTCTGATTTTCTTTCTTTTTTGAAGTTTTTACGAAGATTATATCCTTCGTAATAAAAAAATTGCCACAAGTACTTTTTCTTCATCACTCATCAAACTTCTTAAAAAAGTAAAGATTTCTTTATTTTAAATTAACTAAGCTCGTTATTTCTACTTATGCTAAGTGAACCCAACAAACAAATGACTGTACTGTGAGGTTTTTATATTAGTTAAAACAATGACATGCGGGTGTTCCCGTTTAATGTATTTTTTTTCAATTAATATAATTTTACAGGTACACACATAATTTGCTACTTCAAACTGTGCAGTATTCGGGCGTTCCGCTAAATAACCGAAGCAATGAAGATAAAAGAAACATGCAAAATAATCACGTGATATACGGATTCATTCATAGTGTAATACCTTGTCATGAATCGCTTACAATACAAAGATTTTTTTCAGATGCATTCGATATGTAATAATTCCATATACATTAAACAAATAACATTCCATAGAATTCTTAGTGATTAAATTGAATTAAATTTTATTGCTAAATTAACGTTAGTCATTTCGAAGTTAGATCTAGGTGAGTTACCTTTTCAAAGATTATTAATCTTCCTTCTTAATGCATGGAGTTTTAAACTATTCGCGGAATAAATCATCTAAAATGTATAATACAGTTAATTCGTTGCTGCTGTATTGTAACATTATGATTAAATGATTTTTGAATCAAGGAGCTTCTTTCATTTGTCACAATATTGAGCAACCATCCCGATACAAATTTAATTTTTATTGAGAACTAGTTTACCTACAATGTATCCCTGGATCTAAAACTTAAACGCCGTAGGTATATAACGTGTTTAAATTGAATTCCACGTACCCAGGGTATATTCCGACACTATAAAGGAGGAAATGTTCATATGGAACATGATACTATAACTAAGTTTAGAAAAAAAACACTGATTTTCTTTAACTAGTGCAGAAATGTCTCCAGTATGATGAATGATCAACACTGTAGTCTTTAGGTATCAGTCGGTTAAATCCAACAGCAATAATGCAAATGCCTCAATAATTATATTTACGAGATGAAGCAAACACTAGTCTAAATACCGGCATCCAAAAAACATCAGGCAGATCCAAATGCTCAGAAAACCTACGTAAAGCGTAAACAATTAGTTAATGGACATGCAATGCGATCACTCAAATGTTAAGCAATGATTCAACCGAAATTCAGGCGCATCAAAGCTCACTTAGCTAAATTATTACAATCACAGCGCAGACATGTAATGAAAACGAAATAATAATTATAAATAAATAATCATTTAATATGCTTGAAATTTGACAAGGACTGAGGACATCCTGGCGACTCTAAACTAATTGATAATAAAAAAAAATCAAAATAACTTTAAAATACTTTCAAAGTGATAAATATTATCATATAAAATACTAAAAATAATTATCAACTTGGTGAGACTAACATTTAAATTTGCTTATTTGGATTATAATTTTAAATTGTTATCTATGCCACATCATTATGTTCTATCATCAAAGGCAGTTAAGACTTCTAGCCGCTGGTGTGGAGGCAAGTTGGATGACGGCGCAAATACGGTCCCGCCAAAAAAGCTGATAATCCGACGTCTCCTCGCTATCCGCAACTGCAATTGTCACCTTCGGATGAAGTGTTTTCAATGCAATATTTAAAAAAAAAAACAAAGTAGATAGAATAAGACCAGCTCAGTGACCAGCAGAGGCGAAAAACATCATTTTCATCCATTTATCTACAAAGAATTTTCATTTCATAATGATCATAGAAACTATGAAAATTAATATTATTTAAAATAATTAATCATAGGATGTTTCTTTTTTTAAGTAGTTTTCTTTTCAATTTATTTTAAAACCATTCAAAAACCTTCACGGGTTTACTTATAGCAGCTCCCCCAATTCAAAACTATGAGCTAGCAAAGTAATCAATGCAATATAGGAACAACGGAAGCAACACTCGTCTACATGACAGCGATTTCCTTTTAAGCCACCATAAAGTACCTAGCCGCAACAGCAGGGCTCACAAATTAACTGGACACCAGCACGCGCACCGTATTCTACCATATTGTTACTACTTATGCCACCTGCCTATTTATATCTTCGCTGTTCCACAAATGGGCAGGTCCGTTCGGGAAAGTACCACTACGCACAGAAGACGAAATGAGAGTGGTGGAATAATATTTCTACGTTTCGGCTGGAGTGAGGAAACCGGGCGTCTTTATAAAAAGGTGACAATGCATCTGCAACCCTACGGGTGTTGCCAGTGTGCATGGGTGAATGTTATAACTTAACATCAGGTGAACCTCCAGCTCGCTAGCCAATCTCGCTCTAATAAAAATTACGCGAGGCCACACTGCGCGGCGTTTAAAAATTCCGTCAACATTATAACAAGACATGTATGTACACATAATGTAACAGATCATATAAGACATATGATAGGGAAAGAGATAGCAGTCTATAGAGTTGCATTTGAAGTACGCTAGCGACAGCTAGAATCGGACCGAACAGAGAAATTACACCAAATTTATTCACATATCCCTATCATAGTATTTGTACTCATAAAAAGGGCAGTGCACTCAAAAGGAAAACTGGGAACCTTTGGTGAGTGCGCTGGGCTGGGAAGCGGGCAAATACAGTCGGTCGCCGACTGCGCAGCCCCGCTGTATCTCCAGGGCGCGCACACGCCACAGCCTCACCGCCCGACTCAGCCCCATAGACGAACGGAGGGCCAGCATTAATGATGAAACTCGATCAACTCCCCCACTAAGACGTTCGATCACTTCTGATGTCATTAACAGACGTTGACTTGACGGTTAGAGTGAGCGATTTAAATTTAGAAGGCGCAATGCAACGAAACTGCTTGGAGAGGACAGTTTTGAATAATTAGGTTGTCTACTTCATATAAAAGAATAATGAAATGAAAATAAAGTTTGGGCCGAGGCTTGAATGGGTTGTTTTAAGTACCGTAGTTGTCGACTCGTTAGAAGTATAACTGACGACCATAAGCACTTATCTTCCATTACACTTCCGTAATTTATTTCTGTAGTGCCAGGTGGCAGTTTTGATCATGCAGGATTGGGTAGGCCCATCCGGGGAAGTATCACGGCCTCACAGAAGGCAAGGGTGAAATCGAAGTACTGTATTTTCACGTCCTGTGCGAGGAGGCTGAATATTGTAAAGGTTGCTCAAGCGTCTGCAACCCCCAAGGTTTTGCAAGTAAAGTAACAGCCTATACATTTCCCACTGCTGGGTAAAGGCCTCTTCTGTACAGTGGTATCAAGACATATTGACTACGCGGCCACTGCCGATTGGCGGACTCACATACTTTTATTCTTCTTCAGTTTTTTTGTTATTATTTCTAAAATTTGCAGTTTTCATTAAAACATGTAGAAAAAGTACGAAAAGATTGTCGCCGCTGTTGGAATCGAACCCACGTCTTCGGCATTCGCGGCTCGGCTGAGCTAAACGGCTGATAGCCACAGCGACGAAACTCTTAACGTCTTCTTTCGATATTGTTATTTAGCATTTGAAGCAATGCTTGGGGCATCTATTGTTATATCCTTTCCAGCATACAAACAATTTCGAATATCGTTTTATCTGCCGTTTAGCTCAGTGGCTAGACCGTCAGGCCGCGAATGCCGAAGACGTGGGTTCGATTCCCACAGCGGCAACAATCTTTTCGTACTTTTTCTACCTGTTTTAATGTTCAATCTTAAGTGCAGAGATTAGCACTATGAAAAACTTAAAAAAAATATATAAAAAATTAATTTTCGTCATGTTTTTTAATTCAGCACTTAAAATGACAATTTTATTGGTGCCGGTACCGGGGATCGAACTCAGGTTGCTATCACGGCTCAGTTCGGTCCAGCGGGTCTTGTAGGATAGTCACAACGCCTTAGGCGTTGCAAAAGCTTCGGCAACCTTCAAAAATGTATGGCGGTAATCACTTCACATCATTGTTCGCTTGTCTGCTTTTCACATAATTAACAAAATTTCATAAAAATGGCAGGATAATACGGGGATATCGAGTAATGCGTTAGTTCACCAAAGCCCATTTTGCTAGTACCCCCTGATAAATTCGGACTGAGAGAGCCACTGGCAAACTTTAGCTATAAAACTTACGAAAGACGGTTTGTCGCGATGTATCCTAGTTAGCTTTGCATGCAGCTTACTAAGATACATCGCGACGTAAATGCAAAGGAAAATTTCAAATTCAGTATTTTGTAAACTGGCACCGTTAAACGAGAATGTTGCTGAAAACTTAAATAAAAGACAAAAAACCGTTCGGGGTACCCGTCATCAACAAAATGGGTCGTATCTAGCAATCCGGTGTTGGAAGAGGGATATGTCAAGGAGACGCGGAATAAATTCCTACGTAAAGTATAAAGACATTATAAACCCTACCACAGCTTATCTATGGTAAGGCCACGCAGCAGCCTCGGCTGTTGCACGAATGGGCAGGCTCGTCCGGGTAAGTACCACGACCTCACAGAAGACCAGCGTAAAGTGGAAGTATAATACTTTCGCGTTTCGTCTGGTGAGTGAGGTGGACGGAGCCCAATTTTCAAAAATGTTGTCAACGCATCTGCACACCCTCGGAGGTAGCAGAAGTCCATTGGCTCGCTTAACAACTTTTCACATAAAAAAACAGTTGACAATACGCAAATAAATGTACATTTATTCGCGCAAATGAAAGGCAAGATAAAATAATCGTACAGCTTTTAATTTGTTAAAGTACAATCCCGATGGCACCGCGTGAAGGCACGTCCGTCGCCGTCTTGGCGTCACATTCAACTCCTATATACACATCACGATAGCCTAGAGCATAATATAGCACAGAGTCGTCATTGTGACGAATCAATGCGAACAACACGTTTACGATTTCAAGTCCATACGCGTAACACATAATAAAACACGTCAACGAAGGCTTTTTTTTTTTTAAATTAAAAAACATTGCCCTCACTTTAGGATAACATTATCCTGTGTTGTAAGGATGTTTTTACAAACATAAATTTCACTTGGACAAACACCCAGATGCGAAACAACTATCTGTGGGTCACACAAATAGTTGTCCCGTGTGGGGATAAAACCCACGACCCCTGATGCCGAAGCCAATACCTTGGCAACTGCGCCACGGAGTCATCAAAAATTGTTAAAAAACATTTCATTTGAATGACGCCCATCGTACTAATAACTACATGTATAGACTTGAAATCGAAAACTTAATACTGACTTAAAATAATAAATTAAATTTGTACGATGAATACGTATCATTTCATAATCACACCACATTGTGTAATCAAATGTAATAAGCTTCGGTTGCCTCTTAATACATATTTTCATCTTATATTACGTAACAATGCATATCGTAACAATGCATATGCAGATAAACCGTAAAAGGCGTTTAACAACTCAACTTATTTAACAAACTTTAAAACTGTAAAATAGCGGCAAACTTTTCTGCTATTATTTATACACAAAATGATAATTACGTATATGGTGCTTGTAATACAACCTAAGGACATGTGAAGGTAGAATTTTAATGTAAAATATATAAATGTAAAATATAAAAATGAACTCATAGACTTCATAGATAACTACTAAAACAGATAAATAAGTACTATTGTCTGTCGGCAGATGGAATGAAATAAAAAGCTAACTAACAAAACCCACCAATGTTTAGCATTCAGTAAACGTCCTAAGGTTCGATTAAAATATTATTACTATTAAAAATAAGAATTAGTAGAAATTCGGTATGATATGAATCCGTGTGCACAGAATTTGGTGTTAAACAATATCGAATTGAGAGTAAAAAAGACGGGATGAATACACTGTATCGATTAACGCAAAAAGGGTCGATTCTTAACGGGGTTTGTACAGTCGACAATAAGATATAATAATCAAAAGGCTCACTAAGTCGACGACCACATTTCCAGATAGGGTTGTTACTTAGTCCAATAGAGTTAGATTCTTTTTAATATGAAGTCTACGCATAATAAATTCTCGACTAAGACAATCGTTTAATACAATTATTATAAATCGTTATTAGTTTCTTTCTTCGCACCGCATACAGCAATAGCAATAATATTAAATAAATAGAGATTGTCCACATTTCGATAAGGCATAGTATTGGTCCGATTTTTCGAATAAATAACTTTTTTAAGTGTTACATTTTTATAAATCTACCGTTCATTAACCGCCAACTATTACTAAAGCAATATTTCAAATTTATCTTTTTACTAACAATAACGTATTCTTTTACAGTATTGATGATAACGTTTCGCGTTAAATGATCACAAAACGAATGAAACGTTTCAAGAAACAAATAAATAATTGTTATAACAATTAGCGATAAGAATATCCCTTATTATTAACAGCATTAAACTTCGATGCAAACTAAGGCACTTCGTGTAAATAATCTCACATTCCAACATTGAAATGGGTACATTAAAACCAACCTAAAATATCTCTTACCGGATTTTCTTAAACGGAAATTCTTAAACGCTTTCAATAGTATCGAAAGTAGAATGCCAACCAAAAAGAACATCATCGAAATATATATACAAAGTTAGTCAATGCGACAATAACTTAATCCATCACTAAATTGCACTTTTGTACATACTTATCCCATAGAGAAGGATAAAAAAATGTGATGACAATTCGTAACAATTATTAAGGCAACGTTGGACCGAGTCCAGACGTTGTCGACAGTCGTTTGAAGGCGCGAACTTTTTACACGGGGAAGGTAGGGAGGTGCGGAGGGTAGAGGGAGGGGCATGAGGGGGGATGGGGCAAGGGAGGGGAGGGGAGGGGAGGGGAGGGCGGCTACGCGCGCGCCGAGGCGGGGTGGTACGTGATGACGTTGTGCGCGTGCGTGAAGGGCGGCACCGGCGAGAGGGAGGAGGGGGAGGAGGGGGAGGAGGGGGAGGCGACCGGCAGCTGCAGCGCCCGGCTCTTGCCGCCCAGCGTGCAGCGTGTCGTCACCCCGCTCTCCACCTCCACGGCCAGCTCCTTGCCAGTCAATCTGTTGGTGGTGGACCAAAAATTTTCTATTAAGTAAAAGTTACGATGTAAAAGAAGATACAGGAAGACAAGTTGAAAAAGTGATTTTCAATGATGTGGGTGGGGTACTTACGCGCTGAACCTGTGCGCGAGCACGCCGAGCAGCTCGCCGACCAGGTCGGGGTTCGACTCCCGCGGCGGCACCAGCCCCAGCACCAGGTCGTTGCGGGCGCTCGGCACGCTGATCACCACCAGCTGCGCGTCGCTGCTCATTACTCGGACGGCGCCGACCTGCAACGGTGCAATAAGAGATGTTGGCGTTTAGTGTATCCGGCTCTAAGGACCAATCGGTTAGAGTAAACATTGAACAATCGACTTGCACATTAAATAAATTGAGTCTGCAAATAGGTTACGTTTAGCGATTGTATGTTGACCGAACTTTCATAATAATATTTATCTAGTAAAATTTGGAGCTAAGGTAATGGTAACATTTTTGTCAATGCAGAAGAGAAAGGACACTCGCCTCTGTGATGGGCGTGGGCTTCTTAAGCAGCTTGAAGGTGCCCGAGTCCAGCTTGCAGATGGCGGTGTCGGTGACGAGCAGGCATCGCGCGGCGAGCTTGTTGTAGCGGTTGAACTTGTGCACCCGACAGGAGAACACGGCGCGCCCCAAGTGCTGCGACCGCTGCAGCCCGCTCAGCGCAGTCCGGTACACGGCTGTGGGTGAAATTGAAATGTTATTCCGTCGATGTATAATGGTCGTTCGTTCAATCTATCTTAAAAATCAACTACGGTTCCAAGCTACTCGGGAAAGGAATTGGCGTGCAACTCCTGTTCACAAACATTATAGCACAGAACGGCCAGAGGATTTCTTAGTTTTTTTACAATGACAAAATGAATAGAGTCCGTGTTAAAGTGTGTCCACGAGAAGCGATCTGAGGGGTTAGGAGGCGGGTACCGGCGCGGTCGTCGTAGTCGTCGAGGGCGAGGTAGTCGCCGCGCCAGAGGCGGTGCGCGCCCCAGTGCGGGCGGCGGCGGGCGAGCGCGCTGGCGGCGCAGATCTTGAGCTTGAGCTGCGGCCACTGCGCGCGCGGCACCGGCCGCAGCACCAGCCAGGCGCGCCAGCGGCGGTGCGCGCCGCGAACTATGGCCACGGCCAGCCCGCGCGGCGCGCCGCCCCACTCGCGCACGGCGCCGCCCTCGCGCACCTGCCGCTGCAGCCCCGCCACCCAGCGCCGGCAGCGGTACCGCCTGCGCAGACAGCGGATTATTCAATTACTTCTTCTTTTCCTTCTTCCATTGGCGCTACAGCCCTTGTGGCTATTGGCCTCTAATAACTACATGAAACAAATCTGAAACTCTTTTGGTCTTTTTACTAGATTTTGTTACGGGAATGGGCAGGTCCATTCGGGTAAGTAGCGCGACCTCACAGAAGACCAGCGTGAAGGGGAAGCGTTATATTTCTGCGTTTCGTCGGATGAAAATTTTTGAAGTTATACTTCTTTAGGCGCCTAATGAAAAAATGATGAGAGTGAAATTTTAAGATGTAACACAAAAGTCACACCTTTGAAGCTGCCCGCTAAACCGGTAGATGGCAGCATATCACATCTCATCCACTTCTCAGTAAAAAGTATAGATGGCGCTTTCATTATTTTATTATATTAAAAGTTGACAACGTGTCTACTACACGAGGATTACTGCAAATGTCAATGGGTGTTATTTATCACTTAACACTGAACCACCAGCTCGTTCGCCACCTTCTCAGATAAAATGCAACGGCACCCACTTCCAGGCGTTGAAGATGAGCAGCGCCGCGCGCATCTTGCGGTAGCGCGCCCTGGCCAGGGCGCCGCGCCACAGCTTCTGCAGCAGCACCACGATCGAGGGGATCAGCTCGGCGCGAGCGGCTTCCAGGGCGTGCACGGTCTTCGCGCTCCTGCACCAACAGCGCCAGTCAGGTCTTATTCGAACAAGAGTAATTACAGGAAAAGATTTGTTCAAAGGCTCTGCTTATTCCTTAAGAGACCTCTTCCAGCGGACCCGTGACTGGAAATTGGTCACAAATTTTAGTAAATACTGTAAGTGTGCAAAAGAAAGATTCCCCGAGCGAGTTCTACAATCTCCCCTCGTTTAGATGCGTCGAGATACAAGAGAGAACAGCGTATGGAGCTGACCTGATGAAGAGCTTGGTGTGTCCGAACTGCACGTCTGCGATGCCGAGGTCCCTCAGCAGCACCATGACGGCCTCCTTGGCGCCGGGCCCGCGGAAGTTGGGCCACGTGTACTGCGACAGCATCTTGTAGCGCTTCAGGAAGCGGTCGTAGCGCTGCCGCGACGCGAACCCGGCCCGGCGCACGCGCACGTTCTCCACCAGGCCCAGGTACGCCACCTGGTGTTTTGGGTTTTTCAGTAAAAATCTGGTAGAATAGGTGTCGCGGAATATTGTGTCTATGCGTTCCCGTGTTTCCGTTGGATACCACAGAGACGGGTGCGTGGGTTTTAGTGGGTAACCGTTTCTGATTGGGACTGCCACATACTTCTGCCCCTCCCGCGATCAGGTGGCAAGGGATCCGTGAATAATTTTTCCCACGTTTTTTATACGAGAAGGTGGCAAGCGAGCTGGTGGTGTACCTGATGTTAAGTGATAACCACCGCCCAGAGACATTTGCAACATCCGTGAGGGTTGCAGATGCGTTGCCACCTTTTAATAAAGCAGGCCCCGGCTACCTCGCTCGCCGGACGAAACACAAAAGTGTGACACACACTTCACACAGCCGGACTTGAACTGTGAAGACCGGTGAAGTCGTGGTACTCGCGGACGGACCTACCCACTCGTGCAACAGCCGTTGCGCGTTAATGAAACAAAATAATAGAACAGCCACGCCACCTGGTGGCGCACCAGCAGCTCGTCCCAGACGGAGGGCGACTGCACGGGGTTGGGCTTGACGCAGCGCACGTAGAAGGGCTCCTTGGTCTGCAGCCCGCCCACCAGCGCCGCCATCGAGTTGCGGAACAGCGTCGCCGCCGAGGGGGGCCGCTTCGACGTCTGCCGGTGGAAAGGGACGCCGTTGGACAACAGCTACAGCGCTCGCCTTAGATTCCGTTTAACCGAGCAGCCGCAGAGTGCTCAGCGGTGAATGTTTGTTCGTATGTTCAGAAGGCGAATGACTGGGTAGCGGAGTATTAGATCGAATCCCACACGGGAAGGATATTTCCGTGAACTCACACATAATTGTTCCGGATCTAGTTATTTTTACCCGAGGTACATTGACGTGATCAAGCCAACAGTTGATGGTAAACTTCCTAGCCAAATACGATTAACCACATGCAGTTCTGACCATACGTAGATGGGATAAGGACAGGAGAAAGAGAGAAGAGTCGAGAGGGCTATGGCACCTTCTGTATGTGCGTGGCGCCCTCGGGCCACATGGCGGCCAGGGAGCGGTTGGTGGAGGAGTGCAGCAGCCGCTTCAGGTCCTGCCACAGCGAGTCCTTGTTCTTGTCCATGAAGCCCGTGATGGCGTACGTCACCTCGCCCGCGTAGTGCCTGTGAGCACCAAATAAAATTACGACCAGGACCTAACAGAAGACAGGCGTGAAATAAAAGTGTTACACTTCTGCGCTTCGTAGTGAGGTAGCCGGAGCCCATTTTATTGAAAGGTTTTCTTTTTCTCTATATACTTTCTACCATTTTGTTCTAATATTCCCTACCACAACCCCCTAACAAATGACATGCAATAGGTACTTAAGAATTAGCCAGTGTGGAGGGCGTGGAGCCGCTCACGTTAGCAACTACTATCTGCTACCGGAGGCCAGAGCAAACTCCCCACTTATTCACCACCACTTGAGGGGTGCTGTGCAATTAGCCCCAGCACAGCGCCACTTCGATGCCAGGGACAGGTGCAACGTGGGCTCTTATCGGGTCCCCTTGGCGAGTGGGACCCGATAAGAGCCCAGCGCCCACCGCCCCATCTGGCGGCACTCACGTGACGCGGAAGTCGACGGCGTGCTTGAGCCGCTTGTCGGCCGGGCTGAGCTGGCGCGAGGTGTAGTGCTTGTGGCCGCTCAGCCGCGAGTCCATCGCCTGCAGCAGCTGCTCGTCAGAGATCTGGTGGAGGGCGTTGCCCACAATTACGTCAATTACACTCGACTTTATTTATTTATTCATGTGCTAGTAAAGTAGATAGACTTAGAATTTTAATTTTAATTAGAATTTACAAATTATATAATATGAAATAATGACATAAGTGTATCAATCAACGATAGATGTCAGTTGCACAAAGCCAAATAAATAAATCGGTCTCTAGGGGCACTTCGAGGAAGGAAAACGTCGTGTAGAAATCTGAACATTTTCGAAATAATAACAAAAAACATTTTCGAAAATACGTGAACTCCGTCATTCACAGGAAGGTCGCGCGTTGGACTATACCCTCTGTGCAGAGAAGACCTTTATCCAAAAGTTGAACATATATACAGCGTGTCGTTACCATCGCGACAATAAATGAACACACGTCTAACGCTACTTGCCAATAATCATAAAAAAATATTAACGTTAAACAAAATCCATAATTAAAAAAAAGTATTTTTCAAACAAACTAACTAAGTAAAAAAGAAAAAAAAATTGTAACATCCTATACAACTCGCGTCACAGCGTCGTATTACAAGCCTCTCCTTCTAACAGTATGTTTTGTCTCTTTTAAACTCATTCAACCCATTCATATGCTTTGTGACCTTTACAAATGAACTTTACGTTACGCTTTTATAGGTAAGGGTGTTCTAAAATTCTTTGTTTTGGAAAATTGAATAACTCTGTAAATATTGATGTTTAAAGAATTTAAATGTTTAATACACAACTTTAAAAAGTTATCCCCTATATGTGTGTTCATTTATTGTCGCGATGGTAACGACACGCTGTATACAGGCTAACAGTCTTCTTCGTTAAAATACGGAATATCATTATGAACCATCTCAACAATTAGAACCATTAAGTACCTTGGTGGGGTTAAGGCAAGCCTCGTCCATGATGGCGATGAGGCCCTTGTGGGGCGCGTCGACCAGGTCGCAGATGACGCGGTTGTTGAAGTACGGCACCGGCCGCCACTGGATGCCCTCGCGCGCGTACTCCTCCTGCTCCTGCTTCAGCACCAGCTCTGAACACCACACGCGCCATCAGATGTGTGAAGGTGGCAAGTGAGCTGGCCGCCCACGGACATTTACAACACCAATAGCGTTGCAGATGCGTCGACAACTTGTAATGGAGCGGGCCTCGACTCCCACTCTAAACTAACCGCAAACTTCCACTTTACGCCGGTTTTCTGTGAGGCCGTGGTACGTTCTAGGACGGACCTGCCCATTTGTGCAACAAGGAAGACTGTTGCGTGACGTTAACTATATGCCGTTAATGTTGCATTTGGTGTGGCAAAACATTGCAATAAAACAGGTTGTTGGACATGGGATGATTTTCTTAAAACTATTCTTCTTTACACTTCACTTCTAGTGCGTTGGCTAATAACAAAACACTGTTAATACCTTTTTTGGACAACGTTTTCAGTTTGATTCTTGATGGGGAACTGTCAATTACGCTGAAAATTGTATTCTTCCGAATAAGATGATTGTCTCTTCTAGTCACGTGACTTTCATCCCTTCTCACAACGTGCCTTGATGATGATCTTGTCATCACTCACACATTACTTAATGTCATGATATTTTGCATCTTACCTTCATCGGAATGGAGGACGGTCGGGTGCTGATTTTCTTGATAAAATGTCAATGTTAGATTATTTTATCCCCTAGTTTGTCATAGTATTCAATCCCCTCCCCCGACAGGGCAATACATACCGATGAAGAGTTGCTGCAGCTTCTCGTTGCAGTAATTGATGCAGAACTGCTCGAAGCTGTTGGTCTCGAATATCTCGAAGCCGTAGATGTCGAGGACGCCGATGAGGGTGCTCTTGTATGTCTCCTTTGGCGCTTCGATAGCCTTGTTGATCTGTTGGGCAGGTTCCAAACTTGGCACATTGTCGTAAAAAGCATAAATCTTTCAACATTCAGCTTATATCAATATCAGCCTATTGCCGTCCACTGCTAAACCCAAGCCTCCCCCAAAGTTTATATAACCACTTGGTAATAATTTAAGCTAAATAATGACATTAATTATTATTTTTTCAAACACGAATACCTTTGTCATTGTTAAGGTAATACTTATACTATATAGACTTTTTTAATACGGACATTTTGAACCCTGTGTCTATGTTTCGCTGTGACTTTCACGTTTAAAGAGGTTTCACAAAATAAAACTTGATAAGAGAAAAATTTAAAAACAAATCCCTTAAAGGGAAGGGTGCTGGATCTGATGGAGTACCAGCAATTTTTGTGAATAAATGTGCCTCGGCTCTGGCTAGACCTTTATGCCTCATCTACAATAAATCCATCAATACTGGCACCTTCCCTTCCCATTGGAAGACAGCACTAATTGTCCCATTATTTAAGAATGGCGATAAAGATAATGTGCGAAACTATAGACCCATTTCTATCCTCCCAGTATTTGCTAAAGTGTTTGAACAGCTGCTTCACCCTCTTCTGACTTGGCATTTTAAACACTTCATTCACAGCCGGCAGCATGGCTTTATCAGAAACAGATCCACCATAACTAACCTGGTATCTTTTGTTAACGACGTAAGCCTGATTGTTGATTCTCGCTCATCAGTGGAAGTAGTCTACACTGACTTCAGCAAGGCCTTTGATCGAGTGAGCCATCAAATTCTAGCACGAAAAATCTCTGCGTTTGGTATCGGCGAACCCTTATTGGGATGGTGCAATTCATATCTGTCGCATCGTAAATCCCTGGTTGTAGTCAATGGCTACAGATCTGATCCCTTCACTGTGTGTTCTGGTGTCCCACAGGGATCTCATCTTGGCCCACTTTTATTCAATGTCTTCATAAATGACATTAGTGACTGCTTCCTTAATACAAGCTATTATTTATTCGCTGATGATTTGAAGTTTTTTAGAATCGTTGATACCTTCTCAGATTCAGCTTTATTACAAGAAGACCTTGTCCGTCTAGAGGCTTGGTGTGTGATAAAAATCAGATGGATTTAAACATCTCTAAGTGCCTTGTGATGCGCCGCTTTTCCAGAAAAATGTCTAATTTGGATTGCAAATACATCGTCAAAAACCAGGAGTTGTCAAGGGTCGATCATGTTAGAGACTTGGGAGTGTTGCTCGATAGCAAAATGCGATTTAATCTCCACATAGACAACATTTGTTCTAAAGGTTTTAGAAGCCTTGGTTTCGTTCTACGAAACACTAAAGATTTCAAAAGCTCCAAGATCAAGATCTTATTGTACAACGCTCTCGTACGCAGTGGCTTAGAGTATGGTTGCGTCGTTTGGAATCCTAAATATAACGTTTACGCGAAAAGACTGGAAAGCGTTCAAAAAAGGTTTCTGTGGCACCTGGCTTACTCTTGTAATTTGGGGAAAACCATTACGTCATACTCTGATCGACTGAAACATTTCGGAATGAGTTCTCTGTGCGATAGAAGGGCAATGCTCGAAATTCTCTTCCTGCAAAAGCTTGCCAATGGCACTATTGATGCTCCTTATCTGCTGTCCCTTTTAAACTTTACCGTTCCCTCAAAGCTGCCCCGACGCTCTAGATTTAATATTTTCTCGAACTGTTCATGTAAATCCAACCTTGGACAGCAAGCGCCTTTAAACAGAATGGTTAGGAATTACAATAACATCTCGAGAACTTCTACATCGGACTTGTTTTCAGATAGTGCCGCCAAGCTAAAGAAAGAATTGCTAAAATTATTTTCCGAAAATACTATATTACTTTAATAATCACGGATTGTTGTTACTCATTTTGACTGTTTTCGCCTGGTTTATTGTCAAGCAGATTTCCTGATCTCCCCATGTACTTGTAGAAACTTAAATAGTATTATTAGTCCATGTATAAATCATACCTAAATTTATTGCATAATCATACCTAAATTCATTGTTTATCACTGTCTTTAATGTTTTTTACTGTTATTTCCTTTATCAATTATTTGTTTTTAATTTATTAATTCTTGTTTTAATTTTGGATTTTGTAACAAAAAAAAATATCTTTAACTGTATTTTTTCTCGCCCATTATATTGCATGCTGTCAGCGCCTTTAATTGTAATGACACTAAGGAACAGTTGATGTATATTTATTTTCCTAAGTCTTAAATAGTGTACATTATGTTGGCGTTCTTTAAATAAATAAATAAATAAAGGGAACTTGTGATAATATGAATTAAATTATTTTAAACAATTAATTAATAATCACTTGAAAAATTTAAACAATGAATGTCGTCTGTTTGAGTTTGCTCATTAATGACGGCTTAAGTAATAAGACTGTTCAAGTCTTTCATTTCGAACACTGTTTCGCTGTGTACAAGGCAAACATTTGTACGAGAGTAAATGTAGTGGGTCATGGAAAGTGCGCCACCCACCTCTTGCACCACCCAGCTGAAGAGGCGGTCGTACGCCGCCTTGGCCAGGGCGAGCCGCGTGTAGTGCGCGTCGCTGAGCGAGTGGCGCTTGCTGACCAGCTCGCCGCCCGCCGCCAGCACGCGGCCCGCGAGGGCGGCGCGCAGCTCCTCGGCGCCCACGCCCAGCGCCGCCACGCACGCGCCCAGCGGCCCGCCCACCGCCACCTCGCCCTCGCCGCCCTCCCCGCCCTCCGCGAAGCTCAGCTCGCCCTGCCGATTGCGCGTTGGACGAATCCCACCACAAACTCTCCCACAAAAGAGTCCGCCCAGCGAACCTAAAAGCCTCCTGCGCTAGGAGGATTCAGACTCGAGGACGAGATCTATATCAAAACGACGTAAATCCAACAGTCGACTTAAATTAGTGCACTAAGTAATATCCACAGGGTTGTCCCTATGCCAGAAGTCTACGCCACGACTATGTCCCCACTGCCCAAGCGTTCTTCGTCTACCGTCAGGAACACTCAGCGAAACACATCGTGTTCATCGTGAGCAAACCTGCACTTGTACCGTTTCTCATTATAATAATTCATTATGTAGGTACATAGTATTGGACTCTTAAAAAATATCCCCGCTCCCCGCTACCTAACCAAATGCATCCACCGATGGCAACATCCTACCACAATCGTTACCTTAAAAGAATATAAAATAACATAAAAATGCATCACTCACCAGCAAGACCACTCCAGCCACTATACTCCATATGTCGTCGATCACCGAAGGGGAAAAGCCGAGTGCGTTGAAAGCGCTATTCGTAACGGAATAAAGCTTAGAGTCCTGCGCGGAACCTCTCTCGCTGCCCAATATCTTGTACACCGCACTCGAGCTCAATCCGAACTTCTTTAGATACGGATTGCTTGTGCTTAATAACTGTAACAAATACATAAATTTATCTAATAAAGAAGACTGCCACAAGGTATTACCTAGGTCCACCAATTTACTGTCCATAAATATATACCAGACATGTGAAATGTCGGCAAAGTCCAGGGCATTGTAACTGTGTCTACCGCTGTTTATTCGCTGATTGAACTTTTTTAATAAGGCATATCTCTCAAAGTTGTTTAGATAAGAAAAACAAAAGTTTGTTTGTGAAAATACTGCGTTGATTGAGAGAAATACCCCAACAAAGATTATCCACGTATAAATCTATATGTAGTATTGGACCGTGTTTTGGATATACATTCTATGTTAAGTACCGCGTATAGAGACACAAAAACAAGCTTACGACGACAAAACAACGCACATCGCACGCCACAAGCATAACAAACTTGATTAGATTGAGACAATGATGATGTAATTCCTAGTCGATGTTTTCACTAACGCCTAGCTTGCTAACTCCGAAACATAACTATTTCACGAAAGCAAATACAGGCATGCCATACTCCTCCACTCCACAGTACTGTACTCCATAGAGCTCAATACTAAAAAAATTAACACACCAATATTAACCGTGTCTATTTATGGGACGTGGTAATCTCAAGGACATGTAATAAAAATGATGCAATTTATAAATTATTGAAACATTTCATTTTAACATTTTATTGCGCCCATGACCACATAACGGAAACGCAAAGTTCCGTTACGGCGACATTTAAAGATACTACTATTATCGCATACTTTTCAAGAATAACAATGTTTAATAATAAATACAGGCGTAAATTACAACATGCAAAAAAATCAAGTACGATTATAAAATAAATAAATAAAAATAAAATAAAAAGCCTTTTATTTCTTGCGAATTTTAAAGTAGATTTTACAAAGTTTGCGTAATATGTGTATAATTTTTTTTTTTACATCTTGAGTTTCACAAATCATTTGTTTATATAAAAAAAAATATATCAAAATAATGTAGAATTTCATCATGTCATGCAAGAACCCCTCTTATGTGAGGGTGAAGTAACATATTTTCAACAATGAAACCTATTGTGTATTTGTTACTGGCTGTGTTGTCTGGAGGGTTATGGTCGATCTCTCCCGCGGTGACCAGCTGTCGTGGGAGATGTAAAGTCGGAGGGTCCGTTTGTAATTGACAATTCGTGTTGTTTTTCTAATTATTTTCAGGTTTATGTATAATAAAATCTTTCATGTTTGATAACTTGTTCTTTTTATTTGATTGTTTTTGGCCTTGTTCTCCTAAAATGTATTTTTTATGTATTATCTCTGGTGATTCAGACAAGTTTCTTTTATTTGGGAGATTACGAAAAGCTTGTTCTGTTTTATTCTTTATTATAATTAGTTTGTCATATCTAATGTATACCTTGTGGCCTAGTTGTTGTTCTTTTTTAAGTTGTTCTTGTAAGTCTCTTCGCTTATTCAAGATTTCTAATGGATAGTCTTCTTTCAAATAGTATGGAGTATTTTCCAGAAGTTTTTTATTTTTCAAGATATTTATTTTTAATCCCATTGTTCTGAAAGTTATTCTTATTGGTCTAATTGCATCCTTCTTTTTTCCAAGTCGTGTGACATCTTCTATACTAAGATTATTGTACTGTAAGTTAAAGTGTGTATTTATAAGATCTATTATGGTATTTTCTAGCTCATGGTATGATTTTTCCTGTTCCTCTACACCAAACAAAATAAGATTTTTGCGTCGCATGTATCTGTCCAAGTTGCCTAACGCTGAATTTTGTTGTTGAATTTTTGTTTCAAAATAATTTTGTTTCTCCTCCAAAGCGGTAAATTTTTCGTTTAAATTATTAATAATAGTTGTTTTTATATCCTCTTTCATTGCCAACATTTCAGATTTTGATTGCCTAATTTCTTGCTGCATATTTTCTAATAACTTTTTTATTTCTTCCATGTTTGTTTTGGTGTACGTAGCGCCCTCTCGTTAATATTTCGGTATTCAATTTATTGGTGGCGATCCACTGTACTAGATGGCGTCGCTAGGTCCTTTCAAACTTTTGTATACATCATCAGCTGGTACCCTCATACAAAGAATATTTTATAAAATATGTAGGTATCACTTTAGACAGAAATTTTTGTACTGGTTAATTTAATCAATAATATAGTATTTGGCTAGATACTTCAATAACACTAATTTCACTGTTCCTTATAATACAATAATGACTAGGGGTCCATCAAAAAATTGTTGTGCAGGCCGGGACGAACGTCTTTTTCACACAAGTCAACGTTGATTTCTTTCCTTTAACAGCAAAACTGAACACTGCTGCAATAGATCACTATTAAACTTGCACAACTTGACACTTTTTTATTACTTTTTCACACTGTTTATATTTTTATTTACTGTAAAATTGCGGATCCGATGTTGACCGTGCCACAGTGGCTCCCTCGATAAGACCTTACTTCATAGGATCATTGCTATAGTAAGCTCTTCACGAGACCTTCACACCATGTGAGATCTATCCAAGTACGATTATTTTGTATATTTTAAAATGAAAATAATATGGTTAATATTTTTTATGGCTTTTGCTTTAAAACTATATAGGTACTGTGATAAATTTCGATCAAGATGTATATATGTATTACATTGTATGCACGTTATTAGAAGTATTTTAAAAACAACCCTAACCAACAGGGCAGTAGCTAAACTTTTTTGTAATGTGAGAACGTGGCAAACGAGATGGCGGTTCACCTGATGGTAAGTGATAACCGCCGCCCATTGTCATTTGCAATCCCTGTAGGATTGCAGATGTACTTTACATAAAAGAGGCCCCGGCTACCCCGCTCACCAGACGAAACGCAGAAGTAATACTACACCACTATATAACCCCGGACAGACCTGCCCCTTCGTGCAACAGAGAAGACTATTGCGTGGCCCTACAGGCAGTACGAGGCATCAGCTTTCAATGACAATTATTATCGCCAAATTGATAATTTTCAGACGCTTTACTGCCAGCGCATATCTCTTCGCTAGTTTATTGGAATGATGAAAGCTTCCTGAAAACAAATACTTCAAAGCTCACCTGATAGAACGCGTGGAAATTCCTCTCGCCCGGCTGCAAGTTGACCACCCTACTCTTCTCGAGGAGATAGTTGCTGATGTGCCCGCCGACAGGGTCGCCCTTGTAGTCGAAGTGTATGTCCATGTACTTGCCGAAGCGTGAGGAGTTGTCGTTGCGGTTCGTCTTAGCGTTACCGAACGTCTCCAGTATCGAGTTAGATTGGATGAGGACGTTCTTAACCCTGAGAGAGTATCGTTCACATTACTGCAATACTTGCGTGAGTCAAATTGGAAAAAGTTGAACGAAAGAAAGCGGTACAGCGTAGTGCTTGCCCAAATACATTTGTGTTTAAGTAAACTGATACTGATGATACGAACAGAAGAAGAAACAATCTTCTTCATCGATTGCTTTGTTTCGTTGGGTGACGTTTACACTTTAAACCTCTGTGACAAGGTCACAGAGGTTTAAAGTGTAAAGTGGCCACAGAGCCCACGAAAATGCAACCTATCCTCGAAACATATTAAGTGACCCAACGGTACGTAACAATCAAATTATTGAAATAGTTATGATTTGTGGTAAAAGTGTTTAGAATACCAAATATATAGAATTAATTATATAGCCGGTAAACGCCCTAGACTTGTACAATTAATAAGATGAGGTTTAAACCATGTTAAAAGTGCACTGACTAAATAAAAAATTTCAAAATTGTAAAACTTATGAAAGCTTCACCTGTCAATGTATTCTCTGTGCACCTGTGTTGTGTTGGCTGCGATATATTTCATTATAAATTTTGAAGCCTCCGTTTTGCCAGCGCCCGATTCGCCGGAGATCAAAACACACGTATCCCTTCCCTGCAAAATACATTAATTGATTAGAATCATTGCGTTTTTACAAAAACATAAAGACAACAGTAGAATAGCAATATGGTATGTGTCTGCACTACAGACAGTTTAAATTATAAATAAAACAAAATTTATTAATATGTATAAATTCATGTATAAACCTCAGACTGTTCTTAATACTTGTAACACTCGCGTTGGAAGTCAACCGTAAGATTTTAGATATATTGGCTTATAAGTGGTTAACGACTTGCATTCAAATTTGTATATTCGCACTGACTCGCATTCGAATACAAACAGAAGACTGACGTGAAGTGGAAGTGATACACTTCTGGTTTCGTTTGGTGAGTAAGGTAGCCGGGGCCCATCTTATTAAGAGCTGACAACACATCTGCAAGCCTACGGGTGTAGCAAATGTCCATGGGCGGCGGCTATCATTTAAGCCAAGTGCCAGCTGAATTGCCATCTTCTTAGATTAAAAACAGTGAACGCTTAACATGTTTCATTTGCGATCACTGATTTAAAAAAATGATTTTTTGTGTCTATTGAACTTTTTATTCTTACTTATTGTACTTAAATCATGATGTGGTTATATTTAATTATAAGGACAGTTGGATGAGATTTGACATTGAATGTGAGCTGACACAAATTTTCATGACTAAATATTTTATGTTAGTAATCCTATAAATAGAGTAATAATTTAACTTTACAGCCGAGAGAATCCTTGTGTTTGGGAGTAATTTACCACATCCATCGAACATTATGTACCAAAACAGATGGACAAATTTATATCAGTTCAGTTAAGTAATTTAGTCTTGCCGATCGTTACCGCCTCTCATAATTACAAATCACAATAGACGAAGCGGTTAAATCTTATACCGGAACCGTCACTCAGAGAGAACTAATAATCGCATTATATAGTCTAGCGTAATGTCAATTTGACTAAACGACGACGAGGTAAAATTCACGCCACGAGACAATGGTGGTGAGTGCGAGACTATTATCGAGTGGGGCTTTACGATCCGCCGCCGCGGGTCCAAGGGGCCATTCGTCAAGCGTCACAATGCCCCGATGGGGTCTGGAGTCGCAAATACTCCTCGGAATTGCCCGTAGCGGTCCATTAGCGCGGTTCCCCGGCGTAGAGAGGACCCCGCAAATTGGGTACGGGAATTTACGTTGGGCCGTAAACTGCGCGCTCGGCCAGTTTAGTTGTAACAGGCCCTCGCAGTTATTATGGAGTAACAAGCGTTTATTGTCTTATCCTTCAGCTCAATAAAGGCGAAGAAAAGGGACGTTATAGTAAAGTAACAGCCTATGATGTCACATGTTGGGCAAAGGCCTCTTCTGTGTAGCAGTTACTAGGGCATAGTCCACCATGCGACCTCACTGCGGTTTAGCGGACTTACATATCTATAAAATAACAATTTCACCGATCCCCATCCGATGTGATCTCCCAATCCATTTCGGCAGTCTCGAAATTCTTAGTTTTCGTTTAGTACACCTAACACAGTATGTAACTAAATGTAACACGTTGACAGCAGCTCAATTACTTTCCGAAAGGTGTTAAAGACGACTGCAATAGAAATACGATTCCATTATGTAGTAATAGGAACGGAGCATGCATTTGTGTTCATGTAGATAATTCAGGTCAGCCGTGTGATTGTGGTTCGCGTGACAGTTCCCATTGTTGAGCTCTCTGTGTCGTGAGTGATAAGCGCGCTTTTTGCGATTTGATATTAATAAACGAACGACGTAAGCCAATTATTACACGTAAGGTTTTCTATTGAGGAAGCTATTTCTTTCATAAATCAATTAGAGAATACAAACTTACTACTAATACTACTTAATATACTTGTTATTTTATGTCGTTATTCTAATCAACCAAACTAAGTATATTATCACGTAGGCTTATTTGAGACTAGTATACCTGTACCATGTCATATTGTACACAGATATTTTTGAAAAAGAGCAACTGTTAAGTTTCTGTCCGGTCTCTTCTAAAGAGAAACTGCTGTCCGAACCGGAGGTACCATACTAATTTATTTATTAAATTTATGTAAAATACGTTCCCTAAGAAAGCGCAAGCGTCTATTTGAATAAAGATATTGTGAAATTGAATACATGTATCGATATGATTTTTAGGTTCATACTTTCACCTTACTATAATGTCGGACGTTATATGTTCAAAAATTGAAAAGATGATGAAATTTAGGGGGTCTGTACTCGGCAATGTGTACTAGAGATTGGTGAGATGAGATAGAGATGTTATGTCATCGCTTATTCGCTGATTTTCACGGTTAATGAGTTTGTCGCCGTAAAGGGGGCAAAAAGCGGCACCCGCGTAAAGAACTGCCGTACCGTTCTACACGAAACGTCGAAAATTCAATTAATGTCAGTGACTAATCGCAAATCCGATAGGCTAAGCGCTCGCAGACACTTACGACGATAAACGTTATTAGGAAAGATACGCGTAGGGCTTCCGTGACGAGGATTTTCGTTCGGGTAATGCGAAATATACGAGATCGCGATTTCTATGTCGAGTAACGGCCGGTTTCAATAGTCTAATCTACAGATCGATTTTAACTGTGGTAGAACCACGCAGCAGCCTCGGCTATTGCACGAATGGGCAGGCTCGTCCCGGTAAGTACCACGACCTCACAGAAGACCGGCGTAAATTAGAAGTATATTACTTTCGCGTATCGTCTGATGAGTGAGGTGGCCGGAGCCCAATTTTCAAAAGGTTGTCAACGCATCTGCAACACTCGGGTGTACCAGATGTCCATGGGCGGCGGTATTCACTTAACATCAGGTGAATCGCCTGCTCGCTTGGCAATTTTTCACATAAAAAAAGGATTTCGTTACTAGCTATAGTTTTTTGACATCAGCTCCATAAGTCTCACGTCAAATTCTATCTCCAGTAAAGAAATCTGTATATCGTATATTGAAACCAGCCGTTTGACGACGAATTTGTTTATTAGTATCGCATCGCAAACAAAATAGTTTCCTTCACTTTCAGGAGGATCTGTAATCTCATCGAGTTAATAATCTTACTGGTTGCGGAAGAAGTCCACAGCGTTTGGGGCATTGCATTGTTTGCCGTCTCCGATTTTCACTGCACCTAAATAATGTAGTAAAATAGAAAGCGCCCATTCCGAGACAGTGCAATTTCATCCGATGTGCCGAACTTCTCGCCACTATGCGGACATGATTTCTAAAAGATCACACGACCATCCTTAAGCATAATTAAAACACGTATCTATTACTTAGCGCACAGAGCCTAGATTAAATTTTAATTTTAATTTTTCGCGACACGCCATTTACTGGGGACAGTTAAGCGCAGATGCTCTCCAAGCGGCAGGTGTACTGCACAGTGATAGTTCTACTACAAAAGGCAAAAAATCCTTAAAACATAATACTGACGTGTTTAAATTTACTTCCTGTAAATTTAAGTTTTGTCTTTTTTTAAAAAAATACATTCGTCGAACGATGATACGATTGATGAATTGATTGTGTCTCGTCGCGAATCGTGAGTTCAATTCCCGCACGGCCAACGGCTTTGCAACCGACTTCGAAAAAGAGGATTTTCTCAATTGCGTTCAATGTTTCTTGTATATATTTGTTACCTCATAACTCTTATTCAACTGTCGACTCAGTGCCAACCCTGGTCGATATACTGTTAAATTACGCCAAACTAAATTGACGCCAACCCTGGTCGATATACTGTTCTGATCGAAATAAAATTGGTCCAACACTCGCTCCAACGTAGTCTGCCGGCCCGTGTTGGTTGTGCCTAGATTAAAGTCTTCATCTCCAACATTCGCCTTAGATCAGTGGTTCCCTTTTCCGTCAGTCAATAAGTGAATTGCTGCTATATTGACTCAAGATATTTGAATTTGAATCCCACACGTTAAAATGTTATCTCTTACCAACTTTGGTAACCAACTACTTGACCAACGTGGGCACCCTTGGTAACTAATTGTGATAGGCCCAGAATCTTGGGCGGCGGTTATCACTTAACATCAGGTGAACCACCAGCTCCCGTGCAATGTTCTTACGTTAAAAAAGATAAAAAAAACGGAGGTTACTACCTGAACATTTTACAAACGAGTGTGAACTAGCTTACCTCGCCAACCGAATGCAAAATCTTAGGTAACAGTTGCGGTCTGGAATAGTCGAATTTTTTTATCGAGGCCGCGACGAAATAGACACAACTTGTGTAACAACAAATTGCTGATTGTCTAATCTAGATCTTTTGCAAGCAAGATGTATCAAGTGTTAATTTGAAGTTTCGTGAAGAGCTGTGTTAGAAATATTTTTGGTACAATGTTTTAATGATTGCTGATCTAAGGGCCTAGAAACGAACCCAAACGTAACCAACGACCGTAGCATGTCCAGAATTATAAGTTCCGACTCCCTCTACTTCGAGACATTTTATCACAACCGACCTCACAGGTTCACGTACTCTCTCCGTTTAACCATTTGTTCTTTGGTGCAGCAACGTAGCGGTTGTAATGATAAGGCCTGCCCGAAGAAGAGCAGCATGAAATACAAGTGCGTCAATCTTTCAGTGCGTCGTCGCCCTGAAGGCCATCATAGTTACGTCAACTTTGAAAGAGACAGCATCCGAGAAAGCGAGACATGATCAATCACACACTCTCCGAAGCCAGCCGTGGACTTCAATTGTGTTAAGGCCAAGTGTTGTCGATCCAAGGGTGTGTGGCACACCTCACACGGTTCTTCTCTGATGATAAGTGACAACCGACGTCCACTGTGTCGCGATAGACCATGTCCGGGCGCTCCCTTCCAATTCAATGTAATCGAGCAACTTGCTTTGAAATCGCAGTGCCGGCACCAATGAAATTTGAAATATTTATCACGTGTTCAGCGATGAAGAACAAAATCGTGAGTAGGCCAGCATACTTTTGAGATTTTTCATAATTAAAAAAAATCAATTATATGTAAACTCTGCCAATCCTCGCGGAGGTCGCGTGGTAGACTATAGGCCGATTGACTTTACGTTTTACTGACTTCAGCAACCTTGAAGAGCTTGACGCATCATTTTTTTACGTGAGAAGGTGGCTAGCGAGCTGGCGGTCCACCTGATGTCAAGTGATAACCGCCGCCCATGGACATTTGCAACACCCGTAGGCTAACAGATGCGTTGGCAGCTTTTAATAATGTGGCCCCCGGCTTCCTCGTTAACCAGGCGAAACGCAGAAGTGTAACACTTCCACTTCACGCCGGTCTTCGGTGAGGTCGCGTTCACCTCGGACGGACAACACTCAACAGTGAATACTATCGCATGGCCCTGTGCACAGTTCCCATCGCAGGGCGCTCACCTGCTGCCTGAGCACCCTCTGGCAAGCGTCCGCCACGGCGTACACGTGCGGTGGCACCTCGAACATCTCCCGGCCCCGGTACTGAGCCATCGTGGCCGCATTGTAGATGTCCAGGCTCCTGTACGGGTTCACCGAGACCAGTACTTCGCCGATGTAAGTGTAGATCTTGTTGTGCTGGAACCTGGGGAGAGACATTTTTCGTTCATCATTCGTTGCCGTAGCGTCGCATTACAAATCTCTCCTTCTAACAGTATGTTATATCTCTTTCAAATTCATTCAACCCATTCATATGCTATGTGACCTTTACAAATGAACTTTACAGTTTTAAACTTAAGGCTGTTCTAAAATTGTTTATTTTAGAAAATTTAATAACTCGGTAAATATAGACGATTAAAGAATGTACATGTTTATTACAATTTTAATAAGTTATCCTCTATATGTGTATTGATTTTGTCGCGTTAGTAGCGACACGCTGTCGCTAAATTAAAATCCTTATTGCGTTTCACAATTATATCACATTAGAAAAAAAATCGTAACGTATGAGTTCCTGTACCTATCATGTAATTAGATGAAAATATTGTCATATTGATAGATGTAAATACAGTGCGCAATCCAACGCTCCGTTAAATCCTATCATATTAAACCTAAATCCTAATTATGTGTATTAGTAATCAAGCAATAGCCGAAAACAAAACAGCCACATTATTACAACGACACATTTCTCGAAATAAAATTAAATCAGCACGAAACAAACAATGGCCGAGTGGCCTGCAGGCGCAGAGAAAGTGACATCAGCAAACGTTTCGGTCCCAAATGCGTTTGCTCCACTTCGCCGGTCAACTTAAGTTCTCCGCCCAACACAACTGACGCTACAGATAGAGATGCAACAGTCGGTACTATGAACTTTGGGTGCACTGCATGTGCAATCACGTCGGCGTCACCAGTTTGGGAGCCGGCAGGAGGGAATAATTAAGATGCAGTACAAAGAACAAGCCGTGTTGAGAAAACCATAATATTTTATTGTCACGTCAATATTAGGGTAATGCTAGACCAGATGAGAGTATTAGTAGTAGTACATAAGACATAAGCGATGCTACACTATAGCAAATGAGTCGCCACAAACTTTAGCCGTTAATGCAGGTCATCGTAAACGTTGTGTCTTATGAATTTGTCGAAAATATATCAGATCACTGTCCGGGCGCTCGCTTTTAATTCAATATATTCAGAGCAACCTCAATTCGATCCCCGGTGCCGGCACCAATGAAATTGTCACTACATAGTAGAAAACAAAGTGTCCCGCGGTCTGTCTGTCCCTATGTATGTATCTTTAAAACAACGCAACGGATCTTGATGCGGTTTTTTTTTACTAGATAGAGTAATTCAAGAGCAAGGTTTATATGTATAATACAATGAACCCGTGCGAAGCCAGGGCGGGTCGCTAGTAAATTATAAATGTTGCCTTATCACGTGCTCACCGGTGAAGGAAAACATCGTGAATAAAAATTGTTTCGAAGATATATGTAGTCCGCCAAACCGCAGTGAGGTCGCTTGGTGGACTATGCCCTGATACCCACCCTATATACAGAGGATGCCTTTGCCCAGCAGTAGGACATATAAAGATTATACTACTATTATATACTATTTATATCTTAGCAGATGTCGATATGTATTGTTCGTACACGAAATCAATGGTGTGGTTATACGAATGTACGAAGAAGCATCAGAAGACGTCATATTCGACGGAGCCCGCGGGTCGTCGACCTCTCTGATCGTGCGATTTTTGGCCCCCTACAACCCGCGAAGAAACTTTTTGTTGTCGCCGTAGAATCGACGCGCCTTATAAAGACGCATGAAAAAAAAAGTATATAAGTACGAGGAAAATACTACTAAACATTGCCAGTTGTCGAAAGTTTCTGTACACAGCATATAAATTACATTTGCTATAATAAAACAATTATAGATAAGAGACTCAAAATGGACTTTACAATCATTTGTCGTATTTAGTTTTCAATCCTTTATATTAAAACAGGAGTTCTAAAACTAATAGTCTCTTTTCTCTTATCACCTGCAGCATACAATTCCGTTTGAATTGAATCGTTAGTGCAGCATCACTTAAAATTTAACACGATTTAAAACTAGACTCACACACACACATTCTCCTAATGCTAGTTTTTCGACCGCTGATTTTAGGAAGATCATTTGAAAATTTTCCCACGGCATCGAAGCGCAACAACCGTATTACGATGACGTTGCTCGCCGATTAAAAATAACAAACAAAAAATCGTGCGAGTTATCCCTATCTAAAATATTTTATCATTCGTAATGCAGAATGACAAATATATAATGTGCGCTATATTTTGTTATGTCCGGGCGCTCGCCTTTAATTACATTTACTCGAGCAATCTGAGTTCAATCCCCGGTGCCAGCACCAATGGAATATTTAATTTTAAGTGCTGACTTATCACGTACTCGGTGGGGAATGAAAACATCGTGAGGAAACCTGTACATTTTTGAAATAATAAAAAAAAACACATTTCGAAAAATATGTGAAGTCCGCCAATCCGCAGTGGGGTCGCGGGGTGGACTATGCCCTGATACCATCTTTACAGAGAAGGTCTTTGCCCACCTTTGTCGACAGACTGATAGAAGTAAGACGTTCAGCTTGGTAGCCCTAAACACTCTCCACTCCAGGACCGCTTCAAAACATATAAGACGTATATAATCGTCTGTTCTAGATTACAGTCATGTGCTGAACTAATGACCGGATTCAATATTCTATCTATACGTTGCTTTGGTTACTGGATACAGAATTTTGACGTAAGTGTTATGGAGCTAATGTAAAATACCTATCGCTAGTAACCAAATCTACAGACACATACAATATTGAAACCGGCCGTATCATGTCGTTTTTTGAAGATTGCACAACCGGTCTAAACAACACGTGTTGTGTTATAACATTATTTTAGCGGCGGCCGTGCTATCCGATGGGGCGGAGCAGCTCGGCGGGCGATGACGTCACCGGGGCCTGGGGCCGGTTTGTGGTTCAAGATCAACGAGCCGGCCAGGTTGCTGCGTGCGTGCCGCCTTATAGGAGCCGACAGATGCGGCCAGGAGGAAAATCGGATTCGCTTTCGATGGGTACACATGCGGACTTTATGGAGGTCCCGTTTAGTCAAAACAGCTTTGGATTTGGGTAATGTTATGTAAGTAGATTTTACTGGACTCCGTGGCGCAGTTGCCAAGGTATTGGCTTCGGCGGCGGGGTCGTGGGTTCGATTCCCACACGGGACAACTGTTTGTGCGACCCACAGATAATTGTTTCGCATCTGGGTGTGAAACGTCCTTACAAAACAGGATAAGGTTAAACTTAAGTAAGGGCAATGTTAAAAAAAATGACGACTAACAGCTTCCGCTTTTGCACAATGGGCAGCCTCGTCCTTCTATACTTCAGGGGTGTCGGCTGGTGAGTGAGATAACCGGGGTGCAATGTTTTTAAAGGTAGACAACGCATCAGCCACCCCTCAGGTGTTTTATATGTACATGAGTGGTGGTAATCACTTAATGTCGGATGAACCACCTGCTCCTTTGCCAACTGCTCACACAGGAAAAGGTTCTAAGCTGAACCTAATCAGTCCTCAGTAATTTTGTCAAATCTTCTTAATTATAAACATTTTCATTGTTTTAATAAAAGCTTAAAGTAACAGCCAATATTATGCGTCCCATTGCTGTGCAAGGGCCGTCTGTTTATAGGCCTTTGCACAGCAATGGGACGACCCTGCGGTCCTGAGCCAAAGGGACGCGTCCCCACTGCAGATTTGCAGACTTCACATATCTGCGAAATATTTTTTTATCATTGCGAGAGTATCTATGATTCCTCATGACGCTTTCCTTCACAGCTGAGCTAGTGATCTCAGCACTTAAAATTGACAATTGCATTGGTGCCGGCACTTGAATTTCAACTCGGATTGCTGGAGTATATTAAATTAAAGGCAAGCGCCCGAACACTGAGCTTTGACTGTCTTTTGTCTTTATAATATGTAAACTTGGTTAGATTAGTAACAATTCTAGTATTAAATAAAAAAAGGTGTTTTTAAAAAGTTATTTGTGATTTTTATTTTCCCAGCGAGAGAATCGATAGCGCAATTTATTTTAAAAAAGAAGATCAAACGGGCAATATGGAAGCACACTCGCCGTGTCTATTAAATAACGACCGGTAACCGGTTTAATAAAAATTATGCAACATTTCTTTATATATACAATTGGATTTAGTCCAAGGAAAGAATGATAATTTGAACACAGTAGTGACTGTAAAGCATGATTAAAAATAAATAAAAGCTCTCACATTATTCACTCTAACTGCAGAATACACAGTGATAAGTGTTGACGATATCTACATCACTACCTTATTCTTCTCGTCTTCTTTCCCCCGCTATAATCTCATCAAGTTGGGGACGGCACAAAATGTTGATAATGCTGTCAATGGTATTTGCTAGATAATTTTTTTACCTGCCACATGCCTAACATAACTTTCCTTGGCCACCGAATCATTACTTTATTACGTTTTAATAACGATCACAAACGTGTGGCAAGCAATGGGAGTGCAACACCATGGTTTCGGGCACACTTCCGCCACTATGACTGGTATCGGGAGAATATTACAGCAACAAATAAAAGAAAAGTTCCTTATTGTACTTATACGATGTCCACAAAGTGAAACATGGACGGCCACAGACTAAAAGTAATCAGATTATGATTACTTTTCTTACGTGAGAAGGTGTTAAGCGAGCTGGCGGTTCACCTTATGTTAAGTGGTAACCGCCGCCCACGGACATTTGCAGCACCCGTAGAGGTACTTCCCCGGACGGTTCTGCCCATTCGTGCAACAGCGAATACTGTTTCGCGGCCCCACCACAGTTCTTCACTGTGGCGTAGCATGCACAGCAAAGCAATAGACTGCCATTAACAGTGGTAGGGCCACGCAGCAGCCTCGGCTGTTGCACGAATGGGCAGGCTCCTCCGGGTAAGTTACACGACCGCACAGAAGACCAGCGTAAAGTGGAAGTATAATACTTTCGCGTTTCGTCTGGTGAGTGAGGTGGCCGGAGCCCAATTTTCAAAAGGTTGTCTGCAACCCTCGGGTGTAGCGGATGTCCATGGGCGGCGGTATTCACTTAACTTCAGGTGAACCGTCTGCTCGCAAGGCAACTTTTCACATAAAAAAAATTAAATGCCACACGCCGAGCTGTCCATTATGTTGTACAGTCTATTACATGTAATTATAAATTCCAGTTGCGCATAATTTAACATAAATGCATAACGTTGACAACTTTCTCAGTGGCATCCGACTTCCGTGGCTGGCACGTAACGACGCGGAAACGACCTCGTCACAGTACAGGCATTTCAATAACTTCTTAAATAAAAGTGCGTGAAAAACACGTGTTCAAAATAGAACACCTAATATATTCCTATTTGTGCGACATATAGAAAACTTGATTCAAACCTGAACAAACGCTTTCACAAACGCACGAAAACTATTAGAATTGTATACAACACGTGTTAAAACGGTTTTTAAATTAACACAAGTATGAGGCCAATTATTAATATCAGCTGCAATATTGCAGAAAGTAGCACAAACAAAAGTAGTTCATAAAGATTTATATACTACGCTGTAAATGCGTATATAAAATACTCGTATTTCACGGATTTTATCGGCTTCAATTTTAGTTCATTTTGCGACCATGCTGCTGCAGAACTTGGGAAACGTCCGAAATGATATAATTAAGAATTACAGTAAGAGTTATTATAACAAGTATGGTGGGATAAAATTCTGTTTGTATATTGCTATGTTACAACTGATACTGCTATGATAATTCTATTGAAAGAGTCTCTGTAGAATAGAATTTAGCTCCATATGGGTGTTTTATTATTTCTTTTTCCAAACGCGCCATGAGAACTATGAATTAAAAAAAATGGTAAAAATACATGTAAGAAACAAACAAAATTTTTTATTCCAAAATAATATCTTTTAGTAATTTCAATATCAAATTTCATGTATGAACAAAGGGATAGCGGAAAATGACATAATTATGAAATTATAGACAAAGCTTTATATTGTTTGCAGACTGGAAACGTCACTTCTGCTCACACAAGATCACCCCAATTCTATCGGTTTTTATATACTAATCTGATGTTTACCTCCGATTTCGTATCTCATTCGATCTCACTCCGCGCGTTTCACACATTATTATCAAGGCAACCTGTTCTAGGGCAATCGTGAGTCACCCGACGAATCCATTACAGTTCATTAATTCAGCTCAGATGTCGTTCTTTCTGATAGGTGATTCATCCCGCGACTCCGCCGATGTACCTGCTAACCCCGTTTAAAATCAAAAGCGCTGCTTAGCTTTGATACCATTAAATTATATGGTTAGTACAAATTGTAGAGGGTAAAAGGTTAGCGCTAAGTGGAAAATTCAGAAATGTAATAACTTTATTACAGTAGGTACTGTAGATTTGACATGGGTCACAAGAGGCGGTAAAAGACGATGGGGTCACGAAAATTTTAAGGGCTTCATACGACTGTATGCCGTTACGGCTGTATGCATGCACAAACAGAAGGTCAGATGTTCACAGATTACATAAAGACAGTTAAATCGAATTGATCGCTGATCGATATACGATCGAATACGGTATGTAATGTATATATTCCCGCCGGATTAGTCCGCCCTCGCCTCCGAGCAAAGCCGGCGAGACCAACACAACGCGTACACAAGGTACACCCGCGTTACAGGGCGGTTCTCACCGCTCCCAGCCACCGACTAGCTAAAAACACAGTCGACGGCCATCGGGCTCTCAGTCCGCACCGCAACCTCGATGGCCCTTAGATGGCATGTCGTAGTTAAACGCACACATGAGCACATTCGCGGCCCTACGCAGCGGAGGTGGGTTCAGGCTAGCCCACCGGTTCTGCGTCAGATGAAGCTGTAATAGTCTCGGGACTGAAAGCACAAACATCAGTTAATACAAGATACAAGACACAAAATGTACATATCAAATCTTTTATTTATATTGTTATTATAATTCGAATTGACACAAATTATGTATACATTAACGTGCTATATAAATTTGTACATGCGCCAAAAGAAACGAAAACTTTATTGCTATTACCAAATTGTGTTTATGACGAAACAAATTTAGTACAGCAAACCTATTCAAGTGGCTTATCGGAGTTGTGTTATCACACGGCCACGATAAACACGCCGATAAACAATTATAATGGTCCGATGTCGATAGGACAGGTGACTTTTTCGCTCTATCGTGACTAATGCAACCGTTTAAAGCCTATCTTCAAGCAAGGGCGCGGCCTAGTGCGCGCATGACGCATATTCACTTGTCAGCCTGCGGTGTGTGTAGAGAAATTTCGAAAATGAAGCATATGCTTATAAAACAAGGTATTAAAGATATATAATAAAGGTAATTATTATATTTACTTGAAACTCTTCAATATTAAAACGATGTCCGCTCAGCTGATGAGTGCCTGGTTCAACTTTGACATCAGAATGACAAACTAGACGGTAAAGTTACTAAATGAAAAATTACATTAAAAGATATAAAACTCGTTAATGTACTTTAAGTGTTTATTAGTAAGACACTAAATAATCAGATGAATCTATCGATGACATTTCATAACAATCTAAAGAGGTTAAATTACAATTAATCCATTGACCATAGCAAGAAAACTTATTCAATTTACATATCAGAAATCAGCAAAGAAATGAGCAACCTTATCAGAACATTGTAAAGAGGCCTCACAGATTAATTATTGTTATTCATAATTAAAATGAATCATCAACACAACATTCAGTAATCTATAGATTAGAGCTATATAATTATAAAGTATGATATGTATCAAAAGACATAAAAACATTTCTCCTACGAAAAAATTGTGTATATGACGAAACTTATCAGAACATCGTCAAGGGACCTCACAAGATTAATTGTTATTGTTGATAACCGCAATGAATCATCGTCACAAGATGGAGTAAAACAAGACTAAATTAATAACGAGGACGATTCGCGTGAGACATCGGCCACCCATATTGGTAAGCTTTCCACAGGCTCGTGTTGCGACTATGCATTCGTCCGTCACGACGCGTGATGGGCATGGCAATCTGTCACTTGAGCCGAGGCGAGAAAGCGTGTCGCCGCATGGTCCGTCGCGTACCGCCAGAGGTCCAGGCACGTCCCCACTCGTGCCCCTCGCCAAAAAGACGACCTTCAACGGCCGTGTTCGTTATCGTGACCTCTGGTACCATATACGTGTACTTGATAGATGTGCCCAATGCATTAGAACGTATGTTAGGTACGTAAATAAAAACCTAAATAGATAATGCTTAACAAAAACTGACTTCAAACCGGAAACTAAAAAAACATTATTAATACCAATAATATTTGAGGATTTCCCTCGATTTCTGGGATTCCTACATCGGTTAAAAAGGACCATTTAATTCAGGTAATTGGTAAGAATAAATAAAAAATAGAGAAGTTCGTGCTTAAATATCAATTACTACATGCATATCACAACTACAGCCTTTATGGGATTCGTTTAAATATTTACTTCTCATCGTCTTCAACGATATCAATAAGTTACCAATTAATGCACCTCTTTAATTTTCGTATATAGTTATTTATAAAGCCATATAAACAACTATTTCGTAAAATCTGATCATAAATCTCTCATCCCACTCACCTATTATTATTATTTCATTAATACATAGTTTCGTTAAATAATTGCCCGTCTTGAAAAATAGGATTAAACATAAAGGCAATTTTTTATTCGATGCTGCATTCAATCCAATCCCAAAATTTATCTAGGGTAAAGCGATGGAACTAAACGCTCCCCTGCGGTACTCCCGGATGTCATATTATGTATTAGCATGTGGAGGGTGGTTGAGAAATAATTATTAAAACAGTCTTAACGCAGCGCTCGTCTTTAACTCACGTTCCCCGTGCCCCTACACATACTTTACATGGCGCAGCCGGTAGGACCACCACCGCAACCGCTTATGTTCGAGAACAATCTAGTGAACGTGACATCTGGGAACTTGAGTAGAGAGTGGGACAGGTGGAAGAAAAGTTTCGTTATTTATTATGAAGCGTGTGAACTGAGTAAAAAAGATCCCAAAGTACAAATAAACATTTTACTTCACATAATCGGTGAAAAATGTAGGGATGTGTATGATCAGTTTACGGGGAAATGTGAAACGGTTACCAAAGTATTAGAAAAGTTCGATGATTTCTTTTATCCGAAAAAGAATTTAACGGTTGAGCGGCACAGGTTTTTCATACGAGATCAGAGTGAATTCGAGACGGTCGAGCAGTATGTGTTCGAACTAAACAAAATAGCGGCGAAGTGCGAGTTCAAAGACTTATGCCAAGACCTAGTACGAGACAGGCTAATATGCGGACTAAAGGACAGTTCTTTGCGAGAACGCTTGCTAAGAGAACCCGATTTAACGTTAAAAAAGGCAGTGGATATTTGCAATTTAGCAGAATTATCTCGCGCTCAAGCCGTAAACTTGAAAACGGAAATTTCAACCAATCACCACATTTATGAAATATCGGACGGAAACCAAGGAATAACACCACAACATGGAGAACTTGATATGATAAAAAAGAAACATCAATCGTCACGAGCGCAGCGTTCCAGGTCATCGCGCGCGAGAACGGGTGCACAGTGGTCGCGCCCAGGCCCGTCGGGACAGCAGGAGCGGTATCAGCACTCACGCGGTGTTCGAGGAAATCAAACTGGTCCAGGTCAACGAGAGGAGAAGAAGGGGTCATATACACCGACGGCAACGTATCGTAGTTGTTTACAATGTGGTAGAACCCATGCAAAGTTTAAATGCCCAGCATATGGACAACAATGTTTAAATTGTAAAAAGTTCAACCACTACTCGAGGATGTGTGGAGTCTATGAGGTGCGCGAGGACTCTTCCGATCAGGTAAATAAACATTTCAATAACATGTGTAACGACTGGCTAGCCTGTGTGCAAATTTGTGGTAGAAACATAACCTTTAAATTAGATACTGGTGCTGACGTGAATGTGCTCCCTATGAATAAATTGAAAGAATTAAACATTCAACGATCTCAGTTGACAGGTACATCCTTAAAGCTACAAGGTTATTCAGGAGGTCAGATAAAAGTAATAGGCAAGTGTTTTTTTAAAAGTGAAATATAAAATGAACACTCATATTCTACAGTTTATTGTGGTCGAGTCGGATTCGGTTCCAATTTTAGGCAAGAATTCATGTGAGGAGCTAAACTTAGTTAAAAGAGTGTTCACGGTAGAAAAGAAAAATGTAATTTTAGATGAATATCCAGACGTTTTTACAGGAATAGGTTGCTTGCCGGGAAATTATAACATCGAGTTAAAAGAGGATGCTAGACCAGTTGTTCATCCACCAAGAAAGTTACCAGTAGCATTAAAAGATAAAATTAGGAGTAAATTACAAGAAATGCAGACTCAAGGTATTATTGCTAAGGTCGAACATCCAACGGATTGGGTAAATAGTATGACTGTGGTCAAAAAGCCCAATGGTGACCTGCGGATATGTCTAGATCCCCAGGATCTCAACAAAGCCATTCGTCGTGAGCACTTTAAGTTACCTACCTTAGAAGAGATAACTTCCAGTTTATCGGGGGGCTAAGTATTTCAGTACTTTAGACGCAAAGCATGGGTTTTGGCAAGTAGCATTACATGAATCGAGTACAGATTTATGTACGTTTAACACGGCCTTCGGTAGATTTAAATTTCTTAGGATGCCATACGGCATTTGTTCTGCGTCAGAGATATTTCATAGAAAATTGTATGAGCATTTTGAAGATATGGAAGGAGTTATACTATTTGTGGATGACTTATTGATATACGCAAACTCTAAAGAAGATCATGATAAAAGGCTAAGAGCCGTACTGGATAGGTGTAGGAAGATAAATATCAAGTTAAATCGTCAAAAATGCAAAGTTGGGTTAAAAGAGTTAAAATATTTAGGGCATAAGATTACTAACGCATATCATATTTTAGCCATAAAAAACCTTCCTACACCACAAAATACAAAACACGTCGAACGATTTCTAGGTATGGTTACATATGTTGGTAGATTCGTTCCAAATTTATCTGAAAAAACATATATTTTACGAGAATTGTTAAAGAAGTCAGTAGAATGGCACTGGGATCATCGGCATCAAGAGTGTTTTGACACTGTAAAAGAGTATTTAACGAATCCTCCAGTCCTGCAATATTATAGTCTCGAAAAACCAATAGTTATTTCCGTAGACGCCAGTAAGCACGGTTTAGGCGGTTGTTTACTTCAAAATAACCTACCAGTGTCATATGCGTCAAAATCACTGACAAAATCCGAGCAGTCCTATGCACAAATAGAAAAAGAATTATTTGCTTGTGTTTATGCGTGCGAAAGATTTTATAGTTATATCTATGGACGGAGCGATGTAACAATAGAAACGGATCATAAGCCGTTGATCAGTATAATAAATAAACCGTTAGCAAATGCACCCGCGCGATTGCAAAGAATGTTATTAAGACTTCAACCGTACACATTTAAATTAGTTTACAAGCCGGGTAAATACTTATTCATCGCTGACGCGCTATCCCGTGCAGTTGCACCGGGCACGAGCGAGAGGTCCGTGCCGCGTGACTATCTCGAAGCGCAGGCGCAGGTATGTGCGCTGACCACTACCAATCCACTTACCGATTCTCACTTTTTGGAAATACAAAAATATACTAAACAGGATGACGAGTTGCAACAATTGTCAAAAATAATCAGGTCCGGGTGGCCGACTCATAAAAAAGAAGTAAGTGCTATATTAAAACCATACTGGGATGTAAGAGATGAACTAACTGTAGCATTTGGAATTGTTTGGAAAGGAAATCGCGTTGTTATTCCACGTTGCTTGCGGGCAGAAATGCTTCGAAAAGTTCACATAGGACACTTAGGTATAGAAAAATGTAAGCTAAGGGCGCGCGAGATTATGTACTGGCCAAATTTAAATTCCCAATTGTTAGACTATTTATCGCGCTGCCAAGCATGCCTCACATATCGGAAACAAAATAGTAAGGAACCCCTGATTCAACACGAGGTGCCCAAACGAGCGTGGTCTAAAGTAGGTGCGGACATTTTTCACTATGGAGGAAAATCGTTCTTATTGCTAATAGACTACTTTAGTAAGTTTATTGAAGTGACTAAACTAAAAGATTTACAATCTGAATATGTTATAAGTAAAATGAAAAACATTTTTAGAAGGCACGGCATTCCGGAACTAGTCATGAGTGACAATGGCCCAGAGTTTGCATCCAATAGTTTTAAAAAAAAAATGTTTTTCGGAAAATTGGAAGTTCCAGCATGTGACTTCATCGCCAGGATATGCTCAAAGTAACGGTCAGGCCGAACGTTTTGTACAAGTGGTTAAAAACATGATGCGGAAAACTAGTTTTAATAACACAGATTTAAATTTGGCGTTATTAGAGTACTCAAACACTCCCATATCAGATAACCTTGCATCCCCAGCAGAATTGTTATACAACAGAAAACTACGGAGCATACTTCCATGTCCACCTTCATTATTGATGCCAAAAGTACAAAAAGGTGTAGCTAATAAGTTAAAAGACCGTCAAAATAGTCAAAAATATTATTATGATAGGAGAGCAAGACATTTATCAGAATTATATATAGGCCAAAAAGTAAAGGCCAGATATAATAATACTTGGGTCGCGGCCACAATTTTAAAACGATTTAATTCGAGGTCATACATCATTAAATTGCAGTCAGGAACAACGTTAAGGAGAAATCGAAGACATCTTATTGCAGATTCACAAGATAGGGTTGACACTGAATTTTCGAGCGCACGATATGATGATATAATAGTTGATACGGATAACGCACAGCTGATCCAAACGGCCGCGTTCCCCCACGCGCCCGCTCAATCCCCGCATTCGCCCAGCACCGGTTCTAATTCCAATGTCATTCCTGTAAATAATACTTATCGAACTACTCGTTCTGGCAGGGTAGTACGACCTCCTGATCGGTGGGGATTTGCAGCCGCGTCGTAGACTCCAAACAATACTAAAAGTTTTCCGTTTGTATACCTAAATAAGTGTTAAGAATTATCTATTTTTATAAAGTATTTTTATACAATTATTTCAATGCATGTAATTGTGTTTGAAATTTGTGTTTATTTTTCTCATATTGTTATTTTATTTTATTTTATAAATGTTAAATGGATTTAAAACAAAATAATTGTATTTACAACTGATATTATAATGCAATTTCAATTTCAATACAATCATATTTCAATATAATTAAATTTCAATATAATTTAAATTCAATTTCATAATATATTTAATTATAATTTTATTATTTACAAATTAAATATAATTAACTTAATTTAAATATTATAGATGTAAGCCAATTAAGTTTAATTTTTAATGAATGTTCAATACATTACTATTATTTTATAAATAGTAATGAACCAATGGTATATTTATTTTATAATTATATTTAATGAAAAAAAAAAAAAAATATGGAATTTAAATGAATATTTAAGGCATGTTAATGAGTGTTTAACTAATATTTGATATCAGATTATCTATACAAATTAATGAACTAACTTAAATTCAGGTAGTACTTAGGATATATATACATTTTCTATCATGATTCTTGAAGGCTGTACTTAAGTATATAACTTGTAAATCTATCTTACTCATCACGCCCATAAGTATTGTATATGTATAGTGTTAGTTTTTTTTTTAAAGAAAAAGGGAATTGTCATATTATGTATTAGCATGTGGAGGGTGGTTGAGAAATAATTATTAAAACAGTCTTAACGCAGCGCTCGTCTTTAACTCACGTTCCCCGTGCCCCTACACATACTTTACACCGGAGTGTTTGATTAAATTATAAAAAGCTCGGGATCTTGCGTCGCGTATTTCGGTCGCGCGCGATGGCACTAAAATAGTGTTTATTGCGATACTCGGATGAATTCCGAGGGCGAAATGTGAACGGACGAAAATAGAACAAAGGTTTTTGACACTGGCGTGAAAAAAAGCTAAGTATGTAGCGAGAAGCTGGGATCCCTTTAAAGCGTTCAGAGGGCGCTTTTTGGACAGGCCTCGTGCATCTCGCTGTTTTGTTTGGAATCTAGGCATTTTAAAGTACCATTTTGCTGATTAACTGCTGAACGTGTCGCTTTAGTTTATTCAAAGAATTGCTGACGACCGGTACTAAGTATCATAACTATCTTTATTCTTTGATTTTTCTTTTATGACTTCTTCATATTTACATAATGTAATAACAGCGAAAGATATGATGGATGGTGGGATAAATAAATGTTTAATGTCGTTATCAAACGGGAGAACAAACACATAGTAACTTTGGCATTTAGGAGTGTATTGATTGTTCTAAAAATCTTTTAACAAAAAAATTGTGTATTAATAATAAAGAACCTAGGGAAACAAAACGTCCGGCCCTATAACGCGAGGCAGCTGGCGCGTAATTTGTAGCTCTATTTGATTCGGTATAATGTAATTGACACAAATTAGATTGCTGCGCATGTGACATAGTTACCTACCATAATAAAGTAATAGATTCGGTGGTGTAGTTGCTAAGCAATTGGCTTGGGTTCCGGGCGCCGTGGGTTGGGTAAAAGTATTTGTGCTACCCACAAAAAATTGTTCATATATTGGGCGTTTGCTTCCAAAGAAGCTTAGCATGAAGCAGGCGGCCGGCCGTAAAAAGAACTAGGCAACGTCATTAGCATGTTGCATTCACAAGTTGCGCCGAACCGACCTAGGTGGGAAGGAGCAGGAGTAAGAAGAAGAATAATAAAGTAATAGAATCCCTTGGGGCGTTTTGTTTACACAGGTCTATTTTGAACCAAGCCACGTCAGTTTTAACATGAACTCGATCACCTGAATGCTACTTATTATAAACCTTTTTAAAAGAAATTTTAAACTTAAACACTAAAACACACATTATTAAAACTATATAATATAGGAACGCTGTAAACTCGTATATATTTTTAATAGTGTGTGCCAGTCAGTTGTATCATTTCTTTACTCGAACTTGATTCAAGCAAAAAAATTAAGAAAGCAATTATGATATACAAGCAAAGCATATCTTCGTTCAAACAAACTGAGAAGTAAAATATCATAACTATAAATCACTTTTTAATAGGGCAAGAATACCAATTGATACAATGCACTGAAGGCATTTTATAAAGATAAAAATGCATTCGCATATAATAATAGAGTATTTATATAATAGTAATAGAGTATTAATAGAGTTATTATGGGTATCAGATCCTACATACCTGAAGACGCCCATTCAACAATTCAATTAACTCCTTAGATTCATCACCGACAGAAGTGCTTAAAGCATAGTAAGGAACTAAGAAACTAATGTCGAACATGTGCATTGTAATTAATTACTTCTTCCAGCACGTACAATATAAAACTTATCCTAAATCCGCTTCACGCCGTTTCCAACCACTTGCCATATAACTAACAACAAAGGAGATATAAAAAATAGCTTTCAAGTGTTTCAATCACTAAGGTGGCGTTAGCATCATAATCGTAAACACAAATGTGCAGCGATCACTTGTTCACTTCTTCCTATATCCCTCTCGCTCTTTCTCATCTAATTATAGACGACTTTAAACTGCAGCGGTCCTACCCAATAAGCAAACGCAGTCAGTATGATAGATTCGAAACGAGCAAGACAATGCACACGTCCTTGAAAGGGAACGACTAAACAAGAGACGCGCAAGTGTCTTTCCAACCAAAGTAAGCAGTCTATTACGTAGTTGGTGCTTTTAATACGTAAGGCTAAGTCGACAGGTCGTTAGGTACTGATGGAATCCTAGTCCAGTCGACGGTTGAAACTCATCCGTTTTCAACTCAATTCAAGATATCCCCCGCTAAGTCCAGATTTCGGAATGGTTTCGTAACACAAGCAAGTTTAAGGTCACCAAAAATATAGTCAATGAATCGTTATTAAACAACGAGTTCTCATTCAAAATAACTTTATTTAATTATGTAATCAAAATAACTAAAACTAAAGTGAAAAAACTAAATCAACATAACTTTATTTAATTATGTAATTTCTTTCTTTATTTACGTCATTTCTTTATTAAAAGAAAAGTATTAGCCAGCCGCAGCAGCAGTAAAGTATTACAGCCTATACATGTCCCACTGCTGGGCAAAGGCCTCCTCTGACTCTGTACAGAGGGTATCAGGGCATAGTCTGCCACGCGGCCCCACTGCGGATTGGCGGACTTCACATATCATCGAAATATATTTTTTTGTTATTATTTCGAAAAAATGCAGTTTTCCTCACAAATGCACAAATAATGTAAATGCACGTGATAATTCAGCACTTAAAATTGACAATTTCATTGGTGCTGGCACCGGGGATCGAACTCAGGTTGCTCGAGTATATTAAATTAAAGGCGAGCGCCCGGACACTGAGCTATCACGGCTCGATTTCTTAATAAAATACATGGACATATTAAGCCGAGGACAGTCAACGGAAGTGACAGGCACAAAAGTCAAGGCGTTATTTCCTGAAGGGAAATATCTGAGTCGATGCGTCGACGTTTTGTGAATGTAGTGTGCTCTCACTATTACATTATTACTTTCGTGTAGGGCAATAAGAACCTTTAAACTAAAGCTGCCAAAAGGTTTTTATTGAGGAATAAAACCCTGGCCACTGTCGCTGAAATTCTTTGTCTATTCTTTAACAAAGAACAAAAACTTAGACAGAATACATTCAATAATATTACGATAATGAAACTAAATGATTCAATAGTCCTACTATCGAATTAGCATTCCTTTACTAATAATAATGGTTATAATGAATTATTGTGGTCGTGCTGAAAGCCTTTTGTAACATTTACAATAGAATTAAGTGCAGTAAACAGAACCGTAATGAACAAAATTTCCAGTAGGCGTTATCTTGGAGAAATTTTTAACGTCTCTTATATTGTCTTAAAGTAACAACCTATACATGTCCCACTGCTGGGCAAAGGCCTCCTCTATATAGAGGGTATCAGGGCATAGTCCACCACGCGGCCCCACTGCGGATTGGCGGACTTAACATATCTTCGAAATATTTTTTTTTGTTATTATTTCGAAAATATGCAGGTTTCCTCACGATGTTTTCCTTCACCGCGTAGCACGTGATAAGACAGCACATAAAGTTAAAAACTTCATTGGTGCCGGCACCGGGATCGAACTCAGTTTGCTCGAGTATTATGAATAAAAGGCGAGCGCCCGGACACTGAGCTATCACGACTTATTGTCTTAATAGATGATAATTAATAAGTTATGAATGGTAAATAATACAAAATATACAGAACAGTTAACTTTCAGACTTTTTACGGCCTGTTTCAATATTAAGGAGGACATAAGCTCCCGTAATACTTAAGTCAAAATTCTATCTCCAGTAACTAAATTTACAGATATGTTGACAACGGTCGTTAGACGTTTGTTAGAACTATGAATATGTGGTTGAGTAATTTCGCCTTAAAGTCAAATGGATGCCACAAAATCTGAACCGATGACAAATACTCGAATAACTAAAACAGTGGATATCGAAATTGAATGCTGAATATTTTAGCCCGACTTCTACTCGATTGTGATAGTTAACAACGCCGCCAATCGTCGCCTAACATTAGGAAACGGATATAAGTTTATAACGACGTAGCGTTCTTCCCTTTATGGTATGATAAAGGAAGTTCAAATTTAAACAGGCATATCCTCCATAAATTCATTAGCATGTAAGATATGGAACTATTAATGTATTAGTGCAAAACGCGACATACAAACTTCCGGTGCGCCTTTGGCATCGTACGACACGTATGTTTGCGAAACCATCATCGTTTGCAGAGGCTTAAATATAGTAGGAAATGACATGCCGTGCAACCAACACCTAATCGCCGAGTGCGCATCGTCAGTCACCGCTTAGATCATCGTTCAATGAGTCAAGTTCACGGGGATTACGATAATTACCTGCAAAATAAGAATTTTCAAGAGGTTGTCAACGCATCTGGAACCCTCGGGTATAGCAGATGTCCATGGGCGGCGGTATTCACTTAGCATCAGGTGAACCGTCCGCTCGTTTGGCAACTATTCGCTATTAACTATTCATATAAAAATATATATAAAAACTAACCATACACTTGTGAGCTAGCTCGGTCTTCGGTTTAATTGTACGAGAATCATGGCAGTCTCGGACCAAAATGCTGTGTGTGTCGGTGAAGAAGTTTTAGAGTGGCAAAGGGTTAAGATCGGTCTTAAATTACAAGTGAACAAGAAGTTTTAGAAAGAATCATTAGGAGTAAAACGGAAAAGACAACGTAATAGCCAAATCAACAAGTACTGGCAGAATTTTAAAAAGAAGGCCTGTGCATAGGCTGTGTCTACTTTAAGTTTATATCAAATTCAAATTTCAATTTATTATTTAAACTCTTTACTTAGACAATAATAAGAAACGGCGAAGTTGTGAGAAGTGTAACACATACATACACTGCTCTATTTTTTTTTAATTTAGTAAGACGGCAAGCGAGATCGCGGTTCACCTGATGTTAAGTCAATAAATTTTGAAGGCAACGAGACGGGTCAAGATGCGAGTACAAGAAAAACTCGTTGAGGTGTGTTGGGGTGTAATTTAGGTTGTCTTGGTCTTTCCCCAACCACCGGCTGCATCTCGGTACGGTGGCTTCCCGGCGATGCGGATACGAAAGAGTAACTGCACGGCTGCAGAGGTTCACGGGACTAAAGGTTAACGTTGCCGGTTAGTGTGTGACGTAACTGTGCCCTTTTGAGCACGGACATGGACTTGGAAGTCAGAAGTTTCGCTTGATGAGATATACCTACTTGTTATAATTTGTCTCAAAAATCAACAGTGTGGCTTTATCCAATATTTTCTTTTATTACCTATATACTTTTATACTTTCACTTTTTAACTGTCAGTGTTATAGGGCCACGCAACAGTCTTCGCAGTAATGGGCAGGTCCGTGCGGAGAAGTTCCATGAGCCCACAGAAAACAGGCGAGAAGTGAAAATGTTTTGCTTCGGAATGTTTCTGGTGAGTGAGGTAGCCGGGGCCCACTTTACTAGAATGTGGCAACGCATCTGAAACCCAACGGGTGTTGCAAATCGCCATGGGCGTCGGATATCACTTAACATCAGGTAAACCGCAAAAAAATCGGTTAAATGTGAACAGAGGACGTTTTATTTATAATGTGCAATTATGGATCTGTTCATTATATTGGTAGTTTGCGAAAAACGAAATTGATTAGCGCGGAAATTGAAGGAGGCTTTTGTGTTCCGAAAACTAGTGGCCTTTGAGATCTAGTGTATACACACGCCACTATAACAAATAAGGCGCAGCTGACTTCATCTGCGGTCGGAAGCCACCTACCGCGACCGCATAAACGGTGATCGGAACACCAATAGTGGACATTAGCATTTATCTGTCGACTAATAGTCGCATTAGAATGTGACGGCCGCTTAAATCGTGATGATTCACGAGCACCGATGGAAACAATGAGGTATGGCGCGGGCGCCTTGGCCCACGTACGTGCGGATAGGTATCAAAACAATAAAATCTAGCTATAAAACGCTAAGTTATTCATCACCTTAGTTGTCAGAGGTATTCAAAGGTTATCATTGTAAGGCTATAGGCGCCGGTGAAGGAAAACATCGTGGGAGAAGAATATCATTTATATTTTTTTTAAATGGAAAAGAGTGGCAAACTAGCATGCGGGCCACCTGATGATATGCGATCACCGCCGCCCGTGGACATTTGCAACATCAGTTGAGTCGCGATTGCGTTGCCGGCCTTTAAGGTAGTAGGCTTTACGGTCCCCGAGTTGTTATTAAAGAGACAAAACACACTGACGTAACGATTGGACATACCACGAGTTGTTCGGGTACACTTACAAATTCTCACGTTCTTATACCTGACGAGACAAGGTTTTTACGGACCTTGTTGAACCCCATAAATAGTGTACCTGTTCTCACATAGAGGATAGATGCTAGACAATATTTTTTACACAGACGACATCCGCCAAACGGTAAAGTCATTGTGTTCGACCAATGGGATTAGAAGCGGCCCCTACCACGGTTCAAGAATTCGTAATCCATACTAAAATTATAAATGCGAAAGTAACTCTGTCTGTCTGTCTCGCCTTTACTTCAAGAATACAGAACCGATTTAAATGAAATTTGTATACAGATAGTCTAGAGCCCGAGGAAGGACATTAGGCTATTTTTTAATTGGAAAAAAGTGTTGGAAGATATTTATTTAAGGGCTTCAACGCGAGCGAAGCCGCGGGCGAAAAGCTAGTAAGTAATAATTGGGCCCGAGGATATAACATTGAATAACTTACTTTCTATTGGTAACATACATTACATGAATTATGATGATTTTTTTTAATGCTAGTCTTTACACTCAACTGTGGTATGGCCACGCAACAATCCTCAGGTAAGTACCACGACTACACAGACGACCGGCTTGAACTGTTATAACTTCTGCGTTTCGTCTGGTAAGTGAGGTAGCCGGGGCCCACTTTATTATAAGGTGGCAACACATCTGCACCTACGGGTGTTGCAAATGTCAATGTTATCACTTAACATGTGGTGAACCACCTCGTTACAAATAAAAATAAAAAGACTTATTTTGGTAGGTATTTTTTATCGTTTTATGTATTTATTTATGCCTCAATTATTTCGGATCCGAGTGGAAAGTCCAATCAAACAGATACTTGAGGTATAATAAAATGTTCGTTATTTTTAAATATATATAAAATTGCAACATAGATGGCTTTTTCTCATTAAATTTAAAGTTTAACCTTAATTTTAATGTAATGCTTTTTTTTATGCGAAAAGTTGTCAAACGAGCAGACGGTTCACCTGATGTTAAGTGAATACCGCCGCCCATGGACATCTGCCCCACCCGAGGGTTTGCAGATGCGTTGACAACCTTTTGAATATTGGGCTCCGGCTACCTAATAGGTAGAGGTATAATAAAATGTTCGTTATTTTTAAATATATATAAAATTGCAACATAGATGGCTTTTTCTCATTAAATTTAAAGTTTAACCTTAATTTTAATGTAATGCCTTTTTTTTATGCGAAAAGTTGTCAAACGAGCAGACGGTTCACCTGATGTTAAGTGAATACCGCCGCCCATGGACATCTGCCCCACCCGAGGGTTTGCAGATGCGTTGACAACCTTTTGAATATTGAGCTCCGGCTACCTCACTCATCAGACGAAACGCGAAAGTATTTGTTATACTTCCACTTTACGCCGGTCTTCTGTGAGGACGGGCCTGCCCAGTCGTGCAACAGTCGAGGCTGCTGCGTGGCCCTACCACCGTCACGTGGCCCTACCTACAAATATTGTGAATCCTACTAAGTGTATGAAACATTATGAACAATAATTCTTAAGATTATTAGTCATAATAAGTAATAAACATTTAGTGCTAATAAATATACTATAAGATGATTTGTCACTTTTAAGAAACGCAAACTCTTCGTCAAGAGTATCGTGCGAGAAACTTGGTACAACTTTAACTGTAATGTGTCGTGTCTTTTCTTCAATATTTCGAGAGACTATAATATGTTATCAAAATAATTAAACCAATTTTAAAGGATTTACGAAAATCCACCTCGGATGCATAACTAAAATCTACAAACTTCATATAACCTATTTACATAATCTCGGATTATTCGTTGCGAGTTCAATAAAATATTGTTGTCATAATAGTATAATATAATAAAAAAATATTAGCTAATTCCTAAACTCTGTGAGCGTCATCGTGGAAATAATAACAGATAATAACAAAGTGCATTCCCAGAAAGGCCTTATCCTTTTTAACAAAGCGATACGGATTAGATACGATTGGACAGTATATTGCGTACGTACTTACAATTACATATACATAATATAATAAGACAATAAATGTTTTAAGCTTACGTACAGTAAACGTAGTACAACAGTGATAGCGAGTGTTATCAACATTTCACATTTTATAATCCCCACGAGTAGAGAAAATCACTTTCAATGAAATAAACCGCTTGCTCGTTTGCCGCCTTCTCTTACATAATAAGTAGATTGGTAATTAGTAAGGGAACAACCTCTATATACCCCAGTGCTGGACTAAGGCCTCCTCTGTACAAAAGGTATTAGGACCACTCGATCCCACAGCGGATTGGCAGACTTCACACATCTTTGGAATATTTTTTGTTATTATTTGTAAAATAAGCAGACTATGAGGACATAATGTTTTCCTTCACCGCTGATCACGCGATGGTTGGCACTTAAAATTGCAATGAACAATTTAGGTCGTTCCGGCACCGGGGTTAGTATATTGAATTAAATAATTTCAACCAAACCACCTCGCCACAAAGGTGCCATTTTTGAGACTTTTTTTGCCCCGCACGACCGCTCCGTGGTTTCAGCTTCAAGATGAAAGCATATTCTTTCCTGAAGTGACGGCAACGCATTTGCAGGCACTCCGTTGTTGCACAAGTTCATGGGCAACTGGGATACCTTTCCATCGGGTGAGTCCCCTTGCCCGTCTGTCCCTTTTTTCCAATAAACAAAGCGAGCGCCCTGACACAGCTATCACGGCTCCTCCCTTTCTCTTTTTTTTCCTTTTAAAAAAAAATGTTTGTATGGATGTTTTACAAACATAAATATCACGTGGACAAAAAACACTCAGATGCGACTCAACTATCTGTGGGTCACACAAATAGTTGTCCCGTGTGGGAATCGAACCCACGACCTCCGACGCCGAAGCCAACAGCTTGGCAAACTGCGCCACGGAGTCATCTCTTAAATATCAGTCCCAATTAGAACGGTAATGGCGGACATTCAGAACGTGGCGATGTCAAAATATGTAAACTATCGTTGTCCGAATGGCCCATTGGCCGCTCAATTCACGACACGTGCCACGAACGATTTAAACGGGGAGTGAGTACATTAAAACGATAACGCGCGCTGGAAATATGGGTCAGGATAATGGAGGCAATATGTATAAAGCGCTGTGAATTATGTTATTTATTTGTATGCGCACGCTACAATAGTCGAATAATTACTGACTTCTTCGAGTGGATGAACGAATACAAAAATGAATTCTTCTCTCGTTTTAAGTACTATATTTTATCTGTGTCACGCTGGTGCACATAATTGTTGTCGCAATTATTTAGTTATTACACAATACGCGGACTCATTTTTATCTAATAACATTGTTAATACGCTTCGTGATTTTAAATAGAAAAATACCCATGTCATGAATGAGTTTAATAACGTTTAAAATTTAATAATATTTTAAGACAAAAATAAAGAGTTTCAATGTAGCATTAGTTTTCAAACATCCTGTCGCATTAATTATTGAAGTTATACTTCTTTTGGTGCGTTAGGGAAAAATGATGAGAGTAAATTTTTACGATGCGCGCGCACACCGTCACGTAAAACCGACACCCTTAAGATATCTAGACATCTACAATGTTTCACATTCACGATATTTATTTTGTGATATTTAAATAAAGTCTTATAAATTTAAAGTTTATTAAATGTATTAAATACCTTTTTTCTATTGTTAGTGCAGTTTTTTCTACAAACGTAGAATAAGGCGAAAGATAAAATTTTTGAAGATTTTTATCTTGCTACGCCAAAGAATTATAACTTCTTACGCATGTACATATTTTATAATGAACTGGCCAGGTCCGACTGGTCAATACCAAGGCAAAGACGAACTGCAAAAGACAATGTAGTATTAAATGGCCAACGCATAGCCTCAGTAAAAACAAATCATGTCAACCTAATAATATTCTAAATGACGACAATACCCCGGTTAATTATCCAATAATTAGTAAACAAACTCGGTGTTACGTCGTGCGTATCTTGCAAACAATTGACGTAAATATATACGTAAATTCGCAACGAGAGCGTGCGAGGTTGGTAGGTCCAGAAGGAAACGGTCATCAGATGAACTATCAGCTAGTAGCGTCGACGAAAATTCCTGCGTCACGACAGCGATGTGAATCACGTGGCTATTTGTAATATAAATGCCTACGATGTAGCGTAGGCCCCCCGTTTCGTAAACATAATAATCATTTTATTCAACCCTGATGCCGTGATAGCTCAGTGTCCGGGCGCTCGCCTTTAATTCAATATACTCGAGCAACCTGTGTTCGATCCCCGCTGCCAGCACCAATTAAGTTTTTAACTTTAAGTGCTGACTTATCACGTGATCCGCAGTGAAGGAAAACATCGTGAGGAAACCTGCATATAAGGGAATGATTACATGAATTTAAATGCTTGTTGACCACATGCACAATGGTGGAGGCATATTATAGTGATCAAATAACTCTTCTCGGCACCTACTTTTAATCCCCTACTTTACTACATAGGGAAGACTATGATCAGCATGAATCGCCAAACTCCCTTATTTATAATATTACATAACAATTTTACTAACAAGCGCATTTTTTAATTGAATTTTGGAAAAGTTTTGAGGTGGTTTTTATTAGTCCAAAACAAATGTTTCGCTGAGTTTTTTTCGCCAGTTCTACTTAGGTCACCAAAACGGTAGTACTACTGTGACAATCAATAGTAAGTGTAATGCTTCCATATTGAATGAAGATATTTCAATTTGACACGGCTTGTATCACTAAAACAACAGTTAAGCCAATAAGATAGATTAGAAATAAACAATGATCATGAATCACCAATTGTTTTGAGTCAAGGTTAAACGCATCATCAGCCGTCAATAACATTGTTTTGCAATATGTATGACATCACGCGAAGATATGGCTCGGGTGATTCCAAAAGTGATAAAATTTTTATCATTTACTTACAGAGTACAATTTTACTCTCACTCGATAGCTGGTACCAGTAATTGCTTTAGCTTTCAACACTGACGCACTCTTTGGAAGAACGACATCTGTTATTTTCAATCCTAAGTACCCGGAGGACCGAGCTTTGCTCGGTTTGTTTTTTTTTTTTTGGTAAATCGTGTATTTTGGAAATTATATTTAGATACAAATTACTGAGTATGCATAATTTATTTTTCGATCTTACCGACCGACCTAATAATAAGAAAATATGAAGTGGTGTTTTTCACAAAAGAAACAACTTTAAAAAAAGGGAAAAAATAACAAAATTCTCTGGATCAACAAAAATAAAAAATAAAGAAAGCAATGGCCTGGAATCAAAAAAAAAAAAAGTAAAAAAAAAAGAGTGTGCAAATGATCGTGACACGAACCACGGCTGTCTGTTTTGGGGCCGCCCGATTACCGACCGAGCTATTATGACATTTTCTCTTGCGGCGAAATTTACCGTCATATTCGAATGATATTTTTCATTTCGTGAAAACAGGGATAAAAGGGCATTTTCTAAAAATGAAACCTAGCTAGATCGATTTTTCGCCCCCGAATCTACGCACATATCAAATTTCATGGAAATCGCTGGAGCCGTTTCCGAGATTCCGATTATATATATATATATATATATACAAGAATTGCTCGTTTAAAGGATAAGATATGAGGTATTAGGATAGGCTTAGATTTCCAGATATCTAGATCAATCCCAGTGCAATATCCCCCCGAAACACAGAGGTTATTCACTGGTGCGGGGATCGTTTTTGTTTACTAAAAAAAGAAAAAAGGTTTTTTGGCTTATTATTAAAAAACGATAATCATCATACTAACATATTTAAGAGTTGCATGAATCGCTATATCTTCCAACTCCATTTAGAAATACTTACCGATATTTCTAACAAAAAAAAACCCAAGAGCGAGTCGGACTCGCGCACGAAGGATTTTTTTACCATTATCTATAAAAACAGCAAAAAAAATCATGTTTGTTGTATGGAAGCCCCCACGTTTTTTTTTTTGTTTTTTAGTATTTGTTGTTATAGCGGCAACAGAAATAAATTATCTGCGAAAATTTCAACTCGTAACTATCACGGTTCATGGGAAACACTGGTGACACAGACAGACAGCGGAGTCTTAGTAATAGGGCCCCGTTTTTCCCTTTGGGTACGGAACCCTAAAAACTGCCTTTGCTATAAAATGTGGCCGACTTAATTCTGGGACAAAGTAGCTCATTGTGAGTGCAAATAAATTTATAAACGTATTGGTACCCATAAATAACAAATTAAACCTTTTTTTATCTATTATAGATTTAACATTTCATGGAAACCTACCACATGTTATTATGAGGTATTTTAAGCTCTTTTAACGTCTTATGGTTTAAAATTCGGTAGTTTTAAAATGGATTTTGTTTTGTCGTACAAATTTAAGACACAAGTTTCATTTTCTTAGCCCTCATTACGCACGGAGGATAATGGCTATCCTACGTCAAATGCTTCTGCCACTTAAGCGTTCATTAGGCCAAGATGCGACACAATTCTCGCCGAGCGATTATTCGAGATAGCTGCAAATGGATATTTTGTGTATCTTGGCTTGGAAACGTGTAAGCGCTACTATTTCGACCACTATGGCAAAGGTGCGGGAAGTCGATGGATGCAGGCGGCTCAGGATCTTGCTTCGTGGCAGTCTATGGGGGAGGCCTGGGTTCAGCCTGTTTGGAAGACTCAAAAAGGCTGGAATGATAAAGATAATACCCACTTCTGTTACAGCATTATTTACCGTGACGTAAATGTTCAATGGTAACTCTTTTGTATTGTATTGTAAAATGACTTAAATTTGCTGTTCTCTTCTTGGTGTGAGGCGCGACAAGCAAGTTTAGACAAATGTCCACGGAGGCTAAAATGAGACACGAAATTAACGCAGTAACATAGAGATATAAGATATTGAGTGAGACATATTGAGAACTAAAATATTTTCGAAAAAAAGAGGAGAAACTATTTTACTACTGCACATTTAGCAGCTCCGTGAAAAGATTAATTTTTTATGGACTTTTTTCATTGCATTTAAATCGAAAATATGTGCCAACAAGAACACACCTTTCTTCGTTACAAATACAGAAAATGATGTCCAATCAAATACTTTTTTCATTAAAGAAATCAAATTTTGAAAACCAAACTGTAAGAGCCAAATATCATCTTAACAGAATCACGTGACATACAAACGGTTAAACGACAAGTTATTTATAGCAATCGGCTCGTTAAAGAGAGGGCTAATGGTAGCGACGGCTTCCACATTCCACTCCTCATCGTGATATTCGCGTCATGTCGGGTCTCTCAACGAGGTGAGTGCGTCGCTAATTATATATGGATTCGCCAGGTGGCGCCTTATAAGAATAAACGGTTTCTTTTATCAATAAGTTATTAGTCCTTCACCATGCCCTGTTGGTCATGTAACTGATAAGATGATAAACGCTCTAGACCTATAACAGTGTTCACTCTTGAAGACGCTTCTTTGCGCTCAATCGAAATAATAAATAAACGGCAATAATTGCATGCATGACCCTACCACTGTAAAACTTAAAAGATGTGAAAAAAAGAAGCAAAAAAAAAACCGCCATCTGTTTTTGAGTGTCCAGTCGTTAAGGCAAGGCTTAATAGGATTTTACCGAGCCACTATTTTATTTCAATTTTTATAAGGGGAAATAGAAGTGCACTGGTTAGTGATAAAAATAATACGCTTTGTGAATACCAGACGACGGACAAAGTGTAAAAATAAATTATCGCTTTATAAATATTTGGGGTAATCGTTCAATAACATTATTGTCGTTGAGTTAGCGAGGGCCTCTGGGAAAAATACAATTCCATGATATCACTTCCGTTGGGAGTTGACGCAGTGTTCTAAAACTTACTTAAGTACCTAATGTTGTGGGTCCCACGGTTAATTATTTTAATATCGTATTTATGTTGAGCCGTGATAGCTCAGTGTTCTGGAGGCTGGAGACCGGAGTTTAAATCCCGGTGCGAGCATATTTCGATGATATTATGTATGATATATTTGTGGCTCGCGTGTTGGACTATGCCCTAATACCCTCTGCAGAGAGGCGGTCTTGACCCAACAATGGTACATTTAAAATCTGTTACTTTACTTTTCATGTTGGAGCATAGTTTGAGTGAAGTTTCGATAGTGGACATTTTCAGAGTAATTTAAAAATTACACAAAAAGATTCTAGACGGCCTATTTTATAGCATGAAATTTTAAACAAAACTAGATATTGCAAAGAAAACTTTGAACATGGCATGTAATAAGTTTTACCCACGTCTATCACAAATAGGTTTGTTAAAAGCACATTATTTGCGTACAGGAACTAGGTTCTTGCGTAGTTTATCGTAACCTTATCGATCGCGATCGTATGTGATAAAGCATATGACCTCCGGAATCGACGCCATACCTTCGTTATCGATTAATATAATTATAACTATCGACCCATCCCGGCTTCGCACTGGTGCAATGTATTATACACATAAACCTTCCTCTTGGATCTCTCTATCTAGTAAAAAAAGCCGCATCAAGATCCGTTGCGTTGTTTTAAAGATCTAAGCATACATAGGAACAGACAGACAGCGGAACATCTTGGTTTTATACTATGTAGTGATAATAAGTTATCATTGTTACCGCCTTCACAGCCATTGTCTACTTAAATTGTTCCTACAGCAACAGCGCCGCTGGCAAGAAGGTAGAGCAGTTGCAGTTTGTGAGCATCATCATAATAATCACCATCCTCCTGCCCGTATCCCACCTAGGTGGGGTCGTCACAACCAGTAGAACATTTTGTAAACTTGTTTTGGCCATATTTTATACGACCGGCCGCCTGCCTGACGTCAATCCTCCGTGGGAAACAAACAACACGACCCAGAACAATTATCGGTGGGTAAGAAAAGTTTTTTTTTATGCAAAATGTTGCCAAACGAGCAGACGGGTCACCTGATGTTAAGTGAATACCGCCGCCCATGGACATCTGCTTCACCCGAGGGTGACTGATGCGTTGACAACCTTTTGACATACTTCCACTTTACGCTGGTCTTCTGTAAGGTCGTGGTACTAACCCGGACGGGCCTGCCCATTCGTGCAACAGCCGAGGCTGCTGCGGGGCCCTACCACCGTAAGTACTAGGCCGTCTATTAATTACGTGATATTTTTTTAGCATTTTAACCCCCTTGGTGATACGTGGTGAGATTTAAGACTATAACATCACCCCCCAACCCAAAATCACGTGTATTTTTCACGAACCCACGACCCCCGACGATGAAGCCAATAGCTTAGCAACGGCGCCACCGACGTCAGGTAAGTTCAACCGTTTTGAACTTGTCTCTAGAAATGATAGCACGTTTTTTATGTCTTCTTTTGAAATGTCACTCCTTATTGAACTCAGTATGTAATCAAAACAGTTAACAGTCATTATGGTATATCCAAAAATAAATTTAGAGGGATGTTTTCTCAAATAACAATGTAAAGTATGAAATTCAACATACCGTTCTCTTTCTTTATTAATTTGTTGCACACCAGTTCTAATTTTTAGCATCATCCACTTTAGGTATGAATTTTCGGGTAAAAATAAAAGATCGTCGTCCATGTTTTCAACCTCTGAATACGCGTCACAATCGTCTGGCGGCTAGCGGTCCCGTCAGTCCGTTCGCAGCCGTCGTCGCGACCGGCAGCATTTCGCATGTGCTGGTGACAAGTCGGCAACAAGTCACCGGTGACGTCGGTGACACTGGTGACATCGGTGACACTGGTGACATCGGTGACACTGGTTACATCGGTGACACTGGTTACATCGGTGATACGTCGTCAACAAGTCACTGGTGACACTAGTTACATCTGTGACACGTCGTCAACAAGTCACTGGTGACATCGGTGACAATGGTGACATTGGTGACAATGGTGACATCGGTGACACTGGTGACTTCGGTGACACTGGTTACATCGGTGATACGTCGTCAACAAGTCACTGGTGACACTAGTTACATCTGTGACACGTCGTCAACAAGTCACTGGTGACATCGGTGACAATGGTGACATCGGTGACACTGGTGACATCGGTGACATCTGTGACACTGGTGACGACGGTGACACTGGTGACATCGGTGACACTGGTGACGTCGCAGACACTGGTGACGTCGGTGACACTGGTGTCATCGGTGACTCTGGTTACATCGGTGATACGTCGTCAACAAGTCACTGGTGACACTAGTTACATCTGTGACACGTCGTCAACAAGTCACTGGTGACATCGGTGACAATGGTGACATTGGTGACAATGGTGACATTGGTGACAATGGTGACTTCGGTGACACTGGTGACATCGGTGACATCGGTGACACTAGTGACGTCGCTGACACATCGGTGACACTAGTGACGTCGCTGACACATCGGTGACACGTCGTCAACAAGTCACTGGTGACATCGGTGACAATGGTGACACTGGTGACGTCGGTGACGTCGGTGACACTGGTGACGTCGGTGACTCTGGTGACACTGGTTACATCGGTGACTCTGGTGACACTGGTTACATCGGTGACACGTCGTCAACAAGTCACTGGTGACATCGGTGACAATGGTGACACTGGTGACGTCGGTGACGTCGGTGACACTGGTGACGTCGGTGACGTCGGTGACTCTGGTGACACTGGTTACATCGGTGACGCGTCGTCAACAAGTCACTGGTGACACTGGTTACATCGGTGACACGTCGTCAACAAGTCACTGATGACATCGGTGACAATGGTGACACTGGTGACGTCGGTGACACTGGTATCGGTGACACGGGTGACATGACGTCAACAAGTCACCGCAGTCGGCGTCACAAGTGTAACTCACAGCGATTTCTTGTGCCTCCAGTGATTAGTGATCCAGTGCATACTCTCGGTGATGAAGCGCTCCGTGCGCGCCGCCCCCGTAACAGACCCTCTGCATCGGTGAAAAGTCACCCATACTCCGGCTTGTCAATAAACATCAACACCGCGCCAACGCCCCACGCCCCCATCATACAAAGGTAAAGAAACGTTTTCATACTCCCTGCGCCGGTGACAAGCCGTCAACAAGTAATCTGAGCCGGGACTAGGTGACTTAATACTTTTTAATACTTTCTGAATGCTTAATACATCTTTAAAATCTCTTAAAACATCTTTATTTCTTACATCGTATAATCTAACGATATACCATCCATAAAGCTTCACAAGCTCATCTGATACACACAACTCTCCACATAACCTCATATGGTACAAAAAATATGTACCCTGTAGCACAATTCCAGCAATCAATTTCCTCCAGAACTTAGGCTATTGAGGCCAAAATCAACGAAGAAACAATTGCACCCGAATCTGACTGCAACAGATCCTACTCCAACTGATCCTAATGAACCAAAAATACATAAATCAATTGATTTACACAAACAAATATTCCCTAATTATGCAACTATCACTGCCAATACGGCCAACCCCTCCATTTACAAAAATCCGATACAAATTCTCAATATTTGGCTCAACTCAAGTTTCCATCAGAAACACTTCAGCTATCGAGGAAAAACATTAACTTCAAAAAAATAACTTGTCTCCAGCTGGAGGCAAATCCATCTGGAACAACATAATTCCCGTGGACTTCGATAACACGGAGCAAAGGGACAACACTCTCAATAAAATCAACCATAATTCCGAGATCGCCACTGAAGTTAAAAACAATTAAAACCAATTATCATATTTGAAGACATTCACACAAACACCCCCCCTTAAGAAATAACTGAAATGATAACCACACAAAATGACTGACACTTTATTTAGATTACAACGTAACAATAAAAACAAAAACCTATACAACGCAGTACCATAGAGTACATGTTTAAGAATATGTCCCTCTGCTCCAATGCTACAAGTGCTTGCAATTCAATCATACCATTAAGAACTGCTATAACTTATATCATTTGTCATCTCTATCAGTTATTTAATAATAAAATTAGTAGTATTTAACATTATTATAATAATATACAGCGTGTCGTTACCATCGCGACAATAAATGAACACACATATAGGGGATAAATTTTTAAAATTGTATTAAACATTTACATTCTTTAAATATCAATATTTACAGAGTTATAAAATTTTCCAAAACAAAGAATTTTAGAACACCCTTACGTATAAAACTGTAACGTAAAGTTCATTTGTAAAGGTCACAAAGCATATGAATGGGTTGAATGAATTTAAAAGAGACAAAACATACTGTTAAAAGGAGAGGCTTGTAATGCGACGCTGTGGCGCGAGTTGTATAGAATGTTACAAATTTTGTTTCTTTTTTACTTAATTAGTTTTTTTGAAAAATATGTCTTAAATTATGGATTTTGTTTAACGTTAATATTTTTTTATGATTATTGGCAAGTAGCGTTAGACGTGTGTTCATTTATTGTCGCGATGGTAACGATACGCTGTATATTTAATAAGATTATAAATATATAATTTCATAGTATTTAATAATAATTACATGATTAATTAACAGTTACAAGATGGAAAACAACTGCACATCCTGCAACCTACGAAGAAACAAGATAAAAGAAGCCATGGACGAGGCTAAATCACTTCGCGTTGCAAACGGAAAACTCATCAATGCGCTGTTCAAGCTTACCACAATTATTAAATCCAATCCTGGATTATATAGACCTATTGACAACTATCAGATTGGACACACAAATACCTGTGCTCCAATCTACAACCCTATAAGCCTCCCTGAAGCATCCGTAAACGTAGCACCAACCACCAGTAACCACCCAACAGAGGTGTTTACTTCTTATAGAAGCCACCACGGAAACTCTGAAAGGGCTAGACACCACAAAAGCTTTGAGAGCGCCGAGGATAATAACATTTGCACCAGCACCACCGCAGACTAGCCGCAGTCCCAGTATACCCACCTACTCGACGCATAGCAAAGGCGGTTACAGTGCCTCCTGTGCAGCCTACACCACCAACCACAAATGCTATGGCACTTCAAAATAAGGCAGCACAATTACCTGAACGGCTGACTCCTTAACCAGCCAATTACCCTAAATACTTCTACTTTGAAACAATGACACCTCGACTACGATGCCCAACCGAACTTGGACCCCTAGCGCATCTACTGGTATATTTCGATGGCATAAATTCACTGGATACATCAATTTCTACATGAACGATAATAGCTCCACCTCGATCGAAGAACTATTATCGCACTCATCATAATATTAAGAAAAAAATTAGAATAATCAATAAATAATCTTCTTTATTATTTCAAATAGTAATCATACTGTACAATTAGTGTAAGTATACTAAATTGTATAAATTCCATAAAATACATATTTTATATCAATGATGTAACCATTACAACTATTACTTACTTAAGTATAAATCTGATTATTCAATGTCACAACATCGGTATAAGAAATAATAATTAAATTAATTATTTACAAACAAATTAGGTATAAATAAAAATAGTACTATAATAATTACTCATAACTGTATGTGCAACACATTGTAATATCAGTTAATGTAAATCAAAATAATAATTTGTAATACAATATTCATACATATGAATAAGTACTAATAAACTAGTCAGTGTTAAACAAAATATGAATCACTTATTAAATCCTCAACTAATTTTCATCTCCACCTAGTTAAATATAATTATTGATTATCCCATGTTGTTATGTATCTCCACATTGAACTTTATATATAGGTTATAGGTATTAGTTGACTTGCAAACCATTATTGTATTCAAAATATCAAATTACAAATATATGAGTATGTACTCATATATAAATATAAATATACATCCCGAAACATATTTTTTAAACCTCATTGTTATTCACCCTATTTAATCAACATTTAGACATAAATAAGTAACCTATATAATAGTAATTGCAATCAAATGTACATGACAACTGCTTCCCTAAACAATATCTCTTCAATATGGCGACCTGAATGGCGTAGTGGGTAGTGTACCTCCTGCGTCAGAGGGTGTGGGTTCGATCCCCACTACAGGAAAAATATTGTGTGTGAACATTTATATTATGTGATGAACATAGTGTTTTTCTAGTGTCTGCATTTTTATATATGTATAATAATGTAGTGTATGGTGTTCAGGCCACCATACACTAGGTCAATTGGAATATCAAATTCAATTCAAATAATCATCACAAAGAAGTGTTTCCGTAACCAGTTTTAGAATTTTCTAATTGTATTACAAAACACCAATGTAATGTTCAATCAATCAAGATAATTAACAGCAGTTCGTGTTACGGAAACTGCTCAAAAATATATTAAACAAAGAGAACTAGAAAACGGGAAAAGAGGTCTGTATAACCGACAAGAGCTCCTAGTGGCCTCCGAGCAATTATCTTGAAAAAACAATGCAACACTGGTTTAAGTGTAATTTCATCAAAGGCTAGCAGTAGTTAATTTAATATTTCATACAATGATGTTTAAAAGATAAGGATCAATTTAAAACAATTTGTTTGCTAGCAGACGCGCTTCGCACTCTGGACTGTGTAATAATAGGTGTAGCAAGTGATTCGAGGCAATTCAATTGAGATTTCAATTTGGAGTGAAACCATTCACTGTGCAAAAAACTCTTCAGCTAACATGAATCAACTGCAGCAACAACTTTTAAATGCTGTAGATTTGGTACTGCTGATTGCATCTACTGATAGTACGTCTATGAAATTATCTAGGATTGATAATCAATGTTGAAATACAGAGTCCTTATTCCTAAGTCTCTTCCACAAATGTCAGACTTTGCCCAATGATACTTATTTCTAAAGCTACGTGCAAAATACACTACTTAAAAATACTGTAAAAATATCGAACACTACCATTTAAGTTTATTTTTAGAGTTCCGTACCCAAAGAGTTTTACTCTTATTACTCAGACTCCGCAGTCTATCTGTCCGTCCGTCACCAGGCTGTATCTAATGAACCGTAATAGTAAGGTAGTTGAAATTTTCACAGATTACGTATTTCTGTTGCAAATTCTAAAAAACAGAATAGAAAATATTTACGTGGGGCTCCGATACAACATACACCTTTATAGATAACGGAACGGAACCCTTCCTGCGCGAGTCCGACTCGCACTTGGCCGGTTTTTAGCATATCTCAAACTCGGACAAACCACAGTCCTGCGGGCATAATGTTTGATATTTAGAGAGGAATTGGAGCACGAACACTGCCGTGCCGTGCCTGCTAAATATCAATAATGTTTACTGCGAGCAACACACCCCGCGACCCGCTCATTAGTTGTCCCTTTTATTATGAAAGTATTAAACAAGTTGACTTTATTATGTCACTATAAATACGTTTTTTTTTTATGTAAAAAGTTGTCAAACGAGCAGACGGTTCACCTGATGTTAAGTGAATACCGCCGCCCATGGACTTCTGCCACACCCGAGGGTTACAGATTCGTTGACAACCTTTTGAAAATTGGGCTCCGGCTACCTCACTCACCAGACGAAACGCGAAAGTGTTTGTCATACTTTCACTTTACGCTGGTCTTCTGTGAGGTCGTGGTACTTACCCGGACGGGCCTGCCCATTCGTGCAACAGCCGAGGATGCTGCGTGGCCCTACCGCCGAACGTAGAACTCGCATTGTTAGAACATAAACATAAAGAAGGAAACGTTGCATTATAAGGTAACTGCCGAACCCAAAGGACATCCTCAAATCGCACCATATTCCACAATGTGTGAAGACCTATCTGAATCTGTCTGTCTGTAAGATCGTCTGTTCAGACAATGTGTACTGCCCACAATTATGTACGACGAAAAAGCTTGGATGCACCAACATGACGCGGTAAACTTAATAAGAGATGTAGAGATCCATGAAGACGTATGACTGCAATCATACTTCGAGACTGCAACACTAACACACTTTTTTTTTTAAACACGTTTCGGAAACACTGATCATCGTAGAAGTCAACTAATCAGCTGTCAAATGGATTTTCATGTGGTATTTCAGTTGCCAAAAGGATTGTTAAACTCTCTGAATTGATCAGAATGATCTTTTTAATGATCAGAATGATCGATTCAAAGAGTCCTTTTGATAATCCATTTGACAGCTGATTAGTTGGTTTCTACGATGATCAATGTTTCACACACCGGGCGTAAAATTCTGGAGTTGCAAATCAAAGTGGAGAAGGTTGTGACAGCATACGGTCAAACTGGCATTGACCAATCAGCGGAGTCTTGGAGCATTTTAGTTCGCAATCGAAGATGCCATCTGCATTAGTAGAGAGTGAGAGAGAGAGGCCCTACATCTAGCAGTGGTATATGGTTTCAAGATAGGAAGCCTGTATACGAGGATTATTTACGGTTCATAATAACGAACCTGTAACAAAAATCGTGTTCATTATATTGGTATAACAAATAATAAACAAAGTATTTATACTTCTGTGATAATAAATTAATTTATAGTGATGATTTTGATACATCATAACTATAAATATCAATAATAACTATTTACGTAAACTCTCGCAGGTATTAAAAGGCCTCACTCATATTACGGCAGCAATAAAAAAAATTGCCAAATGAAAATATCCGAACACCACAAAAGTGGGCACATCCAACCAAACAATGCAGCGGCTTGCAAAAAGAAAGGAAAACCTCATCGCTGAGAAGATCCCGAAAGGAACCACCCGTTAATTTCGCGCCGTAACAAAATAAGCCATTCGCGAACCGACGTCGTAAAACCGGAGCGGCGCGGTCTGCGTCCACAAAGGGCCACCGGTTCGAATCTCAGAGTTGCACAACACGGCCATATTGATACGTCGGCGGGCGGCGCGTGCGGTTTTGCGGATATGGAATGGACCGATGCAGAGTTACGAGCGAGGCGAATCGAGGTTGCCACGGTATGGCGATGGTATTACAAAAGCGCATTTCGACGAATAAATACAATATATATATATATATATATACCCTTCTTATGGTGTCGTCGGTCCACCTAGAGGGAGGCCTTCCAACGCTACGTCTCCCGGTTCTTGGTCGCCACTCGAGAACCTTTACTCACTATCGGTCGTCAGTTCTTTGAGCGACGTGGCCTGCCCACTGCCACTTGAAGTTGCAGATCCGGAGAGCTATGTCGGTAACACCGGTTCTTCGGCGAATTCCCTCAACGGGAGACCGGTGGATGCCAATGGCAAAGTGTCGTCCGTTGTGGCGTTCTAAGGGGGAGGCCTATGTTCGACAGTGGACGTCTTGCGGCTGATGATGGTGATGATATACCCTTCATACGCACACAGGTACATGACTAGCTGGTGCAGTGTCTAAGCCATTGGGCTTCTGCGCCGAGGGTCCTGGGTACGATTCCCGAATGTCTTCCCAAACAGCAGCAAAAGTAATCAAAAACTTGCTAATTTACATTTGAATAAGTGACGGTGTGATGTTAAGGTTCTTTTCTTTGCGGTAATTAATTAAAATTTAAAATACAGTTCTATGTTGTGTTATAATAAGTATTGTAAACTGATTACTTGAGTTATAAATTCGAAACTATTTAATGTTCATAGAAATGACATATCCGAATGGAACACAATATACTCAGAGAAAAAGCGTAGGTAACTCCTAAAAATTTACCCATAGGATTATACTTCGAGCGTCGCAGTAGATTGGCACTGTCTAAAAACTCTGTGCACGCCACTGCCACGATTAAATTCACTTTGAAAAATTCTTTTAATTTCTTAGTATGTCAGTAACAATTATGTTTAATTATATATTATTATTGTTATTTATTATAGATAACGCATGTTCATACTGCCATATCTAAGTGAAAGTATATGACATATATAAGTGAAAGTGAGAGATGATATACAACGTATGGTACGGAAAGAGATAGCAGTCTATACAATAGCAATTACACCAATTGGTGTAATTTGAGTGCCTCAGTTTGAATGCGCTAGTGTCATATCTACCTAGTGCATCTATCTAGTGCATATCATTGGGCAATAATCAAGGATCATTCCCATAGTTCTAAATACGAAAAACCTAAGAAATCCAAGTACAAGTGAACATTATTCCGCTTTGCCGCTTGCAAAGCAAAAGTGCGGACACATAACGCGAGTTAATCGTTTGCCATAGACAATTATTATTCTCATCGATGATCTCACGGCGCGGGCGAGCGATGGACATTGTTTATGACTCATTAGGGGCGATACAAAAAAAGTATCGAGCCGGTAAACATCATGAACGCGGGGACAGAGGCCAAGTAGAAACACATGGTGAGTTGGTAAATGCACCGACTTCTTTTCAAAAACGCGCACACAAAGTGTTTAATTACTTAATGGACATTGACACAATGTTAGGCGATTATTACGAGATCATCATTAACCGGATTTATTTCAAACGCCAGATGTTACTATAAATTGAATCCGACGTGTAAAAAATCCGTACAAAGTAAAGTAAAGCTAATGTTATAGGCGGTGGAGCCGTACGGACCTAGTGGTTGCGCGTCTTCGCTATCTGTCACGGCTTCGAATACAATAATCAACCGACTTCAAAAAAGGAGGAATTTCTTAAATCGACTGTATTCGCTTTTTGTTACCTCGGAACTATCGACTGAGTGAATCGATTTTGATGATTCTTTTTTTTTTATTTGAAAGCTGACGCTTCCCATGTGGTCCCATATTATTATTATATTTCTACACTATATCTCATTGGTATGGAAAATCAAATATTAAATGGATACAGAGCGAGATATTTGAAGACGGTTATGTTTTTCGTCAATAAAAAAATTGACGCGTCACGGTATTGGTGACGCGTCAATTTTTTTATCCCCTGAACGTCCCGGGTGGGAAGAACAAATGACGAACCTTTCGATCGGCCAACTCTCGGAAGTAAGGTCGTAGCGGCCTCGGTGATGACACCCAGCGCGGTGGCGGAGAAGGAAAATGTGTCAAAAGTTCGACCATGACGTCAGTTGATCACTGCGTCCATTGTCCGCGGACGCCCGTCGACCACTTCAAACCACAACACGACCAACGCTTCCTTAGCTAATACCAAATCAGGTGTGTACACGTGTCGCTTAGTGAAGCGGTTCAAACGATGTAAAATGTTCTCCTAAGATGTGAGGATCGTCGCTTAGGGCGGGCAACACACTGCAACATCTCAAACCTATAACAGAGTTTGCCTCCGGCCACCCCACTCACTGGACGAGGCGGAGTGTTGTCACAGTTTTGCGGACTTATACTAGCATTATTTTTATGTGAGAAAGTGGTAAACGAGCTGGCGGTTCACCTTATGTTAAGTGAAAACCGCCGCCCATGGGCTTTTACAACACCCATAGGGTTGCAAATGCGTTTGCCACCTTTAAATAAAGTGGGCCCCGGCTATCTCACTCACCAACGAAACGCAGAAGTGTAAAACTTCTAATTTACTTCTACTCTACACATCTTGAACTACAATGTGTTCTTGGTCTTCCAGTCTTGTTATGTACGATTGTGTATTCGATTATTTTTCGTAGGGTATTTTACGGCAGAAGGGCACGAATGGGTAGCCACGTCCAGGAATCATGGCCTCACGGAAGACCGGCGTGAAGTGGAAGTATTATACTATAATAATATTTATATTACTTCGTAGGGTATATATAATATAACTGAAGCCCACTTTTTTATACATTTATTATCTACAGTGCATTCTGAAAAACCGAAACTGTACACTTTCTGAACTGTATATTTACTGTTGCTCTGCAATGCATTTTATTACTATAACAATAAGATTTTAAAAATAAATTTTAATTTGCTTAATTACTACATTATTAGCTTTGATGCGCAAGATATGTGTTTTGAAAAGATATAAATAAAATTCCTAGATATTTCCACATAAACGTATTCAATTAAAATTTGCTTTCGCACCTACTATTATACTACACAACTATAGCATGAATATTTTCTTTTTTATAACAAGAGATTGTCGTTACTAAAAATAAAGCTATTATTTACTGATTTATTGCGTTTATTTTTTAATTTAATTCCCTGGAGATTTGCCGTTTTAGATTTGAATGGATTGTGTGAAGAATGATATGCGCATGAAATGGGTGAGTATTGATATGACGGCTGATAGAGAAGAGTGGAAGGAAAGGAAACGTTGTGCCGACCCCACCTAGTGTGAGACGGGCAGGAGAAAGAAGAAGATTGTTGTTCCCGTAATGAAACGAGAGACCAGAGACGAATGACCCTCCGTGCAAACAAGCATCCTAAAAGGGTTTGTACACCGAACTATTATAACATTAGTGAGTCAGCCACCCGCTACAATACTCTTATCATAGAGACGGTCATTTTGTACGTAAGACATCCGAAAAACGTACTACACATAAATTCACGAAACTGAGCGCGACCCCTAATCGCCAAAGTCGACGTCCCCGTCGCTAGGCCATCGCTGCCCATTGCGCCATGTGTTTGTACTCGATGGCATGTAAATACCGGTGGCCCAATCCGCTGTGGAAAATCTCCACAGCGGATTGACACGGCGCCAATGCCTCTCGCCTCATGAGGAAACAACGGATCACTCTTACGAATATGTCACGTATGTGACCTTGGTTGCATTGGCTAAGTACATCACGACACGAAACTCGCGCCTGTTATGATATTGTATTATTAAAAGTAAATTAACTTTTCTAAGAGTAACATGACTTCGTGGCGCAGTTGCCAAGGTATTGGCTTCAGCGTCGGGGGTCGTGGGTTCGATCCCCACACGGGACAACTATTTGTGTGACCCACAGATAGTTGTTTCGCATCTGGGTGTTTGATCGCGTGAAATTTATGTTTGTAAAACGTCCTTACAACACAGGATAATGATATCCTAAAGTAAGGGCAATGTTTTCAAACAAAAAAGAAGCAAGTAAAGTTTACACTTGTACTCTTAACTCAAGGTAGGACTAACTTAATCGTAAGTTCTGCACCGATTTGGCGTCACCAAAGTTTAACAAAACATTTTTATTATGTTTATTTCGTGATCAACACAAAATCGTATGCTCCAATTATCCTCTTTTTTCTGGTTTTGAAGAGTCAAGTAAAAGCATGTTGACTAACAAAAACGAAATGCACACCAAACCATTTACGTATGACGTAATAGTTTAGGGGTTAACTTAACAACTACCATTGGATCCCATGGGTTCAATTCAAACATGGAAAAAAATTTGTTACGTCCATGACTTGATACATGGGAAAGATACTTAATAAATCATATTAAGTATCTTTCCCATTATTTTTAGAAGTAATTACAATATATTACAATATCTAATATCTTTACAAAAATAAATTATTATTTATAAAAGATCATACAAACAGACATATTTTTGCAATTTTTTAAGTCCTAAAAACATTTTATTAAGTACTTTAAGTAATGTACCGATAACCAACTTTAATTTTGTTCATTTAATATGGAACTTTTTTCATTTAATTTTTTATTGTTCAGTTATGTTGAAATGCAAATGACTTGCCTTACTCATCTTTAATAATAATAGTTTAATCCAAATCTCCATGTAATTTCAGTTTATCATAAACAAGCATTAACAACTTTATGCTGCAATGTGTTCAACATAAATGTAACTTAGATTTCCATATCCTTCTCATTATTTTTATCATAGGTAGTATTGGTTAATATATTAATGAAATTGATTACTTGATTTCCACCAAAAACAAATATTTTACTTCAATATAAAATTGAAATTTATTTAACACATATTGGGAAAAACTATAATTTTTTTTCTTATGAGTGTAAATGGGAAGATTTATAAAGAAATCATCAACAACCCATCAAGCTATTCAGTGTTGAGATAAAGAAAAAAATAATTTTCGCTAAAACTTTATTGAAATTAAAAATTAAACCTTTGTATTTTTTTTAATTAAAATAAGTATGAAACTAAGCCAAGGAAAACTGCCTCCTTATTATTCTGTAATAAATTGAAGGATAATTAAACAAATAAAAATTCTACAAGAAAAAGTTATTTTTTGTTAAACTTATTTCAATAATAAATATTTATTTAAACAATAATAACATTGATGTAATAGATATGATGAAACTATTAAAACCAGACTTCTGAAGTCACTCGTTAGAGTATTTACTCAAGTGGAGACAAGGTGAAATAATTATGAAGTCATAGCTAATAATACGTACAATTTTTTCAATGAACATCTCAGCAAAAGTTACTTTGATTAAAAGAAAGTTAAATAAAAGTTTTTAAAGTTAGACAAACTTCGTATGTTTCCAAGTTTGTGAATGTTTTATGATGGAAAATGCCAAAAACCAAGATTTCCTTACCTGAGATGCAAATTTTCTATGAATGTATCAGTAGTCAAATTGTCCAGCAGGACAAAGTCGGACACACCGACTTCTGGCTGGGTCGCCATCACTTCAGGCCACTTTATTAATACACAAAAGTAAACAAGAGAAAATGTTCGCACACTGTTCACAATAATTACAAAGTTTGTACAATTATTGTCAACAAACCGTTAATAATATGTCGAAACCGAACACGGCCACCCCCCACCGACATTTCATGTAAACTGACATATTTTTAAATTTATGTCAAAAGCAAACTATAGTTAGCTAGCAACATTTTTTATGCATGTATTACGAAAATTATATTAAACGAAAATTGCTTGTAGTAATGAAAAGAAAGTAGACTTTTTTGAACTATTTATTACTTTCATTCTTGTTTTGATTATTGCACATTATATTAATACATTAATTCATACAAACGTAAAATATTTTTCATCTGTCTACCGCCATTTTCCTTGTTGTAGGCGCCTCAAATGTCATAATAATTCTAATTTTCTGAAAATTACGTTTTCTTTACTTTTTTACGTTCTTTTTTATATTTCATTAATATTGTTCATAATTTTTGCGTACAATTTTTTTTGTTTGTTTTCTTGCAAGAGCAGTATTAATTTTGTGCGTCTCTCTTGGTCAACACTCCAAGGTTCTTTGATTGATATTTTACGATGAATAGCAAAGATCATCATAAAAGGTAGCGAGTTACTTTGACGCCCACGGAAGTTCCATATCAAGGGCTTCAGAAGTTAGTTTTGGTAATATCCATTAAGGAATGTGTGTGTGTGTGAAGTGAATTAGCGTACAGCTGAGTATCACGTATGACACAATGAGCGAGTCGCCAGGCGTAGAGTGGCTGCCGGCCTACAGTCCTGGTCCACCGCGCCATAGCCCGCTAGGGCCTATTCCTCGTTTTCTTTACGAAGATGTGCAGCCCCCGTGTCTCCAACAAGAAAATAACAACAAGGAAATAGAGCTTAAAGAAAATATGAACAAAATCAAACACACTAAACCAGCGTACAGGTAATCATTTTCCTTATATAATTTCACACCAGTGTGCCTAATTACATTTTTTGCTAATGTGATTTGCTAACACTCAATGAAAATTATGTAAAATGTTTTCACATACTCATTAAAATGTTTTCAAATGAGGCTTCATTTAAACTGAAATTATAATGTTATTTGTCATTCAATTAATAATTTAAAAATGTTTACTACTTAATCAAAACAGTACATTAAAGAAAAGTATTGCCAAGCACTTAATACTCTGGTACTGTACATTAAAAATGCATTATATTAATATTGGTTCATGAACACCTGTTAAAGACAAATTCGACCTAAGATATGGACTGTAGTTAAAAGTAGAAGCTAATTGTTATTTATTTATGTATATATATATATATATATATATATATATATATATATATATATATATATATATATATATATATATATATATATATATATATATATATATATGTATATATACATATGCATGTATATAACTTAATATATGATTTGTATTCAATTATAATATTATTTTCATATATATTCTCTTTAATTAAAATTTTATTATTCTTGCATCTTTTGCTGCACCTACCATAAACTCTCACCACATCCTGGGTGGACTGGTAGAGAATGCCTTTGGGCATTAAGTCCGCCCTTTGTTACCTTGTTTTACTGAAGGTTGGCAATAAAGATTAAATAAATAAAAAATAAAAAAAAATTATATTTCCTATGTCATCCTGAAATTTTTCTAATTGAATATGAACAAAGTGGATCATATTACATACACAAATCTTTATTACTTTGAAATCAAATTTGAGAGAATAGTTAATTTTTTATTAAAGCTAAATAATTTTCAACAAAAAAAAAACCGACTTCAAACAGGAAACTAGTAACATTGTCAACGCTTATAACATTTGAGGATTGCCCTCGATTTCTCTGGGATGCCATCATCAGATCCTTATCACGGTACGACTCTTGGGATATCTCCTTTCCAACAAGAAAAGAATCATCAAAATCGGTTCACAAATGACAAAGTTATCCCCGAACACACATAAAAAAAATATATATATATATATATACGGTCAAATTGAGAAACCTCCTTTTTTGAAGTCGGTTCAAAATAACACAAATGTCTGCACTAGACTCGTTGATTTCTAAAACCGATTTGTCTTCTACACATAAGTTGTTCTGTAAACAAAAGATAAGGGAAAAAATGTATAGGTGCCAGCAAACATCTTAAGTAAAAAGTATAATAATAATAGTTGGGCATAATGTATAGTTCATGCATGTCCACTCAAGTGCAACCACTCATACAGGCTTAGGCTGTTAATATCACCTGCCTCCAATGTTCAGCATTGACCTAAAAATCAACTACTGCATAATCAAATGCATTTTTTAAAATGATTGTAAGTTACTATAATATGTGCTTATAATTAACTAGCAACCCGAACTGGTTTGGGTAGGGTGCAATGTTCAAGTTCAATGCTCAGCTGTTCTCTACTATAACATACACATATATAACATAATATAAATCATTTGCTTGAATCACTGTTATTAATATTATATTACGTTTTTTTTTTAAATCTAAGCATACAAAAATGGGTTGCGGAATTTGTATTATACTATGTAAAAATGACAAAAAACTGAAAAAATTCTTTTCATTATATAAATATTCAAAGATTGCTGGTTTTCAGACAAAATTGTCTCACACAAAAAATAGGTATTGTAGTATTCTTATACTGAGAAGATTACATAGTGGAAGAGAAATCTACAACACCTTTAGAATTGTAGAATCATTGCCAGCTTTTAAAATTTTAGTTCTGAGACAAATAGATGAAACACAAAGGTATAATATTTCTACTTCATGCTGGTCTTCTGTGGCCTATGTCACTAGATGAGCCTGCCCATTCATGCAACAACAGAAACTGTTGCATGGCCTTACTGCAGTATTATCTGCTTCTTAATAAAGGGTTTCTATAGAAGCAGCCATTGTAATTATATACATATAATTTATTTCAGATTCTAAGTTAGATTATTATTGTTTAGCATCTTGAAAAACTGAAAAGAACCCTGATATTTATTTCAGTTATGCAAGCATGATCCGGCTTGCCATCAGCAGTTCTCCCAATGGTAAAATGACCCTCAACGAGATCTATAACTACATCTGCAATGCATTTCCATATTACAAAGAAGCAGGGAAAGGATGGATGGTAATTCAGCGCAATTAACTTTCGTAATTAATTTATCATATATTTTCATAAATTATCTCCAATTACCCTAAAAGAAATAAATTGTAATTCAAAATTATGGTTTTCTGTGACCTGTAGGAGAATTGTGCATGATTGAAGTATTATAGGTACAAAATTTTAAGTTTCGAAATGGTTATTTTAATTAATTTCAGAATTCAATAAGACACAATCTTTCACTGAATAAGTGTTTCATGAAAGTGCCCCGCAGCAAGGACGACCCGGGCAAAGGCTCTTACTGGGCAATGGACAGCTCCTACAAAATAGCCGAGGTCACGCCGCGGCGGCGTCGTAGTTTCAGGGTTTGTATTCTTTTATAAATCCAACAACTAATGTGCTCACTTAGAGAAGAAAAAAAAAGATACATTTTTTATTGTCTCCATGTTTTCTTAGATGGCCCCATACAGTCCGGAGTGCAGTTCGAATAGCAGCGGTGAGGCTGGTATAATACCGTCTGCGGTTGACGCAGCGCCAACCCCGCCTGCCACACCTACCACTCCCACCACGCCTACTTCGCCAACGGTCACCGCAGTTATCAAAGAAGAGACCATCGTTAAAGAGGAAAAAGGTAAGTATACGGTATCTGATCCATCGGACCTTGAGGCTCCATGGCATATCTGAAACGATAAACTTAAAAGGCATCCATAAATATAAGATTGGTATTATGATTAGATAAGTCTGTATCTAAAATATTTACTTGAAAAAACATACTGTCACCATTATATTGTCGTATTTTTTAAAAATTGTTGTTGTATCAATTGACCCAATCTTAATGATAGTGATTGTTAAGGATTTCGTTGTGTCATAATTTCAGTAAGTAGTAATTATATTAAGTCCAATAATTTATTTATAAAACATTTTGCAGACATGAGCCACACTGACGATGCCCTCTCAGCACTGATGAATGAAGAGCTGATGCCAGATGTCGACATAAGCAGAGGTAATATACACGTTTATTTATAAAAAAAATTTATTTAAAACAACTACTGTAACATTAATTAAGCAAGTTTCTTGTTATTATCTGCAACAGTAAAGGATGCTATACATACTAAATGTATCTGTTGTTTTGTCCCGAATGATAAGTACGAATTAAAAACTTGGAATTTTTTCACCTTTTTACACTTCTTCATTTGTGTATAATTTATTTGTGTGCACCCAATAGGTAGACTTTATTTATATCCAAAAACTTACCGCAATTTTGCACTTATTGTCCCTTTATCTTCCTATGGTTTACCAATGTTCTGAGCTATATCAGTTACCTGGTAGAATTGCTAAAAGCACCTAGTACTATGCTCAATTATCTCTGTTTGTCCCAATGGGTGGGCCTTAAGATGAACATAGAGAAGTTGAAGATCATGGCTGATGTCCATTACTCTATTGTTGACGAGTGTTTGGGTGTGAACACTCAAGTCTTCAATCAATGTGTGTTTTTCAAACACTCAGCTAGAACTCAGCTAGAACTCAGCTAAAACAGCGAGCCATGTGATGTTTCTTTGTGTGAGAGTTCATACAGGGAGACTTTTCTAAGTGTGTCCATTTTTCTTTATTAAATTCTAGACATAAATAATGTTATATAAAAAAAATTTTTGCTTTTATTTCAATAAACGATTATACCACCGAGCCTGAACCTGTGTGAGTTTGGGCACCTTTAGAAAATTCACACTGTACAATTAATTTGTTTGTCCTATTTCTCAAAGGAGTTGTTCAAAAAACATCCATAATTCTTCATCAAATTTAATGTCTCAAACGCCATTTTAAAGCTTATGATTGCCGCTTTCGACAAATACAATAATATTAACGTTTTCCTAAAAAAAATTTCGTTTGTCAGAACGCCATCTATTGACTATTTATTTAAATAAGATTGACAATAAATTTATTAAAAGTCATTGTAATAAATAAATTATTAAATGAAATTGACAGTTATCGTTTAAAAATAACTCTCATCAATAATAACTTATTTACACACGGTGCTGTGCTAGTCGACCAGTCAAAGGCCATGACGGCGTTACGTTGCAGAGCGGTGGTGGTGGTCGGGCGCGCGCCGCCACGTGTGCGGCGCCACGCGGCACAGCTCGCTCACCGACGACTACGGCAACTTCGTGGAGACGCGCGACGACTGCGACTGCCCCGTCGACGACTCGCCCTGCCCCGCGCCCGCGCCCGCCCCCGCCCACGCGCCCGCCTCCGCCTCCGCTTCCGCTTCCGCCTCCGCTCCCGCCTCCGCCCTGCCGCCCGCGCCCGTCGCGCTCTGGCCCGGCGCCTTATAACACCAGCACCGAGTCGCCACAACATGAGCCCCATAAACGGCCGACATATTGTCGAATCAGCTACACAAGCATAGAGAGGACGAGGTTCTGCAAAATGGTCAGTTATTTAGTCTTAGAGGAGTCAATGAGCAATTAATTTTATATACTCACTATATCACTGTCTACAAGGTGTCCATATTTAGTACATTCAAATGGCATTAATATATTCAAATGGCATTAATATATAAAAAGAAACAGTCTATGGTGTAGCAATATAGGGGGTACACTTAATAGGTATATTTGTTGTATCAATGATGGCAGTAATTTTGTAATCTGTCAAATTTTTGTCGTGTGACAGACTTGTACAATGTAAGAAGTGTATTTTATGTGTGGATTGCCGGTAGTAATAGAACATATGATATACATTTAGCATTAGATATATTATGTTGTATAGATTTATTATAATGAGACAGTAGAATTTACAATCTACTGTTGCTGGCAGATACCTGTCAATTATGGCCATAAAATATATGATAGATGATAGTGCTTCACCTACAACTTCTAATATAATAATCAGTACAACACATTATGTGTGTTTTAAAGAGTAAAATACCTAATTATCATGTATTAACATAACAGGGTAGAGAAATAATTGAAACTGAACTTTATCTGAAATTTTGTTTCGGTTCTATATTAAAACAAAAGTGTTTTTGTGAATTGAGTGGTAAACATGAATTCCTAATTGCCTACTAATGTTAAAATCTAGTCGCGTCTTTTGACGTGTAACACAAAAGCTTTTCTTAACTTTATATAGTATTAAAAAGGAAAAATATTAAGGGAAACATAAAATTTTCTATTTCTACTTATTTTTATACCGTGTATTTGTTACAGCTGTTTAAAGTTTCTTCTAGGGAGTGAATTCAAATTACTGTCCGATCGAAAAGGAAGTTTTTAATTTCTTTACAACGTATCTTGCCATTGCTATTTCAATTTCAACATGTAATTCAGTTTTTCCTTGTTGCAACAACATGAAGTCAGTCTTTTGGAAAAATTATAATTTATTAATAATATTCAGTTGATAATAAACATTTACTGGAAAACTATAAGGATATCTACCACAGAAAAATATAACATATCTGCCAAGTAATTTTATAGATTATAGATTTAGTTACCTCTACATGTACGTAGCTGTATTGTAATATAAAATGTTATGTATTGTCATAATAAAATGGACCATAGAGAACATGTTATGGAGCAGTGGAGAAAAGCAGATTAGGCTTGCAATGGATTGAGAGCAACATGCGGCACATTTTATAGATTCTTTTGTGTGCAGTTTTGAGATCAGATTTAGCCTAATTTGACTACAGGCAAATTGACACTGCCGATCATTACAACAAAGAAAATATATTAAAAATATTCCAATAGCATGCAACCTTAGTCTGTTCAAATCTGATCTCAATGTTGCTACATGCATAAAATAGGAAACTAGATCTGCTTTTATTTTCATTTTGTAAAATTGTTACATTTATTCTTTTGGCATATGATTTTGTCTAATATATCGCATGTTATCCTATTTTATGTGCGGCGTATTGTATGATTCAGACAGGTGGCACGATAGTATTGGGAGGAAGGTCGGTTGCGTACAGATCTCAGAATGACCAGTATATAATATGTATAATTACTAACCCACTTGTAACTTTGTAACCCACTTAGGTGTGCTTAACTATTCCTTTACAAATACATCGCGTTTACGATTAGAATTATTTCGTTTAGTTGGTCAGTATAATTGTGTATAAATCTGTGAATTAGTTCGTACGAATTTATAGTTGAACTAAACGCAAAGTGTTTTTGTAACGAGTTACTTATAGCGCTTCGTAGGGAAAATTAATATTGGCCTACGGTGAAAAACTTCCCGTTGATTTTCAATACAGCGTCTGTGCCATATTGAGCGAGGTTAGACTTACTATCCCATATCTTATCGAAATGTGTTCAGAACTTTTTAGGAATTGTATTTACGTATATATATGTATAGGTCACGTGTGGCGTGTGTATATACGTGTAATAAAAATAAATTTCGAGACTTTTCCTTTTTACCGAAAGTTCCGCGGAACTCGACCGTTCGACACGTCGCTGGCGATCGTACGTCACGGTTTAGTTGTACAATCGTTTTTAAATAGAGTTATATATATATATTTCTTGATCGTTACCGAAAGCTATGACCTTACGTCCAATAAATTGTAAGACGAAATTTCGCGGATAAATTTTGTGTTGTCAATATGGCGGGATAATACAAAATTCACATGCACTGACACAACAATGCGCGCTCCTTGGCTAAAGGAGTCTGAAGGATCATGAACTTTGGCAGGAAGAGAATGTCTTTTTCAACAAACGAAAATTAACATTCCTTGCTTTCGATAGCTGTAGTATTTGATAAGAAGAGTGTTTTATTTACATTATTGCGTTATTTTACTTCGCTGTATCTCACGTAGTCTTCAGTATTTAAGTTTTAAGTATTTTTTTTTTAGTTTAATAATAGATTTACAATATTCAAATTAGATTTTATTTTGTACGTAACACGGTGCATAATTGAGGTTGCCATCATTATATTGTTCGATAACATTTTTGTTTCTGTGATAACCCTTAAAATAAAATATGTACTTCTACGTTTTATATTGTGAATAGACCTGTCATATTATATTTTCGCTGAGGGGACATTATGTTTATATTATAGCAATCTTTTTTAGTATTATTTGTAATCGATCGAACACATCAGTATCTCGTGGAGAATGTCTTATTTTGCGGCATAATAATGTGTCTCGATTTTAGTTTTAAGTGAATTTGAGGATTTTATGAATGCATGAATATTTATATACTTTTTCGCCGTATATTTTTCTTATAATGTGAAGGTCAATTATTTAAATGTTTTTAATTGCTTTTCAATATCAAAAATATTTTTGTTTTAAAGTATAGCTTAACATATTCATATAGAAGGGGCATTCGTTTAGAATACTCAATTCATTTAAATTACTTGTATAATGTACCCAGGTTTTGTATTAACCCTATACAGCGTGTCGTTACCATCGCGACAATAAATGAACACACATATACGGGATAACTTTTTAAACATTTAAATTCTTTAAACATCAATATTTACAGAGTTATTAAATTATCCAAAACAAAGAATTTTAGAACACCCTTACCTATAAAAGCGTAACGTAAAGTTCATTTGTAAAGGTCACAAAGCATATGAATGGGTTGAATGAATTTAAAAGAGACAAAACATACTGTTAGAAGGAGAGGCTTATAATACGACGTTGTGGCGCGAGTTGTATAGGGGATGTTACAAATTTTGTTTCCTTTTTACTTAATTAGTTTGAAAAATATTTTTTTTTAATTATGGATTTTGTTTAACGTTAATATTTTTTTATTATTATTGGCAAGTAGCGTTAGACGTGTGTTCATTTATTGTCGCGATGGTAACGACACGCTGTATAATTATAATATATTGATTTCTTGTATTTACGCGAATACTACACACAGTCAATTGAAATTACTTTAAGGGATTCGCTACGATTAATTTTATTTTTAAGATCGTGACTGTTTTACTTAAAAGTGAAATTAAATGGAAGAAAATCCCAAAACAAAGCTTTATTTTCTATAACGATTTCTTAACAATGCATATTGTAAAAGAAGTTTAAATAACTCATTTTAATAAAAGAAGTGTATTCGCCGGATTAATTTGATTCGCTCCGCCTATAGTGTATGTTTGCCGCGGCGTTCGTAAAGTGTTATCATTGTATTGATTGTAACCCCAATCGAGTTAGCGGTTTACTTTAAGAGTAGAATGTTCTACCTCTAAACAAATCATAGTTGATGTACAATATAAACTTTAACAATACCGTGTCTTTGTTTTCGTAACGAGATCCCGTTCGCTCCCATTTCTACCACAGCAAGCTGTCGCAAACCGTTTTGGCAAAACATTTAAAAGCGAGTCATACGGATAACTATAACGACCTCGAGCGACTATAAAATGCCTCCTGATTAGCTACTGTATCCCTTGGCAGATATTACAGATCATTCCATTTTATATGGCTGGGACAAATCCAATTTAAGATTTGTGCTGATCGATTTTTCACACATATTTTTAGCCGACTTCGAACTGGCTGTGGCCTCATAACTCCCGTCGTTTATGAACCAATTTTAAAAATTAATTTTGCTTAACTCCCATGTTTATTTCATTGGTATTGAAACTTGGAATCCGGAGATATTTCAAGAATAGTGAGATAGATATTTGAAGTCGGTTTTTTTATGTTTATTAAAATGCATTTGTCATGCGCTTGATGTAGTTAATTAACTAAAGATTCTAAGCTTCACATAACAAAAAACCCACCGAGCCAAGGCCCAAACGTCGCGTTGACTCGGAATCAATGTGGTGTCATTTAAAGTATTGTTTATATTATCAGGTAGGTAAAATGAAACTGCGGTTGAAATATCAACAACTTTAATGATCGGATATATACAGGAACAATCATAGATACAAGTGTTAACAGTAAGCACTCTTCGGATGCTGGGGGCGCGCTCGCACTGCCCCCAATCTGCTTCTCTCGGTTCGCCGTTACCGAAGAATACATTCGCTATGGGTATGCTATAGCTCGGATGATTATTTTAATATACATTCTAACCGCATTAAATAAAGTCCAGAGCAATGATTTCAATGACATATCTCATTTTTAAACAAACCAAATGACAAAAGATTGTCGATTACTTGTCACATTAAAGATTCTAAGGCATAATAATATGACAAATTAAAAGGCACTGCTACAATCAAGGCGGTAGGATCCTTCGACGTAGTAGTACCTCTTCGGGAATAACATTAGAAGATTTGCTTTTAAACTTCTTCGGATGTATCTCTCAACATTGTTTTCAATTTTCTGAAGATACGAAAAAACACCAAGTTGGCACTATCTATTGCTAAAGTCACTTATAATTTAAACGATACTTACAATGATTGGCGAATATTCGTTGATCTCGCAAACAGATTAAGGCCGTAAATAAATTACACATTAAACCGAACTAGATCGATAATATAATCGTTTAAGTGGTGAGAAACAACTAAATCTAAAGCGAATTATACTATTTTTTTATTTATAAACAAAATGTGTACATTTTAGGGTCATACGAAAAAGTGGAATAAAATAAAGAAAGAAAAATAATAGAACGTTAAGCTAAGGCCACATGGATTGCACGCGATGAATACATTAATTATAATTAGGGATCGGGCCACGCCGGAATTAATCGAGAAACGCGGCCATAGGCATAAAAATGGCCTCTCGTCTCATACAATGCCGATCGCCAACCGCAAATTACAACACTAAGCGGATCAAAATTCGACTTACAGCACACTCGACATGTACCGTGACGCAGTCTCTAGCGACAGAACAAAGCACAATAATTTAATACGATCCTACAATATAAACTCCACCGGCCACTTTAAGAGAAGTACATTTTACATATTCACAGCCCTAACAACAGCCGCGGACGCGGGCTTTGGCCAATTGGCCAATTTGCCAGCCGCTGCGACGGCGCAACTCGAGAACCACCATTCGCGGTCCGGAAAAATACGCGACTAAGGGAAACGAAAATAGCAATTGTAATGAAAATAATCAAAACCAAACCGTGCCCTCGGCGCGACATAGTAAGAACATCTAACTTTATATACGCAATCCTTATATTATGTTTTCGGGTGGAGTTGGAAATCGACGAAACTACGTTATTTTTTTATATGACGAGATAGATTTACCAGTTTATACCTCTCCTTGTCACGAATCGGTTATATCAACGGATATGTTTTGCGAATATGGACATCCTAATCGCTCTAGCCGAAAATAACCCTTACTTATATCAGATCTCGACACGTCACATCACGTACAGTACTTAATCTCACAAAGTAGAGAAGACCCCATATCGATGCACTAAAAGTGACTTTCGATAATTAATTCTCCTGTACATAACGTATCGTTCGCAAGAGGCGCGTGAGTTGTCACGCGATGCGGGCACTTGTAGAGAAAACGACAAAAACAATTACAATCTTCAAGGACAACGCATTATAACAAACATATTTCACTATGAACACCTCAATTTGCTCGTAAAGCACTCGCGGAACGACAATTTGCTGTTTAGCTTATTGCTTTTTTGAATCCATTAACTTGGACCTCGATGACATTAAGTATGTATTCTGTCGCGACGGGCGTGGCAATGGACCCGGACGAATTCGGAACGATGGCTTCGTGGAAACGGCACGGAGTTCTCCGGAGGACCCCTCGCTGTCCGCACGCAGACCTCAAGCGCCTCTGGGTCTGGAAACGGAGAGGTTTAAGTTAAAAGACGATTCGATGGATTCTTAAATAGAATTTCTTTTAATAAACCGATGCGGATGAAAACAAGGGAAGACATAAATGTGTATATAGTTTTCACGTAATTTGGCATTAATATAATATAACATTTCACATAATTTAGTTATTACATTCTTATTTTATTTCTTTTTAAGGTTTTTAGATTTAGTTTCATTGTTCTAGTATATTTTTTTTTTATTAGTTTATCATTTGAATGTCATTTAAGTTTGCTTATAGCCTTTTACTTGATATAATTTTTAAGATGATAATTAGATTAATTTATTCCATCCTCTTTCAGCTTCTAATTGCATATTTTAGGTCGTTTGGCATTGTTCATTTTTAGTGCCGATCAAGTGGTCAGCGGTGGAGGAGAACATTATGTAGGCGTATGACGCACCTCAGAGCGAGTCGCGGTGCCAGACCCAGGTGCGCTTTGTGTGGTCGAAGCGGTGCGCCAGCCACTGCGCCTGCAGCAGCTCCAGCCGGTCCTGGCTCAGGTACAGCGGCTTGCCGCGCCTGCCACCAACCATACGGCACTTCGGTCATTTGCTGTTACGCTATATTATTGTCATGGGACAATGTTATATTACGATGCTCCAAAAGGTCTCACTTGAGGTCGCGGTCCTCCTCGTCGTAGTCGTCGAGGTAGAGCGAGCCCCAGAGGCAGGCGCGCCTGCCGCGGATCACGATGATGTACGTGGACGTCACCACCAGGAAGATGCCCGTGCCGCCGCCGCACTCCATCGCGTGCTGGGCCGTTACTTATTAAATTAATGACATATAACAACAACACAAATCTTACTTTCACATGCTTATGCTATTGTATTTGAAATTGTGATTCACGTCCGGACGCTTTAACAACTAAGCTAACCGGATAACGAACTCACGGCGCCAAAATCAGACATCTATTGAATTTTTACTAATGCGTGGCGCCATCTAGTGTACATCTTTTGCAGCATGTAACATCTTACAAATAATATTAAAAAATGAACACTTATAAAAGAGAAACGTCGTCATTGCTCTTAAAAATGATGACTACGCGGCGCAGTTATCAAAGGCATTGGCTTCGGCGTCGGGGGTCGTGGGTTCGATTCCCACACGGGACAACAATTTGTGCGACCCACTGATCTGCGTGTTGCGGCTTCCCATTATGTTTCAGGCATCGCTTCCGTCGCGTTACAGCGTATAGCGTATAAGGGCGGCGCACCTGCACGGCCTCCGCCACCTGGTGGCGGCGGCAGCAGGGCTGCTTGAGGCAGACGAGCGTGCCGCAGAGCAGGCAGACGGAGGCCTCCTTGGGCACGGCGCCGCACTGCAGGCACACGCGCTCGTGGTAGTACGTGAACAGGCGGTCGTAGTCGCGCGGCAGCGCCAGCAGCGCCGGCTGCTGCCACGCCACGTGCAGCGAGCGCGCCACGCGCCGCACGCCCAGCTGGCCGCCGCTCGCCGCCGCCGCCAGCTGGCGCGCCCACGCCCGCGCCGCCGCCGCCGCCTCGCCGTGCAGCGCCGCCCCGGCCCCGGCCCCAGCACCCGCCAGCTCCAGGAACTGCACCAGCGCGGCGAACTCCTCCCGCGCCTCGCCCACCTCGGGCAGCGGCTGCCCGTAGATGTGCGAGCGCAGCAGCGCCGCTATGCGGACGAACGGCAGCATCAGCTCTTGCACCTGGCGTCAGTGGAGGATGATGACTTGTTGAAATTTTGGTCGTACCAAGTAATCGGATGTCACGCGGTTTTTGCTTCAATTAGTGATATTATTATTAATTAACATATATATTTCAGGATGACACAAGTTTTTGATTGCATATATCACAGTATGTTTCTATAACAATTGGATAACTCTAATATGAGAGGCAATTTTAAGTGGCTAATTCAGTCCTACCTTCCGAATAGGAAACAAAACACACTTCTCTCTAAAATAATGTTTAAAATTTAAGTTGTGGGAACACAAAAGTAAACATGAAGTACTACAAGGTAGCTTTACATACATAATTGACAACATAAGATCATCATAATTATGCCTCTTTTTACTGATGAGAGTACACTAACAAGAATGTCATAATATTAATTTATATGAACAAGATTATAGCATATTGATTAAAAATCTTATATAATGAAATAAAAAAAAATATTAATAAATGAAAATTTAAAAATTCATTAGAAGAAAATGCATTGATAAATTAAAACACTTATTAAGTGGCCAATAATATTTCAGGAACAGATATTAAAAATAATTATAGATTTAATTATTAGCAATTTTTTTTATTGATAAGACAATGTTTATAAATTAGAAAGAATAAACAGTCTGTCCCGTGACCATGAATGCTGGAAAGGGTTCGAAACGTCGGGAATTTAAATCAAAATAAAAAACGCGATAAAATCCGTAAAGTAGTTTCATTTAATATGTATAACATTCGCGTAAAATCAAGAAAACAATAAGAATAAACAACTCTGCTTACGATTTATATAATTTATCCTTTTTTATAAATTTAAATGTCTGGTTGACTGCTTGTTAGGGCGTCGTTGATTCCAGGATGAGATGAGGATCCTGGATCAAGTCCTTTTTTGAACCTCATATACACAATCGTATTTCCAAATGACAACCACTGTCCATGGACATTTGCGTGCAGATGCATTGCCACCTTTTAACAATGTGGGATCCGGTCATAACACTCACCGAAGAGCAGAAGTGTGACACTTCCACTTCACGCCGGTCTACCGCGAGGTCGCGGCACTTACCCAACAGCGAAGACCGGTGGCCCTACCAGGGTTGAAAGCGTAGAAGGGCGCACCTGAGCCTCGACGAGCGCCAGGTCGAGCGGCCTGGCGGGCTGGGCGGGCGCGTCGTCCGCCATCAGCGCCGCGCCCGCCAGCGCCGGCGCCAGCAGCCGCGCCGCCTCCAGCACCGCCCCGCCCCCGCCCCCGCCCTCGCCCTCCGCCCCGCCCTCCGCCAGCGGCAGCTCCCCGCCGGCGCACAGCTGGCACACCACTTGGTAGTAGGTCAGCGCGTACAGCGAGCTCACGATGCACGTGAAGTGCTCTGCGGGAGCGATCGACACGCCATCTTTAAACTCGCTGATGGTTTTCGATAATTTATCTATGGAGCTCACATTAAGTATTCAATTAGTGACTTTTATGAGTACTATTTAACATTTAGTATCACTACCATTTATTTTCATAATGATCTTTCAGTCACTTTTTAATAAAAAAAAAATAAAAATAGGGTAAATTAAAAAATAAATGAAAATATAATAACCAAAATAATGCACATGGCATTGTACATTTTAGAAACTGTAACGACGGACATGTTCAGTATCAACCGGTTTGAAAATGTGATATAATTTAACTATAAGTATACCATATATGATTTATTTTTCCGCTTTCTTTGAACAGGACAAACTAGAGTGGCACTCACGTATCTCCAGGTAGGGCGCGGTGTGGGGTGCAAGCAGAAGTAAGTGCATGAGCAGCGCGAGCGGGTCGCGCAGCAGCAGCGGCACGGGGCGGGCGCCGCCGGCCGCCACGGCGGGCAGCGCGGCGCCCCCGCCCCCGGCGCCGGCAGGGGCGGCCGCGGAGGGGCGCAGCTGGCGCCACGTGCTGCCCGCGCCCAGCGCCGCCCCCGCCGCCGCCAGGGCGCGCGCGTGCGCCCCCGCCACCGCCAACAGCGGCACTGCGCACGCACACACTCGAGTCAACGTACGACATTCACTTCATCAAATCAGTCTGTGGTATTATATGCAGAGACTGAGAGCAGAGTGTTAGTAACAGATATGGATTAGAATTTAATACAAATTGCATTGACTTCGAAATTGGTGGTAGTGAAACCATTAAGTCTTAAATTCAGCAGGCGATGAATCCCAACTGTTTGATCCAGGGGCTTACGACTAGAAGTGGGCGATACAAATCGTATCAGATATGAAAACTAGATATTAGTACAATATCCGAATATCGCTTACTGGCTCGTTCAATATCTATGTATTTTACAATATGTGATATTTCCGAAATCTGATGTACCGTGCTCGCTCGCTATAGCGACACGAATCGCGATATCATACGCGTTTGCCACAATATCTAATTTTTAAACAGATTTCGGAGAGACAAAGCGCGTGAGATACAAATACTCACTAGTTAGAGCGGGACGGCAAGCAATGCACGATATCAGATATCGAGCGACAAAGCGCGTGAGATATAAATACTCACTAGTTAGAGCGGGACGGCAAGCAATGCACGATATCAGATATCGAGCGACAAAGCGCGTGAGATATAAATACTCACTAGTTAGAGCGGGACGGCAAGCAATGCACGATATCAGATATCGAGCGACAAAGCGCGTGAGATATAAATACTCATTAGTTAGAGCGGGACGGCAAGCAATGCACGATATCAGATTTTTAAACAGATTTTGAACGACAAAGCGCGTGAGATACAAATATTACACTAGTTAGAGCAGTACGGCAAGCAAGGCACAATATCAGATTTTTAAACAGATATTATGAATAAGTTAAGTAATTTTGAATCTTAACACCACGCAAATAAGATCCGTTTTAATTAAATACTAATCATGGTATCAAAGATTACTACAACGATATTATTATATTTCTATTGTTTTGTTTAGCCTTGAGCCGTAACGGGCGACAAAGCGCGCAGTTAAGTAATTTTGAATCTTAACAACATGGAAAAAAAATTCTGTTGCATTTAAATACGAATTACGGTATTAACGATGTCTTTAAATTTTGTTTAGTCTTGAGCTGGATTGCATTGGTACTAAGCACGTAGTAGTAAGGGATGCCAACTTACTACTTAGGAATTTTCTGCCTAAATTAAGGAAGAAAAATATAAATGGAAATTTTTTAGGAGGTAAATTTTTTGTGAATATTTTTATTAGTTAAATTTTATTCATATTTTTGGAAAAAAATAAAAGTACACAAAAAGAAAAATATAATTTAATAGTGTTGTGCTGCTTGGGTGGAAATCAGACCAATGCTTATGTGCTTTGTGTGTATATTTTAAATTCTTCCGCCCTAAGTTATAATACTGAATGTATTATTTCTTACACAAATTATAAAGATATTGTCACTCATGATTGCGTGTTTTAAAAATATGTTAAAGTCAATTATTAAGCGATATATAAGATGTTAAAATAAATCATTTTTATATTACTTCAATTTCTATTTTTAATGAAATTTTTAATTTTATCAGGTAATGTTTTAATTTTACCTTAATAGTATAAAAAAAATCGTGATTTTAAATTCAGTAAGTTTTTTGAATTTAGTCAATTTTAGTGGGTTTTCGAATTTATTTAAAAGTATTCTTTTTGAACAGTTAGTATCACTGGTAATAGCTTTAGTTATGTATAGGTACAATGATCGTCGAACAAGACTTTCGACGATTAAAGTCAAACAGCTTACGTTCGTAAACGTGAATTTAAACCCGGAGGAATCTAAATAATTATTAACCCACACATCATTGTAAATAGAAGTGGGCGATACAAATCGTATCAGATATGAAAACTAGATATTAGTACAATATCCCAATATCGCTTACTGGCTCGTTCAATATCTATGTATTTTACAATATCTGATATTTCCGAAATCTGATGTACCGTGCTCGCTCGCTCGCTATACCGACACGAATCGCGATACGGCGATATCATACGCGTTTAACACAATATCTGATTTTTAAACAGATTTCGAGAGACAAAGCGCGTGAGATACAAATACTCACTAGTTAGAGCGGGACGGCAAGCAATGCACGATATCAGATATCGAGCGACAAAGCGCGTGAGATATAAATACTTACTAGTTAGAGTGGGACGGCAAGCAATGCACGATATCAGATATCGAGCGACAAAGCGCGTGAGATATAAATACTTACTAGTTAGAGTGGGACGGCAAGCAATGCACGATATCAGATATCGAGCGACAAAGCGCGTGAGATATAAATACTTACTAGTTAGAGTGGGACAGCAAGCAATGCACGATATCAGATATTGAGCGACAAAGCGCGTGAGATATAAATACTTACTAGTTAGAGTGGGACGGCAAGCAATGCACGATATCAGATATTGAGCGACAAAGCGCTTGAGATATAAACACTTACTAGTTAGAGTGGGACAGCAAGCAATGCACGATATCAGATATTGAGCGACAAAGCGCGTGAGATATAAATACTTACTAGTTAGAGTGGGACGGCAAGCAATGCACGATATCAGATATCGAGCGACAAAGCGCGTGAGATATAAACACTTACTAGTTAGAGTGGGACGGCAAGCAATGCACGATATCAGATATGGAGCGACAAAGCGCGTGAGATATAAACACTTACTAGTTAGAGTGGGACAGCAAGCAATGCACGATATCAGATATTGAGCGACAAAGCGCGTGAGATATAAATACTTACTAGTTAGAGTGGGACGGCAAGCAATGCACGATATCAGATATCGAGCGACAAAGCGCGTGAGATATAAACACTTACTAGTTAGAGTGGGACGGCAAGCAATGCACGATATCAGATTTTTAAACAGATATTATGAATAAGTTAAGTAATTTTGAATCTTAACACCATGCAAATAAGATCCGCTTCATTTAAATACTAATCTTGGTATCAGCGATTACTACAACGATATTATTATATTTTTATTGTTTTGTTTAGCCTTGAGCCGTAACGGGCGACAAAGCGCGCAGTTAAGTAATTTTGAATCTTAACAGCATGGAAAAAAAAACTCTGTTGCATTTAAATACGAATTACGGTATTAACGATGTCTTTGAAATTTTGTTCAGCCTTGAGCTGGATTGCATTGGTACTTAACACGTAATAGTAAGGGATGCCAAGTTACTACTTAAGAATTTTCTGCCTAAATTAAGGAAGAAAAATGTACAATGTAAATTTTTTAGGAGGTAAATTTTTTGTGAATATTTTTATTAGCTGAATATTATTCATATTTTTGGAAAAAAATAAAAGTACACAAAAAGAAAAATATAATGTAATAGTGCTGTGCTGCTTTGGTGGAAATCAGACCAAGGCTTATGTGCCTTGTGTGTATATTTTAAATTCTTCCGCCCTAAGCTATAATACTGAATGTATTATTTCTTACACAAATAATAAAAATATTGCCACTCGATTGCGTGTTCTAAAAATATGTTAAAGTCAATTATTAAGCGGTATATAAGATGTGAAAATAAATCATTTTCATCATAAATCATTTATATTTTTAATAATTTTTTTTTTTTTTTTTTTTTTTTTTTTTTTTTTTTTTTTTTTTAGAATTCTATTAATCAACGTGGATAGGGAAACGTAAAATATCTAGATATTAAAATACATAGTTTCGAAATCTGATATTTGAAATCGATATCGGATTCAGATACGGTACTCAGAAAAAGCGATACGACCCATCCCTAATTGTAAATAAGTTAAGTTTTAAATATCAGGAAAATTATGTACATAGAATGAATCAACTTTTAAATACTCTTTATTCTTTTTTTTTTTTAGAATTCAAGGTGGATACGGGACCGTAAAATATCTAGATATTAAAATACATAGTTTCGAAATCGATGTCTGATTCAGATACGGTACTCAGAAAAGGCGATACGTCTGTAAAACTCTTTATTCTGGATAATAAAAAAAATAAAATCTGTCTGAGGTCATTAATACACAAAAAATCTCAACATCGCGATTTACATATTACCGCTCTACTAATAGCGCCATCTAGCGAAATTGGCGCGAACACCAACCATTAATTTATCCACAAAAATTTATAATTTGCTGTAGAGGATGCACACCAGATAGCGCCAAGCATTGCGAAAAATAGAATAGAATAAACATAGATATTTTCTTGCTGTGAGGTAATTGGTGAAGCGTCCGGGCGCGAGACCGAATCCCTCTGCGGCGCAAGTCTTTAAGGTGAGAATGAAGTAAGCGGTACCGATGCAGTCGTCGCGCGGCTTGTAGCGCGGCGCGGGGCTGGCCAGCAGCGCGCCGCCGCGCTGCACCAGCTCGCACTCCACGTTGGTGCGCACCAGCGACGCCACGAACGTGAAGATGGCCGCCGGCGAGGAGCCGTAGCGCTGCTTCAGCTTGCCGCCCGCCATCGCCGTCATGTCCTCCATCGCCTTGCCCATCGCCTCCGACAGCCGGCTCGGGCTCTGCCGTTTGTTTTTCTATTATTACTATATATATTGTTTAGTCTGGCGAGTGAGGTAGCCGGGGTCCACTTTACTATAAGGCCGCATCGCATCTGCAACCCTCCGGACGTTGCAATCGTCAATGGGCGTCGGTTATAAAGTTTCAGCAACGTGTATGATCACTGACCGGCGGCGGGTGTTCGCGCTCCAGCATGTCGAGGATGGCGACGGGCGGCGGGGGCGCGGCGGGTGCGGCGGGGTGTTGCGGGGGCGAGGGGCGCGGCGGCGCGGGCGCCAGCGGTAGCACGCTGTTGGCCAGCTGGCGGCAGACGGGGCAGAGGAACTCGCCGCGCTCCACGTGCAGGTTGTGCGGGCGCGGCGCGGCCAGCGAGCGCAGGTAGGCGCGCAGGCAGCGCAGGTGCAGGTGGTGGCCGCACGACTGCGCCACGACGCCGCCCTCCCAGCCCACGCTCACGCTCAGCACCCACGACTCCTGCCGCAGTCGTTTGTGTTACAGCGCTTCGTCCGTGCGCCGGAATTTTATTTCAATTTCATTACGTGACCTCATCGCGGCGGTCACCTGGTCGAAGTGCTGGTGCAGGTCGTCGTGCAGGCGGTAGTGGTGCGCGGCGGCGGTGAGGTCCCTCTGCGCGGCGAGGCGCGCGCGCTCCGCCTCGCAGAGCGCCAGCCGCGCGCCGCCGCCGCCCGCGCGCCTCCGGTGGCCCAGCACCGACGTGGACTGCGCGAGGGGCGAGAGCGGAATAAATACTGCACGAGCGCCGCCACCCGCCACTGAGAGGCGCTCACCTGCAGCAGCACCACGAGGCCGATGGGGTCGTGCGCCGTGGCGGGCGCGGTGGTGTTGCAGATGACGCAGTCGTAGTCGCGCGCGAGCGGCTCGTCCTCCCAGTCCATGTGGTCGCCGCCCTCGGCGCGCATGGCCGACAGGAACTGCTGCTGGCGGCGCGCGAACTCGCGCATCAGCTGCTGCTGGCGCTCGCGCGCGCGCCGTTGCCGCTCCTCCTTCTCGCGGCGCTCGCGCGCGCGCTGCTCCGCCTGCCGCTCGCGCTGGTGCGGCCACAGCGAGCGCCGCACCGCCTGCACGGCGCCCGCGCACCGCGCGTCCAGCGCCGCCAGCTTGCGCAGCAGCGCGCCCACGAAGTGCGGCCCGTCGCCGAACGCCCCCTCGCCCCCCGCACCACCAGCGCCCCCCTCCTCCAGCGAGAACGAGTCCAGCCGCCCCGAGAGCTGCGAGTGCAGCTTCAGCAGCAGCGAGATGATCGACTCGTTCACGGGGATCGACTCGTCCGGCTGCGTGTGCACCTGCATCTGCACAGAAAACGGCCAACGTTCAACTCAACATTGTTTGTAAATCGTCTAAACCGATATATGTATACAACTATTGTCAGGTATTGGAAATACGGAAATTTGTATAAAAAATGAACTTTCACTGGAACCTGTGTGTCAGGGGAGGAGGGTCCGTGGGGCGGGGTGTGCAGCGAGGGCGAGGCGGGCGAGCTCGGCGAGAGCGGCGAGGAGGGCGCGGGCAACGCCTGCCACTGCATCTCCATCCCCTCCGTGTCTTCTTCGGCTAAAATAAAATAAATAAATAAATAAATATTTTTAGAACACATTTTTACACAACGTTCTCTAGTCCCAAACTAAGCAACGCTTGTATTATGGGTACTAGATAACTGATAAACATACTTAAACATAGTTTTCTTTTGTAAATAAATACATATTATACATATATAATCACCCAGACACTGTTCATCACACAATATTTTTCCAGTAGTGGGGATTGAACCCACACCCTCTGGCACAGGAGGCAGATACACTACCCACTACGCCATTCGGGTCGTCAAATAACAGGCTATAAACGTCCCACTGCAAATCAAAGCCGTCCTCTGTACAAGGCGTATTAGGGCATAACCTGCAACGTGACCTTAATGTGGATCGGCAAACTTCATATATCGACGAATTTTTTTTTTGTTTAATTTCAAAAGTGTGCCGGTTTACTCATGATTTTTTCCTTCACCGCTTAACGCCTGATACTTCTTCGGATATGCAACAATCTGTGCAATGATTACTGGTTTGTAATATTCGACTCTGCAAAATTGAAACCTGTGTCTTCTGGGTAACACTGAACGGCCAATGACCTCACGAACTCATAGCGCGAAAACTTCGACATCTACGCTTGCGTTTTTAGCAATGCATAGCGCCATCTAGTGTGCATACTTTACAGCGTACTTATAACATTTAACAATAATATTTGGAACGAGAGATGCGGTCGAATCTCTTAAAATTCATGCTTTATTTTTATTTTTATTAAGATCGTGATTTTCCTGCCGTGAAGTCATCGACCGTTTAGCTTAGTTAGCAAATCGTCTGGGAGAACCCGGAAGGTTTAAGTTCGAATCATGTAGCGCCGAAGGCTTTTGAACATATTATGTACAAAAAATAGACATTCATGTGAACATGTTTTTTTTTGTTGTTTTTAATGAATAATTTGATCTAGTTTCATTAGGCGTCGAACACTAATGAAACCGGAACGCGTGTTTTAGCGATTGCTCCCGGCTGAGGTGGTGACGTGGTGAGATGGTGAGGTGAGAGGGTACCGTAGTCGAGCGGATGGGGCGGGGCGGGCAGGGCGAGCGGCAGCCGCCCCCCTCCCGCGCCATCCCCCTCCCCCTCGCCGCCATCGCCACCCTCCTCCAGCTCCGGCAGCGCCAGCGCCTGACTCTCGCCGCTGCTTCCCTGAACAAAGTAATATAAAGTTAGTACATGCTTGTCTCATCCACAATTTAAATGGCAACGATTGACTTATTCATAGAACATTCCATGATTTCTATATGACTATAAATTAAATAATGTTGAAATGAGGAAACGAATGATGTCGGCTTACTTTTATCATTCAATTATAATTAGTGATGACTCTACCAGTCTCACACCCGGTTTCTGAAACTCAGATCATCGTAGAAATTAACGGTCCTTTGATTTGCCAAAAGGATGGTTAAAATTCTTTGAATTGATCAGAATCATCAATTCAAAGGGCACGTTCATTTTTATATAAATTAAGACATTCTAAATGTGTCATTTCTTTTACTTCTAAAAGTCTCTAACGGCAGTTTTGGCAAATACACTCTTTTCCTTTATTAAGACAATAGGAACAACGCTCACTTAGGTGTACTAAGTTACCAAATACATCTCTGTAATTGGTGAAAAGCGAGTGCCTAATGACAGCACTATGACAAGCAAAATGCTTACTTCTAAGGCTCTTATTTCGTGTGAGTCGCCGCCGGTGTCCGATTGGTCATCTGGCACAGAGTCCATGTGCACCAGCCGCGCCATCTACGTTTAGAAACGACCAATTAGAGCGACAACGTAAGATATTCACTGTACCAGTTCTTTGCAATTAATTTCATGAATGTGCATTTGTATATTATGCTTCCGTTGTAGTGTATTCACAGCGGTGATATGATCTCGAAAGATGGCAATACTTGCATTTGAAATTGTGTCATCATTTGTCCTTATTTAAATTGTCATATGGTTAATGAATAAATGAAATTACTTCATATAAACATTGGTCCTTGGAGCCGGATTTAGTACTGTAATAATGTGTATTATTTTAAAAACATTCACGAAAAGTAAAGTAACAAAAGCATTTATGTAGGTGATACATAAATGGTTGTTACTTTACTTTTCGTGTACTTTACTATACACAGTGGCTTTTCTAAAGGTGCCAAATTCACACAGGAGGTTCAAACTCGGTAGTATAATCGTTTATTGAAATAAAAACAAACTTTTTTCCCAAAAAAAAAAAAATATCAATTCTATCCCCTAAAAAACAGAACTTGTTGACAATGCGGTAGTCATTCATAAATCCCTTAATTTTACTGTGCACGAACTTGTGTGCGTGTTAGTAATGAATGATCGCGTGCAAAATAAATGTCTCTCATGGGGACATATTGAAATTTCAAACAAATTGAAACTTTGGAAAACTTATATTGTATAAAAGATCGTTATAGTACAAAAATTAGGTGTTGCTCGACGGCGCTGCTTCGGTATGTTTGATTTAAAAAAGTACAAAGATGGATAACGTTCGAACAAATTGTTAATTAACTACCGTCATATAAAATTTTATTTGGGAAGTAGTTTTTCGTAGCCCTGGCGTTATTTAATAGCAAATTTGTTTTCATATATTTCTTAGGCGCAAATAAAATGAGTTGCCCATAAATCACGAACTTTTTGAGATAAGTTCAAATGGATGTAATTAATTAATTAATTACGAGTGATTTTTAAATATTTACCATAGCCTCCATAAGGGATAAAGGAATAAAGCCATAAGGGAATAGTGCACTTTGTCTTCTTTTTGTTGTTGTAATATCGAATGTATGGTTTTCACACGATATTTCCCTTCACCGCTGAGCGCGTGACAATCGAGCACCGAAATGGATCGAACTCGTGCCGTTCGAGTATATGGAAGCGAAAGAGTAGCGGTAAGCTCGTCTCGAAGAAGGTAAAGAGTGGTCACCTGCAGGGCGGAGGGCACCGCGAGCGCCGTGCTGGGCGCGGCGGCGGGCAGCGAGACGGCCTTGTCGGGCGGCGGCAGGCGGCCCGTCTGCGGCTCCGACGGCTCCCACTCGGTGTCGCCTGCGGGCGGGGCGCGTGAGAGCGGGCGGGTGGCGAGGGAGAGAGAGGGAGAGAGAGAGAGAGAGAGAGAAAGACAGGGGCACTCACTGTCCGAGTGGTAGGCGTGCGCGGGGCGCGGGCAGAGGTGGGGGCGCGCGCGGCGCTTGGGCGGCACGGAGGCCAGCACGGTGCGCGCGTTCTCGCAGAGCGCGCCGCCCGCGAACGCGCGCAGCAGCGGCACGCCGCGCACCACGCGCGCGCGGGAGCCGCCCTCGCCGCTCGCCACGCACACCGACCGCTGCGCCGCGTTCGCACAACAAACGGAGTAGAGTGTACAGAGTGCCGTGGATGAAAATAATCTATATCTCTGTATACTGTCATGATTATACGAGCAATATTTGTTATATTATAGAGAAATAAATCAGTGATATTTTTTATCTGACAAAATTTTAGTAGGTTGTAATAAAAACAATTAGGGAAGAAAGAATCAAATGCTGTGGATTTCACCCGGATGTGTTGAACACCCGTGAAAAAAATTCAAGAGGCCGTGATCTCCGTGTCCGAGAGTGCGACAGAGACGGGTGCACCGTGCGCTCCATTAAACAGAGGGGGCGCGTACGTCGTGCGCCTGCTGCGGCGCGGCCAGGTCCGCCGCCACGGTGAGCAGGTAGACGGCGAGCGCCAGCACGTGGTCGGGGGGCGCCGCCGCTCCGCCCGCGCCGCCCGCGCCGTCCCGCCGCCGCACGCCGCGGTACAGCACGGCCAGCAGCGCGCCGTGCAGTACGCCTGCGAACGACGCCATCATTATTATATGCGGTAGAGATTCGGTACTGAGTCCCCGCTGCGACCTACAAGGTCCATTGTAGTCTTCCCTTCAAAGCTAAATCAGCTATATCATCATCACTGCCGAACATAGGCCTCCCCCGCAGACTGCCACGAAGCACGATCCTGGGCCACCTGCACACTTGCACAGGTCGTAACTCCATCTAGCGGGGGGTCGCCAACACTGCGATGGCCGAAGCTAAATAGCCTCTTCCAAACCGACAGCCGTGTCGAAATTAACCAATAATCTGAGCTTTCTAGGTTGCCAACTTATGTCCTCCCAGTTCCCAATATTGACCAAGGTGTAACGTTTACAGACGTCTGTCTGTGTGTCCGTCTGCCACCACAATGAAAAGCTGTATCTCATGAACCGTGATAGTCAGACAGTTGTCATTTTCGCATTTATGTATTTCTGTTGCCGTTATAATAACAAATACTAAAAAACGGAACAAAAAATATTTAAGTGGGGCTCTCATACAACAGATTCTCGTTCGATCCGACTCGTTAGCTTATTAATCTCGCAAAATGCAAGGCTTCCTTTCTCAGAAGCGACTCGAGAGGCTCGGTATTAATACAGACTAGTTTAGATGCACAACAATACATCTAGCAGAGTTTTTACTGTTCCCCCTCACTTCTTACTTCGAAGAACCTTGAAATCAAACAACGATATCCGCCGTTGGATTCCGTGAAAATTTGGCGGGCCGGTCTGTTTCGGTGTACCTGAGAGGCAGATGAGGCGCGGGTCGCCCGCGGCGGCGGGGGGCGGCTGCGCGGGCCTCAGCGGCGGCCAGAGCGCCCCCGCCGCGCCCCCACCGCCCCCCGCAGCGCCCCCTGCGCCCTCCGCCTTCCGCTTCTCGCGCACGCTGCAACAGACGGACGGGGACATTAGTGCCTTCATTATTCATGTACGCATAACAATCTACTGATGACTCCGATGTGTAAAGTTGGAACTAAACTGCTGTATTTTAAAACGTGTGCATAAATTGTCCAAACAGTTTTCGCCGTACCACCACCTCGCGGGTAAAATCCGGACGGTTACATTTCCAAAAATTCTTAGTAAATACATTTCCATTCGTTCATATGAAACGACGAACGAGAAAACCTGTACAGCTTTCATTGTGCCGTTCATCATTGGTAGGGCAGGTGACGGGAGCTGGCAGGGGATGGGGCAGGGGAGGGGTGGTCTGAGGCACTCACTACGCGGTGAAGCGGTCCATGGACGAGTGGAAGTCGCGCCGGTGCACCGCGCGCCGCAGCACGTGCAGCGGGTCGTAGTACTTCTCCCACACCTCGGGCCTGGGCACGAACAGCCCCTGCTCCAGGTTCTCCGAGCCCTTGGGCGGCGGACGGTACGTCGACAGCTGCAACGGGAGGGGAGCGGTCACTTCGCCGCGTTGGCATACACAGAATTGGGTCATTAATATTTTATGAAGCAGCACTCTAGACGATTTCAATTGGTTTATGGTGACGACACCTACAACAATTTAACACATCGTAGAAGATAACTAATCAGCTGTCAAATGGCTTTTCAAATGTTATTTGAGTTGCCAAAAGGATGGTTAAAGTCCCTGAATTATTATACAGAGAAGCTTTTCTAAGTGTCCATTTTTTTAATTAAATTCTAGACAAATTCTAAAAAACTTTATATAAAAAATGATAAACATTTAAAATTACTCATAATTAATTAATTACTTTCATTTGAACTTATCTTTATTTTACGCGAGATCATTCATAACTGACACGCAAACAAGTTCGTTTCAAAAGTATACGACGCATTTATGAATGACTACCGCATTGTCAACAAGTTCTGTTTTTAGGGAAAAGAATAGCAATTTAAAAAAAAAAAGTTTGTTTTTATTTCAATAAACGATTATACTACAAAGTCTGAACCTCCTGTGTGAATTTGGGCACCTTTAGAAAAGCCACCCTGTAACCATTATTTTTTCTCTACTTGATACATGTGATACTTTATTTTTCTCAAAAACGGTCGGCAACCCTGTCCACAGACCAGCACTAAAGAACCCTGAAACCATTATAGTATGTACATGAATTAAACAATCCACCGGGCCGTTCGAAACGTGGTTATGCAAGTTGTGGACCGCTCACCTCCCTCAGTACGCTCTCGAAGTTCCTCGTGTGCGCGTTGCCCGAGCGCTCCGGCATCAGCTCCAGGAGCTGCGAGTGCGTCTTGTCGCCGGCCGCGAGCAGCGTGCTCACCTCCAGCCGCGACTGCGTCAGCTCGTCGTTGCCTGAGGAGCGGGGAGCGAGAGCGTTGTTTTTATATGAGAGTTGCCGAGCTAGCTGCGAGCTTCACCTCATGTTAATTCATAACCGCCGCCCATGGACGTTTGCAACACTTGATAGAGTTGCAGATTTGTTGTGCCACCTTTCAATAAAGTGCGCCCCGGCTACCTCGCTCAACAGATGATTTTTTTATTATTTATTTTCTATCTAAACATTCTGACGTCTTCATAAAGTTATAACCTGTTTGTCAAAAAGTTATATATAGCGACACATTCATCAATTATAGAATACAACTCCCGGAGAAGCTGCTACCTTGGGGCACACTAAGAGAGTCTTAAAAAGCCTCCTACACTCACCATCGAGGTGGTCCCTTCAGAATAGATATAGCCAACCTTCTTACTGTCTCCAACCCTTGGTATAAGACAAGTAGCCCGCAACCATCCGGTGTGCTCGTGTGTGTGCGTGTGTGTTTGTATGCGTGCCGTGGGGACCGTTACCGAGGTTGGTCCGCGAGGAGACCAGGATCGCGAGGAAGGTGAGCAGCCCCTCCAGCATGGCGTCCTGCTCGGCGGCCTGCGCGGGCGACAGCGGCGTCATGCTCAGCCAATCGCGCACACCGAACCTGCCAATGGATAATTCAACTTGTGCCAAAAGAACCACACCCGAACCGACGCGACGGAACATCACTATTGTATCATCATTCGTAACAAAAAATAGCTCCCAATTCGATGGCTGCGTGGCGCATTTGCCTATGTATTGGCCTCGTCGACGGTCGTGGGTTCAATTCTCACACGGGACAACTATTTGTGTGACCCACAGATTGTTTCAGTCGGAGTTATTTGGCGTCTGGGTGTTTGTCCGTGTGAAATTCATGTTTGTAGAACGTCCTAAAAATACAGCATACTGTTATCCTAAAGGGCAAAGTTTAAAAAAAAAACATCACCGTGAGTATTGTTTGAAAATTAGTTTAACACTGACTAAGTTGACCCTTGCGAAATTGTTGCATAGTAAACGTGCGAAAATAAAGGTGTAAATAAGTATTAATTATCACTGATATATTATTATAAAGAACAATGATTTTCAGTCTATTCCATTTAAAGAAATCGTCAATAGATGGCATCATCGAACCATCTTTAAAAGGAATTATAAAAAAAAAGTTTGTGTTAACATTAACTTTATTCTAGCTGTCTATTTTTCGTCATTAGCGGCAAAGATAAGCATTGGTGTTTGAGTCATTAAATCATCATCAAAAATTATCGAAGTTATGGCCTACTGACAAAAATGCCTTTGAGAAATAATATATTTACAGAAATTATTGCGCGGTTTACACTGACGCTATTACATAAAGTATATAATAGTATAGTCACAAAATTGTTTAATTCGATATAGCTCACATGTCTATGCACATATCGAGGAACTGATCGGCGGGCAGGTGGGCCGCGCATATCTGCAGCCAGTAGATGTCCATGTCGACCATGGAGTTGCAGAAGTTGGCCTGGATGTAGGTCATCGCCTGACCCTTGATCTGCAGCCCGTTACGGACCCACACACCGGCCAGGATCTCGTAGAACAGACTCTGCGGACAACGAGGAAAACTTAAATTTACCATTTCATGTACTATTATATTCCTTGGGGGTAGCTACTTTTTTTTTTCAGCAATTGGGAAGCGAAGAAGTAGGAGTGAGAGGAGTTGACTTAACGGTAAACTCCTTCACAGTACCAAGTCCGTTAAAGGTTTCAACAATCAGCCCCGATAAAGATTTCAACAATCAGTCCCGGTCAAAAGAAAAACGCAAAAGAGAAGAACTTCCACATCGCAAGGGCAGGTTTATAAATACCGTTTTTTTCTACATATTTTACTTCTCGAAAATAAGAAGGCGTTTCAATATTATCGTACGTAAACGTTAAATCAATTTAATTTTCATTTAATTTCATTCATCAAAAAACGGCAAAACTAAAAAAGTTGCCGTAATCAGATAAAAGGTAAAATTCTAACAAATATTCGTAATACCTATCATAAACATATCACTTGAATAAAAAACTGTTCAGTTTACTTTTTGAATAACAAAAGCTTGTGATTGCTCTTAGAACTCGGTCAATACCATAAATTATTCAAAAACTCATAACCTAAAACTGAACCAAACAAGAGTAACTCTATAGAATAGGTATTGTGAGAACAATCATATATTTTATATTTTAACACCTAGGAAAAAAAAATTCTATTTATTTATCCTATAATAATAATGGCCTAAGACTCAAACTTTTTTTAATACAACAAACAATAATAGCAAACAATGTCCCCTCGTAAATAAGATAAAAGACTGAGTAAAATATCGACATTTCCCATTAGCATGCGAAAAGATAAGTTTGTACATTCCTCCTGTTGGCCACCCACCAAGGTGGATAGATGGTTCAGAAATGCAAATAACTCAAATGGCTTAATTGATATCGACGTGAATAGTAAGACAAATAATCCTTAACATAATACTGTTATGAACACACAAAGGAACGAACGCCATCTAGCGTCAACTATTAAAACCACTAAAGAACAAAGACGACATAAAACCCCCTATTCAACACTAGATGGCGTTAGAGGAACTGCTAACTATAGTCTATTTGCACTATTTTTTGCAAAGGAAGAGAGAATGCAATTGAATACAAGAATTGCTTAAGAAATTATTGTGTGTGCTGTTTACACCAAGGAAAGTTTTGAAACAAAACTTGAAGCAAGTCTTGTTCAACAGTCAAGAATGTTATGTGTTGTTTAGACAATGCAACTCATTTATTGCTTCAATTTAATTGTATATAACAGGCAAGAAACTTGCACCGTGTAAATGGGCCTTTAAAGGCGAGCGCCCGGACACTGAGATATCACAGCTGATGGTATATCACCCGGCAACAAATACTGCACATCCACAGAAGAGACAATCGCCCAGTTCCGGTTTCGTAGAGCGCTATCTCTCACACACTATATTCTGTCAATATGTTAATGCTAAGTGCAGACAGAGACAAACCCTCTTTGAAACGGAAACTATTCGAACGTCTCTTTCCAATGGTCGATGAGCAATATTAATTAAAAAACCAAAACGTAAAACGGAAAATCAAGAAAGAAATAAGACTTTCTTTAATTAAATTTCTGTCAAAATGTGAGTTTGTTTTCTAAATGAAATGTAAATAAATCATCACAACTTGGGTTTGTTGATATCGTTACTCGGAAAGTTATTTACAATCCCCCGCAACTTCTGTACGATTATAATGTATGAAGAATTCCAAATATAAACAATGTGAAACCGTTGTATTACTTTACTTAATACAGTCATTAGGTATTATACAAAGAATAATCCTTTTATCTATATATAAATAGTTACGTACAGACAAAACACTTGAACTGAGCTTTCTTTCTCTGTTCGTAAAACGATTTTTTTTTCTTTTTAGGTAATAAGTATCGTCGAGCTAAGACATTTTTCCCCTACCATAATCATACCCCTGAACTTTTTTTTGCAAGTATAGCAACATATAAAAGTGTATGATTCCTGATATATTTGGGATGAATAAACGAATATAAGAGTAAAAACATATTGGAAAAGTGTAAATTACTATATGTTTTATACAGTTTTCACTTTTAAGGCACCGGGAGTGCACACGTCAAAAGGGCTCATTTCCAAGTTAAAGGTGATATTGGTATTATTTCGACCATTGTCAAACCCCAGCCCATTTAACAGGCGCACAATTTTAGCATGTGGCATTCCTGGGTAAGCTACAAAAAATACTGTCTGTTAAACTAACCGACCCGTAATTTGAACGGGCGGTGTTACAACAAAAAAACATTCAGCCCACCCTTAAATTTGAGCACCAAACCAAACCACTACATGTGCAATAAATACGTATTTTGTTATCGCTTCTTGGGTTCAAGGTAGTGCTACACAGTAGTAGTTAAACAGAATGTATTGTGAACCTGATATTTTTTATTGCGATCTTCGTGGTACAAATATTATCGATAGCGACTAACATTGGAATACGAGGCTGCGCGGTTAAGTTTTAGATGAAGCCAGTAGAATGCCCTTTCTAAGATTCATTTTCACCAATGAGAAAACATAAAAGATATATATATATATATATATATATATATATATATATATATATATATATATATATATATATCTTTTATCTATATATATATATATATATATATATCTTTTATCTATATATATTTTACTGCGGTAGTCCCGCGTAGCAGGTACATCTGTCGCACGAAGCTATGCATCAATACGATAATTATAGGATAATTTACAGGAAAAGAAATAAACAACAATATTATTAACAAAATAATTGTGCGAAACCCTTATGTACAAAAGCTACAATAACTGTATAACAAGGCCGGACAAGGCGACGAAAGCGAAAGTTCAACTAATTTAGCTCAGTTACGTGCGGGGAAATGGCCAGGGTTGGTTCGCGAGCCGGTATTGCCAGCTATGGAAAGCTAGCCAAGTTGCCGGGGTGACTTTACTTAATGATATAAAATAAATACCATTTAGAGTATGTTTAAAATGTAATCTGATGAGATACCTGAATAAGTTTAATGAAACATTAAGTAACATATCTTATAGACACGACATATTTCATTTTATATTCATTATATACACATTTCATGTTTACAACTTGAAACGGAAAAATTAACATCAACCAGTTGAAGAAACGTGGGTGTTTATCGCACACCGAAACACGGTTCACGCAAATCACAAGTCTGTTTAACCGGTTGCCACAGTGGCGGGGATGGCTAGATGTATGTACGGCCTCGTAACGGAGCGCAAAGATCCGTATTAAGCGGAGCAAACAAACTAGGAGCGCCGATACATTGTGAACGCAAAAACGGATTAGCGATCCTATTCCCACATATTAATCACGTTTTATTTCACGATTAGTCAGTCTATGGACGAAAATTTGTACGTTATCTACAGTGTGCGCAAGAACCAACGCAAGGCTGAAATGCGCTGTTCTGCCATATGAACCACAATAAAATCCTCCCAACTTTAGCGCGGGGGAAATTCGGCGGAGGTGTTGTCTCGCTACTGGGCACCCCGAGTGGCGGCGGCGAGACCGGCGGGGCCGTGCGCCAGTGGGTGCCGGTCCGCCATGTCCGTCCGTCGCGTGCACAGTGCGCTCGCGCTCCTCGCTCTCGCGGCCGCCGCTCACGCCTTGATCGACGACGCGCTCGACGTCATCCGCCTGAGCAAGGAGATCGGCGAGGAGGTGCTCAACTCTTGGGACGTGATCGGGAGGCCGTTCAATGTGACGGGGGGCGTCGAGCTGCCGCTGGTGAGGCGGCGCGAGAGGGAGGTGCTCGCGAGGCTGGCGCAGGTGTCGAGGACGATCGAGCGCCTCGAGCTGAGGATGGAGAGGCTCGGCTCGGTGGCGATGCTGCTCGCCAAGACGGGCAGCCGCGGCGCTAGACTGGAGCTGCGCTTGCATGAGATGGCGGACCTGTTGAGCCGCGTCGCGTCCGCCAACAGGCAGATGAGGGAGTACGTGAGGCTGCAACAGGAGCTGGAGCGGGCTACACTGGAGAATTTCGCCGAGTGGTGCGTGTCCCACGACTCGGGCGGTCTGCCGAGCCTCCTTGAGCGCGTGCACTCGCTGATATCGCCGCCACACAAACACTTGTTGGGGAGGAGCATACTAGATCTGGTGTTGGAGGACCTGAAGGTTGGTACTGAACCGTTTGGGACGTTAACCTACAAGGTGAGGCCGAGGAAATATTCACGGTGCAAAACTGTTAAATGCAGGAAACATCGACTCCCAGCAACGGCTAATTCTCCTAATACGAATGAAAATGTAAGGTAGGTATAACGCCATCTAACAAAGACATTTAAAAATACCGTTACGAATTTGCACTAAGTTGAGAATTCGTATGCGAGTCAAGGTTTATATTGCAGTATTCGTTGAGCACAAAAAGGACAAAGACTATAATTTCTTCCTTCCCTATTGTCTTTTAGTGACTGTGTAAAAGCACATTATTATAATTTCACTGCAATATTTTATAATGACGTTAATACCCATTAAATACACACAATGTATATAAGGTATAAATGCTGTGGCATTGAATGGGCAAAGGTCTAATTTGAATTGGTTCACAATAAAGATTACGGCTTAGTTACGTTTAACTGGGAGTTTGTTCGTTTTGTTAACTTTGTTCATTGTCAAACGCAGGTTCAACACTAATGATGATTTTCCTTATGTACGCGATGCACACATAGAAATGTCGGTAAAATTCAGGAATGGTCAACAAATTTAACACAACAGGTGAAATACTCGACAGATTAATCTCAAAATAAAATAGATATGAACGTTAACATTTCCTAAGCCGATCTGACATATTTGTTTTATTTTTATTTTCTATTTAGGGATCACTACCCCCACAGTTGGATAAAGTTATCCTGTCGTAGAAACGTTTATACAGCGTGTCGTTACAATCGCGACAATAAATGAACACACGTCTAACGCTACTTGCCAGTAATCATAAGAAAATATTAACGTTAAACAAAATCCATAATTAAAAAGACATATTTTTCAAACAAACTAATTAAGTAAAAAAGAAACAAAATTTGTAACATCCTATACAACTCGCACCACAGCGTCGCATTACAAGCCTCTCCTTCTAACAGTATGTTTTGTCTCTTTTAAATTCATTCAACCCATTAATATGCTTTGTGACCTTTACAAATGAACTTTACGTTACAGTTTTATACGTAAGGGTGTTCTAAAATTGTTTGTTGTGGAAAATTTAATAACTCGGTAAATATTGATGTTTGAAGAATGTAAATGTTTAATACAATTTTAAAAAGATATCCTCTATATGTGTGTTCATTTATTGTCGCCGTGGTAACGACACGCTGTATACGACACTTTTTGTGCGGGCACATACAACTAGATCGGGAACCAGTTATTTAACCGACTGTCGGAATAGGGTAATGTTTATCGAACGGATGGTATATTTGTTCTTTGGCACTGTTTACATTCGAAGCATTTTAACCGATTTCAACTCAGAAGTGTAATTAGATTTGTCCTATTTGCGGGACATTTTAAACCAGACCGTTTTTTTTTAAACATAAAAATACTTTTGAATCGAAATCGTCAAGACGAGCGACCAGCCATAAACGATGCGGTCCAAAGTCTTTTTCTCTGGCCTAGATATTTATATACATTCTCTTCGTCACTCATTAAGTGATTTAAAGATGAATGAGCAACAAATATTTATGTTTACGCCCATATTACAACAAAGCGCTCCTAGAACGAATCACGCGTGTGATATCTGTCGAGTTTAACTACCCAAGTTAAATGTTTTTAAAATTCTAACTTTCTTTTGTTCTTTATAAAAAGGTGGTAGGGCCGCGAAACACTCTTTGCTGTTGTATAAATGAGCAGGTCCATCCGGGTAAGAACAACGATCACACAGTAAAACTTGCGAGAAATGGAAGTGTTACACTTCTGCGTTTCGTCTGATGAGTTAGGTAGCCGTTGCGCACTTTATTAAAAGGTGACAACGCATCTGTAACCCAACGGGTGTGGTAACCGCAAATGTCAATGGGCGGCAGTTATCACTTAACATCAGGTGAACCGTCAGCTCGTTTGCCAGGTTCTTACATAAAAAAAAATAGAAGGCACCCCCGTTAGGGATTTCGGAGTTCCGCCGACGCGTAGCTGGTCCGGTTTAGTAAACAAACACATACCGAGGCTCGCGTGGCGTCCGGCTACGTAAGCGGAGGATGTTTACGCGACGCCTCGTGTCACAACAAGCGATTTATTTGTACAATACAATACAATATCAGCCTATCGCCGTCCACTGCTGAACGCGAGCCTTCCCCAAAGTGCGCCAACTGTCCCGGCCCTGGCCAGCCCGCATCCGTCCGCTGCCCGCTACCTTTCTCAAGTCATCAATCCATCGATTGACACGTCGAGCTTTGGATACGATCCCGTGACGATGTGCAGGCCAGCACCGTTGGTACAATTTAACGTTTAACGTTTAAAAAATTAAAGTAACAGCCTACATAATTATCACTGTATCACTGCTGAGCAAAGGCATCCTCTGTGCAGAGGGTATTAGGGCATGGAATCCCCTGCGGATAGGCAGACTTCATATATATCTTAGAGATATTTATCATTTTGTTTTTTAAATAAGCAGGTTTAATAACGATGTTTTCCTTCAACGATGAGCACAAAAATTAATTAATAATTTTGTTGGTGCCGGCACCGGAATTTGAACTCAAGTTGCTCTAGTATATTGAATTAAATGTGAGCGCTCGGCCACTGAACTATCACGGCTAATTGTCGGACCGATCGCTGTTACGGGACGTCTAAGCTGTTCCATTATTTACTGTGCTCGTGAAGTGTCTCGTATTGCTATCACAAAATTACAGAGCCACTACGAGTGTGACGATGGAGTTGATTTAATAACAAACATATTACAACGCTCGCATGAATGTAGTCAGTTATGACACAGCGTGACTCATATTATGACATCAAATAAAAAAAAAATACGATACGATAGAACTAGGGCCTTCGATTCGGAAGGCGACAACAGTTACATATAGTAGTAATAGTTACACATAGTAGGTAAACTTTTCGAAATCGATTGACTCCTACTTAAATAACGTACTTTTTTATATGTGCCACCGATATTAGGTGATAACCGTCGCCCATGCAGCTGAACCGTTGCAGAGGAACTCCCGGCTTCTAATAAAGTGGGCTCCGGCTACCTCACTCACCAGCCGAATCGCAGAAGTGTTGTTACACTTCTGCCATTCGGCTCTTGTGCGAAGTGTTCTTCACACCGGTCTTTTGTGAGGTCGTGATTAACCGGACAGAATTGCCCATTCGTGTAACAGCGATGACTGTTGCATAGCCCAACAGTTGAACAAGCAAACCTATGTAGGTATATAACGATGTGACATAATCTTTAGTTAAAGATTTTGCATAACACATCACTCGCTCCAAATATTAACGCGCATTACTAACGGTACTTATTACCGTCCAATGAACTTCGACACATATAAAACACTTAGAAATTTCTAAAAACATAACTTAGTATAGCTTGAACGTACTTAGACGGCGTATATAAATTTATTAGTGACATTTATAATAGTCGGTGCTAGTTGGGTGTCGGATTTTATTCAGCGTTGGGCTGGCACTTTGTAACGATTTAGGTTGTATAAATAATACAGGCAGCCGATCCTGTTACAATATGTGTAAAATATTACGGGTATTTTGTCCAAGTTCATTATAACGTTCTAACGGTCCGGTGAGATGAGAGACTGAGATCATTTTAATGTGTCGTGGGAATATTAAACGTTACTTATTAGATTACTGTGAGTTCTAAGCTCTGGTTTAATGTACACAACTACTACTTATGGTACAGTATAGAATATTTACAACTCAGTTGTATTTTTAAGATGTATGGTAATATTTCATTACTTTTTTCACGTTTGAATTAACTAGCATGGTTATCGACGTCTACTGAATTGGGCACCAGTCATATTCGCAAGCTGAATTACCGGTGATTCTAATATAACCGTATTAAAATCTTTCAAACCGCAGTGGGTCATCGCATCAGATTAGCGAGAATTGAACCCACCACACCGGTTCTGTTAACGGCACCAATTTAGCAGGTCTGACTCATTGACCAGTGTGAATTTTTCCCGCCATTTATTTTGTCTTGATTTTATATAAAGTCAGTCATAGCTCTACTTATGTTTGACAGCCGTTTCGCTTAGCAGTTAAAAGAGTCCCTAAGACGTAGGTTCGATTCCCGCAGTGGCGAAAGACTTTTCCAACCTTTTTTCTACAAATTTTAATATTGACATCGATATTGATAAATGCGTAGTAATAGAAATTCAAAGAATGCACTGTTAGATTAATCTTTCGTCAGGTTAGAACAGAAACTCGTCACTGGGATTCGAACCCGAGCCAGATACAATTAGACCACTAAGGGATGAGCTAACGCCGCTGCCCTCAAGCAATAAACTTATTGAGCGGAGGCCAGTATATCATAGCAATTAATTGTAACTGTTCTCGCGTGCAACCGAATACTGCCGGCGAGGATCGGTTACGGACATAAAAATGTTATGGGGGGACAGTCTAGAGGTTGTTAAGATTCACCGAGATCTGGGTTCAAATTAAATCGATAACATTTAATCATCTCTAACGGACGATCTCTAAATTTTCTGTATGAAGATTCATCAAATATAAGACTTCATCCCTTTCACGTGTGCAAACCACATAAGCACCTCATGTTCCTATTCTGTTATCATCCGCATTCAACGATAATTATTAGTTAAATATTTATATATATTGTGGTAGCACGCAACAGTCTCTGGTTTGTGTGAATGGGCCGCTTTCTCCGTCGAAGTATCAACAAATAACAAATTTAGTACTCTGGTGGGTGCGATAACCGGCCCCGAGCTCTTAAAGGTTTGCAACGCAGCAACCTCATGAGTGTTGCAGATGTAGGCAACACACTAAACTTCAGGTGAATCGCATGTTCGCCACCTTTATACTTCACGCCTAAGGAGATGGCGCTTGACGCATTTCGGGCCTTAAGATAATGCGCTCACGTAGTCCACGTGGAATGCTTTTGCGAAAGAACATAAATCACACACGGCTCACGCAGTCGACGAGGTGGCGGGCAAAAACGGCTGTGGGCCTATCAATCGAGTTGATTGACCCCGGCCCGTGTCCGGGTGACTCATATGCCGCGCCGGATCATTGCTCATAAGCAACACTATAAACACGTTAGCCAGGACATAAAACTACTCAATGTTTTTTTGTTCAGTAAAATAAATAATGATATCTTATTTAGTACAAAGTACGGAAGAGACAAAACGTAATATCTGATTGAACGAAAGGCCTTTATTCTCTTAACAATATATGGTATAATAGTTGATGCGTGTTTGTTGTGTCTAAGCGATTGTGTAACTACTGAGCCTTTGTTCATTTATTATGATTACTTATTATACAATGTAGATAAAACTATTTTATGGATTTTCGCGAAGTTTTATCCCACTCATTTAATGTTCTGTAATTGAAATATTATTTCATAACTATGTAAGAAATAATAACCTATTAGAAATGTAGAACAGAGCGTATAATCGTTAATCCAACTATTTTAATAGAGTTTCAACCTACTCTTCAATTACACCATAGTAGATATGTCCTTGAAAGCGACTGTTTGCTATGAACTCATTTTTATGCACCAACGTTTTTACAAACATATAACAGGCGATGAAGACTACGCAAACTAATATTCTACTTGTTCGAAATTTCCTTCAATTTGGATTGTCAATTACGCTATAGTTTAAATTATGCTTAATTAATTCAATGTAATCTAAGTTTAAATTATATCCTTAATGGGCACCATACTGAGTTCTAGTAATATACTTTTACATCTAATTAGTATAGTTGTTACAAGCGTAATCGCTTATAAATAATTGTTAAATTATTGTTTTGTTAGCGAGTTAATGTTACGTCGTGTAGACAGACAATCATACAGGCATGGCCTCTTTCAATTTGCATTCTTGTATAGCATTAGCGGACGCGACAGACGTTGTCCTGAACACAAACTTAAATCCGATAACTTAAAAAAAAGTTGTGAATTTAAACCATTCTCGAATCGACCTGAAGACACAAAATCGGTCGAGCCGTTTAGGACGAGTTCAGTGACATACACAGGTACAGAAGAATTATATATATAAAGATTAGTACCGTGTAATTTCGGATCAATTTCTATAAAGCTCAGCTGAGGAGTGTTGTGGTTGATACGAAAGGAGAGGGGTTGAAATGCTACAGGGACGAAGTCGATACAATTAAGCGTAGAGTGGAGAGTTGATTAAATTTACAACGAAAAGGCAGCTACGAGACGGGAAACTAAAAGCATGTCGGCGAGACGGTGGCGGTGAAACTCTTTATTTATTTATTTATACTTCATTGTAACACCTTAGGCTAAAGGCTACAATGGGCGGACTTAATGCCTAATGGCATTCTCTACCAGTCAACCCTTGTCATGGTGAGAAGTAGATGGCAGGTGCTAAATCATGTACATCTTATGTAGAGTGGCGATTGTAGCCTAGTGGTTGGTAACTCGGACGTACGATCCGAAGTCGCCAGTGCGAATCCAATTACTTTGCATCAATGAGATATTTAATTTCTCAAGACATCTTTGAAACAATCACTGATTCGTCAAGAGTACGGCAACAACGGCAACAAGCTCATCACCTGTCACGTTTGCAATGAAAGCACGGTATAATGTATTTCAGGACTAAATTGAAATTTCAACCCATAAGAAATCAGCTCGTGTTAGTCAGTGTTACTTCATCTTTGTCTCAGAAGACAGTTGTAAACGTTATATTCATGACAACACACAAAAAACTGTTGTGGCAAATGTTCATGGCAACAAAACATATCACTGAGCATGTACTGCTTTAAACCTTTTAATCGTTTTTTTTTTCGATAAAGGCCAAGTGCCTAACAAATAAGACTTAGAAGAATTAAGGTTTTACCATGATCCGCGCCACAACGGTAGACCTCTAACATTTCATTTAATCGATTTCGACACATTGCCGTTTAGCCCTTCACTATAGGGGTGTAGTCTGACGGAATTGATCTAGAAGCATCCGCGGTCGTAAACCCCCGCCACCCTCTCGCTGTCTGCTCGGGGGCTGGCTCGTGAATCGATCAAGTGTGCACAGCTTTGCGCAATTGTGTACAGTTGCACTCCTACAGACTGGACATAGTCCAGAGCCATATTGCTTTCCATGTATTATTAGTTTCTATAGAAAGTGTGCTTCAATCATAGCCCACTTTCTATAGAAACCAATAATGCAATAACGCATACTACACGTACGAAAACATACAACCTGGGCACCTTCATGAAGAGAGCATTCTCTTTCCTAAAAGGCCGGCAACGTATTTGTAAGCCCCTCTGGTGTTGCAGATGTTCATGGGCGGCGGCGATCACTTACCATCAGATGAGCCTCCTGCTGATTTGCCCCTTTTCTCCATTAAAAAAAAAGAAAAATAATCGACGTAATTCGTATACTTAGTAACCAATCTAACTACATTTATCTTTCGTTATCACCTTACATAAACACATAAAAACTACATTTAATGTACTGTATATCTGTCGGTTCTTGTCAGTGCACATGTGAACTGGTTCACTTTTGTAAATTGAGCCAGATTACGACGCTCATGAGAACTTAAAATAAGGCTAAAGTAGATAAAGGGATTTATACTGAGACTGACTGTATGTTAATACTTAGTGAAGAAATAAGTTTACACATTGTGACAAAACAGTAACGGATGAAGAATCATATTAATACTCATAACCCGCATGATTTCTTAACTGTCATCCTCACAATTCTGTTATTGTCCTGTTCCGAAATTGCTACTAGCCGCAATTAAAAAAAATCTTGAATTGGCTGTAAGTTTGGTCAAAATTCTTTGTGATGAGTATTTCAAATGAATTTCATCAATCATATACTCAGTGCTTATTTTTAAAAAGACGTGAGAATTTTGCTATTATATCTTATAGTTGATAATAAAATCTAAATCTGCTACAGCTTTGGTATAGTTACGGGTTCGTTGTCTTATTGTAAGCGCAGAACACATTAGTCGGCTTTCGCTGCTTTTATGGAGCAACACTATTCAAACTTTCAATCAAATATGAAACGTCACTAGTAGCAAACTGTAAGCGCGATCAAAGTTCAACTCTAAAACGAATGGCGCAGGGCATAGATCATTTTAAAGAGCGTGCGTATTGTTTGCATCCACTATACGCGGGACATATATCTCAATGGGATGTGCGCGTCGAATATTGATTCGTAAACACGTGCAAACGGTACAATCTCTTCAAAATATCACAGTCTCGTATTTAACGTCCAGCCAATCGAACAAAAGACGCGGAGCCTTGAACCGTTCGTTTCGAGCGTCGCGCCACCCGCAACGCTAGGGGTGTCCCCCGCCCCCAAATGATCGATACCCGGTGGCACCCGAGCCGCGGACCGTTGCACATAAAAAAAACATTCCGCGCGCGCCGTCAGCTGACTGCGGGGGCCGTAACGGACGCGCGCTAACACCACGGCCGGTGCGGATCGCGCGGCGATAAAATATATCTTGTTACAACGCGATAAGGCTTCCGCGGCGGCAGAATTAGCTATGCGTCGCTTTAACTACATTAACATGCGGGCCAGTTCTGTCGAGTTGTCGATATCGACAAGTTTATAGCCGAAAAATTCGTTAAAAAACAATTAAAGCATTACACCATGGACCCGTTAAGTTGCAACGAATTCGATTTAAAAATAAACACAGCATAAAATCGCATCGCAGCGAAGAACCAACACGCGACAGTCGTAACGTTTTATGAATGCCAAGTGTGCTCGAAACTAGTTCGATTGCAAATCGGTCTAATTATAGCTTCCCTTAACGAGTCGCTATTATTAACGCGCGTTGATGCGCGTTACATTAGCGAAAAACATTAGCAATTTGGACCGTCGAGAGACATCGACAGGTCTCGTCGCATCACTAGTAGCCGGCCCGAGCCGGTCGTCCCCTCCGCCGCGCCAGTGTGCCCCGCGCCGTCGCAGAGCGCGTATCGTTTTCGCATCAAGTACGATGAGGATCGCGGCGCTGTCCGCGCTGCTGGCCGTCGCGCTGTGCGGCGACCCGTCACCGGTGGACGATGTGCGCAACAAGTTCTACGCCCTCGAGGCGGCGCTGTGGAGGAACGTCACTGAGCCGGGCTGGCTGTCCGCCGGCCAGGGGGGCGACGTGGAGCTAGCCAAGTGCTTCGTGACCCTGAACGAGTACGTGGAGTCGGTGCCGCGCACGGCGAGGCCGCCGCTGCGCACCTGGCTGTGGTCCATGGCCATGGAGAAGCTGCAGGTGATAGACGGCCTGTACAAGAACTTCGTGGAGTTCGTGCGGCGGCAGGCGACGCCGGGCGCGGTGCCGGCGCCGGTGCGCGAGTGGCTCGACCTGGCGGAGAGCGTGCTGATGGACCCAAAGGCCTCGGTGGCGCAGGCCGTCAGGAAGCTGCACGATCTGACGGAGCACGGCGACGTGTTCAGGGCCGCGCTGCAGGTACGGTGCGGTCGGCGCTGGCTAGCGCTGCGGTCCAGTATACGACCACTCTTGTTTACACAACCGCGGGCTCGTTATGATGCGGTGTCAGTTCGCGTTCAAATCGTAAAGCGTTTTGTAAACAATTCGGTAACGCTCCGCTCTCGGCCCACTTTTGCCCGCACTCTGTGACGTCGAACGTCGAAAACGTCGGTTTCGCAATGACGACCTCAATAACAATAATAATCCCTAATTAATCGCAATGGCCGCTAACGAGGCTCATTATAATTACCAGTGCATTCAACTTTAAAACGCTTTACGCAATAAAAAGTAGGTTTACAGCGCAAAATAATTTTTTGTAAAACAACGCACGAAAGATCGACCGCAAAGGTTCACTACAACACACACAAAGAGTCGCATCGTGTACTCTGTACGTATGACGTACGGAGGGAGCTGGAAGAAACAAATCGTCACGGGACAATCGCCCTTTGCAACATCAGCCCAAAGTCGGAATTAGCGTGCACGCAGTCGCTGTCTGCCCGCGAGTGAAAACGCACAGGAAACGCTGAATCATTACGTCTAGTTGCGTCAAACTATTAAAAAACGCTACCGATCCATTTCGGAAATTTGAGCGTCTAAAACGATATCGAAATAAACCAGAAAGTTGCAGAACAAAGCAAGAAACTTCACGATCTCTCCTCACGCGGGATCTTGTTACTGAGACGGAAGCGACTACCATAAAAGCTATAAAACTGACGGGCGAGACATAACTCGGTTTCCATTGTGGAGCTATTTCTCTGAATCACTTCTGAACCGGTGTACGCCGTGAACAATGACACTAATCAAGCAACAAATAGACGGATGAATATAGTTCATCATATGACCTCCAGATTATATTTTCATTCTGCGTGAACCCGCGAACTGTCAGTGGTTTCAAAACCGACGAAAGCCGATATACGAGTATTTTCTAAAGGGGTGTACAGAGGTCGAGGCAATTTTCCAATTGAACTTCGCGGAGCGTCTGTCCCCGAAGACGATATGTATATTCAGGCCAAATGAAACGATTTCAGAAGCCCGTTAAAAGAACTAAGTCATCTCGTCATCCCACTGAGCAGTCGTCACTGATGCACTTAATAGCCTCAAAAGCAATACGTACATAAGCCTACGTTTAAACTCGATCCGCCTTAGAAAACTAAACAAGCTATGCGAAACCATTCATATACAATTATCCCTCATTAACACGATTTAATCACACACAAAATATTTTTTTTTTTTCGGTTATACATATCAGCCATTTATGAGACAATTTCTACTTCTTAGTCGTTCCCTCATTGCAGAGTATCGTGACTCTTATTTAATTGGTCAACGAGCTTTCTCTATCGGTTTCGTTCCGTCGCTTGGTGGAGGGCGGCGCTTATGGGGATTTGAAAGTTTTTTTGAAATTTTAACCGCCCACCGTTTAAGAAGTACGGCCTCCAGGTCTTTTACCGTCTATATTTCTGAGACGATATGCATGCGCGTATTTCCAGGAGGAGCACCCCGACCTTTGCGAGCTGCAGCTGTCCCAGCACCAGCTCATCTACGACATGTACAACACGATCTCCCTCACCGAGATCAAGGGCTACGCTATGATGCAGTTCTCCTGGATGCTGCTTAGAATCTACGGGAAAGGTATGACAAGGAAGACGTTGTCGACATTCATGCGCAGTCGATGATATTTTTCTTTAATGTATTGTTGGACTGTACGCCCTGCAATCGCGCAACTTAGCTGGTTATTAGGCTGGCTGGTTTAAATTGTATTTATGGTATTAGAGAGGAAGAGACAGTCATTCACAAAACATTCCATTGATTAAGGAAGTGCGAAGGATCAGACATCATAAGGCATACGGAAGTAATGAATGAATGTTCTCTGCCCAATGTTATTGGAATATACTTTCCCTATAGGGTTAAATAGATTACAAATGCTATCTGAGAAAAGCTAGTATCGGAAAAGGTGTCCGGTTACATCATTGTAAAGCCTTTGTCTACGTTTCTCGGAAACAAATCGCAGAGTCAGCGCTGCGTTTGTTTACTTGTAATTGCGCGTCGAGAACAGAGCGACGTCGTTATCCGTGCCGCATTAGATATGATTCGTTTGGCACCAAACGATAGTTTTATTGTTTAATAAAGGTACTGTTAACAATCGCATTGCTTGCGACGGCATACGGGAAAAGACGTTTATCTCAAACTTTGTCCCAATTTTTAGTTGTTGTGTTTAGCAAATGTTGAATATTGACGGTCACACAGGTCCGCTATTTTTTCCCCATTCCTCTCTACTTCTTACTTTTCATTCACTAGTCAGTCATCTATACCATGTGTATGTCCTTCAAACAAGACGACCCTTTTGAACTTCCTATTAAAATCTGACATAGAGAAACATATCTTCAATAACAACGTAATAACTTTATGTTTACGTAAAAGTGCATGTTTAGAAAAAGGTTACGTACACATAACACCGTGTTAGCATAAACACGCTATAAAATAAACTCAATTTATCTTAATGCGAACGTCGTAAAATGTGCAAAGTGTGAGAAACATGGCTTTGATGTGGTGGGCCGCGTGCGTTATCTCGCGTCGAGCCGCTGTGACCATAGCGGGCCAGTGGACAGAGATAGCAAGAATAAAAATAATAAATAAATTGAGTTCTATATAAGGTTGCAATCTCATAGACAATTGTAATAAAATGTTTCACATAAAGTTTGATATTAGGCTAATGAACTTGTTCTCTTGAACAAGAAAAACTACGAGCTGGTTTATAAAACATAACTAACAGATTAATAAAATGGTGCATGGATAACGTTGCACGAAATTTGCCATAAATCGGTCTACACCCACATAATAAGCTATATACCTACCTCTATAACAATACCTACCTCTAAGTACAATTCAAGTAGAACACCAGATTATTTCATTGTAATGATTAAAAAGTGTTTCACTGCGAAAATGAAACTCCGCTGAGTGAAGTTCCGCTGATAGGAGATAAAACGCGGCTAAAGTAAGAGAAACTCAATACTCGTTATCTATATTCCAGGGAATTTCACGCAAGAGGCGAGCCTCACGAGGCAGAGGTACGGGGAGAGGTCTGCCCGTACCGCCACCGCCGCCAAGAACGCCCTGGCAATGGCCCGGCGGGATCTCTACCGCTGCGACCCACCGGCCCATAAAGAAGGTAACACCGCCCTCCCATTACCACGCCGGTTGATGCAACGTAGATCGCGCGATTATTTTCGGAACAAAGTAAATATAGACACTTTTAATAAAAGACGTTTGAGATGATCCAATGTTGTGAGCTGAAATGCAAATTTCATTCAAATCGATCGATGTCAAATTTATTTTTACATAAACACTACGACTTGACGGATCAGAGTAGTGGTCACAACAAAATATTATTCGTAAATACGACCTTTCGCAGTTATGGTTCGATAAAGCGAGTGCAGAAACGTACTACAAAGACTCAAAAGCGACAGGCCCAAGTTTCTCTCCATCCCACACATTCGCAACAGCCCCAATGCCAACGTTAAATACGAGGATGTCTGTCTCGGCAGGCGAGACGTACGCGGAGGTGACTCGCCTGCTGCAGGGCTACATCGAGAACGAGGTGGACATGAACGCGGAGGGCACGTGCCGCGACAACTGCGGCTACTACACGCTCGCCGAGAGCCACGGCTGCTTCAAGGACCAGTTCTGCACGAAGCAGCCCAAGTGCAAGGGCCGCATCATCGACTGCCAATACATAGACTCCGACATGTGGGTGTGCCAGCCGAGCGTGAGTGTCTATCACCAAAATCTTACTACCACATTTACTACTCCATTTGTTAATACCCTCGTCAATATTAGGAATAGGGAACTGGAAGAGCCCAAGATGGAAGTTAAAGTATCCCTAGCTCTTAGCCTCTCATCGACCTTCAACTTCGGAGGGATGACTACAACAGATCTCCTACGCACACAATAGTCAAAGTGACTTATTACCCAAACCCTTCCACTGAAAACATAATCATAACCACTCGCTACAGTCCACGTCCACCGTAAGTCTTACTGAAATATTTCTCTTAAATTACCTCGGGGAAAGGAAAAAGTTCCAAACTCAATTTATCAGAATACGCAGAACGACGAATACGAGAACTATTCCAAGAGATAATATTTGTCGTCGTTCATAAAGCGATATAAGTCATAGAGACAAGCTAATTCACAGCCCACTCACAAGATGCTGACATCAAATTCAAAATATGACGCGATTTCCAGAACCGAAGCAGCAAACGGCGCTACGAGTGGATAGAGTACGAGAACGGAAGGAAGTTCGGACAGGCGGCAGGCAGCTGCTCGCAGGCCACTACCAAGGTAACAGGGTCATACTCGAAGGGTCTTTGTTCGCTTGGGAAAACTTATTATAAACTTTGTTCATTAAAGCTGATATCATGCAAAGATGTAAACCGTATAAAATAATTTAGAGAGAGATGGAAAATCTGTAGGAATCGGAGGTGATCTTTATCGTTTTGTTTCTCCTAGGAAGGTTAACAGTTTATCATGTGTTTAATAAAATAATGTCGCAGCATAGAACTGTTTCCATGTGAACATAATACGCTCTGTAGAGTAGACGTAGACCTTTCAGCTTCCGATCAGTGCTGACCATGTCAATGGCCAACCGACCGACCTGTTGCCCTTGCCGCTGGGGTGACAACGATGCAAGTGCTTCAGGTGGACTCGTGGTGGCGCTGGCTGTTCTGGCACTGCTCCTACTGCATGTGCCTCTGCGACGAGACCGGTCCGAGGTCCGACCGCTACTTCAGCCTCTGGGACTCTACGTCGGACGTCAAGAGCAACAAGTTAGTCCGCCACGGTACTAGGGCGCCCGCACACGTAGGGTATCTAGGATTCGAACGGTGGCCACACGCAGAAGTCCGCGCGACGCCGTCCCGCCACTGGTTCTAATCGCAATTTTTCCTCCGAAGGTCGACTCCTGGTGGAAATGGAACCTCCTCCACTGCTCGTACTGCTTTTGCCTTTGCGAGGACGATGTCGCCTCCTCCGAACGATTCTTTAGCATGAGAGAAGCGTTGGCCGACGGAGCGGAGAACATGTCAGTAAATCAACCGATTGGGGCTCGACTATTGTACTTCCTAAGTTGTATCAGCTTTGTACGTGTCTTCACTAAAGTATACTAGATTAATCACCGAGGGTTTACGAAACGGGCTTAGTGCTAACAGCATGGGTGTGCGGGTGTCCTGCATAGGATGTCGCGATGGGCCCACCTTGACTTCTCTGTTCAATTTCCAGGGTGGTGACTGGGGTGCGGCTAGTTAAGTTCGGGCGGGTGTTCCACCTGCAGATAAGCGAGGGCACGCTTGGCGAACGAGGGGCTGTGAAACCAGGCAGCTGGGTGCCGATACAGAAGTTCGACCCCAGCGACTCTGGCCTCAGGGAGGGAATGGACTATCACACCCTCACGTACGAGAGGAGGGCCATCGACCTGGACGAGTTGGACTCGCCGGCGGGGCACGTTTTGACTGGTGTCAGGTGAGTTGCACTAGGGACGGTAGCCCACTGTCAGGTCACACTGTGACTCTGTTTAATATTTGAACCCGTATCGTAGGTTCCGCATGATCGGCGCCCACTTGCACTTCGAGATCCGCTCGACGCCCTTCAACTACACGACCGGCCGCCTCTCGCCCGAGAAGAGCGTGTGGATCAGCAACGACAACACCGACGGCGCCGAGAAGCCCAGGTGAGTTGTTCCCTTACTCTTTTTCTTTCAATATTTAGAAAGGGATGGCAAAAAGTGAGATCAGGTACACTTCGGGATACCTCATTCACTGCACGAATCGATATCGTATTGATCTAGGCGACTCTCTTCGACATATTGGCGTGCAGACGGGCTATCATCAATCACGCGCCTTTTGCATCTTCCGCATTAAGGGTTCAACGTCGTTACGGTTGACCATGGAGCATAAGGTATGATATCGACCACCCCCCGTGCTGTAGGTCCCGGCTGATGCTGTACCGGCCCGACGTGCCCACCCGCCACGCGGTGCCGCTCTCCGTCGACTCCAAGCACGACCAGTACGTCGAGTTCACCAACACGGACTTCGAGGCTGACGCCGCGCAGAGCACGGTGCCCTTCGTCGACATACAGCCCGTGCAGCCCATGAAAGGTGAACCGGCTCGACGCCTACAGTTACTTCTTTTACATTCTCTCTCTCTCTCTGATTGATTTCAAAATTCGTCAACCGGTGTGACAGAGTATACTTCATACGCTGCTGCCGATTTTTTATATAATACAGAAGCATTACACTTAATTATTGATTGTCAAAAAACTGTACTGCTTGGCTGGTCGTATTCTTAGTTTGTCTACCCAAATCATCTCTACCGGTGTGAGATATGCGAGCCCCCACGTTAGTACCGCACAGGACCTTAGCCGGGCCGTAAGAATCGCTCGTGTCCACAGGCGGAGCGCTGTCCAGCGGCGCGGGGCTGGTGCACCGCGGAGCCCCGGGCTCCGGCGGCTTCGTGGCGCTCAAGCTCTTCACCTACGACTACTCGCGCCACGTGAAGGCGGACATACCGCCCGCTGCGTACGAGGAGGTCGCAGAGACCTCCGAGTTCGCGCCCATCGTCAATTAGAATACGACACCAATTTTGTATACTCATTAAATTCTCTAATTAATTAATGTAATGTAATTTCGTAAATAAATCGTTCCCTAAGTATTATTGTTTGTTTCAATGCACCCTAATAGGATAACTAATATCATTTTTTTTAAAGAAGCTTAATTTAGATAAATGTGATGTGTTAAAAATAATATCCAATACTAGTTTAGCTGTGAAATATAAATTTGAACCGGCACTTAGTACATAGCGTAAATATACTTAAATAGTTATCTACGAACACCGAAGATAGTAATAATAAAAAAAAAACGTTCGTAACACATGAACAAAATCAATTGTTTGATTAACAGTTGAACAATAAATACCATAAGTGTAGAGATTTATCAACATGAATAATAGTGTCTCCTTCTTCACTAGCTCGATCATAATTATGTAATTTATCGTTGTAATGTGAATTGATAATATTATGATTTATCAAGGTATATATATATTTTTTTAGACAAGTTATTCATTATTTATTTAATTTTTTTTATAATATGACAATATTTTACGAATTTCGTAGCACAATAAAAAACCTATGGCTCGGTTGTGTTATAAGTTAATACCAAATGATAAATAGTATTATCATTTTTATTTCCTTTTATTCTCAAGAAATAGTTGGAGAGAAGGTTAAGTGTCTATTGTAAAAATTGAAATACTTTTACATATCCTTTGGTTTTAAAGTATAAGACTCTTTATATTTCTACTAGCTGATCCAGCGAACGTTGTTTTGTGGAATTTCATAAAATTCTTAGCTGACCTCTACTCGGCGAAAGCAATATTCCTACCAAATTTCAAGTCTCTACGCCTTATGGTTCCAGAGATATCGTGAGTCAATTATCGGTGGAAATCTCTTATATATACAGCGTGTCTTTACCATCGCGACAATAAATGAACACACGTCTAACGCTACGAGCCAATAATCATAAAAAAATATTAACGTAAAACAAAATCCATAATTAAAAGAAAATATTTTTCAAACAAACAAATTAAGTAAAAAGAAACAACATTTCTAACATCCTATACAACTCGCGCCACAGCGTTGTATTACAAGCCTCTCCTTCTAACAGTATGTTTTGTCTCTTTTAAATTCATTCAACCCATTCATATGCTTTGTGACCTTTACAAATGAACTTTACGTTACGCTTTTATAGGTAAGGGTGTTCTAAAATTCTTTGTTTTGGATATTTTAATAACTCTGTAAATATTGATGTTTAAAGAATTTAAACGTTTAATACAACTTTAAAAACTTATCCCCTATATGTGTGTTCATTTATTGTCGCGATGGTAACGACACGCTGTATATAAATATATATAGATAAGGATTCCGTCATATATACCGTAACAAAACGAGTAATTCAAGTAAAGGACTAATCCATTATTTGAAACCTAAACGATGCATAATGCAAACAAAGCAGCGAAGACCGTAGCATTGATAAGCACGCGTGCACGTGCGTGCGTATTCGCGCGTGCGGGTGTGTGCGTGCACGTACCTGGACGCGCAGCGGGTGCACGGCGAGCAGCGCCAGCAGGTCCTGCGAGGGCAGCAGCTCTGCGGCGCGCAGCCCGAGGCAGCGCACGCCGGCGCACAGGAACGCCGCCAGGTAGCGGTGCAGCGGGAAGTGGAACGACGCGTGCATCGCCTCCGTCTAGGGGCAGGGGGGGGCGTTGGACCATACGAAACATACGATGTCGGAAGTCGAATTGCGGAGCGAGCTGGTGAGTGCGTGACGAGGGAGTTACGAAAAGTGTGATCGATTTTTTTTTACTTGAGAAGGTGGGAAGCACGCAGGTGGTTCATCTGATGTTAACCGCCGCCCATTGACATTAGATGCACCCGTAGTGTTGCAGATGCGTGGCCACATTTTAATATAGTGGGCTCCAGCTACCCCACTTACCAGACGAAACGCAGAAGTTTTTTGTGTTTTTTACGGTGGTAGGGTCACGCAGAAGCCTCAGTTGTTGCACGAATGGGCTGGCTCGTCCAGGTAAGTACCGCGACCTCACAGAAGACCGGCGTAAAGTGGAAGTATAATACTTTCGCGTTTCGCCTGGTGAGTGAGGTGGCCCGAGTAGTCCATGGGCGACGGTATTCACTTAACATCAGGTGAACCGTCTGCTTGCACTTCAGACTGATGCGTGGTCCTACCGGCTCCAAAGAGCGTTACGAAGAGTGTGACTATGGAAAGGTTGGTACCCGGCGCACGTGGGGCGCGGCGCAGCCGACGGCGTGCAGCCAGTCGCGCAGGTAGGCGAGCGCGGCGGCCACCATGCGGCGCGCCAGCGGCGCGTGCGCCGGCTCCGACAGGTGGCCGAGCACCGACCACATCGGGTACGCCGCCGCCTCCAGCTCGCACGAGAACGCCGCGTAGTACGACGACGGCTCGAACTCGATGTGCCCGCCCGTCTCGCGCACGTTCACGTTCATGCCTGCGACAAACGAGTGTATTTCGTTCGTTCGGACTGCTGACTGATACTTTCTATGGCTGCCCGGAACGGTTCGTGCTATCGACCTCTGGGGACCGATGTATTAGTTCCGCGATTAAGAAAAAACAAAAGTTCAAATTTGATAATACACCCGCGGATAATAGACTGCGGTTATCTCAGTATCAGACGAACCGTCAGCTCTTATTAAAATTCCATACTGATAGGTATTTTTACACTCAAAATATAAACTAATTGCCCTTATCACACCTAAGTGGGGTCACCATAGCTATGAACCATGTTGTAAATGTTTAACGGCTACCTTTTTACGACCGAATGTCTGCCTGGCGTCAACCCCCTTGGAAACCACTCCCAAATCCGGAAAAATTAATACCGCGTGGTAATCGAACCCAAAAGCCCCGATGCCGAAGCCTATGACTAGCAACGAAGCTACCGAGTTGTCATGTCCTTTCATAGAAACAAATAGTGATCGGGCCCGTCACGGCACCCTGTACTCTGCGTACCCTGTAGCATCGAGAGGAACTCGAACCACATGTCGACGAGCGCGTCGTCCTGCAGGAAGAGCAGCGCCACGCTCTTGTGGCTGAGCACGTTGTTGAAGTCGGAGACGAGGGGCCAGTAGCAGTGCTCCTTCATGACGCGGCGCGTGCAGTCGATGACGCGGTGCGCGTTCGCCTGCGCGTCGTGCAGCGAGTTGCGCACCAGGATCCGGCCCATCATGAGCCGCAGCGAGAGCACCATCACGTGCAGCAGGTGCAGCTGCTGCACGCAGCGCAGCGCCAGCGCCTCGTTGGAGAACAGCTGCACGGACATGTGCACCACGCGGTTGGACAGCGTGTCCGGGTCGGCGGCGCCCTCCAGCACCAGCGGGATGCGCGCGTAGTGCATCACGAACGTGCGCGTCAGGTGCTCCTTTAAAGTGCCATCGCGTCCTTATATACAGCCTTCGCCGTGGGATTTATCAAAGATCGAAATGGGTTCAAACTTACTTTTTATATACAGACATATTAGAGAGAAGTCTTGATGCTAATCTAATAGATTTCACTAATCCTTACATCAATAATTATAATGCACACCAATCTCAAATTGAAAAAAAAACTCGATACTAACTAAAATATGAAAGAACTAACTATTTGCACAGAGATAAGCGACTAATTAGTAGTAGGGCGTTATCTCTGTCACACACTGTCTGTCTCTCCAATGCTTCATGCGCACAAAATAACCGAAATTATCAGATTGTCTCTTTTAGAGAGTCTGTGTGCAATATTTGTCGACGAGTACAATTAACGGTAACTAATTTATTTCTACTTGAACCGATTTGTGAAAAATCTTAAACTAACTTATTAGGATTACACCAGTATCGTATTATGGCCTGATATTATTCGTAACTAGCTGCTGCCCGCGACGTAAGTCTGCGTAGAATAGGCCGAAGGCGTAACATTCAAATAGAAAGACAGATACATACATAAAAATATGTATATAAATTATTTCTGATGTATAAGCTATATTATTATGGAGTTCCATTAAAATCCATTCACTAGTATTTGGATGAAAGAGTAACAGACATCCATCCATACACACAAACTTTATAATATTTCACCTTATAGTCCTGATCGGGCAGCATGTTCAGCAGGAAGCAGACCACGTTCTGCGGGAACTCGTACTTGAACGTCCAGAAGATGAACTCGTCCAGCAGCGTGTTGTGGTGGAGGCGGGGCGCCAACGCGGGCAGCTGCCGATACCTGCACCGGAAATGGTCTCGCTTAGGATATTATTTTATATATTTTTTTAAAACATTGCCCTTAATGTAGGATAACATTATCCCGTGTTGTAGGGACCTTTCACAAACATAAATTTCACCCGGACAAACAACAATAACCGAAACAGCTATCTGTGGGCCGATGATCATACTAATTCGGAAAAGATAATTGATTTTAAGGTTTACGTAATTCTTTGGATTTACGTAGTTTTTTAGATTTACTTAATTTTTTACATTCACGTAAATTTTTCGATTTTCGCAATTTTTTCGATTTACGCAAATTTTTTCGATTTACATAATTTTTAGATTTACGTAATTATTAGATTTACGTAATGTTTAAGATTTACGTCTTTTATAAAAGACGTGAATCTATAACTAACGTTCGCGTGCGGGTTCACTCACTCGTCTGGAGGCTCCGGCGCCGGGAAGGACTCGATGGCCTTCTCGTACTCCTTGTTCGACTCGGCCATGTAGCGGCCGTATTCCGTGTCCGGGAAGGGTGGCTCCACCAGGTTGCGGTACATCTGGTGCACAAAACATACGCACGCGCACGTATAAAATGTCCTTTTCATAAAAAACTGTAGATTAATATTACAAATATGATTGGCCAACTTATAATGGTCCTAACTCCATGGCATTTACCCTCGACTCGCGATTATATTTTCTGTGTATCTAGTTGTTTCCTGGCCAACTCGAAAGCATCGCCAACAGGATTACAGACAAGGACGGAAACATCGACAGCCGAATCTAGTCTCAAGCATGTGTATTCTTTAATCGCCTGTGGTAGGGCCACACAACAGTCTTCTCTAATGAATCAGGACATCTCTAAAATGAACCTAATAAGCGTACAGCGATACGACATTGGTATCTTGCGCAGTAAGGCAGTGCGGGAGGAAGGCCTTAACTAGGGCTTACGTCCGCTGCATCGTGTAGGATACCCCGGATACTAAGACACTGTTGGAAGCCGCCGAAAGATACATTTTTTTATGTGAGAAGGTAGTAAACGAGCGGTTCGCCTGATAAGTGATATCCGCAGCCCATTAACATTTACAACACCCATAGGGCAGCAGACGCCTTGCCACCTTTTAATGGAGTGGACCCGGCTACCTCACTCACCAGACGAAACGCAAAAGTATATCAGTTCCGCTTCACGCAGGTTTTCTGTCGTGGTAATGACCCTGACGGACCTGTCAACTTTTCACATAAAAAAAAATCAGTGTTTTCAGAAACCGGGCGTGTGTGTGTCTCTCCCACCTGTGGATTGATGAGGGCCTTAGTCATGGCGGAGCGCATCAGATCGCCCATGTTGTTGAACTCCATCAGCATCTGGACGTAGCCCTCGCACTCTTGCACCGCTATACGGTAGCTGTCCGATGTGGTCTGCGGGCCCCAGCTGAAAGCAGTTAACGCACTGTAAGTTTCATCGAGCTCGTTTAGACGAAATGTTGCATCGCTTCTGGTTCCAGACATATCGTCGCATTGACGTCAGACAAAAAAGGACGCTGCCCATTCAACACTCATTTTTACTGGTCTAAGACCAAGAATCTCAGGAATTAGCTGATGAAATGAGGCAATAACACTACAAAAAAAAGATACTATGGCTTAATGGATGTTAATTTTCATAGTGCTATTATACGAAGTCAAATTTTCGTTGATTTTTCTAAAAATTTTTAAATTTCATCTTGAGTGCAGAGCATAGCAGTATAAAAATTATTATCCTTAAAAAAATTATTACTAAGTGTGTCGTTTCTAGTTTGCAAATATTTCATTTAAAAGGTTACAAAAACATATCTTTTGTCACAAACGTTCAAAGCCCGGCTTAGCGTTTCTTTTCTACAAATTTAATATTGTTTCTACGGAATAAATATACAATTTTTGTATTGTAATCCTTAAATAAAATTCCTTAAATGCAAATCCTATCAACGGTGAGTAGGGAACAAGTATAACTATGCGCAGGAGTTATGATGTAAGCTGTTGTTCTCTTAGCGCAATTGCCAATCATTTTAGGGTCGCTGCGACCATGTTGTGGTAGAAGATCGAATGTGGTCACCTGTTCTCCCTGAAGTGTTGCAGCAGGCGCAGTATCAGCCGGGGCATCATCGCCTCCGCAACGCACATGAGCTCCGCGGGCGCGGCGCCAGTCCTGTGGCATTTGTTGCCGTGGTTGCTGCAGAACCTGCAAGTGTAACGGCAGTATTGAGATTTTCTATCATCATCATTATTATTCAACCTGTGAGAATCCACTGCAAGTGTAAAGGCGGTATTTAGATTTTGTATCGTCGTCTTTACTCAGCCTGTTAGAGTCCACTGCTGAACGTATTTGTCATCTTAAGGGTCAAATTGATGTCATTAGCATCGTTTTAAACTAAGATACATGATACTAGTTACATTAAGACTAAAATTATGTTAATCAAAAATTATTTTTGCATAATAATGTAATAATGTATAATATTTGTTATTGTATTTTTCACAAACCATTGCATGGCTTTATACACATCCAATTCTTCTTACTTCTAACTAAGCGAAACAATCGAATCTGTTAGGATTATAGAGTTTATAATTTTAAATTTCTAGCTTCCTTTTCAATGAATACAACGGATTATACTCTATAGCTCTATACCTACATTCAATAAATCTTCTTGCGATTAGAACTTGCCTTAAATATTAACATAACAAATAAAATTATTCGATAGCGTTTTTACGTTAAGTAATTTGATTTGACGATTTGCGTTTCAAATACCTTCATCGTTTCTTTATAAAAGCTTTTGAAGTAGTAATTATTATAATTGATTACTGGATTTAATTTCAATAAACCCTCCGTATTTAACAACAAAGCTGACCAAATATCGAGGTCTTGGCGTGCTAAATATAGTCTAGTGACGCGCGGTATCCTTGCCGAACGGCGAAAGTAGCCTGAGGTATTTATAGAACTAAGGAAATATTTTAAGGACCTAATCTTGAGATACACGTGCAGTAGTTGTGAGCCCCTAATGTTGCGGTCTTAAATAATATTGGAAATCATTTTGGATCGGAGTACCCTTTTTTTATGTGAGAAGGTGGCAAGTTACAGATACGTCGCCACCTATTAATAAAGTGGACCTCGGCCACCCCGCTCAGAAGAAACGCAGAAGTATAACACAAACACTTCACTCCGGTCTTCTGTGAGGTCGCGGTACCTGCACATTCGTGCAACAGCCAAGCTGTTGCGTGGCCCTACCACAGGACATTATTAGGATATTAAATTAGTAAAGGTTGTCGCTGAAGTCCTTAGCAGACCTCTAGATGACAACCATATTCTAACAGCAAACCATCATTTATTTACATTGGAAATATTCTCGAATAGTATCCTAATACTGTTATAACTTCTGCTAAGATAAGCGTACTTAGTCCTAAAGATGAGATTAAGTCTTTGTTTTAACTTCGATTAGCTCGCGGCCGCATGATAAACGAGATCAAATTAGCACGGCCAAGGTCGGTGCCAAGGCCAAGGTTGGGTTCAAAGCCGCGGCCGCGCAACGGCACAATACCCATTGTTTGGTGAACGCCAGCGCCTCAACAGAGGGATAGCAAGCACAGTATAATCTCCGGTGATGTGTAAACAAGTTATCAGTAAACTCCGTGATACGGAGATGTAGCACTACTGGCTCTTCTGTTAACTGATGTTGTCGTTAACTATTCGTTATAAATATTGTACATATATAATCTAATTAGTAATTTATCGATAATTTATTAGTACAGTTTGTAGTGATTAATTTAAAAGTTGTTGGTTTGACACCTATTGCGGCGTGATATTTCCTAGACCATAGAGTGGGGGGTGGGTGGTATTTGTTTTGGAGAAGAATAAATTCAAATCTTACAACGTACGCGAATTAGTTTTTGGTTATTGGAACTTAAGGCTGTTGCTCTGCTGGAAAAGCTAAGTATTATTGTTGTCCAACTATGGGAGTTATAGTTGTATAAATTTGTAAAAGCTATGTTTTATAACTTATTTCTAACATATTGAACCTTCATCGAACGCAGCAAACTAGAAAGAACCTGCGTACGTTGCCCCAATTAAGAAGGGATGTCCCCAACGCGTTATCCGTACCGTTACGTCCTATAATGTATATCAGAAAACATGAAGAAACCAAAATTTCTTCATCATGCCAAAACGGTGACAGACAATCCAATAGTACAACATTCTACCAAAGAATAAAAATAATAAATAGACCTTTCATTGATGTCGTGAAATCTGATGATTTGTAAGTGAAAATCTAAAATGCCAAATTCTACGCAGTCGCTGCGCTAAATGTTTCGGTCGCGGCGTATGCGTTTAACAAGTTATAATCACTACCGGGACGGACGGAAATAGGAAAATACTTGGCAGCCCTTTAATGGACATTAAGCGATTGTCCATAAACGTTTCCGGAACACAAAGAGTGTGTTTAGTGTGTATATAAGAGGACATTTCATATATCAAGACGTGTCATAACTGTATTAAATCACTTCCACACTCATCTCCCGTGACCCGTTCCACTGCCATCGAGTGGAAGTGTCTATACTTTTCCATTTTCTCTATTTGTGGCGTCATCGGGACCCCAGCCTATTTATGGTGGACAATGCAAGTCAACGTGAGAGCCGGCGGTGATCAGACAAGCGAGATGACAAACGTAGCGAGTTACGTTTGTCATCTCGCAACGAATAGGTCGGAATAGGTTCATTCGCGTTTATGGTCATTACGGGTTGTTGAGCAGTGTATTGCAAATACATAGGTCGTGTGCCGCCCGTCAGCCGGCCTCGGTTCCGTCGAAGCGTGACGTCACTCACGCCCTCGCCTGTGCAGAGCCGCGGGCGCGGAGCGGACCCGCTACAATCACGGTCACCGCAGAGGCCAGTAGATGACTAATGCATGGAGTGCAGGGGTGGCCAAGTCGATCGTGAAGCTACTTTTGGTCAATTGCTCGTGTTGTTTTAACGCAGAAATCCATTATACTAATAAATGAGTTAATAAGTACTATAAAACAAAATTCTCTCCCCCACTTTGACTAAGACCGTGCAAGACTATACGAACATATCAAGTTATGAGTCGACCACGAAATTTTTTTACTATGTACAAAGTTGACCACCCCTGACATACATAGATACCTAAACTAACTAATAGGGCACTGCAAAATTGTCGCACAGTGACTATGTGGAACTTGCTCAAATATATACTGGTCATCATATCGACGTAAATAGTCAACCTTAAGACAAGTCAGCACCTCTATTCTAACCATAATGGGATATAATGGATAAATGGACATATGTCAGAATAATTTTAAAATTTTAAATATAGAGCCGAGATACAACTTAACTGCATGTACGTATGTTCTCTATGATTCCGCCCGATTTCGATGAAATTTTCAGGCAGTCTTCAGATTAGTCCAGCCCGGGTGATCTTGTGCAGTTTGGTAGGGATTCAGGTTTAAACTTTATAACAGCATAACTTTTAACCAATGCTGATCGCGTAACCGGCATATTGTCATGTCACATCACGCTCCTAACGAATTAAACAGGTGACCGCTCACAATGACCCTCGATCCAATTGCAATAAAAGCGATTCGTTATTCAATTGAGGCGAGCACTGAAGAAAGCACGAAACATAAGACATCTAATTTCCATAAACCCCTACCAAATACCACAAAGCATAAAGACAGGAAAATTTCTAGCAGGTTCTCGAAACTTCTAGAATGTAGGTTACCCAGAGATCTCCGGGAGCCACTCACCCGTCCTCCTTCATGACGGAGTCGTCGCCGCAGTCACACGCGCCGCCCGCCTGCGACAGGAACATGTTGAAGTCGTGGTTGGTGTGGTCGCCGCGGTGGAAGCAGTCCCGGCATATTGACATGCACGGCGATATGCCGCACGTGCGGCACCGGTACGCCACCACGCGCGGGATCCACACCAGGCCGCACTTGTCGTGCTTGTCGTAGCTGCGCACTGTGGGGAGGGGGGTACGAGTACATTAATTAATTGTTACCTCGAGTCAGTTCAGTTAATTATTTGAAAATAATTGAGCATTTCATATAAGTAAAGATTTAATACGAATAAAAAAACTGATATAAAAACCGGTGTTATGTAAGTCGTGTATTATATGTAACGGAAATAGTATTACAATATGATTATATTAATTTATCTTATTAAAATTGTTCAAATCAAAGAATTATTAAACTGTCTATCAATGTTTACAGAACTTATAATGCGTGCAAGGGTGTTTCGTCAGGCAGTGTAAGCATGCGTAAGCTTGTATACATTGCCATTTAGGGAGAATGCGAAGTTCATAATATATGATATGGCGCAATTACTTCATCTCCCCATTTCGAGAGCGTTCGATGGGCCAAATTTGGCGCTGGTCCAAGGTGAAAGACGATGTGATTAAAAAAATCCGAGGTCGCGCGTACGTAGTAACATTTTTATATTAACCATACAGCAGACACTAGGTTCAGTGAGGTCTTAATGTATCTACTTGATACATATATCGATTGGGTTCTACTGCATCACCACATTTACCATAATGGGAAATTGTCATATGTTCTAACTGTTCGTAATTACTGGATCGTTACTTAGTGCCTTAGAATTAAGGTGCATATCTTACAGCGAGTCCTAAAAAAAAATTATTTGATTGGGATTATTTGATTAAACAAAAAATCGTATGTCATCATTATTTATAGGAATTTATCTATTTATTTATTTATTTACCCTTTATGCTATGCACAAATATAGTACAATGGCGGACTTAATGCTAAAAGCATTACCTCCCAGTCAACCTTGGGGTGGTATAGAGAAAATTATGTTGAATTCTACCAAACTCGAGAATAGCATAAACAATAGCTTCTCAATTTCTGAATTGATGCAACTTTTTTTACTTTACCAGACGCGTAGTTCGCATAAAAACATTGCAATACGACAGTATCTCCGACACTGAACATTTTTACAACTGCCTGCCAGATGGTGATCCCGCAGAACCGTTAAAGCTGCGCTTGGCAGCAGTTTAAAGGAGCATAAACTTTTATCGCCCTGAACGGGATATGGATAAATAAATTAAGACCGTGAGAAACAGCTTATTTCATACAGATGATGTGGAAAACGAGCCAGCAGCTCGCTTACTACATAGTGAGCCACAGAAGCTGGTGCATGTTTGCCACGTAGTGGACTTTTGGAAAATCGAGTTACACACAACGAAACTTTTAGTTTGTAGCGGCCGTCATATGCTCGAGTTTCATTGTAAACTTACTGCTGTGAAAAATTTAACTATAGTTCAAATTGCCGTGTGATTAGCCTATATCTAGTAATCAATTCAACAAAATGTATAAAATACAAATGGATAACGTCACTATTAAAAAAACCAACTGTAAAAAAAAAACTTTTCTCTATTGAGAGACAATTCTAGCTAGGGTCCCATTTCCACGGAAATTATTAAGTAAAAAGTCATAAAGAGCAATGGATGAATATGACCCTTTGTTTGTGTACGTAAGGAATCCATGGGGCACATAATGCCAAGGCCAGCTTTGCTAATATTGATTATTCATTGATATACAGCGTGTCGTTACAACCGCGACAATAAATGAACACACATCTAACGCTACTTTCCAATAATCATAAAAAATATAAAACTTGAAAAAAAAATCGTAATTAAAAAAATATATTTTTCAAACAAACTAAATAAGAAAGAAACAAAATTTGTAACATCTATACAACTATAACTGACTGACTGATACATTCAGAGACTTTCATTCGTTGCCACAACATCGCATTACAAGTCTCTCCTTCTAACAGTATGTTTTCTCTTTTAAATTCATTCAACCTATTCATATGCTTTTACAAATGAACTTTAAGTTACAGTTTTATACGTTAGGGTGTTCTAAAATGTTAGTTTTGTAAAATTTAATAACTCGGTAAATATTGATGTTTAAAGAATGTAAATGCTTAATACAATTTTAAAAAGTTATCCTCTATATGTGTGTTCATTTTTGTCGCGGTTGTAACGACACGCTGTATAATAATTTCACTTGCTTTCCTATCACATTGCGTTTGTAAACACACTATTGCCACATAAGTTGGCAGAATCAATCAGCAGCTATTGAGCATTATACTTTCGTATTTCCTTATTATTGTTTTAAATGTTTTACATATAATTTAAAATATTATAGTGCCATATTAATGGCGTGTTAGATAGATGCTTGTTATCGCTATATACAGGTGGCTTTTCTAAAGATGCCCAAATTCACACAGGAGGTTCAGACTCGATAGTATAATCGTTTATTGAAATAAAAAAAAAATTTAAAAAAAAATTGACATTCCATTCCTTAGAAAACAGAACTTGTGATTTTAAATATATATATAATTTTTATATAACATTATTTATGTCTAGAATTTGATAAAAAAAAATGGATACACTTAAAAAAGCCTCCCTGTATACTGTATACACATATGAAATGTACTTTTCTCTCTACTAATATTTTATTACCTTTTATACAACTATTTTTTTTATCTCTGCATCACCTTCAGGTACTGGAGTAGACCACGCCAAAGGCGTAAGTGTACTGCTATTTTATGTACAACGGATAAGTTGCGACCAACCATTTTAATGAAGGCTAAAACTAGAGGCATCGCTGATCCAGTAGCCGGGAATGTCGCACAGGTCAACGGTCAACCGGCACACAGCCGCCTGTTGTTCCGACGACCGTAAACAACATTCGCAGTAGTAACGGTGACCGTCGATGGAATGGCGCGGGGGGCAACCGTGATGAGCGACCGCCGTCCGCATATGCCAAGTGACCGTTAGCGTTATGCCCTTATACGAGCAATCGCGAATAAAACAATGCAATTAGCTCGAAGTATGGGCTCGACGGACATATTGGCAGTTGCAATGCGTACATATAGCCGCTAGTGATGCATCTTTCAAAATTCAAAACGCCTTTACCCGATATATTATCGACCGCTTTTTAATTCCGCTTAATAAGGAGATCTGAGTTCAAATTGCGTTTTCCCAACTAATAATGATACTGTTTCCTACAATCTTGAGGGAAATTGGTTATCTAAGACATATTTTACATAGTATCTAAATGCATGTATTAGATGTTACTAACATTATATTGAAATTAGATGAATAGTTTCCATTACTAAGCCCACGATCGTCAATTCCGAAGCGTAGTTACGCCCGGTTTCTGAAACACTGATCATCATAGATGTCAACTAATCAGCTGTCAATTGAATTTCAAATTTGATTTTAGTTGCCAAAAGGATGTTTAAACTCTTTGAATTGATCATTCTGATCATAAAGAAGATCATTCTGGTCAATGCAGAGAGTTTAACCATCCTTTTGGTACCTAAATTGTAATTTGAAATCTATTTGACAGCTGATTAGTTGACATCTACGATGATCAGTGTTACAGAAACCGGGCGTCAGTCTTTGAATTAATTATTTAAAAAAGCGCACTTGTCGTTTTTTTTTGCAGTTCACTTATCAATCGCACGAATTATGACTAATATCGAGTGTTGGTACTGACTGGTTTTGTTGGTGGAAAATTAAAGATAGAAATGAACACGTACACGCCGAAATTACAATAAATTAAAGCTAATCTCTTTGGCGGTCGTGGGTGAAGCGATATTATACACCTGTGTCGATGGCACGTTCAGACGATGACACATGGTAAAGGTGCAGGAGCGAATAAATTTGACTATCATTTCGTTGAATATCAAGTCACGGTGGCGGCGGCGGTAATTTTGGATACTAGAAAGCAATCTTGACTTTCAACTTACATACCTTCATATAGTAGTAATTTAACTAAGAACACTTTTTAATAGTGATTGCTCATAGTCCGGGCGCTCGCTTTCAATGCGCTATACTCGAACAACCTGAGTTCAAACCCCGGTGCCAGCACCAATGAAATTGTTGATTTTAAGTGCTGAATTATCACGTGCTCGGCGTTGATATGGTTCGTGATAATAACAAAAAAGATATGTGAAGTCCGCCAAACCCTAATACCCTCTGTACAGAGGAGGCCTTTGCCCACTTACATTTTTATTAATTTCATATAGGTTTTCCCCATTTCTCTGTTAACTAGGAAATATTGTAAATCGACAGTGAAAATGACTAATGAATATAATAGCTAATTACAAAGTCCCCGTATTCTCACAAGAGTATGATATAAATAAAGTCCTTTATTATCATACTGTGATGATAATAACTGGCACATAATGCAGAAATAGACATTCATTATTATTCATTACTATTTCATATTCATTACAATTTCAACGGTTATTAATATGTGTGCCAACTTTCAAATAATTCGGATGTCTTTAAGCGGATGAAAATGAATTAAAAGACTCATTAATATACAAACATATGAACCCAGAACTTGTTACTGTTATATTTTTGGGTATTTCAATGCATTACATGCCAGCCGTTGGTTATTATCACGGTTAATGAGATACAGCCTGGTGACAGACGGCCAAACAGATAAAATGGTCTTAGTAACAGGGTCCCGTTTTACCCTTTGGGTACGGAACCCTTAAAACGACGATATTGACTAAAATTGACAGCTTGGTCATGTAAACCAAACGATTGGTGAATAACACTGCTGTTCCGAGATTTGAACTAGCCCGAGCCTGAGGGCAATGAACTTAGACGAGCACTGACAGCGAGGTCGTGTCATAACAAGACTACAATATTCAAGTATAGGATAATTCACAAAACAAACTAAGAGGAAAAATCTATTAAGACTTGTTGATCGTTGAAAGCGACTCGATTAGTTTGCTTTTTGATTTGACTAACTGTCAATTTTAAAAGCAAACGAAGATGATGTTGCAGAATTCTTTTAAACATCATTTGTGATATCGCGTATTGTATATTCGGTTCCCCATCGCTCAGGACTGCTTTAATTCTGACTAAACCCATTTTTAACCAATAGGTACGAATGTGTCATTTTGCCACACAA